TGTGCTGGAACCTGCTGGAAGGATTGGATGGTCAGGTGACCTGCTGTGCATGGCTGTGCATGACCTCATATGACCTCATCCTTGGTCATATGACCTGATCACCTGACTAGGCTGAGTAAGCAAGATGTTCTAGCAGGTTCCACCACAGAGGTATAAATATAAGGCCTACTCTGCCTGGGGACTGTCTCTTCAGACTTGGTCTCTTAGGATCATCCACAGGTACCTATACTGTAGATAGGTCTTAGTCATCAGGTCTACTCCACTTCCTTGTTGCCTGCTTAGACTCTTGGCACTCTTAGGTGAGCAGACTTAGTCAGCCTGTGTTGCCCTAACAGGGCCCTTCTTGCATGCCTACTATCAGGATGCCATCCCTGGGGAGCAAGCAATCCTCAAGGGCTACACCAGAGAGCTTTCCCACACTCTCTTTGGTCTCAATATCTTTGTGTTTGGGCAAGATGCCCAAGGCTGGAGGTACACTTGGGGGGGGCCTGCCAAGAACCTGATGGGCAACCTGAAGGACCTCAAGTGCCCCTTGTGCTCCATGGTTATGGAGTTCCATAAGAAGATTGACCTGGGCATCTTCCAGTACAGGTGCAGGCACCAATACAAGGGTAGGGCAGATCTGCATATCATTGAGTGGATGAATGGGGTGTTTGAATTACACCCCAACCCAGAAAATCCCAACCACCATGTCCTCAAGATTTCAATGAGGGTGGGTGAGAATGGTGAGATACAAACGTCCCCCCCAGCCCACCCCCTGCACCCCAAGTGGATCTCTTAGAGAGGGGATGATTAATCTTTTCTTCTCTTTTTCTTCTCCTCCTGCCCCTCCTCTCCCCTCCTCCCCTGCCTGTCATTATGTGTTTTTCAGCATTGTATAACCCAAAAAAATATTCTCAAGTTTTTCCAGTAAAAACTCCTAGGTATCTTGTAGATACTGTTAATTTTATGGCATTCCTGGTGCCTGAGTGTCCCCCTTGGTCCATTAAATAATGGTGTTAAGGGTGTGCATTAATTAATTATTAATTATTATCTACAAGTATAATACTCTACAATACTCAAAGTAGAAAAGACATTGTGCCTATGTCACATGCTGAAATGACCAATATTGCTTACCTCATCTCGTGCCCTGGACCTGGGATCAAATCTAGCACAGCTGAGACTGGAATCTGGATTTTGTAATAGCAGATTCCAGATTCTGGATTCTGTGTTGGGGAACCTGTATGTTCTCACAAGGGTCCAAACTCACAGCCACCCAGATGAACGAAAAAAGAAATGGAATCAAAATTTCTGGGGGGGGCAGCAGTGCTGGTTACCTAATTCTGGAAGCAAAATTTCGATTTGTTGAGAGTCCTTGTTTGGACCCTTACTCCGGAAGTACAATTGCTTCCGCTTACTTCCGTTTAGAGATTGCAACTGCCTAAGCCAAGGAGACAAATTTGCACAGCATTCTCTTTTACTAATTTCAGGGCCTGTCCCTCTGAGTGCCAGCTCTTATCGCCGCTCGCAGGACCCCTAATGAGCTGTCCGCAAACGTCCACCATAGTTCTGTTCTCACGGACCCTAGCGGTGAACGGAGGCACTTTCAGGCATCGATCAACTTGAAGGATATCTTTCAGCCTGATCGTCAGACAGCTCTTCTCTGTTAACAAATCTGGCAAAGCGCCGCAATACAACTGTCCTGGGACTGTGTTATCCGACCTTGTGATTGTCGAAGAACCCGGAGAAACAGATCGTCATTATCGCCGTCAGATTACCTGGCAACAATGCCTATCCATATTATGCATATTCTTCTATGGCAAGTTCCCGGAGGACACTTCACCTCAAATTCGATACCTGTGCCATACTACCCGGTCCATCGTCTTAGGATAGAAGACATAGTCCAATCGCGAAGACCTAGTCTCAGCTCGCCGGACTCGGCTACAGCTTCCCAGCCTCTTCCTCAATGAGCGCCCAAAGTTCTTTCGCTTGCTCTACGTCGCCTGTGTCTGGTCTTGCGACACCCACTCTCGCCCAAGGGATGAGGTACTACCACTTATCAGTGACTACATCTTGATTCAGCGAAAGGCTATACCTTTCCGCTCAAGGACTTCGCTTCTGGTGCTGTGCCTGCGTACAGTTGGGTCAATGGCCCATAAGGCTCCAGAGGATATAGCAACTTGTCCTATACCGCCGAGTCAGCTACCGCCACACAACCAAAAAGCAGAACTGACGATAATCCATGCCTGGATACGCTTGCTCTTCAGATGCCTTTGCAGATCCGTACGGATCGCACCTGGGTTCAGGGATGTGCTGACGATCCCCTGGTCGGCGTAGCGCCTCGCGAGCTCTTTGGAAAAGAGGACATTGCCCTATACAGATCCTTGAGCCGCATCAAGGGGGAAGGGAGTGTGACGTACGAACTTAGACATCCCATATGATGTCCAATCGTTCCACGCCTTTTCCCTAGCCAGTCCATCCTTAACCTGATCCCAGGCAATGCCCCCCTTGGGTGCGAAAGCGTGCCCGTTAGAGCTGGTGTTTACGACACGGACGTCGCCCGTCTCCTTGGCGGTCTCGAGCAGGACCGGAAGGAGGAAAAACGTGAACACACCGTGGCCTATTGTGTTGGTGCCGAATTGCAAGTCATACCCTTGTGCAGTCAGCATCGATTTAGGGGGGATCATCACCCCCCTGCATCATATATGAGTCAGCATCAATGTCCCTGTAACGTCCTGGGGGAACGAGACCCACCCGGAGTTGAACAACATATCGAGCCTCTTTTCCTTCGCCTTGAACTCATCTGCCGCCTTCTTCACACTAGGCAGATCGGCCAGATCAAGTTGTAGGAAATGTATGTCTTCCTTCTTTGTGAGGTCTTTCAAGTGCTGAATGGCTTCCTCCGCTTTGGCGGGAGAGCGTGCAGCGAGGTAGACACGGGTATTGTGTTCGAGCAAATGCTAGAGTTGGTGAGCGGGGTTTAGGAAGGAGAGGATGGGGGACGTACGCGACATGTAGCGAAGCCGAGACCTTGAGGGACGATCAGCAGGTTTAACGGGGCAGAGACTGTGGCATACCGGTATTACCGCCCTGAAATTCGGTGAGCTTCGTTAACTCTCGCAGGAGGAGCGCTTACGGTGACAATAGCGACCTTTCCAGTCTGGTCCGGTATCTGGTCCGGGAGCCATTTGGTCTTCGGAGGAAACATCTCTGAAAAGGATTGGCCCATGATTTTGGTGGTGAACGGATTAGAAGCTTGGGGGGAAGAACACTGTCGGGTGCACGACTTCCATTCTGCTGCTACTTATAGGCAGAATGTTCCTACACCCTGTGCGGGCTTAACGGGTTCGTCGTCCGTCTGTTCACATATTATTTTGGACGCCTTTCCATAGCTTTCAGGACACGATTTAGGATGCGTAAAACCCGGCATGCCCTCATGCCGCTTACCAAGCGGCTACTTGAAACGCCAAACGTCGCGCATAGATCTGCATCCGGTCTGCATAAACTCTAAATTAACCCGGGGGTCAGACCCCTCGGGTTAATTTCTAGGACACCTAAAATCGTTCCTAAATCCATTCTGCATGTGTCTTTAGCTCCCGCCATCACAAGAGGCAGTGCACACGTGACCAGGATGTACTGGATCTAGGAGAGACGCGCAGCATTTACGTTTTTATGGCTTTGGGGGAGCCCTTTTACGGAGCCCCCCTTTTCTGCTTACAAATATACCTTTATGATTATGAATCTACGTTTTAAGGGTTATGGAAAGGCACCCATTAGGCTCTCGATCTCACGTGCTGCCGCACCAATTCGGACCGGGGAATGATCCATGCGCACTGCTCCATAATGAGGAATCAGTCTGGATATTATTTATTGATGTTGTTTGGGAGAAGTGCACAGGGTGATGATGCATGTACTTACAGCAACCTAGAAAACGTTGTGATCAAGAACGAAAAGAAGTCCAGCAGTTTAAATTAGGAATGAATTCACAGACCCTCGCAGGGAACGGAGGCACTTTTTTTGGCCTTGTCAGTGAAGAAGTGCAAAAGTTGTTCACACGATAGAGCAACATCACCGTTGTTGCATCTACTTCTTTCCCCGCAATGGCTGCTCCAAAACGCCCACTGGAGGGCGATTCCGCCAACCGACCGGCGAAAAAGTCTAAACCTGTGCACACCTCACCCACAAAGGTCACGGAAAAAGCATCATCAAAGCCCAAGCCAAAAGCACAGGGAGGCGTCCCTTCGATGAAACCAGCATTTTTGCAAAAGAGCTTGCTCGTTGCGGAGGAAGTGAACTTCCCGAGAGGGGGAGGGACGACGCTTACCGCACACGAGGTGAAAGAAGCCCGGGAGGAGGCGAAGCGTGAAATAAAGGAGGCTGAGGAGAAGACATTGAAGAGGAAGAGGAAGTCGTCAATGAAAGGCGGTGAGGTGAAGGCTGAATCAGCAGGTACAAGAGTGGAGCATATGAATTACAAGGTACGCATGAGGTTCCCCAGGACGGACAGGTCTGACAAGCGTACAGAGGCTCAATCCCGGCACTAGGCTCTTAGGCCAAATCACCACCATCTATCCTTTGCATCTTATCCTTTCTCTACCTAATCAGTTGGTTGGCTACGTCCCCATCACCGGAATCAGCGCCCAACTAACGACTGAACTGGAGAAAGAAGATGCACGATTTACTTCTGCCGCTGAGGGGGAAGATGAGGACATGGAGGAACGAGAGGAGGAGGAAGGTGCCCCAGAGCTGGCAAGCATCTTCCATGTCGGGCAGTATGTGCAGGCGTGCGTTGTTAACGTACGTTCTGCTGGGACGCGCGCCGCCCCTGAGCTCGAAAAGCCGAAGAATGAGATGGAAGCTATGGCGCGAAGAGTGGAGTTAACCCTCGTCCCGGAGGTGGTGAACGAGGGTGTCGTCATCAAAGACCTGGTGAAAGGATTTGCACGTCTTTCCCCGCGTCTCCCGAATGATTGTGATGCTGACCTATGATTATGTAGATGCTTCCAGGAGCAATAAAAAGCGTAGAAGATCATGGCTACTCTGTTGAGCTGGGGATCCCTCACCTCTCAGGTTTCCTGCCTTTCACAAACACGCCGCCTTCCTCCTCCCGGCTCTCTCCAGGTCATCTCCTAACGTGCACCGTCTCCGAGGTTCCCGCCAGCAAACGGATATGTACACTCACAATCCAGCCTTCCCAAAAAGAGGAAGTACTAGACCAAGTATCGAACGTTACTTCCCTTCTCCCCGGCACGCTTGTCAGGGGGCTGATAACCGCCTCCGTGACCTCGGGTCTCAACCTGCAAATCCTTGGATTTTTCGAGGGGACGATCGACCTCACCCACCTGCCGAAAGATCCTGCTTTATATAAAGTGGGGACGAAGCTAAAGGCACGTGTGCTCTGGCATTTGCCCGGGTCCAGCCCCCCAAAGTTTGCGCTGTCGGCTCTGCCGCATGTGGTTGACCTAGCTGCGCCAGAGGTGGATGGGGTGTCCACACAGGAGAAGCATCCGTATGGGGAGATCTTACATGGTGTGAAGGTCGTCAGGGTCGAGGCAGAATGGGGCCTGTCGGTCGTACTGGACGACGAGGAGACGCGGGGCTTTGTACATGTGGGCACCATTCTCCTCATTAAAAGCACAGAGCTGACGCACAGTCTAGATCGCTAACATATCAGACGAACACATCCCCGCCCTCTCCGCCACATCCGGAGCGTGGAAAGTCGGCACCAAACATGACGCCCGAGTTCTAGGTTTCTACGCCCTAGACGGCCTACTCCGGCTATCGCTCAAGCCCTCCCAGCTCGAGCGCCGCTTTGTCCAGACGGGCGACTTCACCCCTGGCGAGATCGTCAAGGGTGCGATTGAGAACCTGACTGATGTAGGGATGTTTGTTGATGTCGGAGGGGATATCAGTGGGCGGGTAGCCCTGGATCAGCTGGCGGATATTGAGTTAAAGCATCCAGAGAAGAGGTTCAAAGCGGGGGCCAGTGTCAAGTGCCGTGTACGCTCTCCTTTTACTCTCTGGCACAGGGGCTAATATGATCAACAGATCCTTGCAGTGGACCCGGAACATGGCCGCCTAACCCTTACGTGCAAGAAGAGCCTGTTGTCCTCGGATTTGCCAATCATCGCCAAGCTGGACGACGCCAAGCAGGGAATGGTCGCCGATGCCGTCGTATCAAAGGTTCTTCCCAGCGGGGCATTGGTGATGTTGTATGGTGGTGTGAAAGGCTTTGTCCCCATACGGGAGGCGAGGTGTGTTGGAACTATTTTCATTCAGAGGAAGAGCTCATGTTGCACATAGTGAGGGATACATCAAATCGGTCGACGAGATCCTCAAGCCTGGTCAGGCGGTCAAGGTCAAGGTGCTCTCAGTCAATACCGAAGAAGGCAACATCCTCGCCAGTCTTCGGCAAGCACAGCCCAGCTACCAGCCCGCAGCGCCCGGAGTTGATGTGGAAGACATCGCCGTTGGGAGCAACGTAGAAGCAGAGATCAAGGACGTCCAAGCCATCAACGTCGTGCTTTCCATCCAGCCTGGTGGTCAGACCGCTCTTCTCTCTTTGGCAAACTTGGCAAACCGCCGCAACACTACCGTTGAGGCGCTGCGCCTCTCCCTTGTTCCTGGAACTGTGTTGTCCGACCTTGTGGTTGTTTCCAAGAACCCGGAGAAACGAATCGTCATTCTCGCTGTCACATTACCTGGCAGCAACGCCGGTCCATCCTCTTCTACGGCAATTTCTTGGAAGACACTTCACGTTGGTCAAATTTTGCTTGGGCAAGTCATAGGCGAGAAGAACGGATCTACCTCTGTTCGACTGTCACAATATCTAATCGGTCGACTGCATCCCCTGGATCTGACTGATAATCTCGAGAACGGAATTGTTTTCCCCAGAGCTGGGTCAGCTCTCAAGGTTGCAGTGGTCGGTGTAGACCCCCACGCTCGGACACTCGACTTGTCAACACGACCATCACGGCTGAACCCGGAGTCTCACCCGCCCATCGTCGATCCTGAAATCACGTCCCTGGATAACCTCCAGGTTGACGACAAGGTTGGAGGTGTTGTAAAGAATATTTCCGACTCCGGGTTGTTCGTTTCCCTTGGACGGAACATAACAGCACGTGTGCAGATCAAGGAGTTATTTGACGAGGTTTGTTATTCAGTTGTTCGAGATATCAATCCCCTGACACCGGGTTAGTTTGTGAAGGACTGGCAGACGCGATTCAGCGTCAACCAAGTTGTCAAGGGCAAGATCACACATGTGGACCATGAGAAAAACCGAGTCGATATGAGCATGCGTTCTGGTGTGCGAAAGCACCATAAGTCTTCCGGCAAAGAGGATAAACTGAGGCACATGAAAGACTTCGAAAAGAGACAGAAGGTCACGGGCAAGGTGACCAGCATCACCAAGTACGGTCTGTTCATCTTGATCGATGATTCGGATGTCAGCGGGCTGTGCCATCATTCAGAGCTCTCAGACACCAAGCAGGGTGACGTTCAAGTCGCGCTGCAAGGCTTCCGGGTAGGGGATACTGTCAAAGCTGTGATTTTGTGGATAAATGAAGAAACGAAGAAGGTTTCACTTGGTCTCAAGCCATCTTATTTCACGGCTGAGGACTATGAAACGGCGGATACCCCTGATGACCAGCTCGAGGCATCAAAGGAAGCAGGTGAGAGTGAGGATGAGGATGAGAACACGACCTCCTGGGCAGGAATAGGCGAAGGAGGAAAAACCGACATGGATGAAGACGGGGCTGCGAGCTTCCTAGGATTTGACGATGTAGCTGAAGAAGAGGCTGAAAGTGAAGATGATGTCCGTATCCCCATTTGGTCGTTATTGTCGGATACTTATCGTGCCTCAGGTCATCATTCTTAGCGGCGATCATGGCTCTAAGTCTTCAGCGGCCCCAGCCAAGAAGTCAAATCCTGCAACTACTTCTGCACCAACACTCCAATTATCTGGAGGATTCCAATGGTCTCACACTGTGGATGACGAGGCGGAGGAAGATGCACCAGCGAACGAATCTGATGTTGAAAGTGAAGCGTCCGATAGCCATCCGAGAAAGAAGAAGAAACGGGGCCACCAAATAGAGGAAGATCTCACGCTGGCTATGCAAGAACGTACTCCAGAATCCGTTGCAGATTTTGAACGGCTCTTACTCGGCTCCCCTAATTCGTCCTTCCTATGGATTCAATTTATGTCCTTTTACTTGCAACTGTCAGATGTCGACAATGCGCGAGAAATTGCGAAGCGAGCACTGAAGGTTATCAATTTCAGAGAGGAACAGGAGAAGATGAACGTGTGGATCGCTCTTCTCAACTTGGAGAACACTACTGGCACCGAGGAAAGCCTAGAGAAGACCTTTCAAGACGCTACACGAGCGAATGATTCGAAGGCTATACATCTGCGTATGGCTACTATCTTCGACGAGAGTGGCAAGCCAGAGAAAGCGGAAGATATGCATAAGCGTGCCGTCAAGAAGTTCAACGAGAGTACAACAGTATGGACATCTTTCGGTCATCACTACATGTCGCAGGGCAAGCTGGACGAGGCACGTGAACTCCTTCCGCGCAGCTTGAAGAGCCTTGAAAAGCGAAAGCACATCGAGACTATCCTCAAATTCGCGCAAATGGAATACGAACTGGGGGAGCCAGAACGTGGCAAGACCTTGTTCGAAGCTATTGTCGACTCACATCCTAAGCGCCTGGACCTCTGGTTTGTGTACGTCGATATGGAGGCCAAGCAAGGCGATCTGCAGACGGTCCGGAAGCTGTTTGATCGTATGCTTGCGCTCAAGCTGAACACGTTCAAGGCCAAGTCTGTGTTCAAGAAGTGGCTAGAGTTAGAGAAGCGGCTTGGCGATGAGGAGGGCCAAGAGCACGTGAAGGCACGGGCGGTTGAGTGGATGCAAAACAACTCGTGATTCAAGATCGGTATCATATGCACAGGGCTAATGCAGGCTATGATACCCAGAGCGGTACAGAGTGACCTAAAGGGAGACATCCAGATATTAAACTGAGATGGAAAGAAGCAGGACCAATAAGAAACAAAGAACATGAACGAACGGGTATATAAATGAGATTGCACGAAATAACGTAGAAGTGGTGATCCCGCAAGGAATGGACGACATCCGCATCGAAGTCATGATATAATTACAGGTGAGGATATCAGGGAAGAGATTTAAACAAGCTTATGTTCGCAACGTGTGCGTGCGGTAAGGGTCGGCGTCGAAGTCATTGCTCATCGGCCTGCTTGCAAGTCTTCGTTGCCAGTCGTCAAGTTCGTGAGAGAGGGATTCCAAGGCGTGGGCGTTCTCGGAGCTTGATGCACTGTCATGGTGCGATGCCGTGGACAATGGGCGATCGCCTGTGGCAGAATATGTCTGGTCATCAAGAAGAAGGCCAATCTTGTGATGAAGCATTTCGTTCTCACGCTTGAGGGTAGTGTTCTCCCGCGTAAGCTGCTCCGCCATTGTCTCTTGATGGCCACCACGCGAAACCTCCAAAGACGCCCTCAAACGGTCAATCTCCACCTCTAATTCTTCATTCATTGTTAAGCGATTGTCGCATTCGCGCTGAGAGGCCACAAGCCTGTCACGGTACTGATCGAGTTCAACTTGAATGGCATCAAGACGACGTTGAAGGTCTTGATTTTCGCTCGCGATGCGGTGCGAAGTTCGCTGGGACTCAAGCAGTTGAAGCTTGAGGGTTTCATTTTGGCCATCGTCGGAAAGTGGTGTACTCCGACCGTTGGCGGCGCGTGTTCGAGCGCCTGCAACGCCTCCTGACACGCCACGAGACGCATCCAGCTCAGCTTGGAGACTAGCGCTGATATTCTTCTCCTTAGCGACCTGATCTTTGAGACGGCGGAGCATCTTCTCAGTCCCCCTGTATAGTAGTCAGAAACGAGTTGAACCTGACATGGTGCGGGACTTACTTCACATAGTGAACCGCAATTGAATAGTCATGCTCAAGCTGACCTAGCCTAGTCTGCAGTTCCCGAGTCTGCTGTTCAGCCTCGGCCTGTTTCCGCTGCGCCTGGATCAACCGGCCTTCAGCGCTTCCAGGCGGGCTCCCCTCCTCGTCCGACCCGCGCACGGTCGGGCTCTGAGTCGAGCGCAGACGATCGAGCTGACGGGACAAGGTGGCTGCTTGAGTCTCTGCGTCATCCTTTCTTTGACGCGTCTGGCGGAGGCTGCGCTCAGCATCTTCGTGCATTCGGACCCGCTCTGCAAGGCGATTCTCCAGATCCCGAATGCGAGCCTCGACGGAACTGTCCGTCTTCCCATTCAGGACATCCTCCTCGATGGCGATACCGTTGTCGGCAAGGTAGCTTCGGAGCATACCAGTACGGACGTCTGCCTCAGCAGCCTGGCGAGAGCGGTCGAGTAGCGCCGCATCCTTTTCAGCGAGCTGAGAGCGAAGGTACCCTCCATCCTCCACAGCCCTGGTCAACTGAGAGCGCAAAGAGTCGAGCTGAGAACGGAGAGCCATCTGCTCCGAACTAACCGCAAGCTCCCTCTTCCTATGATCGGCCAAGCTCGTCTGGACTTCGTCAACCCGCTTGCCCGCCTCCTTGAGCATATTCCGCAAGCTAGCCGCCTCCATCTCCATAACCCTGATTCGCTCCGCGTCGCCCTCTGCGTTATTCTCCCCAACAGCCTCCATACGGCTCTTCTGGGAATCGAGCAGTTCGCCCAACTTACCAGTGGTGAACGCCCGCAGGGCATCCGCTTCTTCCCGGGACTTGGCCCAGCCATTCTCGGCATCTTCAAGCCGTTTCGTCGCAAGTTCGTTCTCCGATTCCTTGGCTTCATACTCCGAGCGAATATGAGCAAGCTCGCTTTCGAGGATAGCGACCTGATCGTTAGCCCTAGCAAGCTGATCTTGAGTCTCAGCGTCCCTACTTCCAGCAGCCTCAAGGGCGAACTGCGCCTGCTCCAAAGCCTGCCTATGCTGATCCTGTTCGTTCCTAAGATCCTCGAGCTGGTCAAGCAACCGCGAGTGGTCCATCTCCCTCTGTTGAAGCTGGGCACTCAGCCCAACAACTTTATCAGAATGGTCCCGCAGCTGGGCGTCGACCGTCGCATGCCTCGACTGGAGGTCCAAGTGTTCCCTCCCGATCCTCGCATGACTCTCTTCGGCCTCTTCGGCCCTTCTAGCCGCTTCCTCAGCACGCGCCTCCGCTTGCTCCCTCAGCCGTTTATGCGTCTCCGCCTGCTGGCTCACCTCCGCCAGTTTCCGCTCGACCATCACTCGCTCCGCCTCGAGCTGAGCAACATCTATCTCCAACTGGGCAGCCCGATCCCTCTCCACCCTCGCGAGTTCGGTGGGGCTTCCAGCCTCGTGCGCTCCGAGCTTAGCACGATAATACGCCGTTTCCTGTAGAGCGGCCGTTTGCTCCCTTTCGGCTTGTGCGACCCTGTCGCTCGCTTTGAGGGCAGCATCAACGAGCGCTTGCTGCATACGCGCTTTCTCCTGCTTGAGAGTCCACATCTCTTGCCAGAGAGACGCTTGTGCTTGGTCTTGGTCTTGATCTGGAGAACCGCGGGTTTCCGGAGGGGAAACGTCCTCGGATGCGGCGGTAGGGGGGGGGACGAACCCGGCTAGCATAGCGCGTTCTACGACTTGGCGATACCACGCTTCTCGCCTGCGAAGGGATTCTAGCTCCTTGGAATCCTGGACAACAGGTGAGGGTGTGGGCGCAAGCGCGGGACTTGCGGCAGGGGCGGTGGTTGGGGCGGGGGCGGGAGCAGGTGTGACGGGGGACAAAGGCCTCTGAGTCTGGGGAGTCGCAGCCCTCATACTAGTCCTCACTTCCGGGCTCGAACTCCTCATACCCGGGAGGACGCTCCTCGCTGTCGCTGTCGCCGTAGCTGCGGCTGCAGCAGCTGCACCCGCGCCGCCCGTTGTAGGCGTAGGAGAACGCGCAAGGGTAGGAGTGACGCTCCTCCCCGAAAGGGCGAGGATAGACTGCTGAGCAAGCTGAGGGGAAGCCTGAGTTGGCTGACCGGGTTGGGCAGCAGACTGAGAGGGACTAGCCGTTCGCTGGACGAGCGTTGCGCTCACTGTTGCTGCTGCTTGGGGCGAGACGGCGCGTATGAGGTCTGACCTGAACTTCTGTTGCTGGGGCTGTTGCTGGGACTGAGGCGGCTGCTGGGCCTGAGGCTGGGGCTGGCCAAACTGCTGAGGCTGAGCTGGCTGGGGAAGGTACGCCCCCGCTCCTTCGGGTGACATAGCTCGCATGTACTGTCTCGCGTTCGCATTCCCGTTGGCACTGCCGTTCTCCGCGTTGGCGTTGGCATTGCGGTTCCCGTTCGCATTCAGATTCGGGCTGCCGGTGCCAGCATTAAAGCTCCCTCCTCTGCCCAGCTGTCCCAAAACGCTCCCCTGCAAGACAGGCAGCGCGCTCCTCCCAGGTCTAGGGCTCTCCACCCCCACCCCCACCCCGCCTAGCCCCATGCCCGCGTCTTCCGGACTCTTACTCCTCCCCAGATCAACCCCAACCCTGGCCGCATACCCCGGCGGCGCCTGACTAGCCAACGGTGGGAAACTCGTCGGCTGCGCCACAGCCAGAGGCCTTCCATTCGCCCCCACCGGCATAACAGGGATATTCGGCGGCTTGGTCGGGTCCGGGTACTTAATGTGTTTCGTATCCAGAACATGGATTATATCCGGCTGGGAGGACTTGGGGGAAGTGGTGAATTGGGTTGGGTCGGAAGGAGAGGGAGTGAGTGCGCTGGATTCACCACCTAGGACGAAAACGCGTTGTCCGAAGGAGGCCATTGCGTGCCCTGATCGGCCGGTAGGGGCGGGACCCATGTTCTGGAAGATGAACCATCGGGATGCTGCGAGCGAGCGAGCGCGTTAGCGTGAGCAGCGAGCAGCGTGGGGAGTGAGAGTGGGGAGGGGAAGTGGGAAGGACATACTGCTAATCTTAAAAGCGGCCAAATCGTCCAAATCCTTCCCATTCACACCCCTCCCTCCAAAAACATACATCACATCATCCACAAGCGCACAGGCGTGACCTTCTCTCGGGCTGGGGATGTATCCTGGAGCGGAGGGAGCGCAGAGTGTCAGAAGCGGGGCTTGGGACGGAAGTGGGAAGTGGGAAGTGGGAAGTGGGAAGTGGGAAGTGGGAAGTGGGAAGTGGGAAGTGGGAAGTGGGAAGTGGGAAGTGGGAAGTGGGAAGTGGGAAGTGGGAAGTGGGAAGTGGGAAGTGGGAAGGAAGAAGGGAGGGAACGCACCAATAGTCTTCACCTCCTCCCACCTCCTAATCCTAACATCAAACGCCCACACATCATTATAATGAAACCCGCCGTCCGTTCCTCCGAACAAGTACACTTTTTGCCCAAAGACGACCATACAGTGGCCGGTTCTTGCCGCTGGGCCTGGGGGGGACTGGGCTTGGGGGTCGGGGGAGTCGGGTTGTGCGAGCGCGTTGGCGAGGGAGGATGCGTTAGCGAGAGTGTTAGCGGCGTTGAGCGCGTTGGCGTTAGCAGGAGAGTTGGGAGGGAGATACAGCGCCTCCCACATCGGTCCAGTCTTCAAAGTATTCAAATCAAAACTCCACAAATCCCCCAAAAACTGCCCGTCCACCTGGCCCCCAAATACCAGGAACTTGCTTTCGCACAGTGCTACGGAGTGCCCGTAGCGGCCGGAGGGGGCGGGGCCAGTCGTTTGCACGCGGTGCCATTCGCGGGTGTCTGGAGGGGAGGGGGTTAGTGTTGTTTTAGAGGAGGGGGGGAGGGAAGTAGTGGGTAGTGGGTAGCGGAGATAGCGGGAGGCGGACGCACTCAGATTAAGCAAATAAAGCATCTCATCCAGCCCATCCCCCTGTTCCTTCTTCGTATCCCCGCCCCAAACGATCAGTACCGAACTAACAAGCGCACTCTTATGCCCCACCCTGGGGCTCGGTACATCCCCCACCGTCTCCACAAGGGTAGCACTGAGCTCGCGGGCGTTTATAGTGTACAGGTCGTTCCGTACTGAATCTGCGACTAGGCCGCCGAAGAGGAATAAGTCGCCCGTTGTACTGCTTGTTAAGGGCAGAGAGTGCCCATAGCGAGGGAAAGGGAGTGGGCTGCGAGCGGGTGGACCGGGAGGAGGGGAGAGGAAGAGAACGAGCTTGGACTCGAGGCGTCTTGCGGTCCAGGGGTAGACGGGGGTGCGGGAGGACGAGGTAGAGGTTGTAGGGGCGGGGGAGGAGGTGGGTCCTCCTCCCCCTCCTGCTCCTCCTGCGCCTGGATTGACGTTGACGTTGGCGGTGGGTGGGGGGACTGCGCCGCTTGTGCTGGGGATAACGACAGAGGAAGGCCCGGAAGAGAGGGGAGCAGAAGATTGACGTGCAGGATAGGGACGTCTACTCCTCAGCCATCAGCTGCGAACAAAACAACAAAGCGAAAATAGCAAGAAGCAAGACGTACGCAGTCCCGTTCCCCGTGGCATTCCCATTGTTCGTGGGAGTCCCGTTCTGCCTAGCGCCCCTTTCGCTTTTCATAATCGCCGCCGCTTGCCTCTCCTTCTCTGCCAAGCTCCTCTCCCTCTCCCTTTCGCGTTCCCTGGCATTATCCCCCTGCCCCTGCTGAGCCTGAGCCTGTGACTTCTCCTCACTCGCCTGCCTTCTTCTGGAAAAGAACGACATCCTCCTCTCTCTCTCTGGAGGTGGGGAAGGGAAGGAGAATGGGGAGTCGTGGTCGATAGGAGGTTGATGTGACTGAGACTGAGGAAGGGGAAGAGGGGAAGAGGGGCGCTTGTGCGCTTCCCTTGTCTTGTTCCTGAATAAGCCCGTTGCGAGGATGATGTGTAGAGGGTGAGATGAGGTGGATGGGAGTTAGTGGTGAGCGGTGAGATGATGTGAGTGAGTGAAAGGGGTGAGGCGGTGCAGTGCACTGTTTAACAGGGGCTACTGATAGTAAAGTAACAATCGACAATAAGCACTCAAAGGGAGGGACAAGTAGAGTGAGTGGTGAGTGAGTGAGTAAGTGTGGCGCAGGGATAACAGCACATAACGCATAACACGTAACACGAGGCAGAGAAGCATAAGGGAAGCATAAGGGAAAGCAACTTCATGAGGGATATACCACACCACTCTGTTACTCTCATTCAACAGGCTTGTCCCCTCCTACGGTATCACATCATACACCCACCCAATCCACATATCATCCACACTAACATCGTATCATCCCTGCATATCATCCACCTATCCAACGCATCACCATCCCACAGTCCCTAGCAACCACTGCTCCCGAAAACGGCAACAGAAGCAACTTTCCTTATATAGTAATCCACTCTGATCCCGGTTTCATACCAGCCAGGGTGACGGGTCGCAGGTCGCAGGTCGCAGGGCGCAGGGTACAGGGTTAGAGGCGCGCGATTCTCATGTACATGTACAGTACATACAGTTCTTCCTACATCTTTAGGGCAGGCACACCTCCACAGTATTTCAAACCCTTTGCACCACCATCGAAGGCTCATCTCCCACCACACACCAGGAAAAGTCAGAAACGCGTAAGTCTAGTCGAGACTCTCTAAGCCTACGCTTATAGTTGGAGTCGTCGTCTTACTTGCGCGTCTCTTCCTTTCCCCTCCTCTTCCCTTTCCCTTCCCTCTGCTCAAATTTAGCTTTTCGTTAGCTACTGCACCGCACCTCTCCGCTCTCCCCTCTCTGCTCTCTGCGCTACTTTGGACGGTCTCTGAGAGCAACACACGATCCCAGCTGGACAGCTCAGCTCCAGTACTGATCCCTTCTCCATCTGTAATGGTGTGTTCCCTCAGCAGACTCTCCACGTGGTTCCACCACCGCTTGTCTTCCTCTCTAGTCTATTGCAGTTCTCTGACAACTACACACAATGCCAGCCGGAGTGCTCGGCACCTGCACTGCAGTACTGATTCTCCCAATCTGTGATCGTGTGTCCCTCAGCAGACCCTAGACTCCTACGTGCATCTGTGCATCTGACTATGATTCCGGGTACGGACCGGAAGAAGTCGTCAACGCGCGAACCGAGCTGAGGACGCTTCTAAGTTTATTAGTGCGCTCCGCCTTCCTCTGTTTCGCTCGCGCGTCCCACTTCTTCCCCCCCTTCCCAACGCTTGTACAGCTGTTGCTGCTATCTGTTGCACCTTATCTCTCCGCCTCTACGCTCTCTTGGCCCGTTCTGGAGGGTATCTGGTGGCGACACGCGATCCCAGCTGGAGGCTCAGCACTGTGGGTGCTGATTCGTTCTCCATCTGTTAATGGTGTGTAACATCAGCCGATCGTCCACTTTCTCTCCCCGTCTCCCACACGTGCTATCCGGCTTTTGGACCTTCCGCTTCTGCCTATGGGTACAGAAGAAATCGTAAATGCGCGAGCTGAGATGAAGGATGCACTAAGTTCGCTCTTTTGGAAGTGCGCTTTCTTCGCTCGCGCGTCTCGATGCCTTCCCCTCCCCTTCGCCTTCGCCTTCCCTCCCTCTGCTCAACCCTAGCTAATCCTCCAGCTGCTGCACCGCACCTCTCGGCTCTCTGCGCTCCTGCGCTCCTGGGTCCTTTGGACTTTTGGACGGTCTCTGACTGCGACACGCGATCCCTGGAACGTTCAGCCTCTGCTGATGACAGGAACCATGCCAGGTGTGTCGCATCAGCCTATTGTCCACTTCCTCGCTGTCTCCCTACACGTGCTATCCGGATTCTGGATCTTCTGCTAGTGGTGTGGAAGAAGTTGTAAACGCGCGAGCTGGATGATGCCGATACTTTGAGCTCGCTCTTAGTATGTCGCATTCTCTTCTTCGCTCGCGCGTCTCGACTTCTTCCCTTCCCTCCCTCTCAACCCTAGCTATCCCCCCGGCTGCTGCACCGCACTTCTCTGCTCTCTGCGCTCCTGCGCTCCTTTTGGACGGTATCTGACTGCGACACACGATCCCAGCTGGACAGCTCAGCATCCACAGTACTGATTCGTTCTCGTCTGTGGATCGTGTGTCACCTCAGCGGACCCTCCTCTCGCGGGTGTCATCCTACTTGGGTTCTCTTATCCCCATGCCCGCCGACAGTTTTTATGCTAGTCTTTGATAGCCACACACGAGGCTTACTGGGGGATCTGCTATGTTGGGTCATGTGTGACATCAGACGACCTAGTTGCTGCGACCTAGTTCCTCATTTCTCCCATTTCCTCCAGCAGCACCCAACCAGCTTGTCTGAGCAGTGTTTAGCAGGGCTACGCAGCTCGTTAGGTGGCTGAAGTGTTTATGACATAGATGCTATACGTGCGATGAGGGGAGTACGTCACATTTTGTGCGCAGGGGTGATATTTTTCTTTTTGGTTTTGTAAATGTGTCATATGCACGATATCTAATGTCGGGGAGTCCCGCGTTCCTTTATAAATGTTTGTCGTGTAATATAGTCTTTAATAACCGGTATAATCGTGTTTTATGTCGGTGTTACCAAAATTTAGTGCACATATCGACCCTTACTTTTCTCTCCCTCCTGCTGTAAACGACATGCCTGTGCCCACCAGACCTCGGTCGCCCTCTCCCTCTCCTCAACACAAGAAGCTCAAGTTCACTCCTGTAGCACTATACGGTATCCTCCCACTAGGCAACTACCTCGGTCGTCCCTCTCTTCCCTGCTCACTCGGCACACTCCGTCGTCTACCAGACGAGCTCATCCTCTACCTCTTCTCCCTCTTCTCACCGTCCGACTTGCTCTCTCTTTCCGCCGTATCAAAGGCATGTTTCGCCTTCGCACTACATGAGCCTCTCTGGAAGGAACACTACGTCTCTCTCTCGGAGGGGAAACTCGGGCGCTGGCAGGGCACTTGGCGGAAAACGTTCTTAACGCGCTTGGGGCATGCACCTGACCTTCCCATCTGGCCAACAGACGGCATAAGCTGCAGAGGGATCTTCTCCGACGTCCTCTACCAGCCTCAGTTATGCGCTTCTCTCCCGTTGCACCACTACTTCCCCAGCAAGAAACAGAACATCCCTCGCAGACCTTACACCTCCCTCTCACCCGCAGAGTTCGCAGCGCACTACGCCGCACCAGGGGAACCCGTGATCCTCACCGGCGCCCTAGAGACCTGGGCCGCATACACCCACCCTTCCCACAAATGGTCCCTCTCTTCCCTGGCAAACCGGTTCCCCTCTGTAAGGCTGCAGGCCGAAGCCCTCTCATGCACGTTCGCGGAATACGAGCGATACGCCTCCAACTGCGCGGGGGAGGACACCCCGCTGTACATGTTCGACTCGGGGTTTGTGGAGAGCGCGTCGGGGATGGGGGAGGAGTACAAACCGTTCGAGGTGTTTGGAGAGGACTTGTTTGACCTCTTCGGCTCTGAACGGCCGGATTATCGCTGGCTTGTGTGTTTCCCCCCCTCTCCTCTCACCCAATACTAATGCTAATGCGGTTCGGACACAGATCGCCGGTCCAGCCCATTCAGGCTCCACGTTCCACCTCGATCCAAACTCCACAAGCGCATGGAACGCCTCTCTCAAAGGGACAAAAGCGTGGGTCTTCTTCCCTCCCCAATGCACCCCCCCTGGGGTATACGTGAGCCCCGACGAAGGGGAGGTGACGGGCCCCGTGGGGGTAGGGGAATGGGTAGAAGCGTATTTGAAAGAAGGGTGGAGGAGGTTTGGGCCCCAGGGCAGGGAGGGCGCGGGGCTGATGCGTATAGGCCTGCAGAGAGAGGGGGATGTGGTATACGTGTATGCTCCCCTCCCTTCCCCTGCTTGTACTTTGGCCCGGGCTAACGGAACGCAGACCAAGCGGCTGGTGGCACCTGGTCGTCAACCTCACCCCGTGCATTGCCGTTACACAAAACTTCGTATCCCAGCACGAGCTGCACAAGGTCCTAAAGTTCATGAGGGACAAGCCGGGCCAAGTGTCGGGGTTCAAGGACCCAAAGAGAAGAGACGAGTGCTGCGAGGGGGAGGAGGATGAGAGTGGGGACGCGTACCGCGCGGGGTTGTATGGGAGGTTTGTAAACCTGCTTGAGGAGAACGAGCCGGGTTTGCTGAGGGAAGCGTTGGCCAAACTGGGCCCGGTTCCTGTTGGTAGGGAAGGGGAAGGGGAAGGCAGCAAGGTGAGGGAGAGGAAGGAAAGGGTCGTGCAGAAGGAGAAGGAGAAAGAGCAGGGGAGTTTTAGGTTCGATTTCGAGCTGGACTTTGAGCTGGAAGAGGAGGAAGTTGGCTACCAGTGACTGGGCTTGGTCGTTTGCTGGTTCGATTGGGAGCCCCTACTCAGTTCTGTATATCATATACTCTCATCTGATATCAGTCTGACCTTGCATTTCATCCATGTGTACGTCATCGACTCTACTAAAACTAACTAATTAGTCGGGAATTTAGGTTAGGATGCCTGTCACATGACCGACAGCACTGAGCTGCACAAAGTGGACGGCCTATCAACCCCTTCCTCCCTTCCGTGTACCACGCAGCCTGGACATGCGCTCTCCATAACATACCAGCGTACACGCTGACAGACCAGCGCTCGGTTTGCTAGCGCTCTCGTCACCCGCTTGTCTCATTTACTGATCTTGTCTGTCCCTCTCTCGGGCACGTCCTCCAAGCGGTAGTCCTCATCCTATCTTACGATCTTCTGCTGATGCGCTCGCTCCAAAACAGCACTGTGCTAGTACCAGAAATCTGGGTTTGCGCCTTGAGCCGGGCACAAGTCGGATTGGAGCTGGCTCTCCGAACCCGACCCAGTCGGTCATCCGCTCCTCTGATCCGACCGTGCCAAAAATATTACAAGCTAGTCAGCGGCCCAAGCATGCGGCCCGAATCGGAGAAACTATGGATACTACTCGTATCAACGAACATCGATATCCCGGAGGTATTGCTGCACAAGATCGCTTTGCTACAATTTATCGTTGCTTTGCTCGTCTCCAAGCCCACGCTCGGGGTTGGTTCTTCCGAGTCCGTCGGCCCTCTGAAAACTCAGCTTTTGGTCCTTTTGTTGGATTCTAATGCGAAAGCTGATTTCCGCTGGTGGTGTCCTCGTTCCGCCCAGTACACGTATTGCACCATTCGCTCATCAACTCGGAACATCCTCGTTCAACGTACAGCATACAACGTACAGCCGGCTGTGCTCTCCATGCACACGACCATTCTCTGATACGCACCGCTCTTCGCAATCCGTGACTCCTCGTCCGGTGTACAAGGGCAGTTCCCAGAATAGCCCGTCGACACCTTCAGCTCTTTGTATGGAGAAGGATTCCAGTTCCGGCTGATCGGTCAGAAAGCAGAGCAGTGCACGCACATCCTCATGGGTTCTGAATCCCTTGTCTTTCCCAGGCCATCTCTACTTCAGTGCGTCATGCGGGCGGCAAGGTCTTCTCGCTGACTGCGAGCGGAAGAGCGGCCGAGTTTGTTCCCCACTAGTTTTCTCTGTGCCTGGGTTGGGCTTCTCGTGTTTTGCCAGGAGGGAGGGCCGTGATGCCCGGAGTTCTGCGTTCGGAACAGTTGATGCGCTCGCAGCATCCTCGAGATGAGCTGTGAGTCGGACGAGGTATAAATGTACGGCCTTTGCGGAACAGCATACAACCAACGGACAAGTTTACATGGCCTTCCCAGTCGTCTTCCTCTCCCTGTTCGTGGGGCTCGTCTCTGCCCTCCCGTCCGGAAGAGCCGACCTCGACTCTTGCCTCTCTTCCTCCGGCGCGTCGTTCGTCACTTCCTCCTCTTCCAGCTGGTCGAGCGCTATCGCAGCCTTCAACCTGCGATACACCTACCAGCCAGCGGCAGTCGTCTACCCCTCAACCTCCGCAGAGGCAAGTGCGGCTGTTCAGTGCGCGGCTGACGCCGGAGTCCCCGTCTCCGCACGTAGTGGTGGGCACAGTTACGCCGCCTACGGCCTGGGCGGAGCAGACGGCTTCCTCGTCGTCGACCTGTCCAACTTCAACACCGTATCCCTCGACACCTCTTCGGGGCATGCGATCGTCGGCACTGGCCTGCGCCTGGGGGAGGTAGGGACACAGCTGTACAACCAAGGCCAGCGGGCGCTGCCCCCACGGGACATGCCCCTACGTCGGTGTGGGCGGTCACGCCGGTTTCGGAGGATACGGTTTCCAGTCCCGCGAATGGGGGCTCACTCTTGACCGGATGATCGGCGCCGAGCTCGTCCTTGCTAACGGCACAGTCGTCTCCGTCAGTGCGGACTCGTATCCGGATATCTTCTGGGCCATAAGGGGCAGCGCGCCCTCCTTTGGCGTCGCGCTCAGCTACACGTTCTCTACCCTCACCGCACCGGAAACGATCAGCTACTTCACCTACGCCTTCTCGGCTCCTGCTGCTCAGGCACTCCTCGCCCTCCAAACCTATGGCGAGAACGCCGACTCAAAGATAGGGATGGAGATGGTCATCGGCTCGGACGGGTGGTCCTACACCGGCGCGTACATCGGTTCCTCCACCGACCTGGACACGGCCCTCGGCCCCCTGCTCAATACGCTCCCAGAACCGTCAACCCAGAGCGTGCAGGAACTGGGCTGGCTGGACTACCTCATTGCCGTAGGTGGGTCTGGGACGCTGAGCACCAGCGCGCCAGATGTCACGGATACGTTTTACGCCAAGTCTGCTATTGTGCCTTCTACTGGGCTGCTCAGTAACGCAGACGCAGAGGCGTTCATCGACTACCTCAACACCCAGGGCCCGGGGAGCAACACCAACTGGTTTGTCGAGGTGGAGCTGTACGGCGGTGCGCAGAGTTCGATCTGTCAGCACCCGGAGGACTCGACGGCCTATGGGAACCGGCAGGGCCTGCTCACTTTCCAGCTCTACGCTTCGTCCTCGAACTTCCTCCCGCCCTATCCGGACGAGGGATTCACATTCGTCGACGGGATGTTCAACGCTCTGGCGCAAAACAGGACTGTGCCGCTGGACTATTACCCGAATTATGTGGATGATAGGCTTACGGATAGCCAGTGGCACTCGGCATACTATGGGACGAACTACCAGAGGCTGTTGACGATCAAGCAGGAGGTGGATTCTAATGGAGTGTTTGCATACCCGCAAGCTATTGGCAAGTAGGTGATCTTATTTTTATGAACACTTCTGGACTCTTCACTGTTTGCTGCAACATGTGCAATTATTACAAAGAAGAATAATGTCACCTGGCCAAATATTCGTTCCTGCTGATAATAATTACAGTGATTCAATCACATGTCGTGCTGTGCCTGTTATCCACATTATTGCCTCGTGTATATGTTCAATCGGCACCAAATATGTCAAAAGTGAAGCGGGAAAGCGGAATAATCATCCATTCCTGGTTATCATCCTTCAATTCCCCGACCCTCTCATAACAACATACCTACTCAGCACTCACAAAGTGCTTGAATGTTCTCTGATATATTTTGTGACAACGGTTGACTCGCATCGTATTTGTATAAGAAAGAGGAAGAATCGCATCGCCCCCGGTTGAAGGACTACTGAAGGACCGCGTTGATTGGAACAGGAACGTCGATCGATATCCTGTGGCGACACTGAGCATACCACCAGCAACTTATATCTTTCCAACAGCGTCTCCACCCTCAGCCGGTATATCCCCCATGTACAGTACAGGATTCGTCTACGCTCTCTTCGACTTTGTGGCTTCGGACGAGGATGAGATCTCATTCCGCGCAGGGGAGAGGATCGACGTGCTCGACAAGGACGACGAGTTCGCCGATGGATGGTGGCGTGTACGTCACTGTTCTCAGCAGTTGTCAGTGCTTACAGGCTGATGTGAGTGCAGGGCCGAAATCGAGCAGGCGACGTAGGGATCTTCCCTGTCAATCATACCTCGCCCTACAAAGCGGACGTGCCCGTAGGCCTGCGTCCAGCAACAAGTGTGCGCAAAGCCGGGCACGGCTCCCAGACTCCCGGTAGCAACAACAGCAACGGTGGGAGATACGGGCGTGCGCGGTCTGCCGAGTTGGCTGAGGAGGAAGGCACCAGGTCGAGTTGCCCGACAGGGCATATGCATGCGCGGCCCAAGCTCCAGAGGGCTAACACGCCCTCGCGCATGAGCTTGCCGACGTTCTCCTCCCCTTCAGCCTCACTGGCATTGCCGCATCCACGGCCTCTCACACCAGTAACGGGAAACGGCACCGACACGGGTACATTGCTCCCTATGCCCTCCCCACCGTGGGTCTACCCGCATCCGATGGCATCACCCGCCATCTCAGCCGTGTCCGGACTGCATACCCCTCTCTCACCCGGAACGCCGAAGTCGCCTAGTACGATGACGCTCGCCAGTTTGCCGCTGTCACCAGCGTCCTCCAGCACCACGGGCGGAGTATTCCCAAGCGACTTTATCGCTGTCCCTCCCTCGCCCCCACATGCACATCCACCTCTAGCGAGCCCAGCAAGTGCAGGGACAGCGACTCCCTCCCATCCGCAACCGATGACCCTTCCCAACCCTATCCCCATCCCGGCCTCAAGCCCAAGGCCCATGTCAGTCCAGATCCCGCTGCAGCACCCAGGCCCGCTGCTCTCCCCTCCCATGGGTAGCCCATTCTCCGGCGTACCCACTCCCCCCCGTCTTTCCCCTGCCCTCCCCGTCACCCCACCCCACCTCCCCCCTCCCGAACCCTTCCCCCTTGCTGCGGAGCCCGAGCACTTGAAGACGATCAACCACCCCGGTATCCCCTCGTCCTGGACAACGGACTACGTCGTCTCACACCTCTCTAAGCGGGGGTTTGACAGCTCCGTCCAATCCGCAATGCTGGCGCACGATATCTCCGGCGACGTGCTCTTGTCGCTAGACCTGAGGGTGATGAAAGAAGAGCTGGGGATCTTAGCGTATGGGAAGCGGGTGAGGTTGGAGAAGGTAGTTGGGGAGCTAAGGAGGCTAGAGGAGAGAGTAGAGGAGAGAGAGGAGTGCGTGAGATGGGAAGGACTTAGAGAGGAAGCGGGTAGGCGGAGTCGGGAGAGTGCAGAGAGAGCGCCGGAAATGCATGGGTTGGATCTGGCAGCACAGAGTGCTGAGCTGAACAGGACAAGCCTCCTCTTGCCAGAAGGACCGCCGCCTTATACGCTTGGATTGGGATAGGGGCTCGGGAAGGATTCGCATGAACTTTAAGCTTCTGAAGAATAACGGCCCCTGTCTTTGTTGGCTTGGAAGGGGATGGATACGCACGATGAAGTACTGGCAATATGATTCTTTTTTTTTACTGACAATGTTTGGATTGGTGGATGTTATAGCATAGGTACCTGGACTGGCTATACGTCTTGCAATTCACGACTCTCATGACTTGGGTTGGAGAGGCACCGAGTTCATATATACCGGATATCCTTCGGCGCCCGCAAGTTCGGCCTGGTGCACAAAATATTGGACGGCAAGTGCCGGGATCACGTGTGGGCACAACACTCTCTGAAATTCTATTCGATACAGTGCTGGTGATCATCCAAGGGATTCATCCTTACTACGGTGCGTTCGATGTGATCCCACCGATGACTTGCGATATGCCCCACGTCTTGGGGGGGACTTACTCTCCGAGATGACTTCTGGAAGTGAGGAACCATGAGAAGATCAACCTGAGAGCTCGTCGTCATCAGTGGATGTCGGGATTCAACCAGCCGATGGTCGAAAATGAGCGCTTCTGTAGCAGATGGTCCTTGAAGTTTGTGCTATCCACCATTTTGGCTGCTGGTGTAAATCACTTCTCAAGGGCAATGAGTCTGCAAAAGTAACTGTTATTCTGCGTAATCATGCTTATTGCATTTGCTCTTTTTTAGTGTGTCATATGTCCCATGTGTACAACCTATTAAGAAGTATAATTACATCTGATCAACACATCAAAAGAAACAAAGTCCCCCTCTTTGAACGAGTACTTCAAATTCGGCCCAGAAGCTAATGACTCGCCAGATGCGATATCGAAATCCAATCGACACGCCTAGCGCTTTGCCGACGGTGGAAACGCTTGGATCTGGAACCCTCAAGAGTGATTTCCAACACAATCAAGTGAAATCAAACCCGTATCAAATTGGCGCCTTGATGCTTTGAATGGCTTATCTATGCAGTGTGGGGATATGAATTACAGCAGCCATACCCCATGATGGTGGGAAAATAGAAATACGTAACAAAGGGACCGCCGATGTGCCTGATTATAGTTTTGCCTTAATTCATTTCGCTGTTGCGTACAGGGGACACCGTCTTACCCATTTGTCTGTCCGTCCTCGACGGCTTGTCACCCATATAGCCTGTACAATCCGACAACAACAATGACCATTCAAGACCAGCCGACCCACCGCATCTGCACTGCGTTCAATGGCATCCCCGTCGATCGGTTTCGGGAGAGCGCATTCGAGGGCGTTGATGTGGGGGTTGCCCCGGATGAGCGTTTTGCCGTCAGCGTCGGGGACGGGTCATCATTCCTTCGCCCGAGTTGACCGCTCATATGCAAAGGGAGCATCTCCGGGTGGTCATATAACATCCCTGGCTGGGCGTCCTGCCATCCCCAACTGTTTTATCAACTCGAGCGCCAGGCCCTTCTATACCACCGGTCGACTAGCTAGCCAATCAATACCAACATCGAATATGGGATTATCTACTGATGCGCTCGTTATCACCAAGCCCGGGTCGGGATTTGCATTGGAGAAGATCCAGTTAGAGGAAATCGAGAAAGACGAGGTGCTGGTGGAGATGTACGCAAGTGGGATATGTCATACCGATCTTATCGTAGAGCATGGCTTCCTACCTGTTGGAGGGTTTCCCATCGTGGTGGGTCATGAAGGTGCGCCTTCTTCCAGCCTTACTAGATCGAGAACAAATGTTAATGAACATCTGTAGGCAGTGGTATCGTCAAAGGCGTCGGGAGCTCTGTAACCAACGTTGCTCCAGGCGACGGCGTACTCCTCTCCTTCACTTCGTGCGGCACCTGCCGCGCCTGTAAGTCCCACCACACCGCCTACTGCGAGACCTTCCACGCAGTAAACTTCGGTTCCCAGCGACCTGACAAGACCCCTCGAGCAGCGAACGAGCAGGGACGGGTGGAGATGGGCTTCTTTGGCCAGAGCAGCTTTGCGAGGGACTCGGTGGTTTGCGCTGCCAGCTGTGTTAAGGTTGATAGGTTGACGGAGGATGAGATGAGGCTGCTTGCACCTCTCGGGTGCGGTCTTATGACTGGTATGTCTTCTCCCATGGGCCCTTCCCCCAACTAAATTCCTGCCAGGTGCGGGCACGGTAGACAACATCTTCGCCGCGACGGCCCCTGGCTCCATCGCAGTCTTCGGCATGGGCGGCGTAGGCTTTGGGGCCATCTTCGCTGCCAAATCACGCGGTCTCTCACCTATCATCGCGGTAGACATCGACGATTCCCGTCTCGCGCTCGCCCTAGAACTTGGGGCGACGCACACGATCATCGGCAAGCAGGAGAAGGACGTCGTAGGTGCTATCCGGGCGCTGTCGAACGGAGGAGTGAATTACAGCGTTGAGACTACCGCGAATAACACTGTCAAGCTGCAAGCTATCAACTCTGTATACAAGCTTGGAAAAGTGGGGATCGTAGGCACGACAGGGACGGACAAGGTCGAGGTCGAGGTAGATACGATGATCAAGAGCGGTGCGTCTATTATCGGCGTAGCGATGGGCGATGCCTACACATCCGAAGTGAGCGCCTTACCTTCTGTCTGCTGCTAGAAACTTACGAGTACGGGTAGTACCTCCCCAAGCTGGTGGAGGAATACCGTGCTGGCCGGTTCCCGCTCGACAAGCTCACGAAGCACTACAAACCGGAGGAGATTGACACCGCTGTGAAGGAGATGATCTCTGGCCAGACGATCAAGCCGATTATCGTCTGGCGATGAGAGGGCCGTGGTGATATGTAACTGTAGGGTGACTTGATTTGTTATCTGTTGTTTGATCTCTTTGTACTGCCGGGTTGGAGTTAGCCTCGTTCTTTTGGCTGCCAGGAGGCTGTCATTACACTTCCACGTCGAGTACCATTAAGGTACTGCTGTTGCACACGTCCTATGAAGCACCTACAGTGTGTGCAGTTTGGAAATAAATAACATTAATACTACAAGTCATTAGCATGATTCACTACCTGGAGGATCGAAAATAGAACCATAAGACGGTCGTGTATATATGAGCTCATATAGGCTTAAGCTTATGGATGAGTTCTCCGCATGTGAGCCCAGCGCAATCCACGACTGCAGAATGCCGGTACGCGCCCAAAATCCGGCACGCTCCGTATCGGTCACATTCCCCGACAGCGCCTTCGAGCCGAGCCGGATTGCCAGCTTTGGGCGGCGGGTTTGGCCCGGGTGTATTCGTTCGACGTGGGACGTCGATGGACACTTGACGAGGGCCTTGCTGTCTGCTCTGCTTTCTTGGTACAGCGACTGGCGGCTCGTTGCGATCAACGAGACAGTGCTGCCTTTCTCCTGCGTCAGTGCTGGCTCGGGTTTTCCTGAAGAGATAGGCTGCTTCGAGCCGTTCGGCAGCGGCATGATCGGCGACCCCGATGGTCTAGTGCTCCTCAAAGGGCGAGTTGGGGGAACTATCGCTGGCGCTTGCATACTCCGGGTACGAGACGTGGATGGAGGAGGCCCACCGGCTCTCTCAGGATTCACGCTGATAGGGAGATGTCGTTTTGATGCAGGCTTGACAGGCGGCTGTAGAACGGACGACATCGAAGGCAAGGGAGGTGGTGGATGTGACTTGCTTGTGGGTTAACGTTGTGCTGGATGCCTGCAGGAACGAAGTGGGTATACGAGTGATCAACCCGCCGAGACAGATAGCCGTGCTGCCTGATCCGATCCCAGATCGCACTGTGGCAACAAGTGATCGCTGGCCGCTTCAGTCTTGGGGTGGCAGCAGTGGCCATGGTACAGACAGACAGCAACTCCAGCTGTCCTGTAGTGGGTCTGCGCAGGTTGCACATTGACAGTGTAAGCACACGCTACACATCTGGGAGGTGTTGGAGCTCTGGGTTCCGGTGGAGCTGCACTGCCGATGTCGGACTTGCCGTTCTGAGAGCTTTGTCGACTTTGACAGATTAGGGCGATCGGTTACTGGATATGTTAGTATTCCCGTCTTGCCCAAGGAATCAACGATGCGGATAGGATGGGCTAAGAAACTGGGGTTGAAGACATCTCACGACAGGCTTACAAGTTCCTCGCCTTCCGGGTTGAGGTGTTTTGTACAGGTCTTTCGTGAGCTTTCTGATATCTCTGAATCTTGCCTTCCCGAGGAATCAACGATACAGATGCGCTGGGGTAAGAAACTGAGGTTGAGGACATCTCACGACACGATCTTACAAGTTCCTCAACTTCCGAAGTTGAGGTGTTTTGGAAAAGTCGTTCGTGAGCTTTCTGATACCTCAGAATCTTGCCTGTCTCTGCAGCTGCCTGTTTGTCGTTCCTTGATATCTGTGCGAGATCTCCATTCTACGCTTGAGTTACTGGTTATGTTAGTATTCCGGTCATCTTGCCCGAGGAATCCACGACGCAGATAGGCTGGGGTAAGAAACTGAGGTTGAGGACATCTCACGACACACTCGTACAATTCCTCACCTTCCAGTTGAGGTATTTTGGACAAGTCCTTTGTGAGCTTTCTGACACCTCAGAATCTTGCCTGTCTCTGCAGCTGCCTATTTGTCGTCCCTTGATATTTGCGCGAGAGCTACATACTGCTTGATCCATCTGAGCGCTTTGTCCGACGTTGGCAGATTAGGGCACGGCGGATCAGTGACTGAATATGTTGGTACCGGTATTCCCGCCCTCTTGCCCGCAGCCGAGGATCAACGATACAGATAGGTTGGCCATGGGGTAGAGACTGCTGCTGAGGTTGAGGACATCTCACGAGACTCTTACAAGTTCCTCGCCTTCCAGTTGAGGTCAGTCTTGTATAAGTCTTTCGTGAGCTTTCTGATGCCTCAGAATATTGATCTTGCCTGTCGTTTCTTGATATCTGCATGAGATCTATAACTGCGCTTGATCCATTCGTGCTCGTCGGTGGTCGTCACTTTCTTGTCACTCGAGTCCTGCTTGGGCATCTGAGACATTTCGCAAGATTTCTGAAGAGGAAAGGTCCTAATTTCTCGGGTTTATAAGCCACGCAGACACGGTACAGATACTTGACAGACCCACACAAATCACTACCCAAGTCCTCATCCTGTCTGATGTATAACAACTCATCAAACACATGTATTATCTCAATTATCAAGTATAGTACTACAACTATGAATAGAGAGTCCACACCAACCGCTCTCGGACCAGGGCTGAGTCTCACACCCGCATCTGCATCTGCATCTGCATCTGCATCTGTATCCCGACGAGTGTCGCATCCGTGCCAAACTCGAGAAGTAGATGGCCGACCAACCCTGCCCGAGCCATACCCAACAGTGTCATCAATCACCGTTTACTCCACCTGCCCCCCCAACCAAGGCTCGTCCGGGGGCCCCCTCAGCACAGTAACCTTCCCCTTCTCGTCCATACTCGCATACTCCGTCGACGCCCTCAGCCCCTCCCCCTCCAACCGTGCCGTTTCGGACTGGGCGATCCCAAGCGTATCAGCTGCGAGCCAGATTAGGGGTGTGGGTTTCCACAGTGCTGGGTGGTCAAATGCGTGCGTGTTGGGGTCTGGGGCATCCTGCTCGGAGCTGGCGTTGTTCGAGCCAGGGTATGGCTGCGCGTCATCTTCCTCCGAAACGCTCTTCTCCAGCCCAGCAAGCATCCCCGGCCCGGCAGAAGGGCCTACAAACGTGTACAGCCTCGCAAACCTCCATTCTACCCATACCTCAAACACCGCCGTCACCGCCAAACAGAGGGCGATGATCGCCCCCCCTGCCCAGCCGATCGCCCCCGCACCAGGACCGGAGAGGAAGAAGAGGCCTCCGAGGCAGATCTCTTCTATGTACAGGGCGGCGAAGACTGCTCCAAGGGCTTTGGGGTAGTAGAGCCCACCGGTCTCGAGGTTCTCCGGCTGGTCGCAGTTCCATATGAGCATGTATTTGTAGGTCATGTAGAGGAGGTAGAACCCCACTGCTGCGAAGCCGACTGTGACGGGCTGGATGACACTGTAGACGATGCCGATGATGCCTAAGAGTGCAACAGGTGGCCATTCGGTAGCAAGCTCGATACTATCCATCTTCCAGTCATAGGCGTAAGCTTTGCGTGGCGTGCTTCCGCGGAAGATGAACGCGAGCTTGGACATGACCCACGGGATAGCGCGGGAGAGGGTCTTGCTCGCCGAGCCGAGGACGACAGTGAGGATGAAAGTGAGGAAGAAGATTGCCGAGTCTGGGAGATGGTTTGCAAGCAGTGTCGGGGCCTCACTAGCTGTCTCCTTGATGTTCTGTAAGGCGGATACAAGGCCAGAGGCAAGGGCGACGATGAGGAACCCATGGATGATCTGGAAGAGCCAGAATCGGGACCAGAGCTTACGCTGGACGGTCGAGTTGCGGGGTTCGCCCTGCATCTTTACGAATATGCGGAGGACGATAGGGAGGAGCATGAACAAGATTGCGAGGAGGACGGGGGGGAGGATGCCCTGGATGATGCCCACTACAGTGCTGGGGAGCCGGCAGATCCAGCTCAGAAAGGAGACGCTCGAGCAGAGGGTGGAGACGTTGGAAATTACTCCGACGAAGGCGACCAGCGGAGCCCAGGCGATGATCAGCCCGATGGTCGCGCACCAGGAGATGATGGTGCGGACGAGCCGTTCGTAGGGCGACATGGAGAGGTTGGACCAGATGATGTCTTCCGGTACGACTTCGGTCGAAGCGCCGACCATGTCTTTGCGGAGGGTGTTCTTCTTGATCTGCTGGGCGAAGAAATGTGCATCGGCCTGGCTTGTAAAGCGGATGAATGCGCTGTTGGCAAGCTTGTAGGAATCGACGTTCTGCCTTTCCAAAATGAGCTGCTCGTCCTGTTCCTTGATAAACGCAGGCGAGTAGGAGAGTGTATCGACCTTCTTCCCAAACAGGCCAAACGTATAATCCGCAAGAGTGCCGATCTTATGGCTAGGAAGCTTCTTCTCCGGAACGTACTTGGCTGTCAGACCCGCGTCCTCGGCCGCAGCAGCTTTCTCGGGCAGCTTGTTCTTACGCACGTTCTTGCTTGCCATCTGGGAGAGATTCGTCTCCGCCTTCTCGAGAACGAGGCACTCGTTATTCCTCGCATCGTACAGTTTCTGCAAAGGCTTAACAGCGCGTGGCATCCACACCCTCTCCACGGGGCCGGGGACAAAAGCCGCCAGCTCGCGCACACGTTCCTCGCTAACCACGTTCTTCGGGAGGTTGTTCACCATCACCGTCCTGGACCTTGCGGTCGCCGCGTGCGCAGGGGAATTAAGGTACGCCTGCCTGAGCTCGAGGAAATGTTCGTATTCCCTGTATATCATATACAGGCTCCAAGCGAGCAAGAGGACAAAGACGATCAGATGCCCCGCACGACGATCGAAGACGGTGACGTTCCCGAACGTGAACATGTTTAGCCCCGCAGCGCCTAGGTTCGGAGGTGCGGCTGAGAGGGGCATGAGGACTACCCAGGTGAGCCCCCAGTAGGGAAGGAGGAGGAGGACCATGAACCTGCAGAAACGGACGAAGAAGTAGGCGTCAGGTCCGTTCATCTCGAACACGCGGATGTCGGGCTCGAATATGATGCCGGAGAACCATTTGATAGGGTTGTCCGGTAGGACCGAGGGGCGTTTCCTGCGTTGGAAGAGTGAGTAGGGAGGAGGAAGGTGGGAGAGGGTGCGTACCCCTCTGGAGCTACGAGCGTGCGACTCTGGTATACCCTGCGGTTCTTGGCATGGAGGAGGAAGAAGACGACGAGGTATACGCCTGCGACGACCAGGCCTATTACGAGGGCGGATATGAAACTATTTGTGTTGTTGGTTGTGTTGGAGGTGTTTTGTCCTGTGGCGGACATGTTGACTGTAGCTGGTTGCTGTCGGTGTGGTGGTGGTGGTGGGGATGAAAGGACCACAGCGTCCAGTTAATCATTCCATCCCCCCTTGGTCAACCCTTTTGTACTCCTCCCCACCCCCAGGGCCATATCACCCGCAGTTCAATTTCCATTGACGTCAAAGGCGAAAGGATAGCACCGAATAATGACGTAAATGTCGCACGGAACTTTTCTTTTCTTTTGGGTGCAGATCGCCGCCGCTCGGAAGCGATCAAGTGCGGACAGGGAAGGGCGTTGATTGGCGGAAAAGGGGGTTTGGCACTAAAATAGTTAGCCTTGTGTCTTTCATATTTGGACTGTTGTTCGCTCTTCTCTCGGTGGGACTGAGCTTCCGTTTCATCGCAAGGACTAGCTTGTATTTCTAGAATACCCCGTTATCGGGTAACGAGTGCCACAACCATATATGTCCAAGTAGAGAAGAGAATAAACCAGTCAAATGCAGTTATTCTTGGCTCACGCCTCGTGTACCTCACGTGTCCGATCTCGACTATTTTTTCACCTGCGGGAAGGGTCCACATCTATCGCTGGATCGATTAGCGTGAATTCGGTGTGAGCCGCCCTATACGCTTTAGGATGGTCACGTTTTATTGGATGATAGGATCACGGGGACTGTCGTGTTTGGTAGGTGAGGTCCGCTCATAACACCTCGCGAGAGAAATGAAGAAATTTGCATTCCCGAACATCTCCCTCTGTTCGACGCTACTTCGTCCAACGACAAGACGGCACCTTCATCAGCAACTCATCCACCATCCACCATCCATCCATCCCTCCTCCCAATCGTTCATCCCCCGATCCCCCGATCTCTTGATCTCCCTCTTCCCAGCATGCGCTCCCCAGCAGCTCTCTCCAAGAGGTTGTGCCAAGGCCTCCCCCTTACCCCTTAACCCTCATCACTCCCAGCCCATCCAACGCCTCCCTGCGAGGACCATGCAGGCCGTACATACAAGAAGAGACGAAGCTGTATTTCGATGTAGCGACCACCCGGTGATCCCTGAGCGTATGATTGTCATTTACGCCATAAGATGTTGATGAATACTCCTGGAGGAGAGTCGATTCTTGCGAGGGATGATCGTAAGTCTGGAAGCACGTCTGAGAGGCGTCGGGGATATGTGTGCACGTGACTTGTGGCTGATGTAATACATTATGTCTATCGTACGACAACTTTTGAGCACCGCAATCATCCCATCTGTTAATACACTCTCAACGCTGTAATTCAACAACTGCCCTTCTTCTCCCCATCTGCTGCATACGACCACCTTCTTGCTGGCTGTGCGCCAAGCATGACCTCAAGCCTATCAATACCTACACCCAACTCAACAGACTCGGACGCATCCCATTCCTCACATTCATTGCTTCAGCCTACGCGGTCACAGCTCCTTTCCCCAGAGAGGGAAGTTGAAGTTGAAGTTGAAGTTGAGGTAGATGGGGAGGAGAAGGTGACGTGGTTCGTTTGGCTGCTTGTGGGTGCTGCAGCTATAGGCGGGTTGTTGTTTGGTGAGTAGTTTGTGTGACACCTAGAAAAGAGCTGATTTGGGCAGGGTATGACACGGGTGTTATCTCCGGTGCACTAGTATCAATAGCAGGAGACCTAGGACCAGCAGAGTTGTCCGCTTTCCAAAAGGTGCGCACTCCCTCTCCCCAGCATCACACCGCTCACCCACCGCAGGAACTCATCACCTCTTCCACGACGCTCGGTGCCCTCCTGGGCGGTCTCGCCGCAGGGATCATCTCCGACTACACGGGCCGCAAACCCGTGCTCTTCCTGGCCAACATCACCTTCATCTCTGGCGCGCTAGGCCAGTCCCTCTCCCACACCCTGAGCGGCATGGTCGGTTCCCGTTTCCTGGTCGGTCTGGGCGTCGGGCTCGCAGCATGCATCGTTCCCCTGTATATTGGAGAACTGGCGCCGACGAGGCTCAGAGGGAGACTGGTGACCGTCAATGTTATTGCGATCACGTTTGGCCAGGTGGTGGCCTATGCTATCGGGGCTGCGTTTGAGCAGGTCCCAGGAGGGTGGAGGTGGATGGTCGGGCTTGGTGCTGTTCCTGCGGGGGTACAACTAGCGTGCTTGTCCTTCCTTCCCGAGTCTCGTATGTTCATGTCCCCCTCCCCAGCCTCCGCAAATAGAAGCTAACAACCACTCGTTCCAGCACGCATCCTCATCCGGAATGACAACCTCCCAGACGCACGACGTGTCCTCCGCTCCATCTACGCGCAAGCGACAGACGCCCAGGTGGACAAGATGCTTCAAAACATGTGCGCAAGTGTCCACGAAAGTGTAGCGCTCTCAAAGCAGGACACGCTATTCGAAAAACTCAAGAGCATGTCTACTGTCCCCGAGCGTCGGCGGGCTCTCAGTACGTCCCTCCCCCTCCCTTCTCTCCCGCTCCTGTCCCTGCCCATGCTCCTGCTCCGAACGTCGTCATCCATACTAACCCCACACGCTAGTCGTCGCCTGCGGCCTCCAGGCATTCCAACAACTATGCGGGTTCAACACCCTCATGTACTACTCTGCCTCCCTATTCAAAGCCGTAGGGTTCGACCAGCCCACAGCCGTAGGGCTCATCATCGCCGGCACCAACTTTTTGTTTACCCTTGTGGCGCTAAAGTGGATTGATAGAGTGGGAAGGAGGAGGATCATGTTGCTTTCGAGTCCGTGGATGGTATTGGGCTTGGTGCTCGCTGCGGTGTCGTTCTATTGTACGTCCTTGCCCTCATCTCACCTTATCCCCCCTCTCCTCCTTCCGTTCCGTGTCGTTTCGCGCAGCTGACCCTGACCTGCTCGGGAAAGTCATGACCAAGTCCACAGGAGGCTACCTAGATCCCAACGCCCAATATAGCAAGACCTGGTCCGCCCTCGTCCTCTTCTCGATGATAATCTACGTCGCGGCCTACGCCACCGGGCTGGGGAACGTCCCCTGGCAGCAGGGCGAGCTCTTCTCGCTCGAAGTGCGCGGCCTAGGTAGCTCGCTAGCGACAGCAACGAACTGGAGCGCGAACTTGCTCATCGGAGCCACGTACCTCAGTTTACTGGAAGCGATCACCACTGCCGGTACATTTGGCCTGTACGCGGGCCTATGTGCGCTAGGGGTCGTGTTCGTCTACCTGTGTTATCCGGAGACGGCGGGGTTGAGTTTGGAAGAAGTGAGAACGGTGTTTGCGAGAGGGTTTGGGGTGAGGGAGAGTAGGATGTTGGGGAGGGAGAAGAGGGAGAGGAGGGAGAGGGAGGGGTTGGGTATCTAGTACCTAGCTTCTAGCATCTGGCATCTACGTGATTTGATGGACTTGAGAGGGGGAGGGGGTGTAGGATTATATTCATCTTTGTAGCTTTTGTAGAATGTACTCTGCTCGTAATTTGATCATATACCGTATACCCATTGCAACTGGTGCGGGATGCCCTTGGATCCTGACGGTCACCTGTCCTTCGTGCACCCATGCAGGACACCACAGCGTATGAGCTTGACTGTACTAGTACATTACTGCCAGGATGTTCATGATCTTGCTTGTGCCAAGGACTAGCTACTGTGGACTCTCGTATTGCGGGTTGCGTATCACGGGGATATGGACGGTTCAACGATGAACCGCTCGCTCTGACCCTTAGCCCATTCACCCCAATTAATAGTTGGAAGAACACTACAAGTACAAGTACCATGAACGGTACCGGTACGTGCGCCTTCCCACCCCTCCCTCTCTCATCCCCTCCAGGCCTAGGTCACCGATGACAGAAATCACCCCCTCCCCCCCTCTCCTCTCCACGCTCAACGGGAAAGTCGCCGTCCTCACCGGCGGGGCGAACGGGATCGGCGCCTCCACCGTAAGGCTGTTCACCTCCCTCGGCGCTCGTGTCATGTTCTGCGACCTGGACTCACAGCATGGAGAAGCCCTTGCAGCGGAGCTCGGGCGGGAGAAAACGAGGTTCCTTAAGCTGGACGTGACGGACTACGAGCAGCAGTATGAGCTGTTCCGCACTGCCCTGGAAACGTGGGGCAGAATAGACGTCGTAGTCGCCAACGCCGGTCTAACAGAACTCGGTGACATCTTCGGCTTGTCCGAGGACCTGAGCCTTCCCCCCTCTATGGGGGTAATCGACGTCAACCTCAAAGCTGTTATCTATACTGCCCGCTTGGGAGTGGGGTTCATGCGCCCCTCGGGAGGGGGGGCGTTGGTCCTCGTCTCTAGCGTGGCGGGGTTTAAGGAGAGCCCGGGGCTGTGGGTGTATGGGGCTAGCAAGCATGGGGTCTATGGGTTGATGAGGTGCTTGAGGAGCGTGTCGGGGCCTCAGTGGGGCGTGTCGGTCAACGCTATCTGTCCATGGATGACCAGTACGTTCCCATTCCCATTTCCCCTTTCCCGTTCCCGTCTTCCCTTCTCGCTTCTCGCTTTCTCTTGCGCACGGGTGCTCACAGGGAAGCAGAAACGGTCATGGTAGAGGGTATCGAAACCCTCTGGGACAAAGCCAGCTTACCCACGAACGAGCCCTCCGATATCGCCATGTGCATCGCAACCGCCGCGACAGCGAACAACGACCCCAAGTCCCGCCATCCCGGTGCCGCGACGCCCTTCAACGGGAAAGCGCTCTTTATCAGCGGAGGCAGGTTCTACGAGATAGAGGATAACATCGATCGTTTGGAACCCGAGTGGCTTGGTGCGCAGAACTCGAGGGACCTGTTCAAGGGACAGGAGGTTCTGGGGAGCGGGGATGGATGGACTAGCAAGCAGTAGATGTCCTCGGTCTTTTACCGGCATGCACCGGATCTGTCATCTTGTGGGTGTTCATACGGAGTCATGATATCGATTCGTGACGAATTACAGATATATGTACATGTACATGTACGGTGGGACATATGTACTGTGAAATCAAATCAAGATTGGACGATACTATGACCATCATCGTTTCTTCACGGGCTACTTATACCTCGGGGTGACGTCAGGATCTGATATGTGATCGATCGATATCCCTGAACGTGCTCCTGATGGATGAGGCTCTCTTCTTTGCACCTTGAGCTAGATGAAGGCACTCTAGACTTGATCACTCAGGCTGGGTTCGCGCTCTCCTGCTCTCCTCCCTTCTCGCTATTCCTTTGGGAAAGGCAAACTAGCTGTCAGTAAAACTGATCTAACTGTGAGGGGGACACTGGGGAGAATCCCACTATGGAGGACAAAGCTAAACTTAACAAGTCGGAGTTGTTTGCCAAGCTTGTCTGACAGCATGCTGCCAACACACCGTCACCGCGAATGGGAACCTGAAGAGGTACGAAGACAGAGGAGAAGACGCAGACCTAATTGAAGTTAACAGCGCCGAGAATAACGCCCACATACGCCCAGGTAGACAAGCCGGCCAGCTAATCCACCTCAAAATAGATCTGCATTATCAACGCGGTACGGGCGGCACCCTCCTTCCGTACTGTATAAACACTGCGGTCCTTGTCCTTCATTCACCTCCAACAGCCCCGTCCCCATCCCCAGATGACGAATGCCCCCCTTCCTCCCCCTTCCTCCTCGCCACGCTTAACGGGAAACTCGTCTCGGCAAGGCGAACCGGATCGGGCCGTCTACTGTGATCCAATGTAACCTCCCTCCCGGCCACGATCCTTCTCTGCGACCTCGATTCCGCGCACGGCGAAGCTCTGGCAGGTGAACCGAACTTAACAATACCAGAATACCACCCAGCTAGGCAAGTCGTCCGGTTATTACTATCTTAAAAACAAACTGACATTAGTAAAGATATTTGGGCGGCAAGCCCAAGGTGCTGCGGAGGGTCGCTCATGCTCTATAAACAGGGCGGTCCTCTTCCTTAGCTCACCCCCAAAAGCTAAAGATGGCAGAAATCATCCCCTCTCCCTCCCTCCTCGCCACGCTTAACGGCAAGGTCGCTGTCCTCACCGGCGGGGCGAACGGCATAGGCGCGGCCACTGTTCGCCTGTTAACTTCCCTCGGTGCGAAGGTTATCTTCTGTGACCTCGATGCAACGCATGGTGAAGCTCTCGCGAGTGAACTAGGCCCAGAAAAGGCCATATTCGTCAAGGCTGACGTGACGGACTATGGGGAGCAGTACGCTCTTTTCCGGACCGCGCTGGCGGCGTGGGGCAAGGTGGATGTCGTGATCGCGAATGCTGGCATCATAGAACAAGGGAATATATTTGGTCTCACCGAGGACCTGAGCCAGCCCCCCTCCATGGCGGTACTTGACGTCAACCTCAAAGCTGTCATATACACTGCCAGGCTCGGTGTGGGTTTCATGCGCCAGACCGGAGGGGGTACACTGGTGCTTCTATCCAGTATGGGGGGCTTCAGGGGAAACCCTGGGGTGTGGGTGTATGTTGCCAGCAAGCATGGTGTGTACGGGTTGATGAGATGCTTGAGGAGCGTGGCGGCGCCGCAGTGGGGTATATCGGTTAATGTCATATGTCCTTCGATGACTAGTGCGTCTTGCCCCTCCTCTCATGGGTTCAAGCTCATGGACCGGCAGAAACGGGCATGGTGGATGCTATCGAAGATATCTGGAATAAGGCCGCATTGCCGGCCAACGACGCCTCCGATGTCGCCATGGGTATCGCAACGGCCGCGACTGCCAATAACGGGGATGGCCGCCCGGGCGCGGCGAAACCGTTCAACGGCAAGGCGCTATTCATCAGTGGAAGCAGGTTCTACGAGATCGAAGATAATATCGATCGCCTAGAACCAGAGTGGCTTGGAGAGCAGAACTCACAGGATCTCTTCAAATTGAAAGAGGCTCTTGGGAGCGGCGAGATATGGGACAGCAAGCAATAGAACGGTACGGTGCCCACGACCAAGGTCGCCTGTATTGCGGGTGTTCATATGTATTCATGATTAGTGACCACGAGTTACAGGGGAGCATATGTAATCTGGAATGAAATCAAGATAACTACGAATAGCGTTTCTCTTTCAAATGACCCCTCACCTCTTGGTGCCCGCGTATCCAACCCCGTACTTCATCTCCGCCTCCTCCAGATGATTCAAGACAACTGGGAAAACATGCTTTGCCGAACCCTGTCCTAACCATGTATCAAGATGTCCCATTTCGGGGAATGTATATCGAGCGTAGTAATCCGGTCGATTGATGGATCGAACCAGGTCATACGTCATCTTCGTCCCTTCAGCTAGTTATGGCTTCAGTGGGTCCCCAAAGCAATGCAAACAGGTGGGCGTACGAATAAAGACAACGTTTTCTTCACCATGGATGAAGGTGATCGGCAGGTTGAAGCGCTCCCTATGGATGATCAGCCGCGCCCCCGGTCAAACGAGGATGACATACTTGATGTTCTCCTCTGTGACGTAGACGTTCTTTCCATTCCGGTTGCTTATCTTTTTGTTGTGGCTCATCATTGACAGCTGAGCCATCGCGGTCATTGTCGCACCACCGACCATCTTGTCGATATTTGCGTGCAGGTTCTGTGGAAACATTCAAACCAGGCTATCCGAGAGGTCTAATAGGTTCTTACGGGGTCCAAATTGCCATGAGACCACAATCGTCCAAATAAGAAAGACTGTCGGTGACAGCTTGCATTTGAGCAAACTTCCTTGGGAATGGTGGGATAGAAACGAAGGATTTGGTCGAGCACTCTATCGAACAGTGTTTCTGTACGACTCGCTCTACTGTCGAAGAAGCTCTCTCCAAAACCTGTGTTAAACCTCGGTCACCCTTCGTCCGCCTGACGTGCAATATTCTCACCATACCGCCATATTTCAGATGCATGGAGAGTGGATTTGATGTTGTTGACTACAGCAAAATGAGTGTGTGTAAGAGCGCCTACCAAACATGCTTACCAAAACCTCCTACGGGATGCATGCTGACTTGCGAACACAACGCGGCTCCGACACCTTCCGCAAGACCGTCCAGCATGGCCATCGTCAGAGCCACCGACCCAACACAGCTGTTGGATGTCAGCAAGAATGTTAACCAAGTAAGGGCAGCACTCACTGAGAGATAACACTTAATTTTTCGACGCTTGTAAGCTCACGAATGCGCTTGATAGCATATGCGACGTCGATGCGCAGATCATCGACTGAAAATTGCGTGTGACTGGCCGGAATATTGGGAGAAAGGCGATGGTTGAGTGCGAAGACGTCATAGCCCCGCGCCAGAATCCAGTCGACAAAATTGTCGTCAATCATCTGTGTGCTGAATATCTTTGTAATCGGTCAGCTGAGATGAACACAAGAGTTTTATCGTCTCACATGATGGGTCACCGCAGCTCCTGGTATCAGGAGGATAGGTCCTTTCCCCCCACCGTTCCAACGGACAAGCTCAATCTGGATATCTTGATCGCCAGATTGGGGCGGTACATGTGCCGGAACCGAGAGCATCCAAGACTGTTCGACAGGACGAGTCTTGCGATACACATGGAACTCGTGGGCATCTTCAGGGTACTGTAACTGGGACAAATTTGGGGCAAAGTGGGCGAAGAGATTTTTCCTGGGACGTGCACATCAGTCACATATATTCAGTGGTGACACAATCAGGTTCTTACGCAAAATAACTTGTGAAATCCACAGTTGCCCAGAATCCAAGGCCAGCCTGGCTGCCATAGCTCCTGAAGGACGCCAATTCCTTAGTGAAATCGGCTATCGACATGGTCTAGTCGAACATTGAGCCGTCCGAGTGGTTGAAGACATTGTAAGCACGCACCAGCACACCGAGGCCGACGAGATGTTTTTGGGGGGTAGCCTGGGTGCTGCCAGTGAGGACGCCGTTTACGCCAGAGCCAGTGGCCTTGAAAGTTCTCTCAACCTTTACGTATAGCGTTGTCGTCTGTTCCCACAGCCTGGCAGGGTTCAGCTTCGAGCTGTTGTCAACAACTTTGAATCCCGTCAGCGTGTACGTTCGGCTCTCGACAGACACCAGGTCAAGCTCGTAGACCAAGTTTTGCGTATCTGTGCGAACTGGATCTGCAGTGAACAGTCGAAAACGGCCGGAAAGAACGCTCATTGCATGTGCAGACACTGCGAAACAGTATCAGACCGTATCTCGCTACAAGTATGAATACCCACAAGCGCGACAGGACACGGTGCCCATGATGTCAGCCTCGTCACAGTTCAGCTAGAAAGATCTCAGCAATGCTCAATCTGAACGAGAAAACTAACATCAATCAGCGCATTCATATCGTAGGTAATCACAGATAACATGAATCGCATCCTGGAATCCGATGATTTTGCTTGTGATGCGGCATTTTGATAGTCGGCCAGACTTATGTCGTCCTTGATCACAGTTGAGAAATAGCCCTCCATCACCTCACTGAAGCTGATGCCCCCTTCGACCTGCCGTCCATCTTTGACACCCACACAATGACTGATGAAGTGATGTTTTGGCCGATCGAAGTTGATTGGGGTGAATACAGGGGACAAGTTGATCTTTGCGCCCACATCGGCTGCTGCAAGTTCAACGATACGTTCTGCAAGTGCTCTGCGTTCGATGAGTCTTTGCGTATGCGGTGCAGAAGCTGTCACATACGAGATGGTCAAGAATGGGTTGACGCCCAGGGGAGTGGGGATCACAGCTGCATCGGTGACGTAGAGCCCAGGATGCACTTCCCTTCCTTTGGCCTTGAAGACTTGACCCCTATGGTTTGTAACGCCCACATCGCCGGAATCACCCATAACGGCGCCACCAACAGGATGGACGCTGACGAGTGACTATTTCAATCAGCTTGGTCAGCACTGGCAGCGGAAATGAACTAAATGATTGCTCACGGTGTCAAAAAGAGGCGTGTAGAACGGTCCGGGCACATAGGTGCCCTTAACATCCGTAGTCGCTTTCGCAAGTGTGTCGTTGAGAATCTGGATGTGCTTCTCCCGGCCAACATCAGCAAACATGACGTTCAGGTTGTCATTTTCAAGGGTGAGATCTCCCTGTCCGTCGTCATGTGACATAACGAGCTACATATCACATGTGAGAGGTATGGCAATGCGATTGTAGATAACCTACATATGTCTGAGTGTGGTGGAGCGCCCCGGTATACGGACCGAACGCTTTGGTGACTGCCTGCCTCGCAGCATGGCCCAGCATGTCTGTCACTGAGAGCTCTGGAAATACTTTGCCCGAAGTGACAGCTAGCATAGTTCCCAATAGTTGTGACAGGGCATGCGGTACGACACCCTCTTCGATGACATATCCGTCGAGGACGTTTTGGGCGACTTGCTCGTCTCGCATGTCGATCACACCCGTTATGCAGGGGCCGACAGGTCCATTCGCGAACTTTGAGGGGCTTATATCGCTAGGCATGCCGATGGCGTTGCATTCAGGATCGGTATTGTAGCCGAAGGAAAGAATCTGACTGACGGTCAGTGTCGACAATCAGAATTGGCAAGAAGTAACGCACATCGCCATTTCCACTGAAGTTCGTGCCCAATCTTGGACTGACCTGCAGCCCCATCGACTGACTACGCAAGAGGATCTCGTTCGTGCCCACTGTTATGGCTCAGCAGCTGGGTCTGCGTGACTTCATCAAGACTTACGCGTCCCTGCACCCAAGAACACTTGATCGCATAGAACAAACTGCAAGGCGCTATTTAGTTCTGAGGAGAAGCTCCCACGTCCAAAGGCTAAAGCGATATAGAAGACCACCCATCTTCGGATATATATCAGTGGACTGCGGATGTAGAAATAATAGCTGGGCTCACTTCTTCAAGGGAGCCGAGAAGAGGATATAACGCGCCTCCGTCTCACAGAAAATCTCGCATCCGTGATCTATACTCTTCTCAGCAACATCGTCGACGCGTGGATGGACAACTCACTCCAAGCATCTGAAACGTAGTTGACGAGAGTCGTGTTCTTCGAACCATCATTAATGCCCGTGGTGTCATTGCCAGTTAGGGTCGACGCCTGCTGGCTGACCCCAGCCGCGTTCACACGATCCTCGAAAGTCACCGCTGGGTGCCGTCAGCTCATTTCTGGCGGAGCGGACAGACGGCAGTACTCACTAATGGGCGGACGATAGAACCGATGCGAGTATTCGGGTCCAAGAAGTGAGGCTTGCTGCTCCAGCAGCTTGAGCTTTGGGAGTTCAGGTGCATCCTCGGGGTAAGGAACCGGCTCGAGCATCTCCTCCGCTCTCTTATAATCTGCTATATTATCAGCATCCTCCTCAAATCCACAATCAAAGTACGCACACGCGTCGAGAACCGACGTATTCTCCCTCAGCTCCTTGGGCCACACGTCCAGTGCCAACGTCCTCCTATCCGCCCTCAGCGCTACATTCGCATTCAGCAGACTCGTGCCCCCCAGTCCATTCGCAACGACCACGTTCTGGTTCTTGCCCAGGTGAACTTGGTATAGACCGTTTCGCTTTCCAATGGTGTTGCTGTCCCGGTTATGGATGGCGAGCTCGGGAGCACACGCGACCAGCGAAGTAGGATACTCGCCAGGCCAGCGCTCTTCACCTAGTAGAACAATCAGTTGAAGTGTTGAAGGAAGGACAGAAGGCGCTAGCCTTTCTCGAGTAACGCGACGCGTTTCCCCGCACGCGACATTCGGGATGCAGCGATTCCACCCCCATAACCGCTGCCAATGACGACACAGTCTATGCAATACAGGGAACGATCAGGCAGGAGCTACAAGTGAACAGGGCGGCGCACCATATGACTCTTGGATGGCTGTGGCCGGTAGACCAATCCTACGCTTCTTGTCCTGTTGTTTCATGTTGTTGAGTTGTGCGAGGTCGATGTCTCACTTCCCACGATGAACCAGAGCTGGTGGGAGAAAATAAAGATGGACGTCGATAGGCTTCAGGGAAAGTCCACTGATCTTATAGCTCCTCCCCAACACTGCACGTTATACTTAGGTTAGCGTCGAAACTTTGAGTACTTGTGACCGTGCGGTCTTCTAGATTGCGCCTGATCTTCACATGCGCGTCGCAGTCGACCCACTACATCGCATGGGAGAAGGCGCCTCCTGAGTTCTTGACCTTATGCGGATGTGATGCGGTCGCGAGTAGGACACTGGTAGGAGGGAGCGTGCAATTCGCGGCCCATTGAGCGTTTAGGATGGCTTGCCTTCAATCACAGCAATACCATCTCCTGGTGCACCTCGAACACTAGAGTATCAAGAGAATGAGCAACCGCCTTAGAAAAACTCATAGCCGAACAACCGGAGCGACAAAATCAGGGAGCACACCGATTGCTGCGCCTTGAGTATGAACGATCGGGACAAGTACATCACCACGGAAGCGTAGAATAGAATACGGTCTAGGTTATTCATTTGGCTGATGCCTAATCAATACGAAAAGTAGTCGCGAGGAAGACTCAGCAAGGGACAAAGGCGGTGGACTGAATTCAATGCCGGGAAAGCTTGTGTCATCATTCGGACACGTTAGCACTAGTGTCAGAGTTCTTGAAGATGAGCTAATAGAAGGAGAGAAGGAGTAATAATTACATTCAAAGAGCAGCTCCAAAAGAATCGAGAGTTTCGGCTGTTATTCGGCCTTCTTACTTAAGAAGATGATCACGAGTAACAGGGATATGGTCATTCCACAGGGTATCTAACCGCTTCAGATATCTATCGTGCAAGTGCGTACAGGTAAAATATCCTACAATCCTAGCCTTCTTAATTAGCGCATATCCTGATGTAAATCACCAATCCTCAATAGCAAGCGCATGCAGGTCGATTAAGAACTCGTTATAAGCACGACGGTCCGCGTTTTCCGTCATGCTACTCCTTGCGCTGTCCTGTTCCGGTTGCCCGGCAGACCCCGGGTTTTCCTTGAGCTGCTCAACACCGCACTGCAGCGTGAGCATGGCTCTGTATTCGTCGAATGAAAACTGAGGTGGGCCAACTTTTGCACGCTCAAGCATCTCCTGTTGATGATTGAGCAAATGATGCAGCAGAAATTAGCAGAGAGCGACGGACCTTCGGACCACCCGCAAACATTGCCCAGTATCTCCTCGCCCTGCTAAGATCCGCATCACGGGCCTCATCGCCCGTCATTGTCTTAAGGTTCTGCTCAAGCGCAAGAAGGTTCCGCAATACCCTCTCCAGGCCATGACTGTTCATCAAGTTGATGTATCGGCCCCCCGAAACGAGCAATTGGTCCATCAACGAGCCAAGACCCTCGAATAAAAATCGCCGCTCACGCTCGGGCAGCGTACTGGCCGCGAAATCGTCGATTTTGCCCATGTCTGCGTTGAGTTCTACGACTTGGACGTCGGGCTCAAGTGGCGCTTGATCGATGAGGAAATCGTTCTGGACATATGAGCTGCAGCCCGTGAACACAGATATGGCTACTCACTGTTCGTATGGCGAGATTGAGGTAGTGTATGGTTCGACAACGGATATCTATGCGCGTAGAGAAGAGTATGACCTCAGCGAGCAGGTCATATGTTTTCAATAGGGCGTCGAATCGTCTATTTACGTCATCAGCCACACCGCTGAAAGACACCGTGTGATCACTTACAATGCCATCGCCTTGGTAAGCGGCAAGCTCAGGTTCTCATTCTCTATTGAATGCTGACCAGACAAGCCCTGCTTAGGCTTGAAGGTCGGCTTTGCTGGTGAGAAGAATTTAGAGAGCGGATCAGCGGCGGATTGTGGCGATATCGGGTCTTCAGCCAAGACACGCAACGTTGATAACTGGTGGATGAACCATGTCAAGCTGTAGTGTAAGCGACAGAGCTCAGCCAGGTTGCGCAAGGGTATGAGGTGATCTCGAGTGATTTCCTCGTTGTTGAGGAAGCTCAGCTCAATGCGCGTCTCTTGTTGACACACGGTCTGCTTCTTTATGGTATCGGTGTCCTGCGACAACATTAGCCATGTTATCGGGAACGTTTGAAAGATGAGACATACAGGGGTTGCGTACAGCTCGGACAAACACGCAGAAACCTCAGGCTTCTGAGCCCATCGAGCGGAGATATGCAGCATCGCGTCTGGTACAACGTCAGGCACGAGCCCAATAGAGTTGCGCGCCACCAATGCCTGGAATCGCATATTGAATCGTTGGTAGAAATGAATGACCACCGACAGGATCAATCGGCTATAGTTTTCTCGATGGAAGTTGGTGGATTGAAGCATTGCACAGAGGGAATTGATAACCGCCATCAGCTGGGTACAGGCCTATGTACATAGATGAGCAATGATAAATCAATAGAACAACGAAGCAACGAACCTTCACCAAGGGTTTCGGAGATATACGCAAAGACGTGGGATCTTCCTCGAACGCATCTGGGCCAGATATGGCCGAATGTACCAAATTGGATACCTTGTCTTCAAGCTGCGGCAGGTATACATGCAGAACAAAGTCGTCTAGAAGCGCATTGTCGTCTTTGAAGGAGTCGTAGACAGAGGATGGAAGAATTTCCCCAATCCGATGCAGGAAAGCCTGGGTCGGATGGAACAACACGCTCACATGAAAGGCACTCGGGCGAATGAGAAGCCGGTGCTTCTCCGTCGCTGCGAACCGATCATCTTTGGCCGCCCGTGAAAGGGCAGTCACGCTATCCGCATTTGACTGCACAAGACCTGGGACGTTGTCCTTCAGCACGCGGTTGAGCTCTTCTTCGTGTTTCTTCAGCACACGGACAGAGAGTTTTACGTCCGATTCGGTGAAGCGGAACGAATGTTTGGTACGATCTCGAGATGTTCGACCTTGCAGCGCCTCGCTGATGGAAGCGATCGGGTTGACGACCGAAGCAGCACGGTCCTCATCCGTCAATTGATCGCGCAATAACATTTGGACCTTCAAAGCATGTTAAAGCGTATTAGGTACTGAACGGAAGGTGCGCACCTCTGATAGCAAAGGTTGATACAACTCTCCTAGGGGGAAGAGTGTACCAGGACGAGCACCAGAGCTGTCCTTAAACTCACGTCGCTGACAAAAATGAGTCGGTGATTGATGGGATGGTAGGAAGACGACTCACAGAACTGATTCTCCCTGTGACCTCAAATACCACCCGCAATCCCTGCAGAACAGCGTCCAGCTTGGAGTACAATGTCCAAAACAAATCCCTCAGCACTTCCCGCTCGGTTTCTTTCTCCATCCCCTCCAATTCCGGCGACCTCAGCCGGCCAAGGTTAGTCACTTTGATGACGACATTCGACAATGGGCTGCTAACGTTTGATAGCGATAAACGTGAGGACGGCGTGAAAGTCGATTGTCGGCGCTGAGACTCCTGACGCTCTGTGACTTCGTCAATAGTTGTTTCGATCAACAGATGTATTTCGGCAGGAAGTCGCTGAGCGACGACGTCGAGGCTGTATCCCAGCTGACCGAGAACAGCGAGCGATTCAAGCACAGTCTCCATGTACATGAAAGAGTCGCTTTCTGGATTTTTGGATGGCGCTGGGCCAGATTGGACGTCATCTGGGAAGTTGCCAGATGAGGTAAATGCAGTCATGAGGGGAGAGGAATAAAGAGGAGAGGGGATGATATCAAGTAATGGGTCGATAGTTGGGCGGACGGCAAGGTCTGTAAGGAAGCGGGCAAGCTTGGTCGGGGGTCGAACAGGAGTTGAAGGAGTTTGCGCATTGGGTATCGCCTGGGGTTGAGATGAAGTTTGTGGCGCTTCTTGAATCGGCACTGTCAAACGTTAGGTGATAGACATGGCAGGGAACGAGTGCATACAGGATTCCTGGCCGGGTGTGTACGCAGACCAACGTGACTCGCACCAAAAAGACTTCAAATATAGGTGGTTGTGCAATTCCTCGATGAGAATGTCACGCAGAGCCTAAAACTTGATCAGAACAGTCACCACCAGGTCAGACCCTCGAACGCACAGTCTCCTGGCTGCTGAGGTAGCTTCGCAGGTCTGCCACAGCTCCTACCTCCAGCATATCTGGCTTGTTGATAGTCTTGAGATTCTTGACGAGCAAGACAGCGGCCTGTAGGATTCGCTTTTCTGTCATCAAGCTCTCCAGTTGATCCGGTATACTCTTGAGTCTGTCACTAAACAGCCATTCAGATATGCCCTCGGAAACAACAGCATGTACGACATACATTTCATCGAGCAGCTTCATCATCTCATCTAGCGCCTGATTCCGACTCCAAAGCTGGACAAGATCTGCGCGCTTACTGCCGAGTGCTTCTCGAACTTCGGTCAGACGCGTCTTAGCATCTTGAATTTGGTCTTGAGTAGAGGAGAGGGAAGTTAAGAGTGCAGCATGGTGGGGGAGAGACGCGGCGAAGGACTGATAATGCTCTAAACAAAATGATCAGGTAATTGCGCACAGTCCATGTGCAGGCTCCGTACTATCGACTGTGGCTTTGAGAGCGCGTTCGAGCGCCAGTTTCGTTCGTCGAAAAGAATCAATATCACGCCCTACCGATGAATTATCCAGCAGAGAGAGCGCAACTTCGACAGGATTGAACTAGACGAACTGTTAACAAGAATCTCGCAGCAAAAAAAAGCACACACACATCTTCGTCAGCAAGAACACCCCACTTGTCTTTAATCTTGTCCAACATCGCATCTAACTCATTTGTAGGGCCCTTTCCATTCGTTCGCCTTTCCCTGTCCTGAGTTCGAGATCGATCGATTCCTTCCCTCCGTTTTGACCGGCCATTCACCTCCGATCCTGCACTTCCGTTCGTCATTTTACGCCTAGTCTCGCCCGCGTTCTGAAAAGCAGCAATGACAGCACCAAGTGCCTTCGGTGTCTCCGCCTCCGGTTGAGGTTGAGGTTCGTCGTAAATGAGTCCTTGCTCCTCATCGGAAGGTGCAAAGCGTGCCGAGGCATAGCTGTCGCTTGGCTGATGGGCCGGGCGCCATTGATTAGCTGACGGCACAGAGTCTGACGAGTTTAGACGCTCGCGCAAGTTCGATCGTGCAGGGCGCATGGGGGCTGATGAAGATGCGGGCAGGGGCGATGCCCCTCTCCCGGATTGTTGGACATCTCTGACGTTTCGGCTGACGTTCAATGGCGGCGTTGATAAGCTGCCACCTCCTCCATAATTGTAGGACTGATCTGGTGGCTGACGGCTTCGCTGGGTCGGAAATGGGCCCTGGCGCGACATGGTCGCTGACAGTGAAGAAGGTGTTTGACGTGTGTGAGCGTCGTGCCCAGAGTTGTTTGGGACGACCTCGAAACCACAAAGTGGCGGTGGCGGATGCAAGGGCCCGCATCGTTATCATCTGGACGACGACCTCGTACGAGTTGCGTGTTCTCACAGCATTGATACTCTACAATATCTTTTTATCTGATTTATCAATATGGCATGCTACATCGGTATAAAGTTATCTGGCGGCACCAGGCTCGTGGTCTAGAGTGAGTTTCAGCAGCAACAAGCCCTATGGCCCGTATCCATACCAGTGGTCTCGTCAACTATGGGAATGAGAATACCATTATTCTAAGTATCTAGAGCTGCATGTGCACGTAGCATTGCCTTACAGGTCGTGGTAAGACACGCGCTTGTATGTGGCAGGAGTGAAGTCGAGCTTCACCCCCGGCAGTGTCAACATGTCAGGCATCTGCCGCGCCCCTGGACGAGGGAACAACGAGAGTTCCTTCAAGCGGCCAAAGCATGGAGGTCCTGCTGCACGCGCCCTGGCGAAGTCTCGAATGACGGGGCATAATACCGGATCAAACACCGTGTCGACCATGGGGCCAGCCCAGTGCGAACGATAGTTCACTGGTCCGGTCCGCCGCGAACGCACTCCGAACATCTCCAGATTAGGCAACATTGAATATTTGTTCGTGTCCGTCATTCGTTCCACCAACGGCATCAGGTCGATGTTGTCGATATCAAAGAGCACCTCTCGGAGGGTGCGATTGTGCTGCAGCAGGAAGAGGAAAGGGACATGGAACCTCGGATCCGGCGCGTAGCCGTTGCGTTGATCGCCGATAATCGTCAAAATATCCAATCTTGGTGTCCATAGCACCCTCATCTTCTCCCAGACAAGCACCGGCAGGTCCTGGAGCCGCAGATTCCGCAGGTTAGGGAGCTCAAGCCACTTGCTCTCCATATCTGTTTCGTATGACCAGTGAACGTCGTCACTGAATGTCAGGGTGAGTTCCTCTATATGCCCACATTCTCTGATGGTCTGAAATATATCTTCTATGCTTGACCGGCGTGCATTGATGATCAACTTCTTGAGAGCCGGTGCGTTGATTTGCACTATTCGAGGATTCTCCAAGTCGATGAACAGGCGTTCTAAGGAAGTTTCCAGCCTCGGTATAGGCCCGTCTGCCATTTCGAGGTGTTTTACACCGCACGCAGCGATCCGGAGGGACATGTCCCGGATTCTCAAGTTTTCCTGGAAAACGTTCATGAACGACTCCTTAATGATATGGGAGCAGCCCTGGAAGTTCAGCTTCTCGATTCTGTGCTGCCATCGCTTGAGAAATTTGAACATCTCGTCGGCCGATATATTGCTGGCGTCGTGGCACCAGACGCCTTCGATTGAGATGTTCAGTCGTGTTGCCTTGGAGTACATCATGATGAAACGATTCGCCTCCATCAGTGTGATGTCGTTCCAGATATCGTAGTCCGACCACATGGAGGGCGCGCTGAAAACGATCCGGCGCCAATGTTTGCACACCCTTGCGATGGTGAACTGAAACGCGTACTCGTTGGGGAGCTCATCCTTCGCCCAGTTGAAAATTTGAGCCAGTACCTCTACCGGCATTCGAGCGATGGGTGTTCGTCTGCCTTGCGCGCTGAAGACCGCTTGACCCAATAAGTGGAAGTACTCCGTCGCCTGGGCCATATCAAGTGCCTTACGTTTGACATCCTTGGCATAACGCTGGGCGTGTAATAGGATCATGTGTCGATGGGGGATCGGCATATGATGTTGTCCATGGTAAACCAGCGGGCCGGGGTTCATGATCGGTGCGAAGTGAGGAGTTGGATAAGGTGGATGCAATGGAGGAAGAATTTGCTGGCTAAAATAAGTGGGCTGAGTTACATGCATCGGGGGTTGGGGCTGCACCGGTTGTTGGTGAGATGAATTAGCAGGGTGGGTTGGGGTTGGGGCAGACATTGTCGTCGTCGTGCTTGGGGGTGTTATCGTATGAGATCCGGTTTGCATGTAGTATTGCCATATTTGTACTCGCCTGTGGTTATTAATCCAGTATGAACCTCAAGGTAAATACACGTCTGTGTCGTCAGAGATGGTGTCGGAATGCATAATGCCAAGAGTGTAAGCCATGTTTTGGTTAGATCGTAGGTCGCTGTAAGGTTTCTGGCTCTCCTTTTCCTTATCAGGCCCGGGCCGAATACTCTCTCGAGACATTGGCTTGTGGCGGCTCATTCCTGCTTATTTTGGTGAATTGTTTGCTTCCTGAACATGGTCGCAGGGTTGCAGGTATCCAAACAACGCGACCCGGTGTCTCGGATGAAGTTTCTATCACTGAACCCTCATGATCTAAGTTGTGGTGGGCCGAGAAGTCAGATTCATATGCATGACATTTTTATTGGGCATGGGGTGCTTATGTTGTCAACGAACAAACGGGGAGACGGGAACTACGCATTATCTAGTCATCAGCATTCAAGCACAAAATATGATCCTTCTCTGTTGATCGCTCCGATAGATCCTCAACTGTAATTCGGTGCACCGGGTCGGAATGACCAGTCCGGGCCGCGCATAGCAAACTGCTGCGCCATTGGCACCCGCGGCATGTCACGATGCGGGAAGAACTGTGGTGCCCATTGCCGTATACCACCTGCCCCACCTATAGTGTGAGGCGGTATGTATGCGTGGTAACCAGGGGGAATTGACGGAGCCGCATTGGGTGTGCCGGGGTTGTGATCTGCCTTCTTTCCCTCCTGGGTAGCCTGAGGCTGAGCTTCCGGCATAGTTGCCCGTGCGTTCGTGCCTGAGCCAGTACCACGGGTGGGGCCTGGTGTACCAATCGCATCCAGGGGGTTAACTCCGAAGTTAGTATTCTCCAACAAACCCGCGTTAAAGGTGGATATCCAGGCTCCCGGAGCAGGAGGAGGAATAGGCCCAGGTACAACTCGCGTCTGGAACCGCATCGATACAGGTTCTCCAATTGAGAGGGAGGCGAAAGCAGTGAACTCAAAGTGTGTGACAGGAGGTGGCGGTGCTGATAGTGTTGATGTACCCACATTGGGCAGATTTGCCACAGTAAGAGCAGTCTCGGCCGGGGCCGCGGAGGGAGCAGCAGGTCCGAATGATGAAGACGGCCTTGACGGGACTAGGGCTGCTTCCGGTTGAGCCACCACCGGCGCGTTCATTGGTTGGACAGGAGGCGGCGACCGCACGAGGGCGAGGACAGGTGCAGTCGGCACTGGCGAGGGTGACGGGTTCGCGTCCACTTCACGTTCGATCGACGGTATAGACTGTGCAGGAGGGGTAGGTTCAGGATTGGCAAAGTCATGCTCCGCAACAGCGGGCATGCGGAGCGGCGGACTAGGCGCAGAATGCGTGAATCCACGCTCGAAGCCAGGTATGACAGGATGAGGTGGAGGAGAGATTCCAGGATGAGTAAAACCACGCGCGTATGGCACTTCCGGAACAGGATGGGACGCTCCTCGCCACATGTCGGGACCAGGTGTCGGCGCAGGATGAGTGAACCCCCTTTCGGGCGGTGGAGAGACCAGTGTTGGGGAACGAGCGCTCTCGTCCGGATGGGAAGCGTCCGGCCCCACAGATGATGTTGATGAAGCAGACTGGGACGCCGCCCGGATAGGTTCTTGGGGCTCTTGCTGAGGTCCATTAGTATAAAGCGAGTTCGGGGCGGTCATTGCGGTGTTAGCAATACGGGATGTGTTATCGACAGGAGGCTGTTGCATAGTGGGAGACATCATATCCATCTTCGGCATTTGGTTAGACAATTCAGGCTGCATCGAGGTTTGGGGTATATTCAGTTGAGGCATGTTCGTATTGGTATTCATGGGCGAGCTGTTGAGGAAGGGACCCGCTGCAGGGTGTCCTAGTGGAGTGACGCCTGGAGTGGGAAAGTTTCCGCGAGGCGGCTGTCTGAGGCGAAGAGCCGAGAGGGGCATCCCTGCGGAGAAGGATGAGAGTGATTTGCTGTGCAAAACCATACTGTTGTGGGACATCGAACAGCTGGAATTCGAGGGGCCAGAATCGATGTCGATCTCACGAGAAAACGCGGGCGACCCAGACGACGAGGACGGAAGCGAGGTAACCACGGGCGGTAAAGAAAGAAGCTGCTGGGCCACATTATTGGTTTGTTCTGGGGCATAGAGGGATGTCGGTTTCAGGGAGGCTGCTCTTCCCTCCCCTCTACGGGAAGCTTGTTCCACCAAACGCTTGCTTCTGCGCACGCCAGTCGGTTCTTCATCCTCCGGGATGGCGCTAAGGCCCCTTGCAACACGTTTAGCTGCAGGCGCAGCTTCAGACTCCGACTCTGCGTCCCGTGTCACAGAGCGAGCACGTTTCCTCCTCCCGGCAGCAGGTGCAGCTGTCGCCGCATCGCCACGGTCTGTGATCCAGGTATACGGTGAGGCACCTGTTATCGCAACCGAGAGCGCATTCGCCTGAGAAAAGGACAAGGTGTTCAGGCGAGGGTATCGGTTGATAGTGTCGTCTTCCGCGGTAATAATCTTACTGCAAGATAAAGTTAGCCGAGATGTCAACGCATAAGAGTAACGGACGCACTAAGTCCACCCAGACGCATTGCTGTTGATGCTTCGACGGTCTGGCTGCTGAACAATGGATTTGCGCGCTTTGATATCCTCTACAAGAGTGCGTGCGGCTTCGAGAGATATCTCGACCATAAACCGATGTTCACATGTCTCGATTTTGTTCCCTCTTGCGTCGCTCTTGGAGGAAGAAGAAGGCGTGTGTAGACAAGAAGTGTAGACGTCGTGAATAGGAGAAGAATCGGATACCACGTATGTGTTGCTCAGATAGTCATTGAGGACGGTCTTGAGCTCCTGGGCGAGGGGAATCCAGTCCCAGTTGAGCAAACGCGTGCGATAAACATCGAGGATAATGAATGTATGGCCTTCGCTGAGCTTGAGATTGGGCTTGATTCGGTTCGTGTGGCGGACCCATGGCGGAAGATGGTGTATTACCTCGTCATCAGGTGCATTTCGTAGGGCAGGTATGAAGAAGTTCGGTATCTCGCGATAGAGATGAGCAGGATGATGACACTGCTGCACCTCAACGTAGTCGGGCCAGAGGCCGCATGCGCAGACCATAAAAAGGGGCGGAGCGGGCCATTGCTGGATTAGAGAGGCCATGGTGTTAAGAGGCTACGTGTGCTGGAGGGTTGGGGAATCAACGAGTGCCCTCCGTGTGGACTGTTCAAGACTCGGCCTATATACCCCCCCACGGGACCTTTTTTTCTTCTTCTTGTTTGATAGCAACCTCAAGGATCAAACAAAAGACTTTCCCTTTGACATTCCGCGGATTCCGCGTTTTGTATCTCGAGGATTGTTTGGGTCAGGCAGCTGACAAACTCTGTATTACGTCCCACGGCGCCGAGACGCCCCATCGCCGCAATCCATTATAGTTGAATATCACACCCCATGTGCCTTGCCAAATGCGAAGCGCGCTCTAACTCCGCAGGGCAAGATGTTGTGTTCACACACCTTTCCCAAGCCCCATTCTTCAACTGCATGGAGCGGAAATCTTTGTCAGAATAGACTACTCCTTCAGTACATCACAACTTCGAAATTCGATCCAACTGTTCTGGAAGCTCCGTGCCGTCCCCCTTTAGTGGGTTTGAGTTGCGTGGATGGCTCGAGGTCCATGTGACTGCTCCAATATCCAGGCGAGAAGCTGAAGGGACTTGTGAGAGTGGAACCATTTTAACATTCATGTTCATCACCCCGCTTCGCCATTTCCATACAAGGTGCAAGGGGTTTTAGTAGTGACCAACAATATCTCACTAGGAAGTAGATTAAGCATCGATATCGCGCAGGGCTGGGGTAACAAGTTGTTGCGCGAAGATTACCCTCAAAAGGTTCCGAACGGAAACAAAATGTCCATTACGCGTCGCGCGAACTGGCGACAAAGAGCATATAGGCGCTTGACCATACCATAATGTCTGAACCTAAGAAGCAAGAAAGAGGTACGTATAGTCCTCACGAACCTATTGATGTGTCTGAGAGAGCAATGCAGATTACACGAAGGAGGTTAACGAGTTGTTGCCGGAGGTTGAGGCATTAGTCAAGGTATGGAGTGCCACACACGGTGCATGATCACCCACCTAATACACCTCTCAGGCCCGTGCAATTCAAGAGGCGCTAGACAGGATCTATGTATTGGAAAAACAGACACGGAATGTGGGCATTGTGGCATGTATCTATGTTGGCACAACTGACATCGTACAAGGCTGCCGATATTCCCTCAACCCGTACACTGGCCAACCGGGCCATTGGCATCTGCTACGAAGCCAAGCAATACGGGCTTCTGAATACGACCTTCCAAACTCTTACGAAAAAGCATGGTCAAATCAAGGGTGTCATTCAGAGTATGGTGGAGGACTCGATGCCGTGGCTTGACCACATGGAGGGCGAGACGAAGCTGGAGTTCGTAAAGATGCTGCGAGAAGTGACAGAGGGCCGCATATTCCTTGAGACACCCAGGGCGCGCTTGACACTCATCCTCGCAAGGCATGAGGAAACTCTCGGTACCAAGGAAGCATTGGAGAAGGCGTCGGAGCTGCTGTCGGACTTGCAGGTGGAGACGTACTCCAGCATGGAACGACGAGAAAAAACGGACTTCATCCTAGAGCAGATGAGGCTGCTGGCGGCGATAGGCGATTGGAGTAGAGTGAAAGTTGGCAGCAGAAAGATCAACCAGGCCTTCCTGAAAGAGGAGAAGAACGAGGTTCGTCCTTCATGTTTTTGTAGGTATATTATATGCTAACCACATACAGGATCTGAAGCTCCGTTTCTACGATCTTATGATCCGCTATTCTTTAGAATTGGATGAGTACCTGGAGATCTGCAAGCACTACTACGCCATTCGGGACACCCCAAGTATCAAGGCTGACGAGCAGAAGTCACGTCTGGTAAGTGGGTGTGTCGGTGCAGCAAAATATAACCAATTCTGGCTCGATAGGCATTGGAAAACATCGCATACTTCATCGTCCTTGCCCCGCACGACAATGAACAATCAGACATGATCAACCGTCTCAACATCGACCCTGCATTGACCAAACTACAACTACAAAGGCATGTTCGTTACTTTAGAAGCACGACCCGTTTCTTATAGCCGTCATAGCCAATTGATCAAGTCCTTTGTCACCCCCGAACTCATGCGTTGGCCGAACCTCGTCGACTACTATGGCGAGACCCTGCGGAAGACGGCCGCCTTTGCACCGGTATCTTCGCCAGAGAACAACGATGGGAAGGGCGACAAGCGATGGAAGGAGTTGCACAAGCGTGTCATTGAACATGTACGCTTTCACATTCAATTCACTGATGTTTATTCTCAAGCCGTGCAGAATATTCGCATCATTGCGAAGTACTATACCCGCATACATCTGAAGCGGTTAACGCAGCTGCTCGACCTCACCCCACAAGAGACCGAAGACGTGCTTTGCCGACTGGTTGTTGACAAGACGGTATATGCGCGCATTGATCGTCCTGCAGGGATTGTCAATTTCAAGGCTCCCAAGACACCAGAAGACGTGATGAACGACTTCAGCGGTGACATGGCCAAGCTGTTAGGTTTGGTCGAAAAGACTTGGATGAGGTATGTCTTTCTACATAAGCAACGACGTGCTGTCACTGACGGTCGTCGTAGTATGAATGCTGCATTAGCCGCGAAGGCATAGCATGTGTAGTGTACATCATAGTATATCTCGTAGAGACCACCACCTCATTGCTTGAACATGAACTGGAAGTTGAACTGCTTGATCTCGGGATCCCAGTGTGACCAGTTCCATCCGGTAACATCATCATGCTCATCCTCTATTTCACGTGCTGGTATCCGGAAGGCGATCGTCTCGTACGGCTCCGCAGCGACCTGCACCACATCAGCTCAACTCTCCCTGCGACTTAGTCATCCACTTACAATGAGATACTGGAACGACTTGTTCGGTGGCTCCTTCCTTTGCTCCCAAGCGCTCATAAATCTCTTTCTCGGCACTTGGCCCTCCTTGATCTGCGGCAAATGTATCTGGACCAACATGCCCTCCTTCCCCTGTATCTGCCCTCCGGCACCATACGCGTCTGCAGGGTCGATCTGCTCGCGTACCTTGGTGACTCGGTAACCAGGGCGGCCTATCTTAAGCCACATGCGCTTCTGCACCTGCTGACCAGAGGGGGCAACAGACAACTGACTATCTTTCAGATCACGCGCAGCACGTCGGGCGAGGTTGGTTTGGTGCTTCTTTCCCTGCGTGTGGGCGAGGTAGGAACCCTCGTTGGTGTGCAGGGTCAGGCAGAGTCGGCATTCAAGTGACCCAAGATGATTACGAAGAATATATGGATCCTATACACCCACAATATGAACGTAGTCAGCACTTTCCATATTGCGGTAAACAGCGATGGAATACACGCCTTTGCCAGATCTATCGTCTCAAGCGCCAATTTCCTCAGCCGCTCACGGCGGTCTACGTTCGCTTCACTCGCTCCAGCGACACCACCACCTCCAAACTTAGAGCCAACACGATTTTGATAATCTAGAGAATAGCTGTTAGTTAGTGTCATCATATAATCGATAAGATGTGTGCCTACCCATCACTATTCAGTTTATGTTAGATACGTGACGTTTGGGCACAAGCAGCACTAATAGCACACGATGGCACGAATGAGAAATGCGAAAGAAAGTGGCGAGTGACCGGGGTCCTCGCAAAACTCCATAACTCCGTTCGGCTCCGAGCTCAGGAAAAGGCTTCGGGGGCCGCAGCAGTAGCCTCATCACGTGCTGGTTTTTTTCTTCTGTTCCCATTTTGTTTGACTCGGGACGGAGCATCGCAATTTTCTTGAGGACAACTACAGAAGCGAGTAAGTGGAACCTGGGCCTCGCAAAATTCATGAACGTGAGAATGCTATTGCTAACAGTTCCTGTTTGGCAAGAGATTGTTTGGTCGAAGGCAATTGAAAGTCACATCGATAGGCGTGCGGTTCTCACGCGCTCTTCGAGAAACCGATGAAGGTTTTTCATTCCATCTTATTGATTCTCCCAAATTGTCAATATCCCATATCATACAATAAATCATAGTTTAAACGTTTCGAGACTACAAAGTAGGCGTTCAAGGCTCACTGGAACCTCTTCGACCTCCCCACTCGAACAAGCGTGAGCACGTGACATGAATTTGCTCCGAGTGCCAGTCACCGGTACGTGTACTCTGGGCGGACAGACAGCGGCGGAAACGACCGTAGCTTCCAGTCACTTGTAAGTGCAAGACAGTTTTGCATTGATCGGCCACCCTCAGATTGACTTCGACGGGTGGTATACTCCCGTGGTAGGTCGGACCATCTGACCCGAGGAAGGCAGCTTTGAGCAATATTTAAGTGCGGAAAGTGCCCCTAAAAGCTGCTCGGCGGATTCCCGGAATGAAGTCTGCACATCCGAAACGCTTGCACTGGGTGACTGCAAGTAAGAGCACTGATCGATCATAACACGCAATCTCCACCACACCCGAGACACTCACACCCAGCCTTCCGCCGTCCGCCGGCCTATCACTGCTCGCGAGACAAATATAAGCAAGGTGTTAGTATATTGTTTAGATTCCGATTGTGTCACTATTGCTACTCCCATGGCTCCCATGGGACTTCCCGATGCACACATACACAAATATCATATCATCCTCATGCCCGTGGCTCTGCGTTGCTGCACCGAATCAGCTGCGTCCGCAACCCAGAGAGGAAGAGAGCAAACATACCCGATTAACGACGCCTCTCCACTTCAGCGCCCTGCCCTGAACCTCCCTACTCCTGCTGTCCTTGAACTTATCCCCAACGTCAACGAACGCCCAGCTCGGCCGACCCGGTTTGGCAGGAGGGACGTGAACCGTGGGGAGGTCTTCCTGCTTTCGCCTGGACTTGGCGAGCTGTTGTTGTTGCCGTTCGGCTTGTTCTTCCAGTTCTCGGGCGATGATCGGTCGCTAAAGGGAATCAGGGTGCTGGAAAAATAACCGAAGAAAAAACGACGCACATCACCTTCAGCTACCATCTCCCAGATGATCCTGCGTGCTCCTTGCTCGGGGACCATGCGGTCTCTTGCCCTTTTCTCCTCCTCGTCCACAGTATACAGCTCCTTGCGCCTCGGTCCTTCATTATGCGCTTGGAAGGAAAGCTTGTCCTCTGGAACGAGACGCGAGTGAATACCCATGAAGCGCTCCATACCTTCTCTGAGCGCGTGTTGGAGCTGATTCTGATTGGGGTTCAGCATTGCGCATTCAAGGTGGAAGAAGGGGGAGGAAGGAAAAGAGTCAGAAAGTTAATAGATTCTAAGCCCATCCCGAAGGATCTTAAGGTAATGCGAATGATAACGGTTCATCGTTCGAAAGGGGAAAAAGAGTAAAGAGTGCTCACCTCCTGTTAGCATCAGAGCACGGAGAAGTTGTCAGCTTATGTTCACTGAGACGGAGATGAAGAGTCAGAAAGTGAAGAAAAGAAATTTCGACCATGGAGTTGTCTCCTAATACATGCTGTCTTTTTGCTCATCCCAAGAAGTGCTGAACGCGGACTGGTACAGGGAAAATATTTACCTGGAGAATCGTTAGCTGGGGTACAGACGGAAGGAGAGAAGAAGATCAGAAAGCCATGCATGTAACGATTTTTAACCATGTAGGTGTCTTAAAGACTAATCGATGTAACTCATCCTATATGCCACTCGGAAAGGACAGGCAAAAAGGAGCAAGACGTACCGGGACAATTTCTTGATGCTGTTTCAATTTGATGACTGCATTGACGCGATCGATGCTGATCGCATATTTTTGGCTTAGGGTGCGTACTGTTTGGGGATCGGGAGACTCCTTGTACGCCCAATATATTGTGTTGCGGTCTTCATTTGATAGCGGCATGGGAGGACGGAAGCTAGGATTGGAGGGGAAGATCTAGAAACATCTCAGTCAGTGAATGACCAATAAAAACGTGCAGACGAAGTTCATAGAAAGACTTGAACGTACGCATCCGTAGTTCGGTGCGTCGGTCGTCAACGCTATCCCCAAATAGTTTGTGCCTTGCTCCGGAGGGAGCCTCCAACGCTCCCCTGTTCCGCGCAACCATTGCTTATAAGTCTCCTTCGCAGATGAAGCGCGTGTTTGAGCGGGCGCATCGGAGTCTGCGGATTCGGATTCTGCAAGTTGGGCGGCCTCGGCTTCTGGATCTTGTGGGGATTCGGAGAGGTCAGTGGAGTCGTCTTCCTCCTCCGCTAGAGAGCGGAGAGAGGCTGAAAATCCTCGAGAGAAGGAAGCGACCCCCTGTGGTATTCTCCTAACATACGCTACATGTTGTGGTCGTATTCGTACATGAAGTAATTGAGGGAGGACGGAGGGAGGCATGGTGGGGGGAGAGGAGGGAGAAGGAGAGGGAGGAGGAGAGGCAAAAGTGATTTTTGCGCGTCCTAAAATGGGAATTAGATCACAGCCACTAGAAGCACCCCACGCGCGCACACGCAACCGTCAACGTCAGCCTGAGGGGCCATTGAATTGTTAGGGTTCACCGGACCATCCATCCTCCTCGTTGTGCATTCATTTGCTTCACTACTTCACTGCTAGTCGGGTTACTGGCGACTTGGTTCTGATAGATGGATGAGTCTGTGGTGGTGGTCACACCTCACAGCGTACACCCAGCAGTCGCATTCCTCAGAGCAGTATGGATCGTAACACGTGAGCTTACTTGGACGCATACTTTACCCCACATACCCATCTGACTGACATCTTAACCCCAGTCTACCTGCTCGCCCTCATTCGCACTCTCGTCACTTTCTCCACCGTTTATGTCCCTAGATTTATCTATACCGTAGTCACATATTCCTTTACTCTCCAGGTCTGTCCCTCCTCCCGCGTGCCTCCAGGTCTTCTAACACCTTCTCTGCGCAGCTCACCTTCCCCTACCTAGTGACAATCTTCGTCCTCCTTCTCCTCACGATCTCAGTCTCGTTACATTACTTCTACTTCGCTAAGTACCGGAATCTCAAGGAAGAGCCTCTACAGAAGGGAGACGCCAAAGAGCTCCACCCCGATGTGGTCTCCGATACCCCACCTAACTTCCACAGCTACCTGGACGAGTTTCTCCAAGCTGTACGCGTCTTTGGCTTCCTAGAGCGGAATGTATGCATGTATGCTCTCTTATTTATGAGATGCTGATGAATATAGGTGTTCCATGAGCTTGCTCGGCATCTCCAAACCCGGAGGCTCATCGCCGGGGATACAATCTCCCTCGACTCGGACCATTCGTTTTACGCTGTGATCGATGGACTTGTTCAGGTTTACGCACAGCAGGGAACCTCTTCCTCTGGACACGACACCGGTGGAGCACTGGATGATGACGGGGACCTCAACGGCTACCAGCTGCTAAACGAAGTCTCCTCTGGGGGCACGATCAGCAGTTTGTTCACCATACTCTCCCTGTTTACCGAGGACGTTCCTATCTCCTGGCCTGAACCTCAAGATGAAGATGATGACCAGTCGCTCGCACTCGCACTCGCCCCGAACAGGCAGACAGTCTCGCCTCTCTCGCTCTCCATTGGCACTCAGGGGCAGGGCACAGACACCGATATTCCCCGTTTCTCCCTCGCGAGGCGAGACACCAGCTCCACCTCAGGTAGCGCAGAACCGAGTGAGGCAGACGCAGCCACAGTAACGGAGCTGGACGAGCCACGCGTCCGGATCCGTCCTCCTTCTATGTCCTCAGGGCGTGCCACTCCCCCCAAGTGGCCAGATTACCGTCGTTCCAGCTCTCTCCCACACGACGTGAGACATGGGACCGTCGCCCGTGCCGCGACCGATACGACTCTAGCCGTTATCCCTGCTGAAGCCTTCCGCCGGCTGACAAAGAACTTCCCTAAAGCCTCGGCTCATATCGTCCAGGTCATCCTCACGCGTTTCTCCAGGGTAACGTTCAACGTCGCACACAAGTATCTGGGGCTGACCACCGAGCTCCTGCGCACCGAGAAGGTCATCAACGACCTCGCGTGCCATCCCCTCCCCGCGACGTTCTACGAAGGCGGGGGGATGCAGCGATTGCGCCAGCGGTTCGCACCGGAATTGGACACGGACAAGTCCTCTAGTACGGAGACGGATTACTTTGCGTATGATCCTGTAGCCAGCCCCACTGCGAGGAATACGCCGTTCTTGAGAACTATGCCAGCATTGGCGACGACGAAGATCGCCGATCGTGTCAGCTCCGCGCCTACCATCTCCTTTAAGGCCCCCCAGACACCCGCCTTTCCAGCCCGCGCCTCTCTTAGCCAAGTCGGAGCAGGAGATCTGTTCAGTATGACCCGCCCCGCCCCAGAGTACTCTGGCCTCTCCCGCACAGCCAGCGGCACTGCTACTCCCTTCCTCGGCCCCCGCCGTCGGGGAAAGAGTGATACCAGCACGAGTCCTTCCATAGACCTAGCAGCACTGACGATGGACGACTTTGACCTCCGGGAGGAAGTGATGACTTGTCTTGCACGGTCGATTGGGCTGCAGCAGCCTGGGCCCTCGGGCTCAGAGAGTGCGGAGCCTAGTCCGGCTGTCAGCCCAGCTACGAATGGACTAGGTGCGTATGGGTCTCCATTAGGCCCGTTGACAGCACTCGGTATGCCCGGGGTAGACGACGCGAGCAGCGTGACTGGCCAGAGTGCGGCCAATATGAGCCTCGGTGCAGCGGGTGTGGTGGAGAACGCGGTAGAGATACTGTACTTCAGCGCTGGGAGCACGCTCGTCCATGCCGGAGAGCGGAATGCGGGTGAGTGTCTACTTTTCTTCGTATGATGGTGGATGTGGCTGATCGAGCGGCGGATGACAGGGTTGTTCTTCGTCATCGACGGGTTTTTGGAATGTTTCCTTCCCGTCGAGGACTGGGAGAGGGACAAGACCGCTAACATGACGGCCGCTAATGGCGAAGCGGGGATGAAGCCGTCAGCCCTTTTCTCCCCACTCGGGATGGGCACTAATTGAGCGTAGGTTCTTGACTGCCCAGCCTCAGGCGGATCCACGCTTGAACAAGGGCTTTATGCCTGGGAAGAAGAAACGGTCTATGAGCTCCAAGTACCTGTTTACAGTAAAACGTGGCGAGATAGCCGGATATTTATGTAAGTCCAGTCAAGGTCTGATTGCGGAAGGGCAGGGCTGACAAACAACAGCGGCAATGTCCGGTATCCCGTCCTACATCGATATCAGGGCGAAGACGGACGTATATGTGGGATTTTTGCCTGCTCATGCGCTTGAGCGACTGCTGGAACGACGGCCAATCGTGCTTCTCACCCTTGCGAAGCGGCTGATCTCCCTTCTGTCTCCTCTCGGTAAGTTTCTAACTCCGGGTGTTGGCTGTACTGAGAATATCACAGTGCTACATATCGACTCCGCCCTGGATTGGATGCAGGTCAATAGTGGACAAATCATTTGGCGAGAAGGCGACGCCAGTGACAGCTTCTATATTGTCATCAATGGTCGGCTGCGGGAATTGGATGACAAAATGGGCGACGACGTCGAGATACTCGCTGAGTACGGTCAGGGAGACTATGTCGGAGAACTGGACGTCATCACTGGCTCTCCGCGGAATACGACTCTGCACGCTATTCGTGACACTGAGCTTATCCGCATGCCATTAACGTTGTTCAACGCCATTTCGGCAAGACATCCTCAAGCTACTGTACAGCTTTTGAGGATGATTGCCTCGCGCAACAAGGCGGAATCTCGGCCTCATACCATTGGCGTTGGGCACGCGCCGTCACTGGGCATGGCCCATGAGCTTGCCAAGAATAACATGAATCTCAAAACGGTCGGCATACTCCCTGTATCGAAAGATATCCCCATTACGACGTTTGCCAAGAAACTCCAGGCGGCCTTGGAAAGCATCGGGGCGCCCACTTCCTATTTGGACCAGAACGTCGTCACTACCCATCTGGGCCGGCATGCGTTCACGCGAGTTGGTAAGCTCAAACTCGCAGGATGGTTCGCCGATCAAGAACAGCGATATCGAATCGTGTTGTACGTTGCGGATACGCCCGTCAGCTCTCCATGGACGCAGACATGCATCCGCCAAGCCGACTGCGTGCTCATGGTCGGATTTGGCGATGAGCCCAGCGTGGGCGAGTACGAGCGTGTTGTGCTATCGACCAAGACGACCGCTCGAAAAGAGCTTGTCCTCCTCCACCCCGAACGGACTGTCACGCCTGGATCCACACGCGAATGGTTGAAGAATCGCAGCTGGGTACACATGCACCATCATGTCGAACTGCCAGGGTTGGTCGTCCCTGTTCTGCAAACACCCATTGTGCCACCAAAGGACAATGATGCCAAGGCGATGGCCGCGTTCCGAATGCTCAAAGAGACAGTGCAAAGCGGAATCCAACGTTATCGTCATCTAGGATATGGGTACAAACCGCGGCCGACACGGCCAGACCATACGACCGATTTTGCCCGTCTCGCCCGCCGCCTATGTGGGAAGAGCGTTGGGATCGTCCTTGGCGGTGGCGGCGCGAGAGGCTTGGCACATCTGGGTGCTCTTCGTGCGCTGGAGGAACAAGGCGTGCCGATCGATTTGATTGGAGGCACCAGCATCGGCTCGTTTATCGGTGGTCTGTATGCTAGGGAAGGCGACTTGTTTTCCAGCGGGGGCAGAGCTAAATGGTTCTCTGCGCGAATGACGAACGTGTGGAGGATATTGTCAGACGTCACTTGGCCCGTGATTGCCTATACAACTGGGCACGAATTCAACAGAGCGATATACAAATGTTTCTATGATGTTCATATCGAGGATATGTGGATCCCGTGCGGAAATTTTCACACCCTCTTTTCGAATGCTCATCAGGTGTAGATTCTTCTGCAACACTGTGTCCCTCAACTGGTCGAGGATAGAGATCCACGATACTGGGTACGCGTGGCGATATATCCGAGCATCCATGACGCTTGTTGGCCTGTTGCCCCCTCTGAGTGATCACGGGAATATGCTGGTTGATGGTGGCTACAGTACGTCTCTACCTCGGCTTCGATGCCTTCCTATACTGACCATACCTAGTTGATAATCTTCCTGTATCGACCATGCTGCAGAAAGGCGCCAATATCGTGTTCGCCGTCGATGTGGGCGGTGTGGCCGATACCTCTCCGCGCTTCTTCGGTGACTCGATCTCGGGCTGGTGGATCCTGCTCAATCGGTGGAACCCCTTCTCGGAATCGAGGAAGATCCCCCCGATCACTGAGATCCAGGGGCGACTTGCATAGTGCGTCTCTTTCGCATCCCTACTGCCTATCGTCGCTTAACATGGCCAATCTCCCAGCGTCTCTTCTGTTCGCTACCTCGCAGAAGCGAAGCACCTTCCGGGCTGCATGTACATGCCACTTCCGGTACAGCAGTACGGCATCATGGACTTTGCAAAGTTCGGCGAGATCCAGAAGATTGGCCTCGTGGGGGCGCGGGAGATGCTCAAGCTATGGGGCGAGCAAGATAAGCTGCCTATTCCGAGGGCGGATGAGGACAGCAAGGGAGGCGAAGAGAAGAGGGGCAAGAAGGGAAAGAGGGAGAGGAGGAACTCGATATGATCGTATGTGAGATGATGGAAGGCGTTCAAGTGCTCTATGAATTTGCAAATTGTAAACCTACACGCGACTTGATGATACTGCATGGACATTATATGTCACTTATGTATCTATTACCAGCATGTTTACTCATTCCTACTATTTTGAATCCGACATTACCCGATTTAGAAGAGGCACATTTCTCGAGTGGTCCCTGAAAGCGCTCGTGTGCAAACAGCTCCTCGAACTCCAGTAACTCTCCTTCACCATCCCTCATACATTCAGAGAATATGCCACGGCGGGACGCTCAGGTTCACAAGACGATCTCCCGTCTCCTTCGCGGTTCAAACAAGCCTCCTCCAATATGGTACGGCGCCATGCTAGCCTATCCGCCCACATCCCCACCGCCGCTCAAACTACAGAACCAAAAACGACGTGCCTTCGACCTTTCACCGAACGTCACCCCTAGTCAGCTTCTCGACAAGCGACCGGTGAACATCGTCTATCCCGAAGATCGCCTGAGACAGCAGTTCTTCAAGGACCACCCTTATGAAGCATTCAGGGCGAAGAACCTCGTGGAAAGCAGGGAGGTGGGTGAGGAGGCGATCAACGGGCCCGAATGGCAGAGGCTTGTGCAGAGGGGGAGGAACCCTACACCAGAGGAGTGCGTCTCTAACCTCACCATGATGTGACAGAACCAGACTGACGCTGGCGGCCTGCCCACAGCTGCATTCAATACTCGCTTAACCTGCATCAAACCATGCATATGCCACTCTCTGACGCGTATCGCTCAGCCGTACATCAATATCGTGCCCTGCGTGCTGAACACGCCATAATGCGTTCCTTTGCATGCGCCGAGGCAGACGCGTACGGTGCTGAATTTAGTTCGTACGAGTTCGATCGCTTACATCGAATGGAAGAGGCCGAACTTGAGAAATGGCGTCTAGCACAGCAGGGCGAGAAGGAAAGGCTGGCAAGAAACAAGAAGTGGACTGCCACCCCTAACATTCCGCCCGCGGAGTGGAGCGCGGGAGACATATACATGCAGCGCCTGAGGCAAGGAGGAGGGCCCAGGCTCAGAAGCGAAATCGTGTACCCGGAGTCGGGCATCAACTCAGCAGAGACGACTCAAACACAGGTTGTGGATACGTTTTTGGCTGATGGGAGCAGGCTGAGGACGGAGGATGACGAGGATATATTGTATGATCGGCGTGGGCATCGGAACGACATACATGCACCAACGTTCTGAGACGTGGTGAGATTTAGAATTACTGGGCTTCGTTTAGTCTTAATCCGGAACTCGTTCGCCATCGACTCGGTTGATGTTTGCCAGGGTAGCCAGGATGTATCCAGATAGCATTATTTTGCCGAAATGTTTTATCGCTCGTCGAGAACGCGTGTCTGTTTCACTTCGGTTGTTGACTGTCATTTCCAGACAGGCGCCGTGTCATGTTCCAACGATTAGACGCTGGCACAGGAAAAAACCAGAGAGATGGTCATTTTGGGGTTGCATGGTACTAGACATCTTAGAAGGTGCATATTCGTGAAAGTCTATCGTGACGGTCCTTTTGAGGACACGTACACATTTACTGTGACCGCGTTCTGCGCTGGTACACAAGATAGTGGAAAGAAGAGGGTTGGTACCTGTGCACGCTGGGTGTCCTGGTGAAGAATATTGGGAAGGCCTGCCGAGCAACATCTGACAGAGTAATACGCACACTTTCAAGAGCCCTACCAGATCGTCCACGTCCTGTGAGAACAAATCGTGCTTCTCCTGGGCTGTCATGCGCGGAGCCGAACTACTCGAGTCTGGCTGTGTACGCGCAACAATCGGCAGCAACGTATCACGCACGGCCTCTTCGGCTAGGAAAAGTGTCTTTCGCCAGCGCCAGTCGAGCTTCGGGTCCGTATTCACGATCGAGATCATGTTCCGTATCAGGGGGTGCATATGCTCGATGTTACTCAACGGCGCTTCGACGAGTCGTTGAAAGTGCCGAGGCGCTTCAATTGCCTGCTGGAAACCACGCTCATTCAGCATGAACTGGACATGTTCCTCATAGCTCATCTTGAAGGTAGCCATATTTGCATTGTACCGGGTACCGAGGAATGTCCAGCCATCGTCCAGAATCTGAACGGGCGTCAAAGGGCATAAACATACACGTCAGAAAATATACCTCAAGTATCCCATTTTCTGATATAAGATTGCAAAGTTTCTAAATATGGTCACGGTCTTCTCAGCATGACAGGAGCGGAAGGAACCCACCATGAGTACACTCGGCCACTACAGAGATTTTGTCTCAGAGGCGCACACAAAGAGTCAACATGAGTACCCACCGCTTTGTCCGGAATGGCGAGGCGCATGTTTGCGAGACGGACATAGTCAAATTCACCGCGGTGGAAAGGAAGCACAGAATCACTTTTAGCAATAAGCGCCAACGCATGATTTCAAAACATGAGAACCAACAGCAGATTGCCCTGCCTGAACGATATTCGCTTCAACTGCTCAACGGTCATTTCGACGAGCGGCAAATCGAATGCATCAAATCCAACAAATCTGGTATCCTGAGCACACTCAGAGCGGATGTCAGTCTCAAGAGATGAAACGCACCGGCCAAGAAGCCGCTGCGTCGCGAAGCCAATAGCCGTAGCCGCTGCCAATATCTAGAGCATTTCGCGGACCTTTGTTGCGGCGATATTCCAAGAAAGAGGGGCCTCGATAATGACGCTTCACATAAGGAGGCTTTGTGTAATATGCGGCGCAATACATGTATTTTTCTCTGCGAAGGAGTTAGCAAGCTTTCTATTTGACTTGGACTGACATACACTCTGCGCGCTTCTTCATCGAACGGGTTCAAAGGATAAGGAATGCAGGTTAGGAGCTGCATTTCTCGATCATTACGTGACCCAGACAGGCGGGACGCAGGAGCATTTCCAAGGCGTTCCGTCTCCGAGTCAGACAGGCAAGGTGGATGTACCGTCTTGCGCTTCGGTATGGGGAGTAGGGGAAGTGGGGGTAGCGCTGCACGACTGTCGGCCCGACCCCCCGAGGGATTTGGGGTAGACGCTCTAGGATTTTCGGTGGTCCGAGTGCGGCGATGCGAGCGTGCTGCAGTACCATCCGTGTTGTATCCACCGTCTGCATCGGGGGTAGCCCGGCGTGGTCGAAACATGAAAGATGCTGGTTGTTGGTTGCTCTTCACGGCCGGAGGAAGCGGTGGAACAGGTGGACGCTCGGCAGCTCCGTTGGATTTTTGCTGGGACGGCGATCGTTGTGGTGAGGAAGATTTGCGAAGCGCCGATGACTCAACGTCGGTAAGATAGCCTTCGTCCAAAGATGACTGCTTTCCTCGAACGGATGTGGCGCGGGACGCTTGGTGTGGGACGTCTGGCTCTTTGCCTCTGGAGGTGAGAGATACAAGCCTGGGTCGCCACCCACGTGATTGAATAGGAGGTTGTTGAGAGGACATCGGTTGTTGGAGGACCATGAGAGCGCGCGGAGGCAGTCCTCTTTATACGCTAGAGTACAGAGCGCATGGACGACACGTTACCCCCCGCAAGGCTGAAATCGTAACGCGGAGTGAGAATGGACCGGAACTCGCCGTGATTAAAGATGTCCCGTTTGAAAGCAAGGCACGCTGCACGACACGTTGCTATCCGCGCGGGGTTAAAGGTACGAAAGGCTGTCCGAACGCCGACCGAGGCCCGTGAACGCGGAGGACCGATAGATCAGGAAGGGATTCGCCGCAAGAAGTAAATCCGTCATTGTATGGGATGTCGAAGCTGGTTGGGGTCGAATTCAGCTCTGACTCGGGCGTTCGAGTTAACAGAAGCGATAATCCTCGGCTTGAGGCGTGGGGCCCTGGACAATGGAGTCGACCTGGCTTCCACACAGCATTCAAGTCTTTCCTGAGACGATTGATTGGATACTCGTCACGTTTAATGCAGCCGATACAGAGGAGATTATCGACATAAGATCGCAGGAATCACCCGTCTTGATTTTACGTCTCGGCCGGTCCATCAATTCACGGGCCTGTTCGCTGGCACGCGTCGATCGTACATGTATTCAAGGATGGTGTTATTCTTCATGATACGCGTGGAAGGACCCAATATGACCAAGTGAAGGTGAGAAAATTTGTCCATCGATTGCGCCCGAGTCGACCGGCGTATACACTCGGGAGAGCCTGCGTTCGCAAGTTTCCACTGTACTCAATGCGGATCAACCAACAGGAACACATCGCGAGCGTGCGAAAAAGGCCCACCAGGATTCCGGATGCGGCCAGGGCTTATCAAAAGGCGAACGCTGTCTGGTACCAGCAAAAGGAGATACCCGACCACTAGAACAAAGCTTGCAATTGTGGCAAAATTGTTGAAATGTGCTGGCGTACACGCGTCTGACACGCTGTAGACATGCACCAGTTTCTCGGCTGACAGTGCCCTGGCAGGTACGGCACCGCGGAATTTTCTATGAGGAAGCTGCAGAAGCCATCCAAGATAGAACTGAATAGATCACAGAAGCGTGCGCAAGTCAATTATCGACGATGACGATGGAAGTCTGAAGGTTGTTTATGATGGGGAGAAGACGCGTACGCGTCCCGAGAACCGTTGTTCCCTGACCAAAACGGGCCCTTTCGCAGCTGTTCACTCGGAATCGCCAGCACAAAGGTATGACTGAGCACATTCAGCGGAGTAGGATTATATCACGAAAAAGGCGGCAGTGGGCATAATACATGATTAGACGCACAACCCCGAAACAAAGCAACGGTCGGCTACCCCTGGCCTAGCCAGATCAGCGGACTGGTTATGTGAAACTAGAGTAACAGGCGCAGCATACAGGGAGGCAGACACAGGTAAAACGAAAAAGAAACAGGGACCACAGATGGGATACGCAGATCGCGCGTTCATTTGTTCTTCGGGTTCTCCTCTGCAAAAGCATTGTGAGCCTAGCCGCGATCGACGAGTAAAAAGACCATTACTGGACGTAGCCCAAGCAGACGCAGCCATCTTGAACCTGATTGGGTAAATGTCAGACGACTATGTAAAACAACAACTGAAAGTGCGCGAACCTTTCCTTGTGCGGCATATCGGGGTTCTTCTCCTTCAGCTTAGCGAGCTCATTCTTCATGAAGACATTGTACGGGGAAGACTTCTTCTTCGCACCGCCCGCGGCTAATTATCGTGTATGTGGTGTGTACACAATCAATGTGGGCGATGTTGGGAAGAGTCGAGGTGAGGGGGTGTACGCGACGAGGAGGAAAACAGAGTCACGTGGTCAGCGCAATGAAAATAGGGGCCCTGGCTATATGCGCCATAGAGGGACGTACCCTTCTTCTCGGTCTTCTCGGTCTTGGAAGCGGCAGCCTTAGGCATAGTTGGCGTATTAAGTAAGGGTGCGGAGAAAGGGTTGGGCAAGGTGGTTTACTAGTTTAGAGACGTGGGAGAGGGAAGTGGTGGTAAGTGGGTAAGGGGGGGAAACGGCAGATGGGCCCTATAGACGGTGCTATATAGTGGGGGGAGGAGGCATAAGCACACAGACCGCGTCTCCGCGTCCTGCTTTGCCTCCCTTGCCCTAGGCTTGCCCTAGGGGCTGCTCCTCGCGCCTGCCCCTTCTGATTCCATAAGACTGCCCCACTCCCATTCCCCTCCCTTTTCCCTCCCTCCCCCGTCGGCCTTGCTACCCTCGGGTTAACGCCCATCTGTAGGTCCTCCCCCCTACCAACTATTGCAATAATCGTTACGCTCATACGCTCCTCTCACGTCTATTGAAAGGTCCGTGACCTATTAGGTTCCGTCCCATGTCTCATATGACAGTATGTTTTGCTCACAAGCCACATCACGTGACCTTCAGGCACTGATAGTGGCATCATAGGACCAGTGAGCATTGGGCGGCCGGATGATCCCGCCAATCACAAAGTCACGTTTTAAACCCCGTTTGCTCTCGTGATACCTGTTCAAACATGGGTTCTTGATATGACGTGAAATGATGCTCTCCTTCCTATGGTGCGAATAAGCAAATTCTCTTGCTCGTGAGGTGCGAAATGAAACGTTCCTTGCTTCCATTAGTTGAGACTCCGCGACATTTTCTTCCAATCAAGCTTACTGAACTGTCGCGCCCCACGACCAAAGGGAGCAAAGCATATCCTTATCGATCGATATCCGAGACGATCGGCGCATTTACGGAACATCACTTTCCCACCACTCAGTAAATCCTGCATACCAAAAAAAGTGTTCCAAATGTCTCTTACTTGCTTTCTGAACTGACTGGAAGGATCCTGTGTGAATTTCGAATGACAAGGCGGAAGCATTCCCAAGATTGTACGTTCTTGGCTCATCTTACGACGACGCACACTTCGTCTTATATTTTTTCATGGACTTCTTGTCCCAATAGATACGGTCCGCCCAGGGGTTCGTACAGCTCACTGCCCTCTCTAGGAAAGATGTTTTGTTACCAAGTCAACGCCCCGGCCATGGTCCCCGAACACCGCATTTTCAGGGTCAGATAGCTTCCGGATACTGGTGCTCCGCATTCAGTCAGGTGAACGGTCACGCTCCCATTTGTTCTTTCCCTTTGTTGATTTCGCACGGGGTCACGACCCCGGTTACTCGGCTCTTCCTAGCCAGAAGAGGATGGTTGGAGCGGAACACAAAGCTTGACAGCGGTTTGTATATGCGCAACCACACCTTTCAGGCATGATGCGAGTCACCACCTTATGTTTCTGAACGTCTCCCACTTATCCCAGAATCCTGATTCACATGCCTGGACAACCTCGTCATGGACCAGCTACTTCGCGAGAAATCTCCTGTCAGAGGGCACGCCCAAACTACACCGCGCATTTTGCCGGACTGAACATGTTCTGCTGTCATCACAAGTCCTTTGCTGTTCTGCCGACCCATTAGTACAAACATGCGAATTCTGTGATGGCATGGAACGGAAGGTGGCCGCATGTCCAACGACATCCAACTCATCAAAAAGATTATTATGTATGCGCCCATGACTTGCTCGTTTGATAGTACATCATGTCCGAACAGAGGGGTCATGACGGTGAGTAGGCGCCCGCCGTGGAAATGCATCGACTCTAATACTCTTCTTCGGGCATATGTCATATCGTGATGTGAACTTATTAGCGATTTCTGATGATTGGTACAGCATGCGCGATACCACGACGAGGAAGACATTGGTCGCTTCAAACTTCTTCCGTCAAAGCCTATAGGAAATCGGGGCGCATAACATGTTCGTTCTTCCAAGGTAGCCACATTTCAGACCTGCTTTCCTTATGTCTATATGTCCACTTGGCAAAGATTAGCGGTGGAGGAGATTAACCGGATGGTCGGGGCCGGTGCAAAGTACTAGTTAGCGTGCCAGATGTAATGAACCGGATTAGGTGGTTGCCTCCGAGGCGCGTCATGAGCCCGAGTCTGACCCATGTCCGGAACGGGCGGTAACGGGGTCGCAACCGCCAGTAGTACCGAGGCTGGCGGCCCCCCTCCCTGCCCCTCTCTTGTGGGCGCTCGTGTGCTATCCTTATACCATTACTGTTAACTTGCTCGCTGTCTCCAATCAGCTATTAGACAGCGAGCGTTGTACGATTATCAAACATTCAAGGAATAGGCTCGACGATGACGGAGGGTGCCCGTGATTGCCCCCATCTGCCAGCCGCTGAGACTCTCCCACACTCAAGGTGGAGCAAAACCCCAAACGTTAATCAAGTAGGGCTGCTTTCATCCTCCATACACCCGGAAGACAGACACGAGCTGTGCTCGACCTGGTCGACTGAAGCTGAGCTTGCACCTACCAGTAGTGCACTCGCTATCGCAATGCAGGCCCTATCTATGCAAGTGGAGGCAGAAAGGGGCGATGAAGTGGAAGACGATGAGCTGGACCTTGTAAAGGGGAAGGGGAAGGAGCGGGCAATCTCCCTCAATGAAGATGACGAGCAGAGTGAAGCTGTCAAAGGCCCCGTGCAGCTCGTCGACTCCCCGGTGCCTTCGCTGTGCAGGCCTGCCGCTATCCCCATCTCTTCTGCTCGGAACATGCCAGCCTCCTTTTCGACCTCCTATCCTCGTCCGTATTCGATTTCGTACTCTTTCGCCTCTGGGTCATCATCTTCACCTCGTACGCCGGCGAGCTTCAATTTCTCCCCACTCCAGGCCGGCATGTATGCTGCTCGGCATTACTACGAGAACGACGGAGATGGAGGCTCCTTGGTTACCCCAGCCACCAGTTATGCGAGCTACGACAGCAGATGCGAAGCCTTTGAGTCCCGTTTCGACGACCTCAATGTATGCGCACGAGACAGCGCGCACGCGATGCTTGTCTCTGCCACGGAGTCATCAGCAACTGCATCGACTTCCCTCGACACTTCGACCACTTCGACAATTCAATCTCAGAATGTGCCGCTTCTTGTACCATATTCTGCATTATCGGAGGGAGCTGCACCGATTTGTAACATTTCCACCATTGTAGACCACACGCACACCGACAACAGTGACAACACCGACCGCAACAACATCAACGACAACACTGACAACACTCGTACCACTATCAGTACCACCTCGAGCGCGGACGCTCTTCAGAACATAGAGAACATGCCTCGCCGACTGTCAGGGGACATCCAGCTATCTGCTTCCCTGGTTCATCATGCCTCCTTACCCCTGTTGATTCCCCTGCCTCCCTCGCCTGCTTCGGGGCGGGCCGACCTCCGCAATACTCACTCTGGCACTGTATCTCCCAGGGGTCCCTCCAGCACGCCAACTTCTCGACCGCGTTCCCTGTCCTCTATATCTTATGCTCTTTCAGTGTCCTCAACCGCCTCGACCTCCAGCAAGTCTAGCTTGAGCAAGATGAAGAGCAAGCTCGCGAATGGGAAGCTCGGTCTGAAGGGCCTGTTGAAGAGGAAGAGCATTATATCGGCGTCGAAACCGATAACGTCCACGTCCAACTCGACGCCGAGCAGCATGTCAAGCCTGCAGTTGGGCAACGTCGCTGTTTCGACTATACCTACCACCTCTTCTGAGCCCATGACAAAACCGTCGGACATTCTCTCTCGTAAGCCTAAGGGCAAGATGCGCGCCCTCTCCTCGCCGCTCCCCTACCTGATCACCTCTTCGCCTCCCCTCATGCCGGCCTTGACCGTCGAGCCTGCTGCGCTTGATGTGCTGCCCCTCCTTGGAGACTCTGACGATGTCAAAAATGCTGTTGTAACCGAGCCAGAGATTCTTCCCAATCGATTTGAGGAGATGTTACCACGCGAGTTGCAACTTCAATGCATTAAGGCTCTTATTCTCATCTGCGATGAGGATCACGTCCGCGACATCAGAGACGGCCGATGGACCGTCTTTCGTGCCTGCCAAGAACGGTGGGTTGGCTCTGTGAAGGGGTACAGGGAGATCATAAAGCTCTCTCGGGTAAGTTCAACTTCAGCCTCGCAGCCGCCCTTGTCTATGTCTAACTGAATGTTGTTCAAAGGTATCACATGCGTGGCGTTCCCTTGCATTTGACGGTCAACTGTGGTCAGCACTCGATCTTGCACCTTACTCTCACATCACGAAGGCCGGCGCTTACAGTCTTATTTCGGCCGCCTCACCGTTCATTAAACACGCATCAATATTGGGCTTACCCCGCCTTTTCCCCATTCTTGCTAGAAGCCTGACTGCACCATACGCCCCCGGAACCCAGCTTCGTTCTCTGAATTTGCGCGGCTGTCGTCACATCAAGACCGGTCCACTCCACCTCCTTATATCGACATCTCCCATGCTCGAGAGCGTGAACTTCTGTGCTTCGGCTGCAGTTACCAACTTCACGACGACCCTGCTGGCTGCACATTGCCCGGAACTCAAGGTCGTTAACGTGAACCGTTGTCCGTATCTCAGCGGCTCCGGCATAATTGCACTCGGGTCTACTGCGGCTGGTCCGTTGGTAGGGTGCAAGCCGCCGAGGCGTTCAAAGATTCGAGAACTGCGCATTGCAGGGCTCAGATACGCTAATGTGGATGTCCTAAGGTCTGTTGGCGAACACATGCCCGATCTGGAGGTCCTCGATATGAGCGGCAGCAGGCTCCTCGGGGACAGCGCCATAGAGGCGCTGGTTACCTGCACAAAGGACAGCGACTGTTCCAAAGTGGCATTGACATCTCGAGAAGCCGGACACGACCCAGCAGAGATGGCGATTCATTATCGCCGTCTGACGAAGCTCCGCCATTTGAACCTGTCCAGCTGTCCGGAGATCACCGATCGCGCATGCTCCCATCTTGCCCACGCTGTGCCGAACCTTGAATTCCTGGAGCTGGCCGATCTAGGCGGCGCGATGAAGGACGATGGCCTCGTCCATCTGCTCGAGACTGCGCCGCATATACGTAAACTCGACCTGGACGATGCCATGGACATCACCGATAGCGTGCTGGACGCCCTTACTCCACCACCACCGGATGGTCATTCGTCACGTTCCAGTCTTCAACCAACACCAGGGGAGAAGCTCGAGCACATCATACTTTCTTACGCCACCAACCTTACTAATGAAGGTGTTCTCCGTTTCATTCGTGGTTGCCCCAAGCTTCGCATTCTGGAGGTCGATAATACCCGTGTATCCGATAGCGTGCTTCGCGAGTTCGTTCGCATAGTGCGCAAGCGGAAGACTGCTGGCGCGGAGATGGTCGCTGTCGATTGTCGCAGTGTTGGGAAGGCAGTGGTATCCGAGCTTGCACAGCAAACTCGACCTCGACGAGGTTGGAAGGCGTGGGAAGCTCAGGCGATGAATTACGACGACGGTTCCCCTCATAATGAAGCACCCGGCCCGGGGCCAAGTTTGACTCCTGCCCAAGACGAATGTGATGAGACAAAGGTTGTCTTGAAGAGCTTCTGGAGTTGGCAAGCAGTTGATACTGCAGCTGCTCTCCGTGAACGTAGAAAGCGGATCGCTGGCAACCGCAGATATACGGAAGGCGACCTGCAACTTGCTCATATTGCTGGTCGTGGGAGACCTAATCCTGACCTTGTCCGACAAGAACGACTGGAGGGTGATGGCGCAGACGGATCCCCTACACAAACGGGCGAAAGCAGACGCCGAAGCAGATGGGTCATTCGTTGGAGCGGAGGCCGCGGCGGTACAGGCGGCAGCATGTACGTTGGAACAGAACCTGCTGTTACAGCAGACAACATCGGCGACGAGCGCAGTTGTGTGATTATGTGATTCTACCCACACGTGTATGTGACTTTATCTTGGACCAGGCTTGTGACACTATTGTATCATCTTACCACTCACTTCTCATCGTTTCTTTTCACCTTCGATCTCTGTGATTAACATGCAATTGGGAGGAGTGGATGTCTTGCTTTTTGGATGGGAGGGTTGGATAGCTGGTCGGAATGGAGGCTCGATGTACCATTAGATAGCTCCAGAGAGGAAGCATGTGAAGTAAACAAAGTGAAATTGAAATGTCGTCTATTATGTGTGCGTTCGTAATGATGGTACATTTGCGGATATAGGTATAACTGTTGTGACGGTTCCCAGAACCAATCCTTGCTACATTGTCCAGAGCCTCAGTCTTGTCGCTTCTTCTTCTTCTTCTTCTTTGGCGGCTGATCCGAAGATGGCATTCCAACATCATATCCTATGAACAGCTCAGAATTGCCCAAACTCCAATACTGAAAGCTCACCAGCCAACGGATCCTGCCTTCCTCTTTTAACCTTGATTTTTCCCTCACTCGGCTCGCCCCTCACTGGCATAGACTTATGAGACCTTCCCGGAAATTCTTTGACTTCCCCTTCATTTTCATCGTTGCCCTTTGCATCGTCATTGAACATCTCCAGGTCGCTCTCCTCTCCGTCCTCTGACCCTTGCCCAACCTGGTCTAGCTTCTTCGACTCCTTTGATGCCCACTTCAACATGGTCGTCTTTCCCGCATTTGTGAATACATTCGGATTGACAACATCCATTGCCTCATACGGTTCGTTCGTAGTCTTTGCCTCCTCGTCGGCGTCTTGCAGTTTTCGAGCAGCAGAGAGCGCGTGGTTGATGAAGCGGGCAGCGGCATCCTTATCGACGGCGAGCTTACGTTGTTCTGCGGGTTGATTCTCTGCATCTTGGATTTTCTTGAAGTAAGCCTTGAGGCGGGTCTGACAGAAGAAATTAGCGCAGGATACCTGATCTGACGGAGACGTACTAGCTCCTGAACAACGGGGTGCCCGTTGGCATCAACGCCCTTGATTTTGAGATACACTGTACTTTAATGAACTCTGCAGGAGATTCTCGAAAAGGATGAAACGCACTCCAAAGAAGATCGTGAATTGCATAGGCCAAGGAAACCTCCAATTTAGCACTGTGCAGGTTGTCCAGCTGCTGCAAGGTATCCGCCAGCGGCAGCTCGAGCAGGGGAGCGAACATCTCCTCTAGATCTTCTATAGCATCGGAAAAGTCCTCTGCCTTATTGAGAGCACCATCTCCACTCTGTGCTGTCGTTGCGTCCATGTGTAAAGGAGACTGAGAGGTTGGCCACAAAAATGTGGAGACCCTAATAGGAAGCGCCCAACGTCTGATTCCGAAGTGTCTAGTCACCGCCTGCTTCTCTGCACGACCACTTCCCCTCACAGTGAAAAAGGAAGATGGTGAGTATCTATGCTCAGGGTTAACACGCCGGTATTCTGATTGTATGTGATAGTCCTCCGAACTCCGCTACACAGCAAACACGCAGCTAGAACATCGTAAGCTTTGCCTCTTTGACAGCTTTCTCCTCTGTTGACTCTTAACTAGTCCATGCGCGGTATACTGGGACGGGTCATGCCGATATCACCAAATAGTGTGTCATATCTACACTCCACGTCAGGATGCTAACTGTAAATGCAGTGACTGGATAACACATCAGCATCGTGACACCTACGCGTCAATCGTCGGACATCCGCCGTTACTGTCTTACCTTGCTTTGGCGGATGGAGAGGCGACAGGACGGATCAAATTCGAGATGGCTGAGGTGCGCAGTTCTTCTGCATTATGGGTCAAATTTTCTTATGCATGTGTGTAGAAAATGCTGCAACCGTGCGGGCCGCCCCCTCAGAAGGAGGAAGATTAAACCGACCTATTCTCTGTCGAGGTTCGCCGTTGTTAGGGGTTAAGCACTCTGATAACGTCATGTACCACATGTATGTATTATCACATCCGATTTTGGTCTCTGTTGAACGCTGCATCCGCCACTGTGCGGCATTACAAATGACATGTTAGTGCCAACGTGCCTGGATTGTGCTGGCGATGCGGCGTACGGTCCTCTCCGTGGTTCGCATGAGTCAACGGTACCAGACTCTTCTTCCATGATGAGCCTTATTTATATGGCTACATTCGTATCGACATCGATAGCTCCCTCCTAAATGATGAGGAAAGGATTCTTTCCCTGTCCCACTAGAGTCGTCTGGAGCGCTGTTTGCCGAATCAATATTCCATGAGCACCGGTGGCAGCGAACAGCCTCTATTGTTGGCTGCAAGTCGCCCACTTGAAGGTATGAATTTACGGCACCTTCTGGTGTGACAGATATTCAATTTCTATTTTTCGCCGCTGCCTCACCACGCCATTTCCCCTGAACTCCTCGGACTGTACGCACATTGGCACGTGACAATGGTGAAAGTTGCCGCCCGCCAGATTCACGATGGTGCCTGTCGTACACGTATCATTTTGTATACCAATGTCGCCTCATTCATTTGCTCATGCGCACCATGGGTGGAATATCCCGAAACAATGCTGGACGTCGCGAACCAAGAATACGCTCTGAATTTGCTTGTCAAATCCCCCGATAGGATTCTATAGCTTGTCTGCACGTGTTTTTCGCGTGCATCACCTCGGATTTGCGTTTCCAAGGGTTCTCTTCTTGCTTTTCACACTTCTGACAACGTGGCTCATCATCCGGGGGAGCCCTTCCAATAGGGATTGCTGGCCCACAGTTATGGCAGTTTTACGCCTGCCGGCGACTTTTAAGCTTGCATTGGCCTCGAGGTCAGTGCGCCCTCTCAACGTTGGCTGGTCTTTTGGGTCGTCCAGTGGTTTCACTTTCACTACCGGAGCACGGCTCTATGACTCGAACCAAACCAAACGACTGGCACCTTGGTCAACTGATGCATAAGTAGCTCCGCTCCGAACACCCCTAGCCGAAGTCGATTTCAACTCATCAACGAAGTCAACATTCGCCGGTTAATTCATCCCGAAGGCCTATCTAATGGCTTCCCAGGGTGTCCATTGGGATTCTTCTAGCCCCGACATGTCTCCTAGCGCTTCTCATGGTGGGAAATGGCGCGCTCGTCTGTCATCTCTCACGGGACGAAAAACCGCAGATCCAACTTCTGCTCGTGTTAACACGTCCAAGGCACAATTACCCAGAGAGGAGGACTACTTCACCGACGGACAGGCTCACAGTCGACAGCCCATTAGAAAGACTCATCCGGGTTCACAAGCGATGGCTACCTCCCCGCCGTTATCACCGGATCGTTTGAAGGCACCAGCTTCACCATCCGCATCCAGTGTCGCCCGGGGTAGGCCGTTATCAAGGTCAAAGTATGACGGGTACTCAACTGACGTGCCATCATCGGCCCGGTGTATGGACACGGGCATATCTGAAAACTTGGCTTCCCGTCAGCATTCGCGTACCCAATCTCAAGTACCGCTTCCGAGGGCGCCGCTATCACCTCCGCAATCTATGCAGTCACGCTCTGCAACACCAACACCCACAATACCGCCTCCATTCTTGCAGCACAGACGTGCCCAGTCCGGCAGTGCACCCCCGCCGTTGCCTCCCCTTCCTTCCCTTCTTCGGGCAACCGTGCCACCCTCTGAGCTGGTTCGTTGGCCCTCCTCCAGCGGAGAGCAGCGATCCATGACACCTATATCCCCGACTCGTTCCCGGTCAACGTCAAGGCCAGATATTCGATCGATGACACCTCGTCCCTTGACACCAAAGCAACGTCGTTCGTTCTCTAAGGGCGGTCTCAAACCACCCTACGTCTCCGACACCGACTCAGATCCAGAGCATCCGAAATCTCCACGGAAGGAGAAAAGAAAGAGAACCTTCTCCTTCTTTAGTAAACGGGCAAAGGCAAAACCGCAGCTCACGAAGGGTCAGGCTCTTCTGCAGCAGCTGCTCCTACCATACCCACTTTCTGTGGATTTGGAAACTCGATCATTGTATGCGGCTCCCGTCTCTGACCCTTCATATAGTTACTAAACATTCCTTGAATAGGGAGAAATATGTCTATCGAACACTCTACTATATAGCTCCACCATATAACCTCGAGAAATATTGCGGCCCTTCCTTCCATGAAGGATTTCTGGAACGTGGCCCAAAGAAGGCATTGGATGTCGGGGCGGGATTTTGGTACTGGCTAAGGGATGCGTCTGCATATTGGAAGGCGAGTATGAGATGATTTTGATGTTCTCCGCTACTCATGCGAGTTGCCATTAGCACACCAAGTTCGTTGCCTTCGACTATTTTGAATTGCCCCACTGTCATATTCCTAATGACCAATTGAAACGTATTACCTTTGTACAAGGCGATCTCCTGTAAGTGACAATATCGTTAGTCAAAGTAACGAATCGAGCGACTGATTCGCCGTAGATCACGCAATCTTATACCGTTTCAAGATGGAGAATTTGACTATATACGGCTAGCTAATATGAGGCTGGCTATCCCCGATGCAGAGGTAAGATGTCTGTTGCGCCGATTTAGACTCCTTGCTCATTTGAAAAACTATAGTGGGAATATGTGCTTTGGGTGAGTAAGGGCCGTATCATCTGCAGTGTATGGAGCTCAGTATTACCAGCATCTGTCGAAAAAACTATGTCCTGGAGGCATCCTAGAGGTGAGCAATCTACCAACGTGCCTCCATCACCAGGTCTAATTGGATACAGATTGTTGACGACGGATGGATGCCACCTGCCGTTCCACCCGGTTCACCGGTTGATCATGTCTTCCTGCGGCCTTATGAACGGATGTTTGAGAAGATGCTCATATCGAGAGGTTTCATCTGCAAACTAAATATGCCCGACCAGTGGGAGGTTGTTATCGAAGGATATGTGGAAAGGACGCCAGGACTAGAATTCGTCCTGCGCGGGGTCGCCCCGGTCATGCCGTTTGATCTGGATCAAGACTCAGAGCTCCGTTGGCACCGGACGTACATGTTGGCAGAGGATGCGATTCGTTTTACCCTTGAACCACAGATTGCCACATTGCATCGGACGTCTCCCGATACTCCGGGCACCCTGGAAGGAAAGATTAGAGCTTTTCGGGAAGATTTACAAGCCATGAGTGACCGAATCGCCGAGTGAGCTGTTAGTGTGCTACCTGTCTCCCCTAATTACTCACTCTTTTCATAGTCACCCCGAAACTCGGCGGTATGACGGTTCAACGTTTCATGTGACCATTGCTCGAAGGAGGGCAGATAGTCGCTTCCGACGCCATTAGGGGTACTTACCTACATATTTGCTACGTATATCTGCGGGTCTGGCCTATCTATGAATATATTGGTATAAACCTTACACCTGAGCGCGTTCCGTTTATCGGCTTTTGACACGGTCTAATCTCGTTTTTAATCTTCAACCAATAGTTCAAAGATGGCGAAATATGTCTGACCTCATGTACATAGGTAAGAGACAGAGGCCCGGAATCTTCGTCAGCTTGAACCCGCCAGTACTGGCACAGAGCCACATTTTACGCACTAACCCCCGGGACGTAGTATGAGAAGTTTCCCCACATGGTTCTCTTCCATTCTTTTCTTGGAATTACTAAGGGCTTCCAGATCTTCTAACGGCGAGAGACCACCATCGTCGGAGGGCCGGTCCTATTTCCGATGGCCTGGAAGCTACAAGGCCGCAACTACCCTCTGGATGCAGCCAAGCATTTGTTTCAGCCCCCAAAAGGGGGCCAAACCCATCACAATCCTTCAGGAAGCGCTCGCTCACACTTCAATGGGCCTGCGGCCTCGGTCAGCGGGGGATCCGCAGCTACCTCTCAGCGTATTCTTCTTCAACGAAGCCAAACGGAATGCATGGTGGAGAAACGTTCGTGAACCATTTCTGTCTCGAACAGTAAATTGATTATAGGGTATGTAGTCGAGAATGAACGTTCTATGAGAGAGATGAGATGGGCTGTAACAATCGGAATCAGAGGGGAGCGCAGTGTTTTGAGCGTATGAGTTCAACATCATAAAGTGCAGAGGAGACGCAGAGGCCGTGAAATTGCTTTGACGCGTAGGCCGAGAACTGTACTGGTTACCATTCCTGAAGACTGTGTTGTTTCCAGGTGGAGAGAAACAAGGTTTCGTACAACGGGGCGACATCGCCCTGTCAAGCGGTGCAACACATGCGCAAGGTTGTGTCCTATATTTCGGATCTTGTGAACACAGGTGGATATTCAGGCAATATGTTCTCTCTGGAGGTAGATTTTGGGGCCGAGAGAGGACTTAGGGGCTACTAGACATTGGGGATCGGCCATGATGTTGCAGTTGTACTTATTGATTCTCCCAGAGAATGGGGGTAAACGTCAGATGGGCACGCGCCTGCGCCGATTAGACGCACGGTGCAATATATAATGCATCTTTCTGGGGAAAATACACGTATGCCGTCGGGTCAAGTGACAAGTCACACGATTGATCCGATAGAACGGGCCACGCCCTTGGTTCTGTGAAACCAGAGGAGATTCGTGTCTGCCGGAACCCTATTATGTCATGGTTACACCGGGCCTGAGAACCACAAAGAAGCCAGGACGACACCTGATGAGGATAAAATAATATCGGTATCGGGCCATAATGTCCGACAGCATACCGTCGATCGTGTGCCCAATTCAATGAGCAAGCTACGGTATTCCGAGGATTCCCGAGCGGACAACGGGCTGGGGACTCGGCCCTGAAGACAAGGCATATGTCGGTGCTTACGAGAAGAACCAGGCCGTGGAAATAGAGTAGATTAAGATTGCCGCTTTGGCTTGCCAGCACGTGCGAGATGTCATTCCCACTCCACAAGAACCTTCAAGAGATGTAGATAATCTTCGAGTTTACTCCTCGAAGGGCGCTGTTCGTTTGCAGGTCGAATCCTCACGGGGACCGAGCACTTGAAAAGGATGAAGAGAACGATACACCGCTCCGTGATGCGGAATAGAAAAAAAAATACAAACGGAAGCTTATGGCAAAAAAAAAACGCCTGCACGCGTCGCGCCGCGCAAACACGGGCACCCAGCCAGAGGAACCTCGTCGTATTCACAAATCCACCGGTTTGAACAGCCTCGGCGAACATCATTCCAGTCCTATTGATGGAGGTGTTCTTCCGGCCGCTCACCAATATGCCCCAACCCGTCATTTCGAGAATTCCCGTGCTATGGGGAACGAATGCGGTTCTTTTCTCCACACGGGGCTCCTCTCTCCGATGGGTTCTTGGAAACACCGCGAATCTCGCCGAGATCTCAGGTTCCTCCAGGCAAAATCAAGATCAGGCATCATATGGTCTATCTAATCGGGATCTATCCTATGTGCGGACAACATTTCAAGCCGGACCGGTGCGGAACCGATGCGTCCCCACACCCTTGGAGATGCGTATTGGCAACAACTTGGCTAACTTTTGGGCCTTAACCCAGTTGCGTCATCCCGGTTGGTTACCATGAAGTTTCATCATGATGGTCTCTGCACCGGCTTCTAATATGCGCGTATATGTGGACTGTGTTCTGGCTCCCTCGATCGAAAGCCGCACACGACGCCGCCCGTGGCTTTTGATGCTTCGCTAAGTCTCTCCTCCAGTCCGATTTTGCCTATTTTCGGCCGCGGCGCGGAATCCCCGGCCTTTGGGGCGCGGGTCGCCTTATCTCTTCACCCGAACATGCTTCAAAAATGCGCCCTCCCCTCTTCTGCCTCGCATCTGCTCGTGAGGTCGGTCAAGGCCCTGGAACGCTCTAGATGGCAATGATCCTCGGAATGCAGTGTGCGTAATGACTTGGACACGGCGCAGTACCATCATTCGAGGCCAAATTGCTATAAAAACCGACTCTTTCTCTGCAGGAATGTTTACACTCATCCGACTAACATGTCTCAACCCCCCGGAGCCCCTTCATCATCTGCATGGCGTCGCCGCCTCGTCTCTCTTACAAGCCGCTCGAAGACCCCCGATCCGGCTGCAGTTGCCGCCACAGCTGCAGTTGCTCAACCGCAACGGTCAAAAACGCCAGCCCCGCCATCTCGCGCTAAGACCCCTGCCCCCACATCAGGCAGTTCTTCCCACAGGAGAGCCGCTTCTAATGCCGAGGATGGCTATATGACCGATGCTGCCTCTCGCCGCAGGCCAGGGGATTCTCGCTCTCGTGGTCCGCCTACGATAGCACCTCCTGTTCCAGCTCTGCCACCTACAATCCATGCGCCAGCTGGTTCTAGGCAGTCATTCCAACAATTCCCAATTCATCCAAACTCACAAGCTCTCCGTCCTCCAAGTCGAAACGCAAGTCGAGCTGCAGCCCCACTACCGCCTTTCCCTATAATGCACGGAAATGATGCCGAAGAACGACCAAAGAAGATAGATTTTCTGTCCGATTCCGAGCAAGAGGGGCCTCCCGAACCAACGGCAGGGTTTAAAAATCGCGTGCGACGCTTGCCTCGACCGCTGGATAGCAAGCGTCTCGATGAGATGAACCTACTTCAGGGAGTCGCTCTTGCATATCCTCTGAATGTTGGAGAAGAGGCAAGAAGACTGTGAGTTTCCATACCTTTTCATATATGTTTTTTTTACCAGGCTCTTCAGGGAGAAATATCTGTATGGTCTAGTCTACCACCGTCTGAGATCAAATCAAGTCGACCGCATTTATCGCAACGGAGGCCCTTCTTTTCACAAATGGGAGTATCCCCCACGGAAAGTTTTGGACGTTGGGTGTGGCTATGGCTATTGGATCCGGGATGCAAAAGAATTTTGGCCTGTAAGCGAGCTGTCATGCCAGTACTTGGGCCTAAAATCTGGGGTAACAATTTGAATCCACAGTATGCGAAGTTCATCGCATTTGATTTCCATCGCCTCATCCCCGATCATTGGGGTGAACAGGTACAATTTGTGCAGGGTAATCTACTGTATGCTTCTTTCTTGTCTCTGCAAAGTCGGAGCTAACAACTGAGGATAGTGGTGATCAGCACGGAAAGCTCCCGCGTTCTCTGATTGCGCAAGGTCCATTCGATCTCATTAGAATGGCGAATATGTCTTTAGCCGTTCCTTGGAACCAGGTTAGTTCCATTTTGCCCGTGAGCAAAGCATCTTTGACTGAGACGATTTAGTGGTCAATTGTGCTCGGCAATTTACAGGCCTTGTTGTCAGAGCGGGGTATTTTCGAGGTATACATGAAGCAATTGATATGCATCTTTGCGTTGACCATATTTCACTTTCTAGTTCGTGGATGATGGCTGGTTCCCACCTCTGTTCGAAGAGCAATGCCCCCGAGACAAAGTATTCCTACGCTCGTACGACGAATACTTCGAGATCATGCTCGAACGGCGCGGTATTCGCAGCAGGAACGTGGCCCAAAGGGATTGGGCACAGAACATCATTTCGATCATGGAGAAATTCAACATGCAGCATACTTATTTCAACCACGTGGAATTGACCACGCTGGCGCCAAGCGACTCTCTTCTGGCAACACGGTGGTATCGGGCCCTCAATCTATGCGCAGACGCCATTGAGAGCACGTTTACGTCGTACGCTGATGCAGTCAATGAGGAGATCAGTGTCAATATTCGAAATGGCAAGGCTGAGAATCGTCAACTCATTCGAATTCCTTCCTGGGTTGAGGAGTTCCACAACTTGAGAAATATCATCGACATGTGAGTGTGGGCTACATTTCAAAATGAGGGCCATTCTGACAGTATACGATAGCACCACATCCGAAGCATACGTATATAACGACTCCATATGGGCTTTCCTGGCCTACCGGCGTAGGACCCGTGAGGAAATTGCGGCCAAGCAGGCAAGCGGACCGGCACCACCTCAACGGCCACAAACCAGCCTTGCGCGGCGTTAGTTTGTCTACGCCCATAATAGCTCTTTCTTGTACAATTACACGGACTAGGTTTCCATATAGACTCGTCGTCCACGACCACTAATCTTTCTCTCTTTCCTGTCAATTTTTTGGTTAATCGCTCATGAACTTACCCCACTTGCTTACTCACTTATGTCGCACGTCCCAATAGTGGTATGTGTGGCCGAGGTCATGTGGCTCTCCGGGCCGCAACGCCCTCCGAAGCACAAAGCAGAAGCCCGCCTGGGCGGCAGTGCAAATAATAAGGAAGGTCGAGCGCCCAACACATCAGAACACACCCCGCGGCGGGCGGCTCGGGCCGTCACGCGCCCCGAGCGCTCTGGGAATTAGACCGCCTTACTTTTTGCGAAGAGAAGCAAAAATATTCTGAACTTCTGGCATAAGGTTAGAGTTTCAAGGCACATAGATATATATGAAAGGACAATGGGTTGTACATGCTCCTGGTGTGCATCGCCCTCTTCGAGGCTGAGGTAAGATCCGCAAGGGATGACACGAGGGCTACTGTTTCAAGCCCTCTCGAGTAGCGTAGTCTGCACGAGTAGCGTAGTCTGCATAAGAGGTAACATCATGACGAGAGAAGTGGATGCGTTTCTCCTGTTCGTAAAAATACAAGGTATCTCAAGCGTGCTGATCGTATACGATAATAGTGAATTAGTTGTCCATCTTCCGGGTTTCTCTGTACAACCCCTCCCTGGCCACCACCGCATGCATCCGTGCTCACACATTCCCAAGAATTCCGCCGCATCTCCAGCTACACCGGCGCAGCGCCCAACTGCACGCCCAGCTCCTTCAGGTTCATATTCCTGATCAACAATGCGCTCAACGTGCCCAACACTCCCGCTGGCACGCCAATAATATAGACATAATCTAGCGCCTTCGTATACGCTTCGATGATCGGGCCTTGCTGATCCAGCGGAAGAGTGGCGACGACGGTGACACTCTCCTTGAGCGTCTGTACGATGGACGGGTCGAGCCCGGGCGCATACTGTGCCAGTTGGCTACCAAGCTGGTTGGCAAATACCGTCCCTGCGATGGAGATGCCGATAACGCCCCCAATAAGCTGGGTGAAATTGACCATCGACGTGCCCTGAGGTATCATCCGCTCCTCAGCATGATACTCCGCCTGGACGGCGATGATGGTATTCTGCATGCTGCCGCCAATGCCTGCGCCGTACAGGATTTGGAAACCGATGAGCTTGGCATTCGATGTTGAGGAGTCGATCGTGAATAGCAGGCCGGCGCCGACGGCGGTGAGCAGAGGGAGGGTGAAGATGAAGGGCCAGTAGCGACCGGTTGCCTGCAGCCCATGCGTTAGTTTGTGTGCATGAAAGGGAGGGGAGAAGAGACGTACGTTGATGATTCCTCCTGAACCTGCAGCGCTGATCACGGTGGCGAGCATGAAGGGGAGAATGTCGATCCCGCTCTGGGTCGCACTGTGCCCTTTTGCCTGGTACAGCAATGGAAGGTAGTACGTCGCGAGTAGCATGCACAGCATGATCCAGAACGCTTCTAGGCAAGCGCCGACTTGCGTACGGCGGCGGAACATCTGGAGGGGCATGAGTGCGCGGGGACCCATCCTCCATTCCCAGAGTACGAAAACGATGAGCAAAGCACCGAAGACGCAGAACGTCGCTATGACCGCTGGGTCGTTCCAGGGCTTGGAATTGCCCCCCCATTGGAGGGGGAGGATGAGGCATACAACCATGCCTATGCTGAGGAAGGCGCCTATCCAGTCGAGAGACAGCCATCGTTGGAGCTGGTTCATCCCGTCTGTCACTTCGCTGCCTATGGCAGGGCGGGCTTCGATAAGCAGGAGGATGACGACGACGGAGACAGCGCCGATGGGGAGGTTGATGTAGAAGCACCACCGCCAGGTCACGTGGTCCGAAAAGGCGCCGCCTAAGAGAGGACCGACGACGGAGGCGAGGGCGAAGACACCGGCGAAGGAACCGAAGAGGAGGGGACGCTTGGAGATGTGCGTGATCTGGGCGATGATGGATAGTACGGCGACGAATATTCTGATGTGATCGTGAGTATTAGCATGTGGATGCAGGGGGATGCTTACCCAGCTGCACCGACACCCGCAAACGCACGTCCGAAGATGAGGACATTCACAGTGGGCGCCACACCGCAAATCAAGCTGCCAATCTCGAATAGAGTGATGGCGCTTATGTACACCCACTTAGTGGGGGCGATGACCAGCAGTTGACCGTAGAGCATCAGACATCCAGCCTGAGTAAGGAAGTAGGCACTGGCGATCCAGGTCACGTCGTTGAGGCTGTTGAACTCGGATGCGATGCGCGGGATTGCAGTAGAGGTGATGGTCTGGTCGAGGGCGATAAGGAATACCGAAAGGAGCATCGCACTATATCACGTTTGAGGGTCAGATCTTCGGGAAGGAAGGATGTACGCACATCTGCGCGAGGGCGAGCTTGGAACCACGATAATACTTCGGGTCGTTCGGGTCTCCACCTGCGAACGCATCTGTACGCGCTGAGGCAGAGACGACCTCGGGCTCTTCTCCCTTGCTCGTACTCCCGTGTGTGAAGGGACCGGAGGGAGGAGCAGCCTTTTCGCCAGAGATGGAAGGGGTGTGCAGGGATGCTGCGGGAGTGTTGACTGCCGTGGGGTCGTCAGGTGGAGACATGGTGCGTGACATTCGGTGTTCCGCTTGTAGGTAGTGAGAGTAGAGTAAACTAAGGATGAGATGATGATGAGGGGAAGGAGAGACGAGGATATTTCTATGCGTCGACAGTAAAGTTATATGGTCAGTTGTTCTGATGTGAGAATGGCCCTGATATCCGGCGAGTCGGTGTTCGGTTTTCGATCAGATTCCCAGTCCAGAAACAGAGGAAGGTATGTCCGAAGTAAGCAGGTCTTGGGCAAACCCGAGAACTAAGGTAATCCAAGTCAAGGATGAGTGGGTTATATACCTCCCCTCGAGGTCGGGTTGCATTTTGTTGTTGCTGCGGTTTGCTCTCACCCTGGGATACCCACGGCAAGTGTTCCATCTCCAACATCAACGCCAAGCCGCCATATTGTTCCGCATTGACCAGAATGCTCCTCTGTCCGATGGACGTCCGCCGGTCGAACCCCCCGCGCGGGAAGTGGCCGGCCGGCAGTAGACGCGCGTTCTCGAGTCATGTTTCCCCCACCGAAGTCTGAGGACGTGGCATGCTTCTAGGGGATTTGGATCGACTGGGCAACTGAGCAGGTCCACGAGTGCCCCATGTTGGGCGTCTGAAAACGTAAGCGGATTACGGCGGGCTTATCAAATTCTTACTTTAACTTTGCCAGCCATGAGGGGCGTTGCTGACGCGAAAATAACATCGGGATGTGGCAGGCGATGCAACAGAATTTACGGGAGAAGATGGGTGATGGCGGGATCCCTGAACCCTGCCTTGCCCATGAGTCGCGCAATTTTCAGATGCTTGTCTTGCATCTCATTCCAGCCACGGACAACCGCGCACCTTGTTATTCGTCCGAGGGAGCGAGCTGCGAAATGCGGTAAATAATGCACACAGGAAATTTCGTAATTACAGGAGAAGGAATTCTGTTGACCTAGCGCAGTCGTCTACTTGAAGTCGAGCCTGACGAAAGAGGAGTCATCAGTCTCCTTGGCAAACGGGCGCGAGAAATCTAGGGACCGGCTGATCCATGACTCAAGGCCATGACGCGATCCATTCCATGCAGGGCATCCGACGAACTGCCGACTCGGTGGTTTCATTAACTGATTGACCCGCCGGGAGGTTGGTAATAATCATCACAACGGAATTAGGGAACCGGTTGTCCAATGAGAGCGTTCTTGACGGAAATGTTATCATTTCTTGCCCCCGCACGTGTTGATTGGCCTTGCATGCCTGTGCATGGGGACAATACACTGACCCCTGCGATGTTGTTGCCGCTATCTTCCCATGTGTAACTCCCTATGTGTGCGATTATTTGACCTCCATGTACGATATCGCTAGTTGCTCCCCATGTCGTGCAAAATGGGTCCATTCACCTGTAAGATGTCGCCTTAATTCCCCAACAGCTTCGCAACTAACGACGAGCTGCGCGACCGGAAGGACGGACAGAGTCGGACGTCCACTCATCCGGTCCCAATGGGATGTTCTGCCGGGGCCTCGGCCGGTGGGGCTCAGAAGAGTTGAGCAGGTGCAGGGGTCGACCGGACCGGTTTACGTAGACCTCGGAGCTGGGGTCAGTTTTCACGTTCTCCGCTCTCCGACCGAAGTGGGTTTCACCCTAACCAAAACAAGGTTGTTGGGTTGTTCAGTTGCTCCATGGTTGGGGACAGCAGTACAGCACGAGAACTAGAACTACATGGTGGTTGGAGGCTCGACACGTCGACTGCCGATGGGACGCGTCCCCGATGCCGGAGTGCGAGCTGCGGTTTCACGAGCTTTTGGAGCAGCTGATTGTTATGCTGTGGGGTATGACAGAGGGACGGTGACGTTGGGTTACGTTTGGTCTGGAAGGGAATGCAGTTGAGGTGTTTGGGATCGTGCGTGTGATTCAATTCGCTTTGATGTATTTCTATTGATTATTGATTCGATTGCAATTGCTAATCGATTTCACATGCTTGGGTTCAATCAATTCAATGACTTTCTACCTTTCAATCGTATCAATTGGTTTCGATGGGCACCGGCTTTCAAGGCCGATGCTTGCGCTCCGGTGCACTAGTTCAGTCTCCAATCTCAACACTTGTGTCATCCGTCCTTAGTTGCTCGTGTTTCGGTTGGGGACGGCACTACCGCACCATATCGTTGGGTTGCAATTGGAGCCACGTCGACTGTCCTAACACAGAGGCGTTCCTTGTCCTATCGCATGCCAGAGCCTTTCGGCCCCTCCCGAGGAGGATTCACGAGCTTTCCGCGCCGCTGAATGTCATATGACGAGGGGTTGGTGACGTCGGTCTGGACGGAATGAATGGTTTCAGCTGCTTGACAGTACTGCTATTATATCTGCTATTGATGCACCCTGCTCTGGGTACTGTTGTGCGACTTGGTCCTGTCAACCCTCCTTATGCAGGCTTGGGACTAGTACTGGGCTCGCAGCCAGGTCGACTGCCGACAGGACGCGTCCTTTTCCTACTCCGATTGCCGTAAGGTTTCACAAGCTGAGAGCAGTTGGTTATGCGCAGCGAGGTATGACAAGAGGATGGTGACGTTTTGAGATCAAATGCAAGATCCTTGTCGTTCGACATGATCACTTTCCGTCATTTGCTTTGCTCGCGATCGTATCCAGTTCTGTATGCTCAACGCTGTCAAACTCCATTACTGTATTCATGGACCCGGGATCGCATAAACCGCGTTTTATTTCAGAGCCCAAAAGAAGGGAACGGGAAGAGAACGTGCCATTTTCAGAAAGAGCGGTAGCCCAGGAGCAGGAGCACATGGACGAGCAGAGGAAGAGGAGGGAAGGGAAGAGAATACATAGGCGGTATTTACATGAACCGGCTCGGGGTGGGTAATGACAGGCGAGGGTAAGGGGTGGGGTCGAATGCCGCAGAGGGGGTGGGTGAGGAGTGTAGGGGACCAAAGGGCGAAAGAGCGAAAGGGCGGAAGGGGCTTAGGCGGTGATCTCTGACCCTCCTGTTGGAGGCGAGTTCCTACGCAGGCTGGGGTGCCTTACTCCCAAAGCACCAGCAACCATCCTCCGCCCTGCATCGCCAATCCTCGCACCCCCTTGTACGGGTGCTTCCTCCACTGCTGGGCTAGTCGCGAGCGCAGACCCGCTCCCGTTGATCATCGCTCCCAGCGGGGCTTGGTACGGGATTTCCGGCAGCGCGGGAGGGGTAGACCCATCACCCTTCGGTGCCCAGCGGGAAGCTGCGCTCCCACCCAACTGTCCGAGGGACATGCTGCTGCTCATCGCGTGCCCGCCTACGCTAGGTATCGCAGCCGCCATGCTGGCAGCGCGTATATGCCCCGTGCCCGCAGCGGGGGAGACGCTGAAGGGTGCGCGGGACTGGTGCGCGTTTTGCGAGTTTTGGCGCGAGGGAGGACCGGTGGTACGCGCGTTGACGTTCTGGATGATCGCTTGTGCGTCTGGACCGTCGTAAGGCCGGATTTGGAGTGGGAGGGTAGAGGTGGGGGAGACGAGGACTGCGGGTGGGGTGAGGAGGGTTTGCAGGTAAGCGCGTTTGGCTGTTAGTGGGATGTATGCGTCAGTTATTGAAGGGAATGGGAGAAGGGGGAGGACGCACCAACAACAGCATCGTTGAACACTACCAGGGCACTCGTATCGTCAATCCACTTGATCTTGAACCCGCCTTTGTCGTTCTCCCACACTTGGAAGGCACTGTGTATGTCGCGTGTCTTGAGCTCGGGTGGGAAGCCTGAGAGGTGCAGGATACGGGTTACGGATGCGGAGAGGTTTTGGGGAAGAGGGAGACCGGGTACAGGTGCGCTGGACATGATGGGATGTTATGGGTAGATGGAGAAGTAGAGATGAAGCGAGAGGCGGGGAAGTGAAGGGTGAGAAGGCGCAGTAAGACGGCTCCAATTAGGACGCAAGTGAGACAGCCGTTTTACGACTGGAATCTTGACCTCAAATAGACCAAGAGCAACTCTTCTTCAAAGTAAGTGAAGATGCAAAGGAATAAGTAAAAGAGAAAAGGTCAATACTCCGAGATGGAGAATTGGTGGCGTGTGACGATGGTTAATAGGGGACCGTCTGAGCCCCTCTCCTCATCGCTTTGGTCTTCTCCGTTCGACGCTAGTAATTTGCTTCCGCTACTTGGCTATATAAGACCGCTTTTCTCTTCTTTTGATACGAGGTCCTTACTCTTTCTATGACCGTCACCTGTGCGTGAGGCTATCAGCAACGATGTACGGCAGGTTTCCGGTACTCATATAGCAGTTTGCTGTCGTTCGTCCCTGATCATCGCTATCGCGCCCCCTGATGCGGTGCTGAGTATCAGTATTGGTACTCCGAGCGGCCAGTATCATATCCTCGCCCGCTATACTCTTCCGAGCCGCCTTCCCTCTCTGGGTCTCGTTCTCTGCCGTGCACCACAGTGGAAGAACACGTCTTGCTCGCCCAACTTACTCGTCGTCTCACCCACTTCTCAATAGTGTGCTCATTCTTGGGCTCACTGGGTTCAAGTCTTGCTCTCGCTGTGGTCGCTCTTGGACCACCTGTTGGATTGTCCACTTTTTGCCAGCCTGTAACCACCAAGCGCCGCGTTCTCCCCCTTTGCTCCTTTTTAACTACACCTGGGGAATGCCATATGCGCGAATTTTCTGCGTTCCCGCTTTATCTAGTTCTACGGGCGCATTTACATTCAGTGTCATATAACTAGGACTGACCATGCTGGTTGTTGCGCTTTCTCCCCCAAGAGATCATGGCATTACTTCAAGGGATGGTCACTCCTTGGCTGCACTCCTCTCTCGTCTCGGGCTCATCGTCCCACATCTCTGGGGATTGACAACCTCGTTCGTCGACTCCATTCGTATCTAGCCAATCAAAAGAAGGGATACTAGGGAGGTCGGACGGCTTGTCGTCTATCCTCTGTTTTGCTACGACTATGGTGCATCTCTATGCTCAGTCTTGACCAGTGCCCCTGATCAAAGTTGCTACTATTCCCACTGGATCCGCCTTATACTTCTCGTCAGCTAGAGTTGGGTACCTTCTCCCATATCTGGTATAGACCAAAGGCGAGTGGCTCCTTAGGTGGGCAATTGTTTGAGGACCTACTGTATAGTTCCTAGGCTGTGGTCTAGGCAATCAGGCCTTTGCTGTGCTCTTATACCTTGGCATGTTTGAACTTTGAATGGCAGCTGGACGATGGTATAGATTACTTAAGGAGGATACGAGTGTGTCGGAATGCTCTGCTAGTGTTCCTGGCCAAGGCGGTGAGAGGGATGGTCACGAGGTCGGTGGAGGTGACAAATACGGCGGTGATAAAGAGTCTTATTTCCTTTACTTCGCTCAGTAGTCAGTTGATACCAGCTTAATGACATCATTATGAGCCAGAGCATGTCCAGCTAACTGGTACCCAAAATAACAAAATGGCGGGTACGAACGTGATCATCACCGCTGAAATATCGGAAGCAAAGAACGCGTGTGACATCGTGACATCAGACCCCTGACCGCGCATTTCACCACTGACCATATCCTTCGCTCCTTGTTGGTTTCCCGGCTGGCCGGATTAGAGCGCACGACCACTTGCTTCTTCTTTAGGCGCATATACGTACACATCAGCTTACTGGTGGACGACCACCACGACAGCGACTACCGTCTGAAGGACAGCGAACACGCGCATATATCCAGCTGCAACTTGATCTACTCATCCATTCACTCATCTCTTTTGCTATGTACTACTTGAGGTGGAGCACGATGCTCACCTATCTCTTTGTCTATATCCTCGGTGTTCTTACCTTCATCCCTCTCGTCGTCCTCATTTCCGCAGTATGCGTCGCATACGCATGGTACACCTCCGTACCTCTCCCGTTGAACCCCGTATCCTCCTTACCAGGTGAGATGCCCGTCTCAGCCAAAAAGGAGGTGCAAGAAGAGGACAAAGAGCAAGAATCGATGGCCGCGCGGCAGAGGGACGACCTTACTACAGACTTGCTCGAACGGGAAGCTCTCCTCGGCCCTGTTGCCAGAGACATGCGGGACGACGTTCCTGGTGTACGGATCCGGTCGGGTTGGCTGACGGTGCGCAACACTTATACACCTCTTGCACCACCGTCTTCCTACGTCTCCTACGTTGTCTCTTCCTACCGGTCACTCACTGCCAGGCACCCACAACCACGAAACTCTGCTACTGCCGACCCTCAGGCGCCTAGGGACCGCTTTTTCGCACAAGTGAAGGGCACGGTGTTGTTCTTGTACGAAGACGAGGAGTGCCTCGATATCTGGGCAGCGCTGGATTTGGGGAGGTACGACGTGCGCATCGAGGGTGCTGAGGGAGGGGGAGAGGAGGCGAGACGCGCCATCATGGATGGAGAACTATATGCGAAAAGGCATGCGATCGTCCTTCGCAGGAAGGCGGTGGAGGGGACCCTACCTAGCGAAGGGACAACAGACTCGGAGAGTGCAAGCGCGGAGAGGAGCGAGAAGGAGAAGGCGGAGAAGAGCGAGAGCGAGTCGCTCCTCTTTCCACCCAAACGGCCAGATAGCTCTCGCCGAGCAAGCAGCACGAGTAATACCAGCAGCACGAGCAAGAACGACTCTTCGGACGTTTACCCGCCATATTTCATCTTCCTTCGCTCGAACACGCAAATGGAAGACTGGTACCTAACGCTACAGACCCTCTCGCAACCACACGCGTCCTCCCTCCTTCCTTTACAACCCGCGATCTACTCCGAATCGGACATGGACGTTCTACTCTCCTCCATCGACGCCCTCCCCGAACACATACCCACCCGATGGCTCAACGCCCTCCTCGGCCGGCTCTTCCTCTCCTTCTACCGCACCGCTGCGCTCGAAGAGTTCGTCATAAGCCGGATGATGCGCAAGTTGTCCAAAGTCAAACGCCCTAGTTTCCTCAAAGAAGTCGTCGTACGGGAAGTGAACCTCGGCAGTCGGCCACCCACAGTGAGCAAGCCGATGCTGAAGAGCCTGACCCGCGCAGGCGAAGCGAGCGTCGAGGCGGCGATCTCTTATCAAGGGGAGATTCGTATTACCCTCGAAGCGGTGGCTGCGCTTTCTCTAGGGAGCAAGTTCCGCTCCTATCAAGTCAAACTCGTCCTCGCCGTCGTCCTCCGCTCCCTGGAGGGAAACATGTTACTAAAGATCAAGGAGCCCCCAAGTAACAGGATCTGGTATGGGTTTACCGCTATGCCGAAGATGGAACTCGAGGTCCTGCCGGTTGTGAGCGAACGCCAGATTAAATGGAGCATGATCTTGAAGCCTATTGAGGCTCGTTTAAGAGAAATCGTATGTCTTTCCTTTTCTGTGTTGGTAAAGCATCCCTGATATTGTCTGGTGTGTTGAATAGATCCAGGAATCTGTCGTCGCCCCGAATATGGACGATATCCCCTTCTTCGACACCAGCGCTCTGCCCGCTCGAGGTGGCATTTGGGCCGACAGCGCAAGGAAGGAGAAACATATTATAGGCCTTGCTGCTGGACCCGTGGTCGAGAGCTCCCAACGTACAGAGATGGAGGGGCTCGAGCCTGCCCTTGTAGGGACAGAGAATGGGGAGCTAGCCTCTAGTCCAGAAAAGTCCGACCGGTGGGCAAACGCCCCCTCGCTGCTGAGGAGCGAAACGCGTTCAAGCGCTACTTCAGTGCCTTTGTTAGGCCTTTCCGAGCGGGAGAAGGACAGGGGTCATGGGAAGAAGAACAGCTGGTTTGGGGGAAGGAAGGAGTACGGAAGTGTGAAGAGCAGCTGGGCGAGCGGGAGTGCTAGCGTCGTCGGACTTGTCGCTGATGGCGGTTCAAAATTGGCCGGCTCTACCGACGAGCTATATGAAGTGGGCGAAGAAGCTGCCCTAGGGGCCGGTAGGAGGAGCCTGAGCGACACAAACGTCCCTCAGCTATCGTTCGACACTGCGCCGGAGATGGACCGGTCTGCCGAAACCACCCCAGTGGAAAGCGTTTCCTTCCCTTTAACGGAGTCGCTCGAGAGCGCACCTAGCCCAGGGCCGCTCAGCCCTAACTCGGTCACCCGCTCCTCTGCGGTGAGTATGAGCGCTACCACACCGACGCAGCGCAACTCGCCAGGGCTCCCTAGGCGATCGGGTAGGACAGTCAGCTCCACCAATTTTCCTGACCCGGATTCTTGGCCTTCGCCCTCCCCGAGCCCGTACAAGGAGGGCTCGATCGCCTCCACCGGCAGTGGTAGTACCACCAGCACAGCACAACAGCAAGGACAAGGCACGATCCTCGGATCCTGGCGTGCGCGTGCGAGTGACAAGCAGGCACTTCAGGCGAGCGTGAACCAGGCTAAGGACGCGATGAAGAAATGGGGAGTAAGCTTTGCTGCGAAACGACGTGCCGGAGGGGGAGTGGTCGGGAGTATGTTTGGCGGTGGGAAGGCCGGTGGTTCTCAGGAAGACGTGAGTTCTGAAGTGGACGACGAGCAGCCTGGTACCGAGCGGGGCCGAACACAAGAAACGAGGAACGGAGACAGTGCGAGGAAACAGAATGACGACTCGTGGGGTTCAGCCCTGGACTCGGAGGGTGAACCTGGAACTTCCGGGCGGTCATCCCGCCCCAGTTCGGTTTACAGCGAACGCACATCCTCTTTCTCTGGCGGCGTTTCAGGCGGGAAGACCTCGCGTCCCGCGAGCGTGCGCTCTGTCTCTTCCACTGGCGGAGGAGGCCCGGCTGTCAAACCGGGGTTTGTTGTCCCTTCTGCGCCCCGTACTACAACGGAATTGTCGACCAGTCCGCCAGCGGAGGACCCGCCTGTGCCTCCAATGCCACGGAAGTCTCTGGAGGCTCCACCACCCCAGCCTGCGCCTACGCCTAGGAAGAGCCTCGATGTTGCCAACGCCACCCCAGCGCGCAAGTCGGCCGAAGTGCCTGCGGTTGCTACCCCGGCACCGAGGAGGCTGTCCGAAAATTCACCGCCCGTTCCCGCACCCGCTCTGATGACCCTGCAGCCCGGAGTAGCTGGCCCTCTACGTGATGCCCCCTCGCCGATCCATGTGCAACCTACGAGCGGGATGACCATGACTGTTCCCGGCATCCATGCAAGCCACAAGGGCGAGGTTATGGCTATGGGAAGCTCGCCGCCAGTACCGCCTAAGCCGGAACCGAAGCCGATTGTTTCTAGCATGTATCGACTGTTCAAGAGGGAGGGGAATGAGGCGCCTTCTGAGAGCACCGAGTCTGCACCAGCAATGGTCACGAGCGGGACTTCGCCAGCAAATTCGATCAACGGGTCTCATGAGTCTCCAGCCAAGTCGTCCTCGGCTTTGCCTGTACCTCCTGCCGCCACCCCAGGTGCGTCTCCTGAGCCGGCACCGGCACGTTTGCCATCCCCGACTCCTCCGAAGCCATTGCCGCCCACGGCACCCGCACTTCCTGCCAGGCCATCGCCCGCCCATGTGCCATCGTCCGCCCATGTGCCATCATCCGCTTATGTGCCCGTCCCACCACCCGTACCATCACCTGTGCCTCCTCCAGTGCCCGCTCGTCCTGTCCCTCCGGCGTTGCCAGCAAGACCTACGCCACCGCGACCCACACCTCCGACCCTCCCTCCTCGGCGCCCTACAAACAGTAGTACTAGTCCTACCAACAGCGCCATCGCCACTTCCATCAGCACAGCCTCTATAACTCCCATTCCGACGGTGGTGACTGAACCGCCTTCGAGTTCTTCTAAACTCACGGCCACAGCTCTGAAGGCCGAGATACCTCCCGATTCACCCACAGCTAGTGAGGCACTCCGGCATGTGGCGGCGCGGCATAACGCCCGATCATCTGTGGATACCACTACTGATGGTCCATCATCACCATCACCTATTCCCAACACGGTTGAAAATGATATACTTTCAGAGACAAAGAAACTGGATGCACCGTCAATGACCCCTCCATCACTGCCACCGAGGTCGACCTCCGCCAAAGCGATGGCATTCGATCCCTCTCCCCCTCTCACATCTTCGCAGGATGTTGAAGCAAAATTGGACTCTGATTCCCGCGGCAGGTGCAGCGCAGGATAATACCCATCAGCCCAACGACGGGCCCATGGATGTTGGTAGAGACGAGACTGTTCCCATGAGCGACATTTACTAGGACTGTATATCATGTATTATGACATGAGATCTGTATGTTCGTTGCGTTGAATCGCCTCGCATAGATTTGGCTAAGAACGTTAAGACATTCACGTGACCTCCATTAGATGTGAACATCCTACTGTCTTGAATGGTTGACACAAAAGAGGTCAATCTAAGGTACTATAACCTGGCTCTCACATCAGGTCGGTTCTTAAATGGCACATGGATCCCAGATATGTCCTTCAACTGTCTCCGCATGATCTTTCCCCTGCGGACGAGTAAGCGCCGGGGTTCCCCGAACTAGAGCACGACTTACGTCAGTGATTTAGTGATTGCCTCGCACAAAACAACGCCTCCTCTTAGCCACTTGTAATATGCGCACTGGCTTTCAACAGTATTGTATACCTCTTTGGCAAAAGGCTTCAGACCGGGATGGTTCTTGTCGCCACGCTTCACTGCTGCCAGCAGTTCTAGAGAGCGAGGGACAACGTATGCAATTGGTAGCTCGGATGCTTGCTGTTCCGAGTAGATTGAGGTTGTGCCGACATCGAGGACGGAAGGCAGTGCACCGATCACTGCGTCTAATTCCACTGGAGACACTTGGAACCTACTGGGATTAAGGACCAGCTGCACTACCGGAAGATGTAACTTACCCGTTGTACTTAATCACGTCCTTTATCCGGTCTACAACTGGTCAAAGTATGATCAGCTCTCTTTTTGGCAACAAGAATAGACAGGCGTACTCTTGATAAACCTATCATCGGTCAAAATGCCAATATCCCCTGTATGTACGAAACCGTCCTTGGCAAAAGTCTCTGCGTTTGCTTTCGGGTTTCGGACATATCCCAGCATCTGCAAGTTCGATCGCATCATGATCTCGCCCGGCTTTCCATTTGGTACGGCTACAAAACATTAATCCGTGTCACGACGGTTGAGTTCCGGGTGCTTACGATTACCGGCCTCGTCTCGGATCTGGATTTCTACGTCAGGCATCACTCGGCCGGAAAATCCCAGACTTTTTTCAACCGTTTGCCAGGATGGGTCGGGACGATGAGTAAAACATCCCGTTTCCGATAGCCCGTACCTATTTCCCTATCAATCACCGCCCTCCGGACAACAGGAGAGTTTGCATTACCCCATCAGGATTAGCTTTCCTGTTCGGCGATGAAACTCTCGAATGATGTCCGCACCGAGCGGAGCTGCCCCACATCCTGCCGATCGAACAGAAGAGATATCACACCAGGGTTCGTCCAACAGCGGTGTCTTGGTTAATGCTAGCGCCAGGGGTGGCGCAAGGTTCAGATATGTCACCCGGTGCCTGACAATGTTACGGAGGTAGGCCTCAAGGTCGAATTTGCGCATGATGACTACTTTGGTGCTGTATTGTACAGCCTGCAGAACGTTAGTATCTGGCCACGGCCGATCAGATATCGCACTTACTAGAAGCATCACCGTCTGTAGGCCCATGATATGATAAAATGGGGGCAGGCCGATCCAAACCTGACCGGATTCAGTGCCAATGAGCGACGCGAGATTCAAAACGAGCACGTACAGCATCGTTTCTTTGGTAATAAGCATACTTTTGCCACAGCACATTGGTAGTGACAAGAGACCGATGAGAATGCATAACCCCCTTGCTTTCGCCGGTGGTGCCTGAGGACCACAGAACACATGCAACGCGATGGGATTGCTCATGAGCATCCTGTGTTTTCGCGTCAGCTTCATCGTGGAAGTTGGAAAGCCCGGGCTGACCATTGGGGCAACCTGCGAACTGGCGCTCGTGTTCAGAAGGGTCAACCAATTGTTCGCAGGCAGATCGGAAGGGGAGCAATTGGATGGATACTGGAGGACATCGACAGTAAAAATCTTCGGCTTTATCGGACTTCCCGGAAGAAGGTTGAAAGCTTTTTCCAGTGTTTCCTCCCCAAGCTCCCCGGGCTGTGTGAAGACCACGTCTGGATGGACGAGTTCCATAACATGCACAAGCTCATTTGGACCGAGAGCAGGACTGACAAGATTCATCGTACAATTTGTTGCAACACCGCCCAAGAAGATGACGGGAAAGGCACAGCAATTTGGGAGGTGGATCATCACAACTGGGCCTACAATAGCGCCTGGAACTCCAAAGTCATCCTTGGGTGGCACGTTGACAACTAGCTTGGAAAGCGAGTGCACAAATCGGAGGCTGTCGTCTCGTAAGCGGCCATATGTAAGATCTTGGGAGGTAATGGGTTCGTGGAAGACGACCCTATCGTCCGAGGGAGGAATACGACGCCAGACTTGTTGGTTGTGAAAGAGATATGCACTACATGACACTTCAGATTCCCCCAGAGCACCTCAAACGACTAAATCTCACAAGAGATTGTCCGTCGGGATATAGTCCGCGTTCGCTGGTGGGTAAATCGGTTCAAGGGCTACCTGAGACATTCTCTTGAGAGATTTCCGACTAGCAAAGCAAGTGAAGTCAAGCAGGTAGGAGTAAGAGAACAATCTGGGGTGACATTGTCGCCTCTAGATATTTACGGCTCAATCCTGTATTGCTGTAGCCGGAATCATAACCGGGCAGTCAGAAGATAGAACGAGGGAGAACATCTGTCAGATCAGGAGACGTTCCTTTCCGGTGGGGTAAAATTATCCAGCCGAGAGCGACTCAGGGTCGCGAGAATATCATTTATCACGTGTCGCTGGAGGTGCTTGGAATCAAGTCAAGAGAATCGTAGTCCTTGATCTTCTCGAGTGTGAGCTTCTCGACCATGCTGGACAATGTTGTCCGATGTCTGCTTGCATCGAGGTAAGGGAGGAGGGTGGAGGATGCGCGCGCCATCGGGTCATGTGTGCCAGCACATCGCACTATCTGCATGTCAAGTACTCCCTGTATTAACAAAAATGATATGCTTAAGACAGCACGATGTGAGTTCGATAGCTCCAGGTATTGAGGAGGGCAGCGGATCGTATAGCATCCGAGTCCACAAAAGCTGTCGCCAGCTACTCGATCGGCGGTTAATTCCCGAGATAATTCCCGAGCCCCTCACCGCCTATGGACACAATCTTGCTCGCTGTTGTTCTCCGATTCGCGGCATATGCGGAGATGGATATGTGTCCGGAGAGAGCCAGAAAATATAGATGATGTGGTGTGTTGTGGGAGTGACCCGCGAATGCCGGTCCGTCGCCTCTTGATGGATCCGAGTCTGCCCCCGAGTCGGACGTCGCGTAATAGCACACTTCAGAACGTCATATCTCCTAAGACTGACGTACAGCGAACGCATACCCTTGTTCTGAAACTCTTTTTCTCGCGCGAGAAGACTTAAAGGGTCATTCATACACCACGTGGCCCTAAGAAGAATACTGCTCCATCTCGGTATCCACCAAACTCGGACGTTTATTTTACGTGGATCTGCTCCTGCTCTGATGCGTATGCCACTATTGTCCCGAGAATGTATCTTTGCGCTGCATGAATGCACAGAGGATGAAGAAGCCTGATAAGATAATCACCAATATAATATACGTCCGTCGATGCTCGTTAGCGGTCATAGCTTGGCTTTAAGATCACCGGTGCTCTTGAAGGGTATGTAAATCCCCGTGATGTCCTTCAGTTGTCTCCGCATGATTTTCCCACTAAGATGAGTGAGAATCGTGGAATGGTATAGGTGTACAACGCACGTCGGTGACTTTGTAACTGAATCGCACAACACAATGCCTCCCCTCAACCACTTGTAATATGCGCACCGGCTCTCAACAGTGCTGTATATTTCTTCAGCAAATGCCCTCAGACCAGGGTGGTTCTTCTTGTCACGCTTGACAGCTGCCAGTAGCTCTGCAGAGCGAGGGACAACATATGCAATTGGCAGCTCGGATGCTTGCTGTTCCGAGTAGATCGAGGTCGTTCCGACGTCGAGGACCGAAGGCAATGCACCTATTACTGCATCCAATTCCACTGGGGATACTTGGAAACTGACATGATCAACAGTTAGGTGCGTCAGCGAGATGAATAACTCACCCGTTGTATTTGATCACATCCTTTATCCTGTCGATAACTACTCCGCTGGTCAGTCAGTGGCCTTTTAGCAATGGAATAGAGATGAATACTCTTGATAAACCGCTCGTCATCCAAAATACCGATGTCTCCGGTACGAACGAACCCGTCGTTCGTGAAGGTCTCTGCGTTTGCTTTCGGGTTTCGGACATATCCCAGCATTTGTAAGTTTGAACGCAGCAAAATCTCGCCTGCCTGTCCGGGAGGCAGAGCTTGGAAGAGATCAGTGCATACCAGGGACGAGCAACACGAAGGTCTCACGACGACCGGCCTCGTCCTGGATCTGGACTTGCACCTCAGGAAAAATCTGCCCGGAATATCCTGGGTATTGTTCAATAGCATTCCAGGAGGATTCAGGGAAATTGGTGCAGGGTCCGGTCTCAGTCAGCCCATACCTGGTACAATGTCAGTGCCGCAAGACCAGTAGGGCAAAATTTCGATCACCCCATGTAAACCGCTGCTCCTGTTTTGCGGCGTAATTCGCGAATGACGTCCTCTCCCAGAGCGGCGGCCCCACACCCGATGCTTCTAACCGAAGAGAGATCACACCATGGTTCGTCCAAGAAAGGCGTCTTCGTCAATGCCAGGGCCAGAGGTGGTACAACGCACAGGTATGTCACATGGTGTTCGACAATGAGACGTAGATAAGCTTCGAGGTCAAATTTCCGCATGATGACCATTTTGGTACCAAAGCGTAAGCCCTGTAGAAAGTCAGAATTGGGATTCAGACGCGAAACAGCGCGGACTTGTAACATCACAGTCGTGAGGCCCATTATATGGTAAAAGGGTGGTAATGCGATCCAGATCTGAGCAACATTTAGTCTGGAGAGGTAAGATGATAGATAACCCAGCGCGCACAGAGTCAATTCCCACCCAGGATCCATATTTCTCCCAGAGCACAGTGACCGCAGTAAGGGATCGGTGGGAATGCATGACCCCTTTGCTCTTTCCGGTGGTGCCCGACGACCACATAATACATGCAACGCGATTTGCGTGTTCATCAGCGTCCTGTACTCTCGTGTCAAACACTAGGCAGCCTAAGAGCCGCTGCACTGACCATAGGCGCGACCTGAAAAGAGGACATTCCCAGCAAGGACAGCCAATCAGACACAGAACTAGGCGGCAAGGAAGAATCCGTTGGGTACTGCAGGACATCGACAGTGAATACTTTCGGTTTTGTGCGACTTTCCGGAAGAAGGTTGAAAGCTTTTTCCAGTGTTTCCTCCCCGAGTTCCCCGGGCTGTGTGAAGACTACGTCTGGATGGACGAGTTCCATAACATGCACGAGCTCATTTGGACCGAGAGCGGGACTGACAAGATTCATCGTACAATTCGCTGCAACACCGCCCAAGAAGATGACGGGAAAGGCACAGCAATTTGGGAGGTGGATCATCACAACTGGGCCTACAATAGCGCCTGGAACTCCAAAGTCATCCTTGGGTGGCACGTTGACAACGAGCTTAGACAGAGAGTGCGCAAACCGGAGGCTGTCGTCTCGTACGCGCCCGTATAGAAGATCTTGCGATGTAAGGGGTTCGTGGAAGACAACCTTGTCATCCTGGGCAGGGAAGCGTCTCCAGACTTGTTGATCCTGAAAGAGGTAGGCGCTGAGATTCCAAAGTGATCAGGTCATGTTTTATCAACAGCTGAAGGTGAAGCCTTACAAGATATTTTCTGTCGGAACATAACCTGCATTTGTGGTGGAATCTACAGGTTTAATGATCGTCCCAGTCATTGTCGCAGGATTTGCCTCTCTCTGCTCGCGGCAGCGAAAGAAGGCACGTATAACCAGTGCAAGAGCACAGTGCAGGGGGTCTAGCCGCCTGGATATATGTAGGTCCGCATTCTGTAAGCAAGGTCTGACAGTGCCAACTCAGCAGGGCAGATTTGCTAACGTACGATGGCTGAGTACCATTCAATGCTACAAGAGGGCCATGTTGTGGGAAAGAGCAGGGTAGGAACGCTGTGCGTGCGCTGGCTTGTGTTCTTGTGAGGTGTACCGATCATTTGAATTTTGCTTGAGGTACCTGAGAAGGATCCGTGTTTCTCAAATGCAGATTGCACCGCCTGAGGATTGAATATGTGGCTCGTTAGAAGAATTTGGTTATTAACACAAATAATGAGCGCAAGCAAAACTGGGTCGCGTATTAATTTAAAGTCGCTATTGGTGTCTGAGCTCCTCACCGTGTCGGCCGCAAAAAGAAGTATGGAACATTCAATTGCAATTTCAGAAAGGTTCGGTATCCCAATTGTCCACGGTATAGTAAAGATGCACGCCTCGCCAGCGGGGGGTTCATCTTCTCTCTTCTCCCCTTCGTGTTGCCATTGCTTTGGCAATCGCACCCGGTCATAGTCCACAATTCCTTCCATCCACTTCGGTGACGTATGTACATATAATAAAGTATCGTTTTGCGGGGCGTCAATGCATACGAGTCATATCATAAGAGTTTTCTGGTCATATCGATTCCGCTGACAGTGTCGTGCTGCGCGTGATGGGTGGTGTTGGTCATCCATCTTCTGCAGTCCCGATACCCTTTAGCTGGTAGTCATTTCGTGATGGTTTGGCCTAGCGGACTAGATCGGAAGAGAGACCCTCCCTTCTGTCCCGAAGGGCTCTCAAGTCCTTCACAACAATCTGGACCGCACTTAACATCTCGTCAAGACCAAACAGAGAAAACGGACGCACCTCGAACTCTTCTTTCGACAACAATCCTCTTTCCAGATCTTCCCTTGCACCTGTTTCGATCTTCTCCAAGAGCTGATCGAACAGCTCCCGGTAGGTGACCCCGAAGAACTTCCTCAACTTGGCTGCACGCTTCCACGCGGGCGGGGCAGGAGCAATCTCGGTAGGGTCATGAGTTGACATAGCGAACGAGACGAGGGAGGCTGTCTCGGGATCCTGGGCAGACGGACGGGGGATCATGATATCAGCCGGGACTGTTGACGAGAGGACGTGAGATGAAGGGGTCAGCGACGACGACCGAGGTGGAGTGGGGAGCGGATCATTCCCGTCCAGGTTGTCTGATTGCGAGACAAACTGCAGGAGTGTGGCGAGAGAATTGCGATTACCCTGTAAGGAAAGGCACATGTCATATCAGGGAATAGTCCAATTTCGGTCAATATGAGCGTGTCACGCACCGCTTGAGTCAGATAGTCTAAGCTCGCCAGGCTCCGACGATAACTCTTGAAACTTTCCCCCTGCACATCGTCCGCACTAAGCTCGCCCATCTCGCTGACTTCATGACAATCCCCAGCATGATCAACGGCGTCCCCATCACTCTTAATTCTCTCTCTCTTCTGCTTCTGCTTCTGGCCAATGCCCAAGCCTACGGCGCCATATGATTGTGACATTGGGCCAGGTTCGAGAATTTCAATTTCAATCTCCTCCTCCGTCGTCACAATGATCCCGTCGAACCTTGGGCGGGCAGGCGAATCTTGACTCTTCGCGCGGCGGCGTGTGCCAAGCACGAGGGGAGTATTCGGGCTGACAGGGCTGTCAGCCGTGGGGGAGAAGGGCGTGCCTGCCGGACGTGAGAGGTAGAGCGCTGGAGGCGGAGGCGATCCAAACAACTGCTCCATCTTCGCTGCCCGTTTGACGTTCCTCGCATGCTCATCAGGGCTGGCTTGTGCTTGCGGCTCCTGCCGACGCGCATCAACGCGCCGCGTACCTACGCCGACACCGACTGCACTCGGCTTCCATACAGACTCGTCCAGCTTGGGCGGGCCGCTGCTGCGTGTAAAGAGTGTCTTCCATGTGGTTTGCTTCTTGTCCTCGTACGGCCAAATAGGACCAGCAACTGGCGGCTCAGCCGGCAACGGGAGAGGTGCGCCAAGCCCGCTCGAAGAGGGGGCAACGAGGTCGGCAGGTACGACCACGCCAAGGTACCGATGGATCTTCTGCAACGTTTGCCGGCGTCGGCGCTTCTCTTTCTCAGTAGGATCGTCTTCCCAGTCGGAGGAGGCGCCGATACTGGGCGAGGAGACGGGAACACCGTCTGAGTTGAGGGTGGAAATGCTGGCAATGCGCTGCAGTGAGGAGGAGAGCGGCACGCAGAAACGGCCCCCTTGAGTCTTTGTGGTCGGAGGACCGGACGCGGTGCGTGAGCGAACAAGGCGAGTTCCCGTGGAGGAAGTACGCCGGTCTGCCTGCTCCCTACCGCTGTCTCGTTTTATAGAGCGGGACGCATCCACAGTGGTCCCGTCCTCAAATCCTCCTGAGCGGAAATGCGTTGTGCCAAGAAGCTGCTCGAGCTTCCTGGTTCTACGCCGCAGGACCTCTTTTTGCGTTGGATCGAGCAAGTTGGTCGTCTCCGGTCTCGTCAAATCAACTGGTGATTGGGGAATCGAAGGCAACAACGGGAAGGTGTCCGATGAGGTCGATGGACGATAAGGGAGAGGGAGAGAGATTGACGACGCAGAGGAGGCCGTTGACATGCTGCGTTTGCGCAGGAGCGTAGCGTGTGATGGGCCTTGCAGGGCAGACAACAGATACGGGTCATCTTCGTCGTCCGAGGGCGAAAAGTGGAATGTTGGCTGGCTGCTTGGCCTTGCGGGAAATCCTGAGTATCCCTGCATAGGCGCAGGCGAGTCAGGGTCGATTGGGCCTATGATGATCACGTCCGTGCTAGAACGAGTTCGCTCAGCAGTCGGAGTCGTCTCCGCGTCGTCATCGTCTTCCTGCGAGAGCGGGGTGAAGCTACGCAGCCTGTCCTTCGGTGGGGGCACCGGTCCAAGGTTTACCATGGAGGTAGAAGTCAGGGTCGGCAACGCGCTCTGCGACCGCAGGTGACCAGGCGAAACGGGCGGCGTAGCGGTCTTGAGTGCCCAGGAGGAGGCGAAGGGGTGTGTCGTCTGTCCGCGAGAATGACTGGCCGCTGTCGGCGTCCCGGGGATGGAAATCGAATGCGATGCTGCCATATGCGTCAGTACTCAGCGGCGGGCGCAAGAGGAAAAGAAAGAGTGGAGGGGCCAGGGACGCATATATGCGCCCCCTGACGGTGAGAACGCACGCGCACGGAGACCAGGCACAGGCATGTGGTCCCTTGCTACATCCCCCCGGGTGTGCGGGTGGGGCGGAACAACGCAGAGAGCAACAAAAACTTGAAATCTGAGAAGCGACGGACTCACCAGTTTTGACCGTGGTGACGCCCTTCCTTCGGGCGACGGAGCGCATGGTGTTCCCGGCAGCAGTGCGTGCCCAGGGCGCCGATGCGTCGCTCCCCGACCGAGTGCTCTGTGTGTCACTACCGCTGGTGCCGCTGCCACTTGCGACGCTGAGGAACGAATCGCGTCGAATGCCCTCGAGTGCTAGTTCGTTGAAACGAGCCCTGAGGTCTGTAGGTGACATGTTGCCAAGATATTCCAGTTTGTTAGCTGGACCAGGCTAATCCCCACCCGTTCCCCACACCGGCGAGCCAATGAACGAGAAAGCAATGTGGCGGTCGGGAACAAGTCGATAGCGACGACGACGAACGACGACGGTGACTGGCTGCCCGTCGTCAGGGAGCAAAATTGGGCTGCACCAAATATATGGCTCGGAATGTCCCACAAAACCCTTGTTGCGACCCGGGGTTTGTGTCCGGACGCCCCCTTGAAAAAAAGGTTCAATTCTTAATTTTGAAAAGAGAGTACAACACGTCAAAGAGAGTTTTTCGAGTAATGTATGAAATACAGACAAATTAACAGATTCTGAAGTGACAGGAATTCATGAGAGAACACGGCGGCATGTCTTCTTATGGGACCACACCGCTGCTTCCAGTCTTCTCCCGCCTTTATCTCCTCCGATTCAGTAGGATGGTCGAGATCCGAGAGGATGGGGGTCATCCACGACTCTTCCATCGATCCGACCTCGTCGTTCCTTGCCGATAATAGAACCTGGAAGACTCAGGAACAGCTTGAGGCGTGTACACCGTTTGGAAACACACGCGCGGGCTGAGAAGTTGAAGTATCAGCGTGCACCGTCTGGAAACACACGCGCTGAGAAGCTGGGGTATCAGCGCGGCGACTTCTTATATGCAGTTCTATAATGGCACAGGCTGGAGAAGCAAAATTCATTCAATTTTCACAACTCCGTGGATGACTCGGAGCCGATGTTACTCCGATCCCAGCACAGCCCCTTGAGACTAAATTTCGATGTCACCCGACCTCTTCTCACTGCCAACTACCGCTCCCTGTTCACCATGTTCAACGTCAACGTCCGAGTGCTGCCACCACGGCTAGTGCATACCATTCCTCTCCTTCTCCGGACATACGCTGCCCCCGCCAGAAACGTGCGCGACACCAGCGACCCCCGGGTGGAGATCATGAAGCGCGCTCTGTACCCTCCTACACTGGACCGCAAGCAGGATACCTCCCCTACCGGCTTGCACAGGTCGGACGTAAACACACTCCTCGACGTTGCTGTTCCTAGCGCTGAGGCGCACGAGACGATTACGCGCGCATGGCTCCTCTACCAGCGGCAGCAAAGGGATGCGCGCGACGCGGACATGGGACGCAAGTTCGATAGCATGCTCGCAGCGCTGGACGAGCTCAAGATGTGCGACGAGAAGCTGTACAGGCTTGCGGTGTATAAACCCAATATGCGGAAACTGTCCCCCGAGGAGAGAGACGCGATGAAGGGTCTTAAGAGCAGTGCTGCTAGGAGAGCGATCGAGGCGAGGAACGAGAGCCTGTTCCCGAGAGAACTGAGGATACCAACAGATACGCCGAGCAGGAAGGGGTGGGATCATAATTGGACACCGAGCGAGTGATTGGAGGTCCAGCGGGTGCGTGTGGTTGTTGTGGATGCGTGCATGGGTGCTGATTCTATTGCAACCTGAAGGGAGAACAGCACAGGAACTCTGCGATGAGAGCCCTTGTTTATAATTTTAGCATGTAATGCAAATATCTGTCCCCATCTCCCTGAATATCTCCCCATTTGCCCTATCGAAAGAATGATCGTGCATAATAATCTCAGCCACGAGCAAGCCTAACAATCAGTGTTTGATTTTATGATTACGTAAGCACAGAGTCATTCACGCTCAGGGACCTCGGCTCGTCGTCTCTCTTTTCGACGACGAGCACGATCTAAAGGGCGGCGGCGGCGACATCTCCGACAACATCGACGACCAATATGTCGTTCTGTAAGCCCCAAATTTTGTCTCTGCGCGCTCGTAGACTAACGCCAACCAACAGCAAAAACCTTCAACCCCCGCAAGCCATCCCGTCCTCCCACCTCCCAGCTCCTACCTACCAGACCAACCGGCACCCCCCTCACACTGCCTTCCTCCGACCGTTCCTCCGCCGCTCCCTCAACCCCATTTCAGCCCTCTCCAACCTCCACACCAACTCCTTCCAGGCCAGCAGGGACGCCCCTCAGCCTTCCAGCCTCACAACCATCGGGAGCACCGATCGGACTCCCGAGTGCTACCCTAGGGGCGCCTATTGGGCTCCCAGGTGCTCCGCCCAGTAAACCCGCAGGTACACCTATCGGTCTACCTGGTGCTCCTCCTACGAGGCCGAGCGGGACGCCCCTTGCCTTGCCTGGTGCTCCCGCTGCTACTGCCCAACCGTCTATCTCTGTGGGGAGTGGGATCCGGATACAAGAGATTGTTGTACCAATCGTTAGGGCTGGTTTGGGAGATAATGGAACACTGCGGTATCAGCCTTCACAGGAGCGGCATGAAGTGCCCGTGGGAAGTACGGGGGAACCCGAAGCGACAGATCAGGGAAAGGGAAACGGGAGGAAACGGATTGCACCTGAAGCTGCTCCAGAGGCGGAACCCCGCGCAAAGAAGGCCAGACATGCCACATATGTTGGATCTGGTACTGGGACCAGCGAGCCTGCTGCGCTTGAGACGCACGAGGGTGTCGATGCCGTCGAGGCAGGCGGGAGGAAACGGTCGGCCAGGATCGCGCAGCGTCGTGGAGCTGCTCCTGAGGGCACAGGAACAGCTGGTACAACAGAAGAAGACGAAGAAGAAGACACTTCTGCCAATGTAGACGCGCGCGAACCTGAAACCGAGCCTGAAGCAACTGGGAAAAAGGGTCGGGGAAAGAAGCGACAGGCGAAGGCTCGCAAACGCAAGCTCGATATCCTTCATGCGGACGCTAATGGGCTTATGCCGGGAGATGAGGGGTACGACCCTGTTACCGGAGGTGGACCTGCTACTTCTGGCGAAGCCGGTGTGGAGGAAGAAGGGGAAAGCAGTGCGTTGGTACCGGCGAAACGCGCTCGTCGGCGCTCTCCTTCCCCGAGCATGCTCGCTGCCGACCCCGGAGCGCCACTAGACGTGAACACGACCCTCATGTCGGACATCCTGCGCGATCCGGGTGTGGGTAAGCTTTCGAATAGGTTTGTGGAGGCTTATAGGGCGAAGAGGAAGCTGAATGAGGAAAGGAGGAAGGAGAGGGAGAGGAGGAGGGAGGAGATGGTCCGGAGGAAGCGGGAGCTGGAGGAGGCTGTAGAGCGCGGCGAGGGGAGGGCTTTGGGTGCGAAGGCGGCCGAGGATGATGGTGAGGGAGAGCAGCATGCAGGGGAAGGACCGCAGGATGCGGTCGCTGTAAGAGCAGCGGTGGTAAACGCCCTCCGTGCGGCCGAGGAACCGACCCCACCCCCTGAAGACGGCCCGTTCCGGGAAACGCACACCGCCCCTCAGCTTCGAATGGGCGCCCACGGCGAGTGGGAGATCGACGAAGACCTTTTGCTCATCGACCGCGCCGCCGACCCGGCGCTGCAGCAAGAAGAAGAGCTGGAAGAAGTCGAAGAGCGCGAGAGCGACCGGTTTGTCACTTCTTTCACCTGGAGCAAGCTGGAGAAGAACCCTGGTGCAAGGGCCCGGTGGAGCAGGGAGGAGACTGAGCTTCTGTGTAAAGGCATTGGTTGGTTTGGCTATGATTTCGAGATGATCTCCAAGCTCTTTGTTGGGAGGGATCGGCTTAGCGTCAAGCGGAGGTGGAAGAATGTCGAGAAGGTTGATCCTGCGCGTGCTCAAGCTGCTTGGGAGAACCGAGAGCCTATAGGTGCGTTTGTTTCTGCGCGGCGACGTTGTATTTCAGCTAACAGCGTTGCAGATCTGTCCTACTTCTCGAAACATATTGGTACCAACTTGCTCCTCCCCGCTGCTCCTATCCAGCCTCCCATGCTCGCCCTTCCTCCTTCTACCCCGCCTCCAGACGAAACACCTGTCCTGCGTCTGCCTGCGCCTAAGGCGGCTCGGGGAGAGCCAGAAGAGGAGATATTCGATATGGATGTTGGGGAGGAGACGTATGAGGAGATCGATTTGGATGAGGAGGAGTTACCGACGTTGAGTGAGGCTATGATGGTGTAGGTCTGGATGTCCTCTCAACTCCTGGCCTTGGGTCGCCGAACTGGCTTCTCCGAATGTTGTTATCTGCGGTGTTGTTACAGTCAGGGGGTTCTCGGTTGAAACTAAAGATTGGCTAGTTGTACGAGTTGAGAATATCATTTTGAGCGGTGCTAGATGATGGTGTATATCTTCAACTGTACTAGTTTTCTGTTTCAGTATCGTGTGGCCTTTCGGATCACATGTTCGGAACAATGAGGATTATAACCCGTTCCTCTCGGAGTTACAATACAAATAACAGAACCCCTTATCAAGCTACCGCGCTCGGTTCCGGTCTGCTTCTTTCCTCTGCACCATACGCTCATTCGGTCAGCTCGGTGGGACAGCATGGCGCCCCGTATTCTTCGAACCTCAGTAACTTGCCTGGTTGGCTGCTTTTGGTAGACAGAGGTCATGCGACCTCTGTGCTGATATGTGATAACAACGGACTCGCTCAAGGTGATAGCACTTTACGTGAGAACTGTTCGATATCGGTCGATCAACGCGCCTCCAGAGTCTCCTCGAGGGAAGATCAGCCCCGGCTCAAGGGGGATAAAGATGCCCGACTCTGCTGGGAAGCAGCCGCTCTTGGGTCGTGCCCCTCTCTCTTGCCACGATAGCACGCCAGGAGGATACCATACATTCCTGCCCTCTTCTTCTGGCTTCTGCGTCCCTGGTTCTTCGCACGAAGCCTCAGCCTCCTTGTTATCAACGACGAAGTCCTCGTACTCGAATATGTCTCACCAGTTTCCGCCTGAGAACCCTCATCCTCTCATTGAGAACTTTCCCAATGACAGCAAGGACCGCGCGGAGCAGGTCGCTACGATTGCGGTCTCTGCCGCACATCCTAGGGAGGATCTGGGCTTAGTTGCACTAGACTATGAAGGCCCGGAGGTAACGCGCAAGGAGCTCTGGTCATACTACTGTGAGGCGTCATTCCACCCCTAGAAATCTGTGACTGATGGCGCGAGAATCAGTGTACTACAATGGCGACAATGGTGTTGGACCTCTTGGATACAGTATGACGCTGTTCCAGAGCCTTGCCCAAGCAGCGGGATACGACCCAGTTGCCGGTCCTGGATCCTCCTGCAGTGCCCCCGATGCCAGTGGTCAATGTGTCCTTCCATGGGCAGGCGGAACGAAAGCCGTAAACAGCATCGTCTTGATAGCAAATGGACTCAGCTTCATGTTTATGACCCTTATCTTTACTACCATTGGAAGCGCGGCAGACTATGGGAGCTTTGGCAGGTGGCTGCTTCTGGTGTTGACGGTCGTATGTTGGGCCGCCCAGTTCGGCAGCATGGGCTTGTTGGGTATTGAGCCCCATTTCTCGAGACGCGGATTGTATGTGACTGAGGGTATTCGTAGGTCCTGCTCAGTGGCAGGCTGCGATGGCGCTCTACATGATCGGTTTCATCTCCTGTGCGTCTGCCTCGTCTCCCCCGTTCTTTAGCTCTTCCCCCTTACCTATGACCGCAGATGGTGCCACCCTTGTATTTTACGCCGCCATATTCCCGCGCCTCGCACGCAATACGCCACACTCTCGCGCGTTGCGCGAACGCTACGAACGACGCGAGATCGTCGCGGCAGAGTATGAGCAGGAGGAGTCACTGGAGAAGAATCGGATTAGCAACATTAGCACGATGCATAGCAATTGGGGATACCTATTCACGTTGCTCCTCAATCTGAGTGTCCTGCTGCCCCTGCAGAATGATCCGAAGGTGGACAAGTGAGTTGTTCATTCTGGTGTTCGACAGATACTGATAGCCGTGAACAGTTACACGATTGTTTTGTGAGCTATCTGGATAAAGTCGAGGCCTGTGCTTATTAGGATCCAGGACGAACGCCTACTGGGTCATACTTGGCATTTGGTGGTGTACGTATGCCGCTTGTTCGATCAATATCGCTTGACACTATAGACAGTCATATATCAACAGCCGCGTCCTGGACCTCCTCTGCCGAAGGGCGAATCCTACCTAACCATTGGGTGGAAGCAGGTGTGTTGAGCCGTCTTTCCCCCCCGGATCGCCGCTTATTAGTTGAATCGCATAGATCTGGCAAGCCTGCAAACAATATAAGAAGCTTCCCTACACCTTCATCTATCTGGTGTCATTCTTCCTCCTTGCTGATGTGCGTTGTGTTCTCCGAGTCCCCTCGTCTCCTTATTTCTTTTGCGTTCTATGGAGGGCTAATTACCGGGACAGGGCCTCAACACCACTGGCACTTTGGTGTCCATCTGTCAAAACGATCTGTTCCAATTTTCTTTCTTACAGAACACGTACCTAGGGCTGGCGCAAGCGATCACCTCGATCATAAGCACGGGTGGATTCTGGTATATCCAGCGATATTGGAAGGTACGGCCGAATTCTGCTCAATAAAGGACGGTGCTAACGTCTCATCTAGATCAAGACAAAACCTATGTTCATCGTCACCAACGTGTTCACCATCTTCATTCCACTTTGGGGCATGATAGGGCTCTGGACCAACAAGATCGGATTTCACAACGCGTGGGAATTCTGGTTCTATAATGTCGTTTTTGGCCTATTCCAAGCACCGTATTACGCCTTTTCGCAGACCATAATGGCAGAGCTCACCCCTCCGGGATTCGACAACATGTACTTCGGCCTGTTTGGCTTGTCTAACCGTGCAAGCAGCATGATCGGCCCGAACGTCATCCAGGCGATCATCAACAACACAGGCAATAACTGGGACGGCTTCCCCTTCCTTTTTGCTCTCTGTACAGCTGCAAGTATCGTCATTTGGTTTGGCGTTGATGTGGAGAAGGGTAGGCATCAGGCGGTCGAGTTTGCGAAGCTGGAAAGGAGCAAGAACAAGGAAGGCACGGAGAGTTTGGAGGACACCAAAGGCACTGTCATGTAGGAGGACAGGGAATATTATGTATTTTGACAATGGGAGCATGGATTATTGGTCGATTGTGCTATACGATGTCGCGTGCATGATTTTCGTGTTATGCCTGCTGGGTTCATGGTCACATCCTTCAGTAGGGGTGAGAAGAGCGGATTGCTATTCGTGTGGTGGCTGCGCACCTGTGCTTACGTAAGCTACTGCCCTGGCTTCCGTTGATGAGCGGACTGCGCTCATATTATTCTTGCACAATACTACGTCGAGCACAAGTTTCCTTCATCCTGAGTTTATTGGTATCACTGAGATTTGCTTAAATATACCACAAACGCGCAATGGCAAGTAGGAGGAGCGAGGAGGAGCGCCTGGAGATGCACGAAGAGGACGAGCTGGAGCAACTGGAGCGCGAGATTGGTATGCCATCTGACGATGCCTCTACGTCCGAGATGTGCGCCCTTCTATCCTTCACGTCTCAATATCATAATTAAGCTACAATGCAGGCCATTAAGATCACAATACTCTCAGACGAAGCAAGAGCTTGCAGCCGCCCTCGCGAACCGATTCGTACATTCACGTACATACATATTCCTCTATCTCGGCATGGCCGCACTTTCCCTCACCACCGTCGTGCTCTCTCTCCTCGAGGGCTGTCCTGGTATAGCTTTCTTTGTATTGGAAATGATAATCAACTCCGGTATGATCATCGAAGTTGGCATCCGATTAGTCGCATTTGGACGAGTACGTTTGTCCTGACTTTATACGTCTCGTTACTGACTCATCTGCCCTGCGTCTGCTTAGAAATTCTGGAAATCACCATTCAACTATCTGGACATATTCGTCACCTTGTTTTGCATTGTCACCCTCATTACTGTTTCTGTTTCCGGATGCTCTGGCACATCCAAGTCCGAAGAGCTGCTCGACACGCTTCTGCTCGTCGCGCGAAACGTGCTCCAATTTACCCGTCTAGCAAATGTTCTGCGCAAGTCAGGCCGGAGCATCTTCGCTCGCCCAGCACCGATCGACTTGAGCCAAGCGAGGAGGTTGGGATACGCGCTCGATATCGACTTGTTTGACGAGGACGCTCAGCTGGCGGAGGAAGACCCACACGCTGCAGCGCCCTTGGTACCACAAGGGCAGTCTCGCCGAGAAGGACAGAACGGCGGGGTTGTCTTTGATGCTGCGAGAGAGAGCACCGTGACTGCAGAGGGGCAGGATCGGATGGGCCGGCCAGACAGGGGGAAGGTCTTTGGTACCGATGATGCGGAGGAGCAGTGGGCCCATTTGTGATCGGTGGGGTTTTGGCGATGCTCGATGGGTCAGCGTATGTATCTCTAGTTTTTCCTTCCTTTGTTTCTATTACATACTGGATAGACGGACAGGTTTACACATCTCGTTCCCTCGCTTTTGATTCGCCGATCCGTCGAGGTTCCGGATAGGCTGGCCACAATGAATATTGTTATACCCCTCTATCGTCAACCGTTCTCGTCTTGCAGCAGTGTTGACTTCAAGAGCGAGAAAGCAAACAATCACGTGAACGAATTATCCTTATCTTATTACATTCGGCTGGCGGGACAACTGATTGTCATTCTCCGGCGGCAGAACAACAACACCGGCCCCCGACATGATCATCGGTTTTCCCGGCGGTGAATGCATCCCTCATCCGCCGACGTAACGCATGATTTCCCATGAATGCCAGCTGCTCCTAACTGATACCGGCGCCTACGATGCTCAAAAGAGCAAGCGTTCCATGCACAGCAAGAGGGACTGCGGGCCGAGGATCGCCGAGGACCGAAAGGAGGTCGTATCAGGAAGACTCGCATTGTCCCGGTGCAGTTCAATGGAAGAAGCGTTGGGGGTGTACCACGTTCCCCATCCAACTCCAGGGGAAAGGAAGATGATATGGAAGACGCAGATAGGGGTTAAGAACCTGAAGAAGGAGAGGGAATCTGCCGTTCTTGCGATATGCTTATAACATGCTGTCTACCATCGAATGCGAAGGGACCGGAGAAGCAGGTTATCGAGGAGTTTACGCTACGAACTTGGTCTGGTCGGAACACGTTCCGCATCGAAATCCTCCCAGTGATTATCACGATCCTTACAAACGAGCACGGGAATAATTTGATGCCAGAACGTGAGGACAGGCGCATCAGCAACTCTTGGAACTACGTCCGCCATATTCCCCGCAATAGGCAACTCGAACCGCCTTCCTCTCTGAGTTCTAGCTTGGTTGTGCCGGCGACAGGTGGTCTAAATTGGTAACTCGATACCAGTTCTATGTACTGAGAAATAGAAAGGAAAGAATGACCTCATGACGATAAGAGAGGAGGAAGGCTGAAAGGGAAGAATATTATCTATCGACTCATCTGATAATTGCCCATTGACCATTGTGTGCCGATCGGCTCGATCTCTGGAGCTTCATCATCAACCTTCGGCGTTCTGAACCGCCTTTCTCGGCGCCTCCATCAATTATGTATCCCATTCATTCGGTTATGTGCTTCTCCCGCATGGTAAAGGCAACACCCGAGTAATGATCAGAAAAGAAGCATCGCACATAGCGACCAGCTGGCGGACATTACGCGCCCGGTCGGAGAAAGGGGGTCATGCGTGAGGGGCAAAATGCTTCTGTTCTTCTGTAGCACTGAATGTTCCCGGGCAGGGATGGATTTCAGATGAAAGAATTCCACCAGAAAGGACGCTTTGTATTGTCAGATGGAGGAATGAGTCTCTCAGGGACGATGATCAGGGCAGACGATGCAGTCTGACAGCGGGGGAAAGGCCGGCCCGGCCCGTGTCGATCCTGCCGTAAAGTGTCAGTGTTAGGAAACCAACTACGTAATGTGCTTATTGCTCTTCTAGAATTGTAATTTGGTGGACTCCGACAATATTAATGAGCTGGTCGCGAGGGGCGATGTGCCACAGCCAATTACTCATGCTGAGAGGTATTTACTTCTCTGCTTCCTTCCAGAGCGTCCGCCCAATTTGCTTCTTTGCGCCTTGCTGTGCTTCTCCTGTCTTTCGCTTCTAAATGCCCCCGTGCACTTCGCATCTTTTTTCGAAAAAAAGGGTCAACTCCCTGGCGTTGTTGCTGCTTCTCCATATCGCGTGGAGCCAACTGCATTTAGTACGGTGAAACTGGATTGGGACTGGTCAGCACGGGAACTGGTCAGCGAGGCGCAGAAATCACGCCGGAGGCCTCATCAAATCCACATGTGTACCTGCACATAGTGCTGAATTAGTTCGGCTCACATCCCCGCTTTTTGCTGCTCGACGACGACAACGCTGGGACCTGTCGTTGGCTCTTTAGCTTGCTCAATGCCATTCAACTTCAAATCACAGGACTTGGTTTGCTTACGGTTTCCTCTTTACTCCGGACCGTCCACCTGCCTCTGAGACAAACACCCTAACTGCTGTCAACCCCACATTCAGTTTTTTCACCCTTTCCCACTGCCTGGCCCGGTCCAAGCCCACCGCTAGTGCTAAGAAGCATTGGGGACGCCATCAAGGAGCAATTTATTCCCTATCGAGCCCCACCACTCTGATCTGCGTTGATCTCAAAGGGCTGGGTTGCTTACCTGCCTTCCTGCGCCAACGTGGGTAGCAGGCGGTGACGACCTAGCTCACGAGGCAGACGATACCTGGATTTGTTCGATACCACTTTGTAACTTCTCACTGCTCTCACGCTTGACTTCCTTCTAATTGGAACTGACTCGCGGACGCCCTGACACATCGACGACGACGACATCAACCAGATCAGCAACGACCACCGATAATAACCGAGACGATCGAACGCACTTTCCCAGTTGACAAACTAATGACGACTCTCTCGCCCGTGTCCTATACCCCTGGGCCCTATTCCGCTTCCTCATCCTCTCGTTCCTCCTCACAGAATCTCTCTCAACCTCCTACTTCTTCGGGCACCTCGAAACCTGGTTGGTGGAGGCGCCCCTCCGCCTCAGCTGGGCCTTCGTCCGCACTACCACCTCCCTCTTCGTACGTCGCCCCTTCCCAGCCAGTATCTCGGTCTGGAACAGTATCGACTACCGGGTCGACTTCCTCCTATTCCCGATCCCGCGCACAGGGACGCGAGTCTAGTTTGGCAAGCCCGCTCAGCCCTGGCAGCGACGTATTGCACTATTACACGGCCTCAAGTGCCCCAGCGAGCCCTAGAGAGCCAGCAGAGGGGAGCCGAGCAACCTTTGGCCCTTCTGGCGCGAAAGGAATGAGAGAAGTGAGAGAAGCCAGAGATGGTGGTGATAGTGGTGGGGGTACAGGTGGCTTTTCGATCGCATCACTCAGATCGGTATTCAAACCCAAGAAGCGGCCAGCATTGGAATTGCAGTCGCCAGGCCAGCAGCAGTACCAGCAGCGGCTACACACTTCCCATACATCCTCCACAACTTCCAGTACCAGCTTTCACACTGCCTCCATCGCATCTACTGCATCTTACCACACAGCGTCTCACTCACCATCCAACTCGGTTCATCCGTCATTGGCAAGGATGACAAGCTATGTCGTCCCGGACTTCGAACAGCGGCCACGATCTCGGGCGTATACTACCACCTCGCCCCAAGTGGGCCAGCCGCGCCAGCCCTCCCGATCCCGCTCCTTCACCGTTGACCAACCGCTTCGCGCTATCCCTCCCCCATTGCCGAGGAGCAGTACCTCTCTCAACCTAGCTTCTGCCGGAGTTGCAGGGAAGGGCGTAAAACCGCCTCGTCCACCTAGGAGTCCGAGAAGACCGATGGAGGAGGATATGAGGTTTTTGCAGGAGCTGACGGCCCTTGTGAGCCAGGAGACGGAACAGAGCTTTGATGGTCTTGGAAGGGGGGCGCAGATGGGAGATTTGACAGAGGAGGGGGAAGGAGATGCTGATGACGATTGGGAAGGGAACGAAAACCAGAGGACAAGGAGACAGAGAGACTCAGTGAAGACCAGGTACGTGATCTACTCCGCGCTAGATAAAGGCTCCCCGCAGATAGAGCTGATGCTGATGTGACATTCATGCAGACCGAGCATAAGTACCGCCTCGTTCTATTCCGACAGTTATTCTCCGCTTGATTCAGCTCGTCCCAGCACGGACACCACGGATACGACGGGCCAAACGAGTTCTGCGCGGTCCTCGCAGCCGCAGGTAATGTCTCTGGTCATTGGCACAGGTCAGACACTCCTGGCCTCCGCCGACATGAAAAATCAGGAGGTGTTGGAGGACCCGAAATTGTGGGTTGATGAGAACCCGGGCGCTGAATACGATGGAAGTGAGAGGAGGAGGTTGGAAGCAAAAGAAAAGAGGCATAGGTGGGCACTGGCGTTGCCTCCTGATGAGCCTGCGGCCGCTCAAACTATTAACTCTATGAGCGAGGAGACCGCCTTACAACACCCTGCACGCGCGCTCTCGACGGCTGCCTCCATGGCCGCCCCTAGTGGAGCGATGAATCATCACACCGCCTATCTCACGCAAGGCTTCGTCTTCAGCTCCTCCCCAGACGATTCTCGGTTCTATCGTGTCGGGCAGCCCATGCCAGACAACTCGCCTGTGGTTCGCCCTATCAGTGACGCATACAGTGTCCGGCAGCCATCGCTTGGCAGCTCTCCTAGCTCGTTCAGCTTGCATTCAGTCGGCTTTCATCGAGCGCACGATGCTCCTTCTGCACTGAGCTTGGCAAATACAGTTGGCACCGCTAGTGACGGTACGTCTGGGCAAGGGAGCAGCACCGGAGGGTTGAACGCTATTTTTGGATCGTACAATCCGCCGGAGGGCTTGATTAGGCCGCTGCGGGAAAAGCTTGGGAGCAAGAACAGAGCACAGAGCCCGACAGGAAGTTCCAGGAGCCGAAGAAGTGAAAAGAGCTTTGCGAGTGGGGGGAGGGAGGAAAAGGAGGAGAGGAAGTTCCTCAAAAGGCTGCGAAGCGCAAAAAACTTTCGAGCCTCCAGGACATCCATTGACGAGTCTTCGCCAGCCACAGCAGCAATTGAGGGTGAAAGTCAAGGTCCTGAAGCATCAACTGGTCCTCCAGGTGCCGATGCTACAACACCCGGGTCCAGCACCAAGAGTCCGGCATCGACCGTCGCAGATGCACCACGTGAATTTGATGTGGAGTCACTCTTCAGCATGCCTATGCAATCACCTCGCTCAAGCATGGCCCGTCCTAGGACGGCCCCCAACCCGGCTCGGCCCAATCTCAATGCATCAGACGAAGACGGGAGACGGCCAAGCGCACCGGCCATTGTCCAGACTCAGCCGGAAGGAAACGTCAAGAACGTCTTGGAGCACATTCTTCCACCGGAAGAGCTTGCACGGCTGATGCAGCCTTCGCCCTCACCACGAGAGTTGGACTCAATTCCGCCGCGTCGTCCGGGTAATACTAACTCGGTCACTAGCCGCCGGGGTTCGAATGCCGGCTCGCTTCGTTCCACACTCAGTGCGGACAAGTCATACTTCTTTGCGTCACCTTTGCCGAGCCCAGCTGAAAGGGAGTTCTCGCCATGGGCCATGCCTTACGACAACCCGCATGAATCGGGCCTACCGAGTTTACCACCACCTAGAAGGCGAGCTCGGAACCCTCCGGCTGGGGTCAACCTGTACCCGTTGAACACGAGTTCTCGACCGTCCTCGTCATCTTCCGGTTCGCGGTTATCCGTGCCGACTTCATCTTCCGCTGTTTCACCGATAAGTTCGACACCTACTAGTGCAAGTGCAGTCCGCCCAAACGTGTCTCCTCGGCTTAGCAACACTCGTAATTTCTTCCCTCAACGCAGACCACCTGATTACGCTATTCCACCACTTCCTGACCCTGGAATCAAGGCTGCCATTGTCGCAGCGGCCGCTAAGGAAGGAGAAAAGCCGAAAAGTGACGAGGTGCAAACCCTGCATGCTTCCGAAAAGAAAAAGAAAGTTGTGAAGATCGGCGAAAAGATAGTACGGAAGCCGAGCTTCCTCAACTTTGACGTGGAGGATGGAGAGGAGGACGAATTCATAGAAGATGTCGATGAGACACGAAACCAGAAGAAAGCCACGAAGCATGTCACGAAGCAAGTCACGAAGCCATTCATCCCTTCAAAGTTGAGTCCAGCATCTGATGTAGGCCGTCAGCAAAGTTTCCTTGACTTGGACGACATGCGCCAGAGCTTCGAGAGCAACCAGTCCGATAGCGATGTATCATAATTCGGCAACACCTTCCCATTCTTGCCCTGGGTTGGAACACGACTTCTATGTCTATCACCAGGAACACCCGGAACCCAACTTGTTTAGCGGAGCGCCCCCGCACGTGTATACATTTTTTAAATTTTCCTTTCCATCTTTGTTCGTTCAAATTATCACGGTCTCATAATAACTTTGGGAATTTAGGAGTGACATTGTGTAATAGTGCAACCTAGCGCAAATTGTGGATACCGATACAGTGCCGCAGAGACGAAAAGAAAAGGAAACAGGAAAAAGGGACATCAGGCAACTCAGGGATCCTCCTCTCTCATTGGTTCGTCTGGCCCATCTCCTGTAATAGGAGCTTTGCCTTGGCCATTTTCGTCCATAGGATCGTCCTCTGGAAGACTGCTCATGCCTCCACCTACAGGAAGCTGAGCGGTTGCTACAGTCGCTTGTTCCGAAGACGTCGGCACCTTGTCTTTGCTCGCGCTAGTCACCCCATCTGCTGACAATGACTGTGTTGAATATGGCTGATACGAGTGGGCGGACCCGTAAGCGTATCCATTTTGTGGAGGACCTTCTGCACCCTTGGAAGGATCAGTGAACTGTGCGTAGTAAGCTGCCCAGCGAGGGTCGGAATATTGGCCCTCAGTATAGTTGCGATAATAGGCCTGATAGTATGGATCGTTGTAGTATGGGTGCGCTGCTGGCGTGCTAGGTGTTGAACCCTCCTGCCCAGGGGTTCCAGGTGTACTGGTACCTAACGTATGCATTTGGGCATATTGATGGGGCTGCAACCACTGTCCTCGGGAGTAATCGTACCATCCATATCGGCTGTCGTAGTGATAACCGCTGGTAGTATCAGAATTCCGACTATCAGAGGTCACACGGTCCTTGCCCTTTCGTGCCTTCTTCGGGACAGGGGCAGAATTGGACGCAGACTGGCTTTCCGAATGCTGTAACTGGCCGTACTTGTCTTGGTATTCAGACGCAAAACGGTAGCGGGGCGTAACCTGGGTAACGTTCTCAACCTGCCCAGAGGAGACCTTTAAAAGCTCGGTCATGGAGGTACCGACCTCAACGGCCGACGTTGAAGCCGCTGGCTGCGCGACAAGATTACGATGTGAATATGCAGACCATGGTTCCAGTTCGCCTTTAGAAGCGGGCCTCTTTGGCTTGGGTTGCTTGGGCTCCGGTACAGGGGTTACTAGCGGGGGGTTGGCAGCCAGTTCTGCAGCTCTCTTAGCAGCTTCGGCTTCAGCAGCCACTCTCGCTGCTTTGTCAGCGATCTCTTTCTCTAGTACTCTCTCTACCGTCCAGGGCTCTTCAGGAAGTTTGAACAAGTCGGGCTTTGACTTGAACTTTGAACCACAGCTCTGGCATACTAGAAATATCGATCAGTTGCCACCCAGCAGTCAGGTTGGAGTACAACCCACATGTCCCTGGACCAGAAGGTCCTCTTCGCCAGGCAATCGTCTCCCTTGTGCCGCAATTCTGACACCACCTAGGAGTACCGTCCTTCCAGGTGCTCGATACTAATTTCCGCTCTTTCGGTTTCTCGATAATTGGTTTGCCGTCTGGCCCTACCAACTGACCGGCTGCATTGAAGCGATTGGACGTAGGCGATGCAAGGGCGAAAGCAGTGCGATCCTTGGGGTTGAATGGTCTCGTGGCAAACTTGTCGGCAATGGCATCCTCTAAGTCGTCAGGCAATGGCCCGTTGGGAAGTCTCAAGCGAGGGAAAGTACGTGGAGCAGAGCTCAGGAGCTATTATGTATTAGAATCAGCCATACTTATTGATAAGGAAAGCGCTTACCATCTCATTGAAAACGGTCGTTCGATGTGCCAACTGTGCCGGATCAGCCACATTGGAACAATACAGCAATGTGGCCCACAGTGGATCGGGCACATCCAAAAAGTGGAGGGTGACAGGAAGGAGTTTGGGCGGTATCTTCTTCTTATCGGTCGGCCTGATGACTTTCTCGTGCACCACCAGCTTCTCCTTCTCCTTCTCTTTTTCCTTCTCAATCTCGGCTTCTCGAGCAGCTTCGTGCTCTTTCTTCTCCTTCTCCTTAGACCTGGTCTCCTTACCAACAGCTTTCGGTTGATCTTCCGGTTTGTCCTCCTTCCCTACAACCTTTCCCGCCACAGCAGCTGCGTCTTCAACAGCCTTCTTCTCCTTCTCTAATCTATCTCGCTCTCTCTTCTCTTGCGCCTTTTTCCTCCTCTCCTCCCTTTTTCGCGCGTCCTCTTCTTCTTTCTCCTTCGCAGCAATAGCGGCTGGATCGACAGCGTGCAGAAACGTGCTGAGCACTGCTTCTGGCAAACCATCCTCTCCGACCGTCTTTGAGACGATGGAATTGTCGCAGGGTAAAAGCCAGCGCTCGGTCGGGTTTTCACGGAGCTCGAATATTATGTCCGGTCTGCGAGTTGGAACATAGTACCCAGATGCCTCATAGCTTGGCGCTGACGCAGACGTCTTGGTGATAGGGCGTGCCGAATGCGAGCCTTCTGGCTTGGAAGCAACCGCAGGAGATTTGGTCGAAATGGTAGACGAACTAGATTTCTGCACGTTGCGGGCGTTGATCTCTTGAATAAGAGTACCTAATTTGTGCAACTGATCAGTCGTCGCCTGGTTCTGGGCAGCCAAGTAGCGGATATGCGCGAGCTCAGGATCGGCCGCCGCAGCCTTTTCGACTTGATGAATCAGTTCAGGTGTCAGTCTCAAGCCATGACCTGGTGCGCCCGGTGGGAGGACTTTTGCAGGCTGCTGTTGCTGCTGATAGGCGTACCCTTGCCAGCCTTTCTGGGCCGAATAGTTCCACTGTGCCTGTTGTTGCTGGGTGCCATGAGAGTGAGAGGGCGTATGAGGGTTGGAAAATGAGCGCTGATCAGTAGTGTAGTTGACTTGGAAGAATTTGGTGCCTGTGAAGGTATGCGGACCGAGCTCGAGATCGCACTTGCCCAAATATTCGAGCGTGTGCGGTGGCTGATTGACCTCGGGGGCGTTTTTTGCCTTCGACTTGGACGAGAACTTCAGGAAGAGAGACGTAAGAATAATGTATCGTGCTGAAATACGATCAGCAAGACTGAAATAGGGAAGTAATGGGGAACGAAGATCGTACATTGTCGAAGTGATTGTAGTAACATGTGGCTGAATAAAACATCAGCCTTATCGCTATGAACGTGAGCCCAACATACCTATCACCAATACTTCTCAGGCCCGTCATTGCCTTCTCCGTCTCTGCCTCCTCCTCTTCACTGGTATCCATATCTTCGTCTTCATCTCTTTCCTCCTCCGCCTTTCTTGTAGCCTCGTCTTTGATCCTCTGCACTTCCTCTTCCCAACCGGGTCTAGGACCAACCTCTATCTTCACCTGTTTGACAGGCTCGAGAGCAAATTTTCGTACTCCGGAGGTCGTCATAATGAAGGTACGCGATATGTTGATGAGCTTGCAATGGCCATGGACGCCGTTGGGACTGCAGTGGGTGAACGGCAGCACGATGCGCGACCGGTTTCCCTGGTTGCTTTTTCACGTGCTACACAGCCACTCCAAGTCACAGCAGAGCGCTTGAATTGTTTTCCTCTGTGTACCAAGCAACGTTAACGATACTATAAAGGACACTCGAAAGTACTTTCAACACACGGCAAATTGGTTCAATTTGGATCAGTTAGCGACACCCCTCAATATACTCTCAGAAAGATCCAGGTACTCTCATACTAAGAACAGTATCCCTCGCAGACTCTGCGAGCGAATGATATTTCGGCATGCCGAGTATCTTATTCGTCTCACTGGAATCAATTTCGTTGTATGGTTTCCTCGGTATTCCATGAACTCCACTCGGCACTCCCTCGACAGGCGGTTGAACTGACGCGAGGGCATCATACACGTCCTGCCACGAGAACGCACCGGCAGAAATGAGGAGGCGTCTTCCGGCCACATTATCCTTCTGCAACGAGAGGATATGGGCTAACGCGACGTCGCGAACATCAGCCCAAGAGCCCGCATAGTCACCCAGATACTCTACGGGCTTATCGTCTTGGAGATGGTTGTACAAGAAGCTCTGGGGTTTGCCGTTCGTGTATCCCTAAGTCCGAGTTACTGATCAAGATCCCCTACTTATGCAGAGAGACAATACCTCATGGATCTGGGGCCCGAAAGCGTAAGGGAAGAGGACAGTCTCGATCTGCCACTTGACCTCATCCTGATGTTTATCGTAGAACTCCCAGGCCGCGCGCTCCGCCATCGTCTTGGCCGCAAAATATGGAATGTGATACGCGGATTTGTCGCCCTTTTCCTTCATCTCCTGGATGGCATATTCGTTCCAGTCCTTGTCCGTGTACGTGTATCCCGGCTCCTGAGGCTGCAAGAGCGCGACTGCAGAAGACGTAATCGTTAAGCGGCGCACGTCAGTGCCGTACTTGAGGGTGCTGTTCAGGATATTCTCAGTCATGACGATCGAAGGCTTGACGATCGCTGATAAAGCGGTCAATGAATGCCTAAGACCGTTATAAGAGAACTCACTCTCGTAGGTGCCGCCAAGAGAAACGACCGCCGCCATGTGCAGTATTCCCTGCACACCCTTCACGCTCTCATCGAACGCAGTCGCCACAAGCATGTCTGGGATCACGACGATCTCGAGCTTGTCGTCATACTTGGCGAAACGCACCTTGAGATACGTTGCTTTCTGTTCCGAACGCACGGTGCCGCGGACATAGTAACCTTGTTCGAGCAGCAAGCGGACGACCCAGACGCCGACAAAACCGTTCGCACCGGTCACGAGAACTTTGGAGGGAGGAGTCACGATTCCCATGTTGAGAATATCTTGTCCAGACTACCAGTCGATCAGAACAAGATGGGTTCGAGGATGCAGGACAGTCTCCAAAACATCCTTCCGTTTTATAGAGGGTAGCTGGGTGCGAATTAATCCAACAGCCAGACGGTTATCGCCCCGGACCAAGCTATAGACATTGAAAGAACACGCATGTTCGTCATAAGGCGCGTATGTGCTGACAAAGCCCCACTTCGCATCCGCAAGTTTGGTGCGAAAGTTTGTTGCCCGATGATAGGTTATCCGGCAGATTAGTAAGCTGTCCTCTTTCCAGTCCAAAAATATCCAATGGACCTACTCAGGCAAACCTGATCCAGCTGTGGGATGTATCGTGGATCTTTTCATCTGGGCCATTTGATGGTCTCAGGATGAGAGCTGTCAGATTTTGGATGCACGACGATCTCATATCACAAGTCAATTGTTAGGCTTATAAAGACTATCTCTAAGCAGATAGATCTCTAACACTCAGGATCGTATCCCTCGCCGACTCCGCCAGTGCTACGTACTCAATACCTAAGAGCTTGGTTGCCTTGCTTGGATGGGGCTGAGAGATGACAGCGCGCTCGATCCCGGGCACACCACGGGGAATCCCCTCGATCTCCGGCTTTACGCTTGCGACAGCGTCGTAGACATCTTGCCAAGAGAATCCCCCGGCGGAGATGATGAGCCGCTCCTCGGCGGCTTCGGGGACTTGAAGGCTGCGGACGTGCGCTAGTGCAACGTTTCGCACATCGATCCAGGCTCCTGCGTGGGCACCTAGCTCAGAGCGGGGCTTTTCCTGCTGCAGGTTCATGTACAGGAAGCTTCTAGGCTTTCCGTTTACCTATATCATGGACTATCAGTACATCGCATAGGGTAGGTGCACAACATGCGTACCTCGTGGACGAGAGGGCCGAATACATAAGGAGGGAGAATAGTTGCCATGTCCCACCTGATCTCCCTTTTATGCTGGCCATACCACTTCCAAGCCTCTTGCTCGGCCAGCGTCTTGGCCGCAAAATAGACCAAATATCCGGGAGCCTTATCGCCCTTGGTTTTGACCTCGTTCACGGCGTACTCGTTCCAGTCCTTATCTGAGTAGGTGTACCCAGGGTCATGCGGTTCCAGGAGTGTCACGACGGAGGAGGTGAGGATGACGCGCTTGATAGAGGAGCCATGCGCGAGCGCACTGTTGAGGATACTCTTGGTGGACTCCACAGCAGGCTTGATAACGGCTGCGCAAGAGGTATATTAGTCTTCGATCTCCACAATTAGAAGAATACTTACAATCATAATCGCCAGAGAAAGTGACTGGCGCAGCGGTATGCAGTATTGCGTCAACACCCTTGACACTCTCGTCAAATGCACCAGACGCAGTGATGTCATCCACAACGACGATCTCGAGCTTGTCACCGTATTTCGCGTATTTGTGCTTCAAGAACTCGCCCTTCGGTGCCGAGCGGACAGTCCCGCGCACCGAATAACCTTGTTCAAGCAGGTCCTGCAGAATCCATACGGCGATGAACCCGTTCACACCCGTGAGGAGAACTTTGGCGGGAGCGCTGACGACAGTCATTGTAAGGTTAAGTTGAGAACGTGAGTTGGGCTGGCAAGACTTCGAGTGTTGGAGGAGTTATGGGCTTGTTGGAGGAAAAGGGCTTCATCTTTGCCACCATTTATAGGCAGCTCACCAGTCTAGGTCGACAAAGCGCTATACAAGTCAAGCCAAAGCTGACTCAGCAAGACAGACACGTGTGCCGAATCTCCAAACTACGTCGCTCGCCCAAGACGGGACTCCATGAAGATCCCCATGGTCGGTGTATATAATTCGTAGCTGTCCATGTAACGCAAAACTACGTACCCAGGCCGGTCTCAGGCTTAGTCACCCCAAATCCAGTCAAGTTCACTTGCTTGCTTATTCAGCATCTTCACTGATTTGGGTTGCGTGCCAGCCACAATGGAAAACCCCTTACAAAGCCGCAGCATCGTCAAGATGGATAGAGCTGGTTATCCGTTATGGGTCGGCTTTGGTGGATCGCTCAGAAGGGTTAATTGAAACTGTTGTGGAGAGCAGGTGACGCCGGCATTCTTGACGTCACGTGGACGTGTGGAAAAGGGTCCGTGGCAACGAGAGATAGACGCGCAACCCTGACTTACGGTTTCCTTCAATCGAACAACTACTTCGATTCTTGCTATCCTAGCCAATTTCCAGCTCATAAAGCTCTTCAGCCCTTACAGCTACTCCTAAGTCACAACTGGCAGCTTTCAAGCAACCATAAACCTACCAACAATGAACAAGTCCCAGTCCTATTTGTCCGAGTGTCTGGATACGGCCACGAAGGGTATCATGGCGTACCAGCTTGGAGCGATCATCGTCAAAGGCGGAAAGGTCCTTTCCAAGGGCCATAATCACAGGCGCACCCACTACGACGGCTCGACCGGGAACGAGACTCATCAGACGGCGATGTCCATGCATGCAGAGATGCATGCGATCTATGCAGCCACCGGCTTCACGCCCGCGTTCAAACACCAGCGTACCGCGTTGACTGCCACTCAGGAGTCGTGCTTTGAACTTGGCACCGCGGCCACCAATGCCGCGGATGGAGGAGAAGGAGAATGGGAAGGCCCGCAACCAAGGCAAGACCAACCACAAGCCGCCCGACTACGGCAATTACCACAATCATCATTATCATCACGGTTATCCAACGAGTCGCGAGTACGAGTATCGGTATCCCCACCACCGACAACAAGACGGTATACAACACGAACAACAGCACGAGCACGTGCAATATCACCCGCTGAGGCAGCAGCAGCCGCGCGTACACGGGATATTCATGCTGCGATCGCTGGCGCTTCCGAGCAGGGCCTTAAAGACGTTAAAGGCGGGTTCAAACGGGAGAAACGCGCATGAGCGTGAGAAGGCGAGCAACGAGGAAGGGAAGAAACGGAAGCGCGGCTTAGCTGTTCCAGTTCAGCACGCGGACTGCAGCGAGAGCCTTCCCCGCCCGTCCTGGAGCACCCGGAGGCGTGACGCACGCATCAACGGCGCGGATCTCTACGTTGCACGTACCACGCGTACGGGACGCGTAGGACCCGCGAGCCCCTGCTGGAGGTGCGTCGAGTGGTGCCGCTGGGCAGGGATCAAGCGTATCTTTCATTGGGATCCTGAGAATAGCCGGTGGGCGGTCGTGAAGGTGAACGATGCGGATGCTGTGTATTGCACAAACTCGGACTTGAAGATGGTGGGCGGGAACATGTGGTAATACAGAGAAACTTCATTCAGTTTGTACAATGATATCACAACATGGTTGGTACACTGAAAGAACGAGACCTCATTCTAACTACACCTAGTCCCACAACTTCATCCCCTCTCTAACCTCTTTCTCATACTGCTCCACATCTATCACCACCCCATCACGCCTGCTCTTCTCTGCGGCAAACACCGTCAAGTGACTCTTCAAAATCTCGTCCACGGTGGTTCCTAAAATCTCCTGATTCTTCTCCTTAACCGCACGAACAAAGTTACCCATCAGTCCCCAGTCGCCACCACCATGGCCGCTCTGATCCTCAGGCTTGGGCGCAACGGTGCTCACGTTTCCAGTGCGGAAATCGTGAATCGTGAAAGAGCTCATGTCACCAACTAGCTGGCCGTGGGTAAAGTGGATCCGGGTCTGGCGCGCGCAGATCTCTTCCGTAAACGCGACCATCGTGAAACTGCAGGTTGACCCGTCGCTGTACTCGAGGTTGACGACCTATCCATCGTCAGCGCCAGCAAGGAAGGTGGGAAGGTGGCTCACTTGGTGATCGCACACGTTATTTCCGCTCTCGTATACGCATGTCCCGTATGGCCCCTTCATGGCCTCGGTGATGCTTTCAATATCGGGCACACCATCCGTGATAGTCGCAGCAGGCCAACCGACGCTACCTTTGCTAACGGGGTCCACATAAACTGCGCCGATAGTCAGCGATCACAGCCAGATTGCGTTGCAGCATTGCACGCACTTTTCTTCGCGCTGTATGCGCAGTTCTGCTCGTCCGCGCATTCTAGGCACTTGGTAGCGTCACCTGCTGCTGTTGGCTTTGCTTCTTTCCTGAAATGCGTGAGCGAGCCGAATGATGATACACGCTTCGGGGTTTCTGGGTTCAGGTAATGGCAGAGAATGTCGAGGTCGCTGTGTTCCAGGTCAGTACCTGGGCAAAAGCACAAGATATCGTACACATACTGGCAGCTCTTGGTCAACAACGAGAATGAACTAGTCTTCTCGTTGTTCCAGTTGCCTCTAACGAATGAATGTGCAAAGTGAAAGTACCCAACCTATCCGTGACCATTCAGCGATCTGTGATTGACTCAAGCGCATATACTCACCGGTTCGACGTGGACGATGTTGACAGGCTTACCCAGTTGGCCAGAACGGATGACATCGATCACCGCTTTGTTGTAAGGTGAATACCGCATCACTGCATAGTTGTCATTAAACCACCGCGAAAGTAAGTTGTGGGTACATACCATGCCCAACCCCGAAAATGCAGCCCGCTTTCTTCGCAACCTCTGCGATCCGAATACACTCTTCCGCGGTCGTAGCCAAGGGTTTCTCACACAGAATATGATACCCGTGCCCCGCAAACGCTTCGACGACCTCGACGTGCATCTGGTCTTGGACGCAGACGCAGATCGCGTCCGCCAGAGGTTTCCCGGTCTCAGCGACCGACCGGGCTGAGGCAGCATGCAGATCTTGCCATGTTGCAAAGACACCGCTCTCAGGCAGCTGGTATTGCTTGATGGCAAACTCTCGTGTGCGCGGGCGTGGCTCGGCAATGGCAGCTATCTTGCATAGATGTGGATATGCGATGGCGTACCTGCCGTAAGCCTGCATGCTGATTAGCTGTCGGAAAAGTCTCAAGCTGGTATGATTTCAGCTTACCTTGCCCCGCTGCCCACCGCCAATGATCACAACACTCACAGGTTCAGACATGGTCGTACCCTGCTGAGATGGTTTGGGGACGTCCCGAGGTTGGCGGCCGGTCTTTGGCTTCCATAAGGGCCCGTGTGGAGTTGGTACCCAATGTAGAGGCCCGATTCACCAGATGCTCTAGACGGTGGGTGCTTTTCGAAGAAAACTCCCTTATATACAACCTCTAATGCATTCGTACAATGATCTCTCCCATTTCTAATTATAATCAGACAAATAAATTGTAAATTAAATACTTGCTGTTGTGGTCGAAGCGCAAGGGGGATAATGACGAGGTAGATGCACGTGAACGCCCTTGCGCGTCTCAGACAGAGTCTGTCCCTTGCTGTAAAGGTGCAGGTCACAGGCTGCTTGGCTGGCTGACAACTCATCTCCTCATCATATACCCACAACCATCGACGACTGATCTGACAACATGCAGGCCGTTCAGCCCGTGTCCGACACGGCATCTTTGGCAGCGACCTCGACATATGCCAGATCTCACCGAACCACTGACGACCATGACGCGATGTCGCTCACAACGTCGAACCCGTTTGAGGAAGAGCAAGATTACACATCCTACCAGATCGTGTCGAGGCTGATGAACAAGGTCAAGGAAGCCTTCGTGCCCTCCCTTGGAACTGCTAGCCCTGCGCCTCCATCAACACCGGCGCTACCTTCTATTCCGTCGGGCAGTTCGACAATGACTAATCTGGCGGATCCTCGACAAGTGCGTTCACCATCAGCACGACCGGCGCCTATCATGCCGAACCCCGCCCCGCCTAACCCTCCCCGGGTTACAAGTCCACCCCTTTCTCACCCTTCTCGAGCAAAGTCACCTACAGCCAGCATGCGAGCCTTTCCAATTATACAGGCGAATCCGTTGCCCCCACTTGTATCCCTTACCCCTGTAACCTCCTCTGTCGAGACGTCGAACGTGCTCGCAACCGCTGGTCCAGCGCGAATTCATACTCATGGGCATTCCCACCATCATCTGCCACAAGCGATGGCCTCGCCGCCTTCAACAACCTCCCTCTATCCTTACCCTGTGGAGGCGAACATGACGTCTATTCCAGGGTTTCCTTTACCAGACGATGCGAGGACCGTTGCAAGTGTTGGCACCAACGGAGGTGGGTTGAGGAGGACGGAAAGCGTGAGCAAAGCCATCCGGCGGATCAGAGGCGAAGGGTTGAGCAAGAAGTATTGGATGGAGGACGAGCATTGCAAGGAGTGTTATGACTGCAAGAGCGTGTTCACCACATGGAGGAGGAAACATCATTGTCGTATATGCGGTGCGTCCATTGTGAGACTTTTGTATTTCATCTATCTCATTGAGTATACCCAGGTCAAATCTTCTGTTCTCGCTGCGCTTCCAATCTTATCAAAGCATCACGATTCAACGCCGAGGGTTCTGTTCGTGTATGCAACCTATGTATGCGCATGATCGAAGAGGAAAATGCACATTCGGACGATGACGATCGTCGATCTATATCCTCTCTCACGCCATCTCTCCCAACATTTCACAACCACTCTGTTCTCGATGTCCCGTATTTGACGTCTATTGCGGAACGTGATGGACGCGGTCGTAAACTATCGGATGGCAGCCGACAACCCATTACCCCGCCAGACGTTGTAGATCCCGCGACGAACGAGATCGGACTGATTGGTGGAATGAATGGTGACGGTTATTATGCTGGTTGGGAGGGCTGGGAACCGGACGGTGAGCCTGTGGCTCCACCCTTCCGACGTGGCTTCGATGATGCAGATGATTACAAAAATCCGGAACTAGAGAAGTACATATCGGGGGTCACATCTCCATCGCCTCGGCCCGACCAACCCGATACTTCGCCAGACTTGTCCCACGTGCCCAGTGGGGTCGATATATCAACACCACCCCAGTCTGAAGGATCCGAAACTATTCCTGTACCGGATTTCACGAACTTGAACACTATGACTGGCAGATCGAGCGTAGCGTTCCCGACTATTGGAAGTGCAGAAGGTGTGGCTTTCCCCGGCAGCCCTCCATGGAGTGGCGGTGACAGTCCTCGCATGGGCGGCATGGGGCGAATGGCAACCTTGTCTACCGCGTCGCTTGTTGATCCCGAAATGATGAATTGGCCTCGGAGTGGCATGCGCAGTCGGGTCCAGAGCAGACTTCCGGACTTCGAGGCAGGTTGGCGAACCCGACGAGAATCGAGTGCTTACGCCGCCGAGCTGAACGCGGTCTCCATGCAGCATTTACGCATCATTTTACGACAGGAATTGAGGCGTGGCAACATAAACGACGTTGGTGAATGGGAGAGTACCCTCGTCATCTTAGGACTCAAATTATCCACAACCCCGTTTGGAAATCCTCGAGTTGGTGATTCTATCGATCCTCGCGACTGGGTGAAGATCAAACGGATCCCTGGCGGTGCTCCAAAAGACTCGGAATGCATCGACGGTGTCATGATCACCAAGAATGTTGCTCACAAGAATATGTCGCGATCAATGAAAGGACCTAGGGTCATGCTTGTTACCTTTCCCTTCGAATACCAACGTGTCGAGGGCCAGTTCATGCCGCTCGAGCCTCTGTTGGCACAAGAACGCGAATACCTGGCCAACCTTGTCAGCCGTGTTGCAGCACTCCGACCGCATATCGTTTTGGTGGAGCGTTCTGTCTCGCGTATTGCGCTTGAAATGCTGCTGGCAAGGAACATTGCCGTTGGAAGGACCGTCAAGCCGTCTGCGATCGCCGCAGTTGCTCGTGCAACACAGGCCGATATTATCTCTTCTATCGATCGCTTGGCCCTCGAGCCCCGTCTGGGACACGCTGGTCGCTTCCGTGTCCAAACTTTTGAACATGAGCTGATACCAGGACGACGAAAGTCATACATGCGATTCGAAGGGTGCCATCGCGAGTATGGCGTTACTCTTGCCGTCCGCGGCGGGTCTCTAGACGTCTTAACCAAGATTAAAGCAATCGCCAAACTCATGGTCCTCACGGTCCGCAATTTGAAAATGGAGACGTTTTTGTGGAGAGACCTATTGCTGAGCATGCCTCAGCTCTCACCAGAAGCTTCTTTGCTTCCTGTAGCGTTGACACGGCTCAAGGAAGATGGTGACACTGGTCCCGAGTCGAACCACGACGACCATGACCCGCTTCAAGCACTTTCGTTGCGGATTCGAGAGGTAGCCGAAACATATCGTACGACGTTCTTGTCAGTCTCAGCTACCCTTCGCTTCCCAGCCCCTTACCCCGTACGACATATGCTGGAGCTCGATGAGAAATGGCAGCTTCTGAAAGGAGATTGGGAAAGACACGAGGCCAAACAGATACTTGTTGGAGAACGGAAGGACCTCATTCATCGGATTGAAAGCGCCGCTGTCTCTCCGAAAATCGGGGCCATCGATCTGCCCAAGACCCCTACTCCTGGAGATGCGGCGGCACTGAAGAACCTCGATGAACAACTTGGTTATTTCGACCAGCTGCCTCCGCCTGTGTCCGCCTTGCCATCCAGCTTCCTTTCGGAGAAAACGATCTCCTCCTTTATGAAAGCTGCCGCAGCCGACCAGCCAGTGAATGTCAAACAGCCCTCCGAGATTGCTCTACAGAGTGCCCTAGAAACCGCCCGATTTGACATCGAGGAATATCGAAAGATGTGGTTCTGGTACATCAACAGGAATGCTGATGACTTTCGCTTGGACCAGTACCAAAAGATCACCATGTTGAAGTCTATCGTGCCTATCACCTCAATGGATCTATGCAAGTCTTGCGGACCTCCCAAACTGGATACGTACCATTTCTATGGACAGGATGACGTCACTCTCGGTCAGTATATCGAGAGAGCCGTTAACTCGATAAACGATCGCTGCACAGAAAAAACATGCGAAAAGCCTATGCTGGGCCATGGCACCATCTACGTGCATAACGAAAGCCGCGTGGTGATTACAATCGAGCAAATGAACGACCGTGACACATGGAAAGGCCCCGCTGCGGCGATATTAGAGCAGCCCGACCGTATGATCACCTGGAGCTATTGCCAATCCTGCAAGTTATCGACGCCATTTATTCCACTTACCGAAGAATCTTGGAGATACTCATTTGCCAAGTACTTGGAGCTTTTCTTCTATCCGGCGGAAGTCGTGCCGCTCTCGGGCATTGCATGTTTCCACAACGTTTATCAACATCATGTCAGGTACTTCTGGTGGCGCCATGTTGCCGTGCGCTTTCAGGCAACGCCAGTGACCCTTAGTGAGGCCGTGTTTCCTCCACTGAATACACGCATTCGACCCGAAACCTTGGTGGAACTAAAAAACGCGGATTACGCGAGCATTCTCGACAAGCAGTCAGCATTTTGGGATTCTGTTGTTCGGCGCATCCACACTATAAGTTTGACTGAATTGCAATGTCAGGGTCAAGAAAAGCTTGAAAAGATGGCAAAGCTGCAGAGTCTTACACCTGAATTGCTTGTGCAAGCCGAAGCTGATCGTCACGAGGTATTGGCCATGACACGAAAGGTATACGACAAGTCGGCTATGACAGACACAATGGCTTTCAGCGAGGTGAGGACTTGCTTGCAAGCTAAAGTTCTTCAATGGGATCAGAAGTTTGCCGAATATGAGCGCAATTTTATTGCAACAGAAAGAGACATTATTCGTCGGGCTACCGCTTCTCAGCTTCGCAGACTGTTCGCCAATCAGGATCTGGGTACAGATCGTCTTCCTCAAGTGTCTGTTGTAGAATTGGATGAGAAAGGCTCTATTGCGTCGTCTGGATTGGTCTCTCCCATGCCTTCCGATATTACCGAAACTATGCCTTCCGATGTTTCAGAGTCAGATACAAACTCCGTCACATCTGCAGATCCATTGCCCACGGCGTCCGATGGTAGCATGACGTCGTCATCTCGTAACTCAGCCGAAACCCCTACACCAGCCTTGACAGCCTTCAGTCAAGCCTCTTTCGACGCCGCAGAAGCGACTCCTACGCCGCAGACTGTGGAGATTGCCCCCGAATCTCAGCGAGCGTCACCTTCAACCTCGGAGGATCAGTCGGATCATGACAGCGACTCCACCATTGAAGCACCGACAAATACCCTTAGACCAAGCAATAGCATCAGTGTAGCACATATGGAGACGAAAACAGAGGATTCTGTTGTTCAGAAAGAACAATCGCAGTTTGTCTCCCGACTTCCCCGCCGAATGAAGCTCAATCCCAAAATGGCTGATCTGGTCAAACGATTTCAGGAGGCAGAAGAGCCAGTGCCTGATTCGGTTCCTCCATCAGCTTACATCAAACCAAACGATGAAGGGGACACTTCGGATGCTCCTAGAGGCAGAGGTGCGGATCCGCGAGCGAAGTTGAGGCGAAAAAATCGTGCAAAGGTTAACAAGCCAAAGAAGCGGGACAGCGGATTGACATCAGACTTTGAACGGAGTTATGCTGCTAATGTCGGCCCAAGATATCTGGAATCCGGGACAGGATCAAAGATTCCAGGTCCATCACGGCCAACCTTCCTGAGACAGGCGAGTGGTTCTTTCAGAGCAAATCCACCCGCAGCACTATCTCTAGGTGGCCGCCCTACTACGAGCAAAGGAAAAACACCTCTTCGAGCACATGAACGATCGTTGTCCAATAAGCCATCCATGTCATCTCTGAACGCATTCCGGGCCGGAGCGCGGCGCGTCACAGGACCTCTCTCCAACAAAGTCTCGTCTCTGACCAAGCAGTATGAGCGTCTCGCGAAAGATGCTGACAGAGCTGCGAGACGAGTCAGCAATCTTCGATTTCGTCGCGCACGACCACTTGCAACTACCCAGGCCAAAATTCAGGTCTTCGACAATGTGAAAGACGCCATTCGAGATGAATCTGACAGCGAAAGCTCAGATTCCGAGGCTGATGACGAAGATGACGGCGAGGAGGACGCAACAGCAGCTCCGTCGGAAGTCGGTCCCATGCCGGTACCCGTGATACAAACGCAGGCGGCATCACCAAAAAAAGTGGCGACGCCTTTCGCTTCAACTGTGCTCCCAGCTGAGAATCCGATTATTTGTGCCATGAATGCTTCTGTACAAGACATCCCTCCGTCGCCTGGACCCTCTCAGACATCATCTCCGACATCCCCTGAACCTGCACCTTCTATTACGCAGTCCGTGTCAACCCAGATCTCCGAAGCCGATCTCGTATCGAGCGCGGAAAAGCATCCGTCGCTGCTCAAGACTATTAATGCTGCTATGGGACTATGGCCTGGATCAAGGCCAGGCGATTGGCCACCCCTCGATTATCCCTCGTGTGTTGATTTATATTTGTTGTATCTTAGTGCTCATACATTTCCCAAGATCATCTCTGGAACACATTTTTGCCGACTCCACCATCATTATTCGGGAGGATGAGCCCACATCTATCATCTCGTTCGCTCTCAGGTCAGTTCAGTTCTTTTCACAAAACGAGTTGACTGAGAACATGTCCTTAGCACCAAGGATTACCAGGAGCAAATCAAGCTATCTCAGAAAGCCAAATTGCCTGCTAAATTCGATGGCTATGTCCCTGAAGAAGCTCATCATATCCCCGATCACGATACTTCCTGGGGTATGATCAACCCTGAAGACCTAATTCCGAATGTGGAAGATGTGCTAAAGCAACAGACAGCCATTCACAGCAACCAAAGTACGTATTATGACTTACCCTAGAACTCGCCGTTGATTTCACTCTTGCCCCCAGTCTTCGAGAGCGGTGCAACAAGTATCTTCTGTCGTGTTTTCTTTGCAGAACAGTTTGATGCATTGCGGCGGAGTTGTGGGTGTGAAACTAGCTTTGTGGAATCTCTCGCCCGGTGTCTGAAGTGGGATGCGACTGGTGGGAAGTCAGGCTCGGCATTCTTGAAAACTCGCGATGATCGCTTTATTGCAAAAGAGCTTTCTCGGCCCGAATTAACAGCAATGACGAAATTTGCCCCGAAGTACTTCGAATATATGTCTAATGTTTTCTCTATGAAGGTATGAGAGCTCGTTCGTTGTGGACCCGGAGAGTAACTGGTATGCAATAGAAACCCTCCGTTCTTGCCAAAGTATTTGGGTTTTACAAGGTCGGCTACAAGAATCCCAACACAGGCAAAATCATGCGCCTCAACTTGCTTGTCATGGAGAATGTCTTCTATGAGCGGCGGTTCTCCAAAATATACGATTTGAAAGGGTCGATGAGGAACCGTCTCATTCAGTCTACTGGCAAGCTAAACGAGGTTCTGCTGGATGAGAACCTCGTGCAAAGTGCTCATCTAACGCCATGGTATATCCGAGAACATACTAAATGCATGTTACGGGCAGCGCTGTGGAATGACACCACATTCCTTTGCGATCTGAACGTTATGGATTACTCTCTCCTGGTAGGCGTCGATCGTGATCGGAATGAACTGGTTGTTGGCATTGTCGGTATGTGGCCTCGCCTCACCCCATCCAATCCATGATTAACGGTCTGTTTAGATTATATCCGGACGTACACGTGGGACAAGAAGTTGGAGAGCTGGGTCAAGGAATCCACCTTCCTTGGCGGTGCAAAGGGCGAGCCAACTATTGTGACGCCACGACAATACAAGACACGATTCCTGTCTGCCATGGAACGTTATCTTATGATGGTGAGTTTGTATCTCCCCTAACTTCTAACATAGCTCCTAACATGGGGCAGGTTCCTGATCGATGGATGAAGAGGGAAGACCAGCCTGATCCAAATGGCAATGAAGATATAGACGGCAAACAGGATGCCTCCTAGTTTGTTTTCTTTCAATCCCCCGGCGGGCATTAGCGAACGGTCCTCTCTATTTCTCCACATTTTTCTCACTTCTTCACGAATGACTTGCTGTATGAACAACTCACGAGCACTTTTGTAGAACCATCATTTATATCCGTGCATCATATGACCATATGTTATCATCCGTTCTGACGTAGATTAATGAAGAATGCGCAATAAATTACAATGACCACAAAACATGACAACCTTTCCAGACTCCATGACTCACAGCTTCATAGCAACCGCAGAAACAGAAAGCGCAGGCGCATTCCTGAGTTGACTCTTCCGCTCAGTAGAGAAGGCCGTCTTGGTCGCCTTCTTCTCCACCCTCCGTTCCTGTCGCTCCTGCTTGACAGCAGCCTTCCGTGCCTTCTTTTCATCCTTCGACTCATCCTTCGGCCGAGCCACAGTGACTTTCGGGGCCAGCTTTTGCCGTTTCTCAGACGAAGGCTGGTCCTCCCGTGCTGATCGGCGTGATCGAGGTTCGACCGTGCCTTCTTCGTTAACGGTAGGCAGACCCGTACGTGTGTCCAGTCGGATACGCTTTACCCCCGAGCCGGTGCTGGCTCTCGCAGATATCACGCGAGGATGGTTGTCCAAGTTCGAGTACGTCGCTATACGACGAAATTAAAAGATGAAAAATGAAAGCATGAAAGATAACGCACACAGGATTGTCTCCACGTCCCACGTGTCCTTCACCTCATCAACATCCACAGGCATCAAAATCTCCTCGTCCGTATCCCCCCCACTCCGCACCATCCGATCTGTCAGCCTCAGATCCTGTGCCAGAGCTCGACGCAATGTGTCAAGCTTCTCGCTGGCCGGCCGTACGTGGTTCCCCACCTGCTCATACTGTTGCATGAACCCATCGATGACGGCTTCGAAGTCGGAGCGGCTGTTTACCAGGGTCGGGGGTCCGTCTTCTTCTTCTTCTTCTTCCTCGTTTTCGCGCTCCTCGTCCGACGCCCCCTCTTCGTAAGCCTTCTCCACCACATCAAACCTGTCGTCCACCAACTGCTGGCCCCTGCTCCTCCAGACGGATGAGGAGCTCATCGAAAAGCCTGAAGCGTCCGAGTAGGCGCCCTTCCTCCTTCTCTTTCCCCCGATGACAGGCAAAGGGGGTAGCGTGGACCCCGCCTCGGAGCGGAAGTCGTCTTTTTCCGTGTCAGACCATGCGTCAGACGCTGGGCCCTTGTGCGTGAGTTGGAAGGCAGAAAGCCGGGCGCGGAGAGCGTCCACCTCCGATTCGGATAACTCGATCTCTTCGACTTCTTCGTTCGAACCCTCCTCTTCAGAGCCTCCTTCTGGCTCATCCTTCCCTCTTGCCTGAGCAAGTTTGAACGCTTTCACCCTCCTTGTCAGGTCGTCCACCTCTTCTCCTTCTTGTGCATGAGGCCCAGGTTCCAACGACTGGCCATGCTCATCCATGCCCCATTCTTCAAACTCATATTCCTCTCTCTCTTCCCCATCCTCTACCTCCCCTCCCCCAAGGAGCTCCCCGAAAAAGTCCTCTCCATCTTCACCTTCCTCCTCGGCATCAGGCATGACAAACGCGTCGTCCTCGAGCGCCTCGAGTGTCTGCCGCAAATGTGGGTCCATATCCGGCTGAAATCCTGTGAGGGCCTGGGGCACAGAGAGAAGCGAGTCCTGCGCTTCCTGCTGGCTCATCAACTTCTGGGAAGGCAGCGCATCCGCCGGCAAGCGGAGCTCAAGATCCCCCGCCTTGCCCTTGCCCTTCGATTTAGTATGTGAAGCTGCAGGTGCCTCAAGGAGAACGGAATCGATCACCCCTTCTTCGGCAGAACCGATAGGACGCAGGTGCTGCATGTAGTCATATTCGGTGTCGTCGAAGTAGATTTCATAGAGCGCTGCTTCGCCGACGTTTGCCCGCTCGTGGGTCGCCTCTTCACCAAGGATGCTCTCCAGCTCTGCTCTTGATTTACCCTGTCGTTTGTTCACAGAGTCAGCTGGGCACAAGCCGAGAAAACATGGAACGCACCTTGCGAGTGACATTACTCCGCTCGAAGCCCTTCAGTACATGCTTTGAAGCAGAAGGGTCGTTGATGAGCGGGTCACGCTGGGAACGATGAACAAGTTGGAAGTGCTGTACTCCTGGTTGTCGGAATATTGACTTTGATTTAGGCGGCATTGCTGATTCTCCAATGTAAAATCAAGTAGAATAAAAGTAACAAAAGTATGCCTAAAGTATCAGGGACTCACAAAATTAATCTAGAGTGGCTGTGCCTTAATGCTGTCATCATGCTGACGTGAATGAGCACAGCCACGGTCGCACGCCTTTCCCCACCTTGCACTGCGTCCCCGTCGTGCGCACAACGCTCCTCACCGTCTTCGACGTCCGCGACCACCTTTCCTTACGTTCTACGCCTCTCTCTTCACCTCTCTTTTATTACCGTTTAGCAATATAGACCATGGATGAAGAGTATGATGTTGGTTCAGAGTGTGTTCTCAATAACGCTCTTGTTGACCCTATCGTCAGGCCATTGTTCTCGGTACTGGCCTCACCGAGTGCATCCTCTCAGGTCTGCTCTCCGTCGACGGCAAGAAAGTGCTCCACATGGACCGGAACGACTACTATGGCGGCGAGTCAGCATCCCTCAACCTGACCCAACTTTATCGCAAGTTCCGGCCAGACGCCACCGCACCCACCGACATAGGACGTGACAGGGACTACGCGCTGGACCAGATTCCCAAGTTCATCTTCGCCTCTGGTGGGATGACGGACCTGCTCGTGCACACGGATGTGACTCGGTACCTCGAGTTCAAGCAGATCTCGGGCTCGTACGTCTACCGCGATGGCAAGGTCAACAAGGTGCCCAGCACGGAGATGGAGGCACTGCGCAGCCCCCTCATGGGCTTGTTCGAGAAACGTCGTGCGAGGAACTTCTTTGTTTATGTTCAGAATTGGAGGGAGGACGACCCGGCCACACATCAAGGCCTGGATCTTAAGAAAGTCCCCATGAAGGATGTGTATGCCAAGTTCGGCCTCGAGCCCGGAACACAGGACTTCATTGGCCATGCGATGGCGCTCTACCTACATGATGAGTGCGTGCTGACATTCACTAGCTTCTACTTTACACCTTGCTGACTGAGCTGTTGCTTTCTCCGCACGTAGGTACAAGGAGCAGCCCGCAAAGGAGACCGTGTTGCGGATCGTACAGTACTCACAGTCCATGGCAAGATACGGCAAGTCACCGTACATCTACCCCATGTATGGCCTCGGCGAGCTCCCTCAGGCGTTCTCTCGCCTCTCTGCCGTATACGGAGGCACGTACATGCTCGACAAGCACGTGGATGAGGTGCTCACAGACCCGGCGACGGGCAAGTTCATCGGCGTGCGCTCGGGTGAGGAGACAGTCAAGGCGAAGCTCGTAATCGGCGACCCGAGCTATTTCGGTGCCGGGGAGATGAAAGAGGGACAAAAAGTCCGTGTCATGGAGGAGGGAATGGTTGTTCGCGCGATTTGTATCCTCAAGCACCCGATCCCTGGCACGGAGGACGTCGACAGCTTGCAGATTATCATCCCGCAGAACCAGGTGAACCGGCAAAACGGTGCGTAGTTCTTTCTTCAATTGCTTCTGCACCTCTCATATATGGCCACAGATATCTACATCGCCTTGCTCTCCCACCACCAGGGTGTCTGCGCCCAAGGCGTCTACGTCGCTATCGTCTCCACCGTAGTAGAGACGTCCGTGCCCGAGAAAGAACTTGCGCCAGGACTCGCCCTCCTCGGCCCTATCTTCGACAAGTTTGTCCAGGTCTCCCCGCTCTATACGCCCACCACCACCGGCGTCGAGGACCAGATCTTCATCACCCGGTCTTACGACGCCACGAGCCACCTCGAGACTGTCGTCGCCGATGTGAGGGATGTTTGGCAGCGCGTGACTGGTGAGCCTCTCAAGTTGGAGAAGAAGGTTGTCGAGGTACAGGAATAGGTACTGGGGTGAATGCGAGGAATAGAAACGAGCACGGATTACGAGTTACTCAGCTTTGCATGAGAATGGAAATTCATTTGAACGACAAAGAGCCGCAGGCACACACGGAGGGACTGTTCACACAGGAATGTGAGAGAAAAGGATATGCATTGGCTGATTAGGCCAGGTTTCTAGCTAAGATTGCGAGGAAGGATCCCAACGGTAGGGTACACTAAGGAGCAATTTGCACGGGTGATAACATACACGGCGAAACCCGAGGGTGAGACTGAGTAGAAACACTAAACCGGGGAGAAATCGCAGGTGGGGGGGCCAGGACTGAGCAGTAACAGGAAGGAAGTATGCAGCGAGTAAAATGTACACAAAGAGGTCCAGAACGAAGAAATAGATCACCACCATCAACACACTCCGCCACAGGCGTTCACAATACAAGAAATCTGAGCATGGGGCGTCGAGACTCATGATCGAATCGTGTTCCAGTCCACGTATGGCGGGAATTCGCCCTCGTCGTACCACTCTACCTTTTCCCTCATCGGAGAGTTCAGTCCAAGCAGCCGAATAGTACCGTCCACTCCGCCAACGGCATACATCATCTCGTTCCGGTGGAACGTGACACTGCCGGTGAAGGGGATGAACGGGCTGAGACTGGTGGAGACGGGTGGCTGATATAGATTTGTGGGGACGGCGAGTCGGCTCAACGTCGTCGCATGTGTCCCGGATAGCGCTTGAACTTGTAGCGTCTGGGTGCGGAACGCAGCCGGTGCGACCTGCGAGAGGGATGCAAACACAGGTGCATTATCATGCATCGCGAAGCTCGATAATCCCTGGCGATGGAGGCGCCAGTCGGCAACCGACCAATCAGGGGCGCGGAGATCCCAGAGGCGTACTTCACCATCCACGCTACAACACTTATCAAAACCAGAAGTTTTACACCAGTTGACGGGCTCACCTAGCTGATAAAATCTCACGTGATGCACGTCTGTTCCATTGAACTTTCTGCAACCATGACCTATGACGTGCAAAGCTCGCAACAGCTGCATCTTCTGGTCTCAGACGGAAGTCGAACACGGCCATTGTTCCGTCCCCGAATCCAGCTACAAACTGGGTCCCGCTTTCATAATCCAAGGATAGTGAGGTTACGCAACTAGCTTCAGATGTTGGAATGTTCTGTGATGTTCAGTTAGACAAGGTTCAGACAGAAACATCAACGCTGCTCACAGATATCATAACCTCCTTGCCGCAATTCCAGACACGAACGAAGTTGCTATCCCCACCAGCAATTAAGGTTCCATAAGTTTGTTGCCATTCTGAAATAATCCCGGATCCATGAGGCGAAGGTATGATATCCGGTACTGCACGGAAGGCACTAATCAGTGACACGGAATTCTGTTCGTGATAATCGCGATGGATTCGGGCAACACCATCAGCTGATAGTGACGTCAAACAAAGTAGCAGAAGAAACAAAATGACACATACAAGAGGTGGTCAACACCATACCAATAACGTCTTCATTGATAAAATGAAGGGATGTAATGCCAGTGCCTTTGGGATTGCCATTGGAGAACCGAGTAAGCCGTTTTCTATTCTGCCAGTCCCAGATGCTAAATGATTCATTGGAAACCGCACATCAGGCAGGATTCCAAGACACGTACTGTATAATATCTGCCTCATTCGTCATGCCCATATGCGTTTCGAATTGATGGAACTTCAAATTTAGCGGTGCCGCTTGATTATTAAGGTAGCTAATGGAACGGTCCCACGGATGATCACCTGGCTTGATATCAGCAAGGACGAGAAGCACAGTCACGATTACATACCCGCGTCCTCAGCTTCATGAACTGCCTTGATTATCATCTGTTCGTTACGAAGTTTGCGGTGCATCTGATCATTGTATTGAACACTCCCAGGTTCTTCGTTTTCGGGCCGCTATAACGTAAGGTCTGATTAGGTCGATCTTCAGCCTAGCTGACAGAATAATTACCTTCATCTGCGGCTCTCGGTAATATTCCATGCTCCAGTCAAAGAACGGTGACGATAATGGCATCTTATGCTTAAGTTCGTCATTGGGACTAAGACGTATCTGACTAGCAAAACTGGCAGAATCGTCATCCGTGTACCGATCACTGCTTGCCGGTGAGTGACTCCGAGAGCTTGCCCCAGGTGAATAGGGCTCCTGCTGTCGGCGCCGATGCCGCAGCCGTTCCATGTCATCTTGAACAACACTAGAGATGATCGCGACCACATTTCTTGATCGAGGATGATTCTCATTGGGTGAAGGAGTAGAACTAGGCGATGCGCCAGATGATGGCGGGGATCCACCAGGCGATTGAGGGAAGTAGAATGAAGAAGGGCGAGGCTTTACCGTCTTCGGCGGGGGTGTATTGGGTGCGGTGGCAACGCGGTCATGATTACTCTTGCCGTTTGTCTGAGGCTGTGGTTCCTTCTTCCGAGACATGGTATACAACGACCGCAGGGTCGATGCAATAGAAGCAGTTCGCCGCAATGTATTGCTGACGATGCCGTTGTCCTCTTCAGGATGCTCGGGCAATGGCTCATTAGGAGATAACCGTGAGAGAGACAGGCCATGAATACTGCTTCCGTCAGATCCTACCAGGGCGGAAATGCGGCTGCCCCTGGTCGGTACCTGAATTGGCGGGACCTTGGAGATCTTCGACGCATGCTCGGGGATTGGAAGCAAAGGCATATTGAAGGTGGAAAACGGCAGGGAGCAAAAGGGTGACCTGAAAAGAAGGCAGATTATGTAGTCGATGACTTTGGAGGCAGGTTCGGAGACACATTTGTTGTCATCCACCGAAAATTCAAACAAAGTAGCCACGATGAGCGAGAAGTTCCGCAGTAATGCTTCCTTTTCTTCTGGCATATCTGGATCCTCGTCATAGTCCATCTCTTCCCCATTCAGCCACTCGTCCAACGCTTGACGGATTGGACTGTCGCCCTTGGAATCAACCTGCCCCAGCCTCCAGGCTCTGTCTTCTTCGAAATATACCCAAGCGGCCAAGACAGCCCAACCTCTCCATTCTTTTATGACAGCACTTATCATTATGGTAGCCTCCTTACGCACCAGCGGACTCGCGTCTTCTTTAGCAGCCAGAAGCATCTCAATGGCGAGCGAGATCTCCATGATACGTTGTTCCTTCTCCGCCATAGGGATAGCAGCACCGGAGCCGCCACCTGCCACCTTCTCCGCATATTTGCCCTCACGGCCCAACGAAGGGATGCCTGGCTCTACTAGGAGCCGTCCCGATTCGTCCATTGTACACCCCAAGAAGACGCCCATAGTAAAGACAGCAGCAGCCCGCACTTCAGCACTGTCGTCGTAGCGCAGATCCACCACTTTCCTGATGGTGTCCTCTGTGACGGCGTAGGCCTTGGCATTGTCGTTGCACTCCCAAATTGCAGCAATGCAAAGAAGACACCATTGTTTCGTCAGGTAGTCTTCCTCGTCCAAGCGAGCGAAGCAGCTGTCCACGACTGTTTCACGAAGGCAAGCTTCCTGCCCTTGCGGGTAGTTTCGCGCGACCATGGCACATATGAACGCACACATCGCCCTATGCTCTGGTCCGTTGGGAATGACGCTTGCCTTGTCATCGACGTATCGATCGTCTTCATCGGGATTGAGGATCTGGGCAAAGTAGTACAGACCATCCTTGACTAGATCCGCTTGGCAGGAAGGCTCCACGGCGATGATACGCGCCCAAATAAAGACAAGAACAGGTTTAAGCTCGTTTGACGGGGATTGCAAGAGCCGCTGTGCGTAAGGATATACACCAATAACGAGTGAATATTCGACAGCCCACGGGCCGAGATCGACGAATTGCGATAAGAGGACAAGCGCACGAAGACGATGAGCCTGTGCAAGGAGTACTTGCAGAAGAATGGGAAGTTCTTCCGGGGGTCGTCTAGGGTGCGGATTGGCGATCGACGCACGTTCATCCCACGAAGGTGCGTTGGACCCGCCCCGTTGCAACCAGACCTCGAAAGCAGTAAGATGCTCCGCGAAGAATGGGGAGTTCACGTAGTGGTAGGTGGCATTTTCCGGAAGTTCCTGGTGTCGGTTCAGAGGTTCAGGCGACATCATCGGGTCAAAGTCAGCTGGTGAAGGCGGCCGGATGATTCCATTCATTAGACTCGGGATTTGGGCCAGGCAGCCTTCGACAGCGAGATCCCAAGTTTCCCACATTGGGTGATGATTTGTTGGTGGTAGCAGGGGGTAGGATGTTGGGGTGCATTGGTACTGCTTCATGACTCGCTCAGCGAGTAAGAAGTTGCGGAACAAAGCGGCGATCATCAGGTCATGCCTGAACAAGCCAAGGAACTGTTGTCGCGAGAATGTGGTCCATGCAATCGTGTCCGTGATTGACGTGAAGATCCAATTGAGTTCGCCAAGTGGTGAGCGACGATCCTTCAGATCGCCAGGCAAATACTCGACCATCTCCATCGTTACATCAGTAGGAAGGACATTCTGCATGACGAAGAATCGAAGAGCCATTTCAATTGGTGAGGTCAGGCAGGACGTGAAGATATCGGCGGGAAGATCGGGGGTCATCGGCAATGTTTCGTTTGCATCGCACGCGGCCAAGTGTATTGAGGAATAGAAAGATTCGTCCGCCTCCGGATCTTGCTTCAGGGACTCATTAGACCCGCGCCCATTTGCACTCCGCTTGCGTTCCTCATAGACTCGGAGGTAGTTCGTTACAACGTTTCCAGCAGCGGAGCAGTCCCAGACGAAAATCGTAGGCTCGCCAACCCATTGTTGCAACTCTGCTAGCGCGACAGGAATGTACTGTGTGTATTTGGCATTGAACGCCCAGATCTCCCCGCTCGGTGTAGGCTTCGGAACGCCATGACCGTTGTAGTACAACAGGGCACGTTCGTCCTTTGCGGTCTTCCGCAGTATTGAGCAGAACTTCTTGATATCATCGTGTGTTGGATCGAGACAGGGTTTGTAGCGCAGGCGTGGGTTCAACGTCATGAACTGTTGCTGCAAGTTCTTGCCAATGTGATCTAGCGCTCGTGATGGCTGAAGCTTGAACGGGTCTATCCAGCATTCAAGACGTGCATGTGGAGAGGTCTTGACTACGTCGGGTGGCTCCACACCAATGTTGAGGCAAACGAGAAGACACGCATTCGTAGTTTTGAGCTTTTCACGGGATCGCCAGTTCTGACTTGTGCGAGGAGGGGGTCCAGCCGGTATTCCGCATGTAAGATGTCGCTTGCTAAAGAAATAGGGCGTCAAGGTGAGGACCACGACGCCCTCTTCCTCTTCAACAACGACCTCGACGTTCTCTTCCTGCCCTTGAGCGGTCGACATCTGTGAGCCTCCGGAACCGGAATATGATGACCGGTGGGACTCAGTATACACGCGTTGAGAGTTGGTCGGACGAAGATAAGAGTTCTCTAGAGGTGTATGCCATGTAAGCGCACGTTGTATTGCCAGAAAGAGGGGACGCACCTTCCTCCCGGAAAGCGGTTTTGTGATTCGCCATGTTTGTGCACCCTTACGCGTATTCCGCCGCGCAGAATCCGTTTGAGTAAATCACGTCTAGGTTTGTATCGATACGCCGGCACGTCTGGACGTCTAGGTGCATAATACGACGTACAGTGATGAAGAGAAGAAAGGGGTAGAGAAAAGGAGGTTGACGTTGCCTTGTCGAGTGGGCGCTATATGCGTTGGATACCCAAGGGATGATTACCTCGAGGCTCCGTCCGGCCGTCGGAAGCTCTGGACTTCGCCGCCAAAACGGAATCTTTTCATCAATCGGGAGCAGTCTGCATCCGTTTCTTCCAATACATTCCCTTACGAGTGACGCGCACTAGTCACAAGTACTACCATTCTGATTCGTCCACAACGTTAATTATCATCGCATACGAACAGGATGTCCGACGACGAGTACATGCAAGATGACGAGTACGGCTTTGAGTATTCGGACGACGATGGCGACGATCAGGCAGATGCGTCTCTCGAAAACAGGTATTACACTGCCAAATGTACGCGTGGCCCTACACGCGACAAGAACACTCTGACTCGCATGTTCATACAGCAATGAAAGAGGACGACCCCGAAGCGGCGATTGAAGAGTTTAAATCGATAGTAGAGGATGAACCAGAAAAAGGAGACTGGTACGTGCATGTACATGTCCGTCCAGGGCGAGATCCTCAACACACGAGATGCAGGGGCTTCAAAGGGTTGAAGCAACAAACAAAACTCAACTTTCTCGTGTTGAACCGACCTTCTGAAGCGCTCAAGACATACACTAAGCTGCTATCTTATACCAAGTCCGCTGTTACCCGGAACTATAGCGAAAAGACTATCAATGGCATTCTAGACTACGTGAGCGGGAGCGGCAAGAAGCGGCGCTATAAGAGCAGGGCAGGAAAGAAGCCTTCTGAGCAGGAACAAATGGAAATTTTGGAAAAGTTCTACGAGATCACAAGAAAGGCTCTGGAGGAGGCGAAGAATGAGCGCTTAAGTGTGAAAACGAACCTTAAGCTGGCCAAGCTCTACCTGGACAAGCATGAATATCCAAGGTTACAAGCAGTAGGCTATATTCACCATTATCGGACCTGCATGATTTATAACAGAATATTAGTTGCTAAAGTCACTTCATGCCTCTACATTATCTGCGAATGCGGCGGCACCAACAGGCGCCGATGACTCGACCGCCCAGTCGGCTACCGGTACCCTGCTCCTTGAAATCTACGCCCTTGAGATTCAGATGTACTCCGACATGCGAGACTACAAGAAGCTGAAGGAGATCTACAACGCGTCTAGTCAAGTGCGCTCTGCCATCCCCCATCCCCGCATTATGGGTGTTATCCGAGAGTGCGGTGGTAAGATGTGGATGGGCGAGCGACACTGGGCAAAAGCTTCGAGCGACTTCTTCGAAAGCTTTAGAAGCTATGATGAGGCTGGAAGCCCGCAGAGGATACAGGTTCTCAAATATCTTGTGCTGGCGAATATGTTAACTGGTGCCGAGGTGAATCCCTTCGATTCTCAGGAAACAAAACCGTGAGTCACATGACAGGTCTTGAATAAAGCTCACGGAGATCTAGATACAAAAACGACCCGGAGATCACGGCCATGACGGATCTCGTATCAGCATATCAGCGACGAGAAGTTCATGAAGCGGAAAAGATCCTGAGAGAGAACAAGGCCACTATTATGGACGATCCGTTCATCTGCTCGTATATGGGTGACGTATTGCGCTCACTCCGCACACATTACCTCATCGATCTCATGAAGCCATACACGCGGCTAGAGATCGGTTTCCTCGCAAAACAACTAAATGTTGACAATGCCGAAGTCGAGGAGCTGTGTATTGGACTCATCCTGGACGGCAAGGTTCAAGGCCGGATTGACCAAGTCGCCCAGATTGTCGAACTGGAACGACACAAAGGCTTAGATGCGAGGCGGTATAACGCATTGGACGCATGGACCACCGGGATGGAGAAGATTTTCGATAACATTACGGCCAAGGCTGGTGCGACAAATGACCGCGGGATGGGCGGTGCGCCTATGGGAATGGGAATGGGACTGCCATTCGGTCCCGAATGGGAGAGTGCTAGCAAGGGATTGACGGTTGGTGCATGAGCTAGAAGATTCTGGGCTGTGTATCCCGTGCGGATGTCTCTATACCGCTGTATTATTGTCGATATCACGCATTATCACGATTTTTCAGTAACTTGCTCGCTTCCGACATTTACCCGTGCATCATAATAAAATGCTCACCGATGTGTGTATGTGTATCACTTTGATTTATGCATTGTAATCTCTAAGAGTCCTAGATGATACATGATGAGACGGCCCTGATGGGAAAATAGGAGAAGATTAGCATATTCCGACAACTTCCAGTTTCGTTCTTTGGATTCTCAAAAGTCATTCAGAAAGTCTCCAAACTGCGTGCTCAACACGTCTGGCCCAGCCGAACGGGACAGTCCTTCGAGAAATCCTGGTATCACACTCTGCATCATGTTGTTCATCCGTTGTGTCATGACGTGTTGGCCATTCTCGACGAACATGTGCTGTAGGCATCAAGTTAGTCGGCATCCGGTTTAGGAAATAACTGCAAGGAAGGTAGTACCCACTTGATAGGGACTTCGGTTATCTTTGTCGTGAAAAACCAGGAATCGCTGCTGTCCTTCTCGAGTATTAAAGTTCCCGTATTGAAAGCGGTCGGTTACGTCTATCAGCCAGCCTAGGGGAACATCGCAACTTGGTGAGGAATTTATCTGTTTGACCGCAGGGTTAGAGCCTACCGCCTGGAGGTGGGAGCTCTCGTGCAGCAGCGGCAGAGAGATGTTCATAATCATACCAGTCTTCTGCTAGAAAGAGTTGAATATCTTCGTTCTCTAGGATAAATTTGGCTGAGCCGTTGCGAAACCCTGTTCCGACGTGACTCACGTTGTGTTTGATTCTTGGCAGTGACGCCCACATAGTTGGCGGAATATTCTCTGAACCAGTCGGTCCACTTCACTCGAAGAACTCGTTGGTTGTAGTTCCGTGGTGGAATATAGATTCGATCTCCTTTTTGGACAGGCATCTTTGACGCAGTCGGGATCGCGAGTTGACTTGTTGGTCTTTTTCTAGTTTCGGAGACTGCAACTGGTATGCGAGAACCGGTGGGCCTTTTTTGGTGAATGTCTCAGTCATGTGGTGCCATTATTTTAAACCATTTCAAAGTAGTGCTCGGCCAAACTGATAATCCAGATTATCTCTGGCTTGCCACAACTCGTGTCTTACCGGAGACGTAGATCGCCCGGAATCGATGGGATGCAGTGTCTATCGTCTGCCCAAGACGATCGACAACAATCACACAGCCAATTGGCGGTACACTTTCCACCTTGACCTTCTCGGGCGGGGGTTGAATATCATCTTGGGAAGTGTAGGCCCTTCTTCCCTTGGTCGGAAAATGCCATTCGCCGAAACGCGACGGACCCTGAGCGGGCTCCGTTCGAGGCGTCCTAGGCCGGAAGACGAAAAGTCCGAGTCCTCAGCGGCACGTGGTTGTCGTAATCTTCGTTCTCAGTGGGGTCAGAACAGGGTGGTTTCTGTCTTTTGGAGTGTATCTTTCATCTCGGCGCTAGCAGAAGCAGAAACCTCCGGACAGTATGATGGATGCTGGTCAACTTCAAAAGTGGAACGACGCCTGCATCGGGTAACGGGTCCAACCTTTTGGGGTTGATTAAGCACTGTCACCTCCACAATTCTGTTCCTGTTGCTGTGTCGAAAATAAGTTTATTGCATAGCAACCAGGATTCTTGATGGGTGCTGGTCAGACAGCAGCCCGATCAGCTTCTTTAGCCTACAGAACCAAGGATAAGATGCTGCAGTTTTCTCAACAAGTACCAAGGGTGGATAGACGTCGTGCTGTGCTAGTTCAGTTGGGTTGGCTGTCCAGCTACACCTCGGGCCGTCGACTGTAGTTGTATCAACGCACTACATTCCTCCTAGCTATCTGCTCACTGCAGGCATTACAGTAGCGCATCAGAACGCATCTCCCGTCCACAAGCATCGCCTCGGTTTCATATGCGGCACGAAGAAAGGGATGCCAAAACAGTAGGATATCTTGTGAGCACAGGTTCGGACATGAAAGAGAGTGATATGTCGGAAGATAGGCTGCTTGCATGGACGGCGGTGGCAGAACAAAAAATCAAGCAAAAAAGTCGTGTCGCAGGGGGAAAACTTGAGGTACGCAAGGACGGGGTTAAAAGCAAGATACAAGAAAATGAGTGCTCGGCACTGCCGGACACTCGGAATAAAACGAGCGCGGGGAAAGATGGAAAGTAAAAGAAAGCAGTTGTGCTGTATGCAATGTCGCTGTCGAAATCATGAATGCTCCACGTGCCTAGAACTTAGTATCCGCCATGGAACTGTTGCTGGCCGTGCGATGGGTAGCCGCCATTGTTGCCGTACCCAGGGAATTGCTGTGCGTATGCATTCTCCTGGGCATAATGTGCCTGTTGACCATAGTTTGCGCTCGGGCCACGCGTCAAGTCCGCGCCTTCTGGGGCATACTGTGCGTGCTGTCCATAGTTCGCACTTGGGCCACGTGTCAGATCAGCGCCCTCTTGGACATACTGGGCGTGCTGGCCATAGTTCGCGCTCGGCCCACGCGCCAAGTCGGCACCTTGATGGCTAGGGTCCGCATAGTGCTGCTGCTCGGCGTAGTACTGAGCGTGCGGGTCACCGCCACGCTGCATATCGGCATAGCCGTACTGCTCCTGACCGCTGTAGCCGTACTCGCCCGTGGAGCCAGCAGTGAAGTCGTGTGCCGGGTACGCGCCGTTCGACGTGTAGTCATGCGCTTGCGGATAAGAGGCATACGCCTCTGAAGGAGACGCATCGGGGTACGTGGATCCACCCGCTGCGAGACCGGCATCATTCTTCTCCCCAGAACCAGCTTCCCAGGATCCACCACTCGTGCCTCGGTTGTGGGCCTTCTCCTCGACCTCCTCCATTCCACCACCGGGGGAGAAATCGATAGGCTGCATGCGCTCTTCGAACTTGCTCGACGGGCCGAACTTCCATTTCCGGATGATGGTGAATGCAGCTGCCGAAACACCCACGACGGACGCGATGACGATGATAGCGATCAACGTATTCTTAGCGATGGAGGTCGAGGACGTCGTAGCACCGGAGGCACCCGCCGATGACGTAGGACTTGAAGATATGGACGGACGCGACCCAGTCGTCACGTACTGATACTGCGTGCTCACTTGATTGTCTTGATTGTTGTCTGGAGCAGGAGCAGTGGCTTGAGGAAGGGTGGTGTCGGAGCTTGTGGGAGTCGTGCTTGTGGTGCTGGAGGTAGTGGTTGTCGAGTTTGTGGATGTGGTGGACGTAGTAGCAGAGGTAGAAGTAGTGCTGGTAGTGGTAGTGGATGAGGAAGAAGTACTGCTAAGGGAATCGGTGGGAATGGTGCTCTGAAGGTGAAGTCAGCGAGTGAAATAGACGGACGTGAACAGCAACATACGTTAGTGGTGGATGACGAGCTGGAAGTCGTATCGGACGATGTACTCGTTGCATTCCCTGTGGGTGTAGGTGCGGCGTTTCCGGCAGGATTGGGGGGAAACAAAGACGTGATGATATCCCTCTCTACATTGGCCTGGACAGTGCGCCGGCGAATCATACGTCCATGATGGTGCGCATTGTTACGCGCGACATGGGCGGCTGCGATACCGCCTGACAGTTCACGCTTGGCAACGGGTAGAGGTGCTTCCCTTGGAGGTCGCGTGTGGTCGCGCACGTACGACAGCCCTTGTACGGCCCCTAGAGAGATGAGGAGAAGAAGTAATATGGAAGGACGGTGCATTGTCGGATAGACGGTGGGTGTTGAAGGATTGGCTAGAGGAAGACGCGTCCTCTACTGTTCAATCACGGCCGGCCGTTTGTAGACAGGGTAGGTTCGTTGCAGGCAAAAAAGAGAGAACAAAAGAAGTGCAGTTGGATGAAATGAGTGACTGAGATTGAAGAGATGTCCGCGTCGATGCTCTACTACGATGTTGACAGTAGCTTGAGGCAAAGAGGAGGATGTCGACGATGTCGAGAACGACGACGACGACGAGCAGGGAGAGAGGTAGAGGGATGGCAGACGTTAGAAGGAGAGTGAGAATGGCAACGACGAGGGGTTGAAGAGACAGCGACAACGCGGCACACCGACGAATGGAACGTAAAAACAGAAAACACCCTCATGGTTTACTTCCGCGCACATTATTTCTCCGCGCATCGCTATTTGCTTCCGCTTAATTGTCGCAATGACGAGGGTCCATCTGGTGGTCAATTTCAACCACAACCCACAACCATCTCTGGCTTTTCCACGACTATTGTACACGATCTTGATATCAGTACCGTAGCAGAAAGCGTCGTCCAGAAGCAATCATGAGAGGCTTTCTTTCCTTATCCTCCGAACGGCAACACATCGCCCCACCAGCAGAAGCCAGACCCGCGTGGGCATCCCGACGTCGGGCTTCGGTGTCGCGGATCTGCCATTCATAAGGCCTCTTGAAACTGCTGGTGTATCCTTGATAGAAAGCCAGACCATTGTCTTTTGTCAAACAGTCTGCAATCCCGGGGTGGCTGCAGTCCCCCTTGAAATCCTGTTCTTGCAATTGATATCACGCACGATCTTTTTGTGACCTGCAACGTCGATTTGTCGCCTCGTCCCTGAGTTCTAGGCTCTGTCACTCCAAGCCCGGGTTTTATTCGGCAGAGCACTTGTTATGTCGCAAGATAAATTGAGTTACCTTCTACACCGAGGACTGGATGGATGACCCCAAGTTGCAGTCGGGTTGGTGTTTCTTCCACAGATGCAAACCATTCAGTCCTCACGGAAGTGAAGTGCTAAGATTGTTCGATGTAACTTCCTTATTTTGGAGTTTAAACTGGTCTTTGCATTTATTGTATACGCATTGGTTGCATACTGATTGTTCGTCTTCAAGAGAGCACGATTCCACTGAACATCCAAATATAGCTCGGCCCACCTTCGGAGCCGAGCCGGACTATCTCGTACCCTTCATGCCGGCGGTCCAAAGAATGGGGTGACGCGCACGTCGCCACTCCTGAGCCTTCCCCAGAATTACAGTAGTGACGCGCACACTTCCTCGAACGACGACGACCACAGTGCATACACATCTTTATCTATACCCTGCACTAGTCAACATCAACTTATCTTATATTCATAATGCTGGGTGAACCAGGTCACTGCGCTATGCGCGGCTCATGTGGTCGGGCGTCTATGTTCTCGCCGGAATTACCCTGTCCAGACAGCGGCATAGCGACAGACGTGAGTTGAGCTCATGATCTTGCGCAGAAGAGGCTGACAGTGCCAAACGTAGCCCGACGAAGAATTCAGACAGAGTTTGGTCTCCGTCTGCGGTCCTTCCTTCAGCACAGGTGGAGCCTGCTGCTCTTCCGCCCAACTCGACACGCTCGCAGAAAACCTCAAAACTGTCTCCCCTATCATCTCCTCCTGCCCCGCATGCTTCAACAACTTCCGCGATTTCTTCTGTTCCTTTACTTGCTCTCCATACCAGGGCACGTTTGTCCAAGTCACGTCGACACAGACGACCACCTCGGGCGAGACGGCAGTCAAGAGCGTCGACTTCGCCGTTGGGGAAGGGTTCAAGCAGGGGTTCTTCGATTCCTGCAAGTACGTGCAAATGGGTGCAGCAAACCAGTTCGCGATGGACTTTATTGGTGGAGGGGCAAAGAGCGCAGATGCGTTCCTCAAGTTCATGGGCGACAAGAAGGATGTTGGACCGGGCAGTCCCTTCCAGATCGATTACCCACGACAGTGGAACGAGTCCATGACACCACTCACAAGAACACCGTTAGACTGCGCTTCCCAAGACCTGGGGAGCAGGTGCGCATGTGTCGACTGTCCCAGCGTATGCCCCACACTGCCATACGTCCCGCCACCGTCCGATGGCTCCAGCTGTCGGGTCGGGATGATGTCCTGCTTTACTTTCACCCTCACCCTCACCTACTCCCTCGCTCTCGCCGCCTTCATCGCTCTCATCATCTTCCGTGCGTTTTACCAGCGACGACACATCCAACTCGAAGGAGAAGAGGGTGTTGCGCTCTCCACAGGCGACGCCGGATCTCACCAGACCTTGATTGGAGCGACCTCAACACAAAGCGGACACCATCTTACAGAATCAGCATCATCCGTCGCCGGATTATCACTGCATCGGGCTCATCTCGGACGAGGCACATCACTCCTCGACCCTCTGGAGGCGACCCAACCACGGCAGCACAAGCTCAATGCATGGCTGCGTAGGTTTTACTTCAAGCTTGGTTATTGGTGCGCCAGCAAACCATGGCTTACGTTTGCTATCGCCGCTGCTGTGATCGGTGTGCTGAACATCGGTTGGGCGCGTTTCGGGTTCGAGACCGATCCTGTCAAGTTGTGGGTCGCGCCTGGCAGTGAGAGCGCAGCGCAGAAGGAGTACTTCGACCAGTATTTTGAACCGTTTTATCGAACCGAACAGCTTTTCTTCACTTCCATCAACGAGGAACCGGATGGCGTTCTGACGCTCCAGAGGCTGAAGTACATCGACGATGTCCAAGGTACCATTAGCAGCCTTCGTAGCGAGTCGGGTATCAGACTCGAAGATATCTGTCTGGCACCAGCTGGACAGGGAACACCTTGTGTCATCCAGTCGCCACTGGCTTGGCTCGGCGATTTGGACAATGAGGAAGAGTCCACCTGGAGAGAGACGCTGAATGACTGCGCCACCACTCCGTCCAACTGCCTCTCAGCGTGGGGTCAGCCCCTGCTGCCAAAGTACGCATTGGGTGGTATCCCCCAATCCGACGCTGGTCCAGTATATTCCAAGGCTTCCGCAGTGGTGATGACTTTCGTGGTCCCCGACTCGATGAATGCGACGCACAAAGCTCTGGTCGAGGAGTGGGAACGTGAACTTCGCTCGTTCATCGAGAAGTCTGTGGTTCCCACGACCGCCGCTCGGCACGGAATGAAGGTCTCTTTCTCGACCGGTGTCAGCTTGGAAGAGGAGTTGAATAAGAGCACGAATACCGATGTTCCTATCGTCATCATGTCCTACTTGGTCATGTTCGTCTATGTTTCCCTGACACTGGGCAGTTCTGGTCGCATATCCTTCTTTGCCCCGTCATACTCCGATGCCGAAATCCCAGAGGGCTTCTTCCCAAAGGCAAAGTACTATCTGTCCCGTATACGCAGGCCCAATCTCCGGATGATCGTCACTTCTAAAGTGTCCCTCGGCTTGTTTGGCATCATCATGGTCATCATCGCTGTTCTCTCTTCCGTCGGCTTTTTCTCATTGCTAGGCGTTCGCGCTACCCTCATTATTGCGGAAGTCATCCCTTTCCTCGTTCTCGCCGTCGGAGTGGACAACGTGTTTATCCTGGTGCATGAGCTTGACAAGCAGAATGCCCTTCATGGTCCCAGTACTGCCACATCGAGCGCGAACGGCGTGAATGGCGGGAACAACGGTACTCCCATGTCGCCGTCTATTCGCGCACCTTCCTTGGACGATTCGGTGCCCACTCAGCTGCCCGCCGAAGACCGGGTAGCTCGCGCATTAGCAAAGATGGGACCGTCAATATTCCTCAGCACAGTAACGGAGGTAGTGGCTTTCGGTCTTGGTGCACTCGTGCCCATGCCTGCTGTGCGGAACTTTGCTCTCTACGCCGCTGGAAGCGTGTTGTTGGACGGGCTGTTGCAAATGACGGTATTCGTCAGTGCGATGACGTTGGATTTGAGGCGTGTCGAGGTGAGATTCATCCACTGCCTTGAAATTTCATGCTGATCAGGACTAGTCTAGTCGTATTGACTGCGTGCCTTGCTTCAGGCTCTCACAGCGCGTAGCACTGATGGAGACCGCACCAAATCCCGAAGGAAGCGCCGTCACTCGTTTCGTACGGAAGCGATATGCGCCTTTCCTGCTCAAGAAGGAAGTCAAGGCCTGTGTCCTCGCTGCTTTTACAGGGTTGACCGTTCTCTCCCTTATCGGAGTTCGACACGTACATATGGGTCTTGATCAGCGACTCGCGCTTCCCTCTGATTCCTACCTTATCGACTGGTTCAACGCTATAGACAACTACTACGAGGTTGGCCCGCCTATCTACTTTGTTGCCGCATCTGCCGATGCCACCGTCCGCCGTGACCAACAGCACCTCTGCGGTCGGTTCACGACATGCGACGAGTTCAGCCTGGCAAACGTGCTCGAAGCCGAGCGACAAAGGGAGGCATCGTCCTTTATCGCCGAACCCGCCGCGAGCTGGATAGACGACTTTTTCCGCTGGCTGAACCCGCAGTATACTTCCTGCTGTCGGGTGAGGAAGAACGACCCCAACACGTTCTGCCTCCCTCGGGACTCGGAACGGAGGTGCCAGCCATGCTTTGAGGATCATACCCCGGCGTGGAATATCACGCTGGAGGGACTTCCCCAAGGAGAGGAGTTTATGCGGTATGTAAAGCAGTGGCTTATCTCCCCAACGAACGATGAGTGCCCGCTGGGCGGTCAATCCGCTTATGGGGATGCGTTGTCCTTCTCCGCAGACGGCAAGACGCTAACTGCGTCGTCCTTCCGTACCTCGCACACCCCGCTCAAGCAGCAAAAAGACTTCATCAACGCCTTTGCTGCAGCGCACCGGATTGCAGATAATATCGCGTCCTTGACTGGCACGCAGGTGTTCCCATACTCGATGTTTTACGTCTTTTTCGACCAGTACGCACACCTCGGGTCCATGACGGAGGAAACGATTTCCCTAGGCCTGCTCGCGGTGCTGATCATCACCTCCCTTGCCCTAGGCTCCGTCAAGACAGGCGTGATCGTATCGTGCACTGTCGGGCTGACAGTGCTCAACGTCGGGGGTGTAATGGGTGTATGGGGGATCTCGCTTAATGCGCTCTCTCTTGTGAACCTCGTGATCGCACTTGGCATAGCGGTGGAGTTCAACGCCCACGTCGCGCGGGCATTCATGGGCGCCGTGCCCGGGAGTCAGGCAGAAGGACAGAAAGAGAGGGACGAAAGAGTTTGGTCAGCGCTCGTAGAAGTGGGGCCGAGCGTGCTGTCAGGCATTACGTTCACGAAACTTATCGGGATATCCGTGCTTGCGATGACGAGGAGCAAGCTGCTCGAGGTACGTCTGTTCCCCTGTTTGAGGCTGAGCTAATGAAGCGCCGCAGGTATACTACTTCCGCATGTGGCTGACACTCATCGTCTCCGGAGCACTGCACGGGCTTGTCCTCCTCCCTGTGATCCTCTCTTTTGCGGGAGGGGAGGGGTATGCCCTAGAGGACGTGGACGAGGACTGGATGCGGAGTGCTGTACGTCGGAGGGGGGACGAGTACGCGCCATTCTTAGCTGATGATGATTCTGTTATGAGTGATTAGATGGTGATTTGGTTGAAATGGGTATAATATTTATGTGTATTGGCCGAGAGAAGTCAAAGTTTGCCGAAGTGAGTGGCAAATGCTCTAATTATGGGTGTTTTATGGCGTGTGGAATGCATGGCAACAATGGAAATAACCCGTTGGAAGGGTCTACTATTGTATTCACTTTCTATCACTCTTCTTTCCGCATTCCTCTCCCTCTTCCGCACAACTTCGAAATAACACAACTACTTTGCTCTTTTACCTTTTTATTTGACAAAGTAGTAGTCTATTCATCATCTTGCGCACTGCGCATCCACTCACTAACAACTCCCTCTTTTCCCCACTTCAACCATGTCAACACAACGATACCCAGGGTATCGCAACCGCACACAGTCCTACGACAGCGGCATGCGCCCACTCAGCGACATACGGTACGAGCAAGCAGGCAAGTCCGACCCCTACCTACACCAGTCCTCAGGATTCTACGACCCCGCTTCCCGCTCCAAGGGGAGCAAGAAGAAATGGTGGATCATCGGCGGTATCCTCCTCCTACTGCTTATTATCGCTGCTATCGTTGCGGGCATAGTCGTCTCGAACGCGAATAAGAAGAACGCTTCTGCGAGCTCTGGCAGCTCGAGTGGTGGTGCTGGAGGGTCAGGAGGGTCCGGGTCACCACTTAGCGGAGGGCAGGGAGGACCAGCAGGAGCAGGAGGCGTAGGCAGGTTCGCCGTCGCGACGGATACGTATGGGCTGCCTATCTACCCTACGGAAACGAATTCAGCAGTCTACGGTGCACCGACGTTCGTCCCCCCTTCCTCCGATGCGTCCTCCAATGTTCCCAGTACCTTCCCCGCCGACCCCTGGTCCCCCGGTGACAGCCCCTCATGGATAGTGACACGCCCCGATCGGCCGCGTCTCATCGCCCCTTCCTACAAGTGGGCCGCACTCCCAAACATGATCGCCAACGACCCATACCTGTTCGGGTGGAACGAGACCATCTTCGGCAACGCGACGTTTTACTATAACGAGCCGCTTACGAACTACTCTATCGACGGCTGCCTGTCCTGCTCTGGCGTGCTGGATGTTGCCCGGCAGGTCAAGGTCAAGGTCAAGAGCTGGGCATACGCGTACAGGATGACGAACGACTCGACGTGGGTTGACCGGATTTGGAGCGAACTCGTCAACGCCGCTGGGAACAACACGGACACCTATTTTGGGGAAGAGGGGAATAACTGGAACTACGCGCATTTCCTCGATACGGCAGAGTTTACCGCTGCATTCGCGATCGCCTATGACTGGCTGTACGACGTCTGGACCCAACCGCAGCGGGACGCGATTATGTGGTCGATCCTTGACCTGGGGATATCGTGGGGTTTGCAGGCATATACCAACCAGACGTTCCACGATTCCAACGGCTGGTGGAACGCTGTGAACGGGAACTGGAATTGTGTTTGCAACGGTGGCCTCAGCCTTGGCGCACTTGCGATCCTCGGGGACGACCCGACGGGCATGGCCGAGCAGATGCTGAACTATACTGTTCCCGATGCCACTGCGAACTGCGCTATGGCCCCTTCTACCGACGGCACGTGGTCCGAGACGGCCAACTACTGGTACTTTGGTACGACCGCGCACGCGGAGATGACTTCCTCCCTCATGACCGCGACTGGGAGTGACTACGGGATGCTGAACGCCAACCCGTCGTTTAACGAAACCGCGCTCTTCCACATCTACGTCACCGGCATGACGAGTTTGTTCAACTACGGCGACCACGGACCGAACAAGTACTCCACTACCGCTAACGGTATGCTCCTCTACGGTTCGGAGTACAACACCCCCGTGTACACACTCTTCCAGCGCGACAGGTTCGACGCTGCCGAGCCGTGGAGTATGTTCTGGTATGACGGGAGCGTGACCGGCGGATGGTGGGACGGCCTTCCCCTGGATCACTACTTTGACAACGGGCTGGATCTGTGGGCAAGCATGCGATCCAGCTGGACGAACAACAACGGCACGTATGTCGCTATGAAGAGCGGGAACCATACGGGCCATCAGACGCATGGTGACCTTGACGGGGGGGACTTTGTCCTCGATTTCATGGGGCAGAGGTTTGCTGGCGAGCTGGGGTCAGGCGACTACCTCAGCACAGGATACTTCTCTTCTGAAGGACAGGACAGCCAGAGATGGCTGTATTATCGCAAGCGTACGGAGGGCCAGAACGCTATCGTCGTCGGGGAGCAGAACCAGGTCGCGAACAACGGCCCTACGGCGAACTTTGGCACTACGGGAGAAGCGCAGGATTATACGACTACGTATACGATCCCTGCGGGAAGCACGGCTTTCTTCACTACGGACTTGACGTCGACCTACTTTAACGTCACTTCCTACCAGCGCGGGATCAGGCTGCTCAACAACCGCCGCCAGGTGCTCCTACAGGACGACATTGTCGCCACTGCGAGCGTGCAGTGGCGCATGCACACAAACGCTACCATCACCTACCAGGACAACGGCACCACCGCGATCCTCACTCTGGAAGGCAAGGTCGCCCAAGTGAAACTGCTAAACGTCCCCACCGGCACAGGTGCAACTTTCCAGACCCTCGACCCTGTACGGTACGCGAGCGACCCTCCCCTGCCCACGAACCCGCAACAGGTTGACCAGCCCAACCCGGGCGTATCCGTCCTCAGCATCACTTTCCAGGATGCGGGGACGTACAGTATCCAGGTGCTGTTTAACCCTCAGTGGGACGATATGAGCGCGAGCGACTTTGTCACTCCGCCTACGGTACCCGTGAGCCAGTGGACGGTGACGAGCCATAATAGCTGAGCTGAGCGCAGCTCGGTTTGGGCTACGGATTTTGAAGCGGGAGTGGGAGCACCATAGCAGCGGGATGGGAACGCCGCGCTGGTGCTTGACGTGCGCAGAAGGCGCTTGTATGTATGAAAATCCACCGAATGCGGGCGATATGGTTTCTTGTGTTTCTTCTCCCAGCTCTATCTCTTTTTTACGCTTTGTCTCTCTCTGTTTTTCTGCCTTTGCGGGGGTTTTATGGACATCTCGCTCGCTCGCTCGTTAGACACCGACTCTCTTTACTGTACTGCCGCTGGGTGAGCTAGTCTTAATCCTGCTGCCGGACAATGATAATACGGAATCCTCGCCCAGAGATCATGTGCCAGACCATTGGACAGTGTGTGGTGGGGACGGATTCACGAATGCTACATGCATTGTCCCTGTTTGATTAAACAAAGATGGGTATACAATCAATGGATAAAGTAAGGCGCCCTTTCCATGGAGGACGTCAAACATGGAGATATTTACGTGACTTATCACAGAATGAGGACGTCACCCCTACATTGGGCACACCAAAATATATGGCTTTCATCCCCAAACTGACTGCGAACGTGTAGCTGTACCGGCTCCTCCGTGTCGGTTGTTGATGCTGCGGGGACAGCAACAACTTCGCTCTCCATGCGCGCTTTGAGCATGCTCAGGCTGATCCGTCGCTTGTGCCGCTGATTCTCTGGCACGTCCGCTTCGAGTGATGGGCGAAGGAAAGTCTGGCTGCGTGCTGGTGGTGGAAGAGAAGAATAAGAGGCTGAGGTGGGCAGTGCAGTCCGCATATACGACGGGCTGCTGCCGCTGCCATGAGCGGTGAGCTGCGCACTCATCAGAGGTGGGCTGCGAGCGCCTGCTAGTTCCAATTCTTGTATCCGGCGCGTTAGAGAATGTATACGGGTTTGTCCTTCGTGAAGTTGTGACTCTAGAGTCCGGACTTGGGTCCGGGCTTGGGACAGCTCGATAACGTTGCCCTGCTCCATTGACTGATTCAGCTCGTCCTGTAACGATGACCGGTTTGCAGGTGTTCGTGGGACGTCGCCGTTCACACCGCTCATGGGCGTTCCAGGAACGGTCCTGAGCTTGTTCACATCGGCTCGTAATGCCTCTGCTTCAGCTTGGGCGGAACGAAGCGCTTCCTCCAGCTCTTGGATGCTCTGACTTGATTCGGCTTCCATCGTTTCCAGTCGTTGTTTGTACTCGTCCAGCTCGTTTTTCACGGCAGCATGCTCTGAGACGCGTGCCTGGGTGCCAATTTTGAAACGCTCAATTTTTTCCTGTGTCGTGATAAGGTTCTTTCGCAATGCTGCCCTGTCCGCCTCGAGCTCCTTGACACTCGTTAATGCAGATTCAAGCTCCCGTTGAAGCTCATCATGCGTCTGGACAAGATCTGCCAGCTCTCTCTCTCTTGAGGAATGCCGCTTGTGTGCATCTGCGAGGGATGACCGCATTTTGGTACCTTCCGATTCGGCAAAGCTTCGGGCTTCTTCGAGGGAGGTTTCCAGCTTAGCGATGACACCGTCCCGCTCGCGCAGCTGCTTGGCCATCTCATCCATCCGGTCCCCAAGGTCGATTTTCTCATTGTTCAACTCAACAACCTTCGGCCGTAGCTCCTCCAATGATGCCAGGATCTCTGTCATACGCATCAGCAAAACGTCAACTTCAATAAATGCTACATACGCTCGTTCTCGGCCTGTAAATCATTGGCCCTCTTGAGCACCGTCGTCAGCTCGGACTCGGAAGCTTGTAAGCGCTTCTCCGTCGAAGCGGACGCAGTGGTAGCCTTGTCCAGAGCATCCTGCATCTCCTTCAACTGTGCCTCGAGGGTTGGAACTTTTGCCTCAAGATCGGTCCTCTGAGATAGATGGGAGTCACGTTCGGTGGTGACACTAGCCAACTGCTCTGTGATTTTTGAATGATCGAGCTTGAGAGCGTCAAGGGCTTTCTGAGCGGTCTGCTCAGATTGCCTCAGAGCATCAATCTGCTGCTCGAAGTCATCCCGCTCTGTTTTAGCTTTTGTATGCGCCTAGAACATCATTAAGACAGTCGGTGCAGAATATGGATATCAGCGCGTACCTGTTTTGACTTCACGAGCTGAGTTTCCAGCGTCTCGACACGATCCTGGGCACTTTGCAGCGACTTTTCGAGTTTGTCTATTCGATCGTCCGCCTGTAGCTGCAGCTCCAAACTTCTTATCGTTTCATTCTTCTGTGACACCTGCAGTTGTAAATCCGCAGCCGTACGCTTGTTGCGCTCGATCTCCCGCTCCTGGAGCACTCATGAGCTTCGGGTACAACGTGTAGGGTCGATTATCTCACCAAATCCGTCCCTCTCTCCTTCTCCTTCCTTCCCACTTCATGAGCTTCTGCCACTCTCATCTGCTCTGCCCCTACCTCCTTCTCGAGTTCCTTGACCCTCTCCTCAAGCTCTTCTGCCCGTGCACGAGCCTCCGTAGCGTCTGCCTCTAACGACGCAGTCAGAGACGCCTTCTCGCTCACGAGAAGGGCGATCGTCTGCTGTTGTGTCTGGACTTTGGCATGCAGGGCATCCGTATTGCCAACCTCGGGGGAGACGATGCCATTCGCATCTGGTCCAGGTGATGACGCTGCGGGGCTCTTGGAGACGGGTTGCTGAGCCGGAGTAGGCGGGGGAATGGAAGGTGTTGATGGTGGGGAAGTCACAGGTGTCGACGTCGCGGTCTTTACAGACTGAGCGGTCGATGATGGACTTGATACAGCCCAGCTACGCGTCAGCGATGACCCACAAGCCTCGCCAGAGAAGTACGTACGGAACGCTAGAACCGTCTTCTCGCTGAATATCCATTGACGTCCTCGACGACGCCGGTTCTGTAGCAGTTTCCGCTGCATCCACTTTCTTCTTCTTTTGACGTTGCTTGAGCTGCAAAATCACAAAGATGATCAGATCTGGAAAGGGCTGCGAGACTCAACAGGCCCACCATCGCCTTCGCCCTGGCGGCTTTCGCAGCGCGTTCTTCATCCATCTTGCGTGAGAAACGCGTTCAGCGTAGACCAGAGAGGGTAAAGGACAACTGTGATAGGTTGTCGAGGTGGTATAATGCTAGGAATCGTGTGCACAGGTCGACACCAGTTGGGTACGTTTGAGGCTCTGACCACGTCTTCACGTGCGCCACTCTGAACGCACCGAATAAAGACTGTCGGAATGTGAGGCAGCGCAAGTTCAACATTTTTGACGGCACAGTTCGCGCATACTTATATAGAGGCAGCTTCGTTCTAGCTAGCGAACACGGATTTACCGATATAAAAAGGCATCAGACTCTGGGGGATCGTAGATACGGGAAAGGAGAGAAGGGGGCAGGCTCAAGAGAGGGAAGCATGCGTGTCAACGAGGGACAGACGGAATAGCAGGATAAAACAGATAGGTACAAGGAATGGGAAGGAAAACCAAGCTGTGAGAGGGAGAAAAAGGAGTGGATATGCTACGGTTGCTTCGACATTCTCGTCCACTTGTACCCATGTATGTCCTTCCTGATAGAGGGGGAGGGAGCTCGCCCTTTTGCTGGGGGGGTCAGATCGACAGGAGAAGAAAAGCAAGGTGGAATGAAAACGACTTGATGGATACGGACAGCGCGACGGACCGGATGAAAGCAAAGAGTGGGATATAGATGACGAATGGCTTGTCCTCCAATGTTGAAGGGGCGCATGAACGAAGGGGTAACCCAGGTATCTCGCAGGGTATTTGACGGCGAGATGGGGAGAAATAAGGTCGATCATGCCCAGACCTGATAAAACAACCGTCAGATATCTTTCTGGGTACTTGGATGTAATGATTTACCTTGAGGGTGCTATCCCAAGACCCAGTGCAAAGGGCCATACCATCGCTGCTCACACCGAGGCAGCTGACACGGTTTTCATGACCGGAGAGGACACCGATACGCTCGCCCTTGAGCGTATCCCAGACGTTACACTGCCAGTCGTCGTAGCCACCAAACAGCAGCCGACCAGAGTAAGAGAACGCAACGGAGGTAATACCACATAGAATGTTGTCGTGCGTGTAGGCGATCAACTCGCGATCGGCACGCATGTCGAACAGACGGCACGACGCGTCATCAGAGCCGGTGGCGAATGCGTCGCCGTTGGGGAAGAACTGGACGGCGTTGATGTCCGACTCGTGACCAGTGAACGTCTGCACGGCCTTGCCTGTCCGCATATCCCAAACCTTGGCGGAGGCGTCGCAAGCGCCGGAAACGAAGATACCGGGATGGGGGCCTAGAGACAAGCTAGGATGCCATCCATCAGCTACAATCGGAACATCGGAGCTTATTCCCTACCTCATGACGTCCCCGGTGTGATCGCTGAACTCTTGAATCCTTGTTCCAGCCTCGATATCCCACAACATGCAGGTCATGTCACCGGAGCTGGTGACGATCTTGCGGTCGTCGATAAAGCGACAGCAGGATAGGTAACCCGTGTGTGCCGAGAGTTCCTTGACGTTGGATTTCCCGTTTGTATCGGGCCTTTGCCTTAAGTTATATATCGAACAAATGTTATCAAGACCACCACAGGCGACGAAGTTGCCGCTCGGGGAGTACGCGCAGGTCATGACCCAGCTTGATCGGAGGGGGATGGCGTGGACCTTGTTGGTTGTGTACGCGTCCCAGACGATCAGCTTACCGTCCTGGGAGGCAGAAACGAGGTGCCGTTTATCCTGTGCCCAGTGCATCGCGTAGATCTTTGCCAAATGACCCTTGAGAGAGCGTCTTTGGCGCATTGATACACGTGGCAGGGGCTCAACGTCGGATGCCATCGCGCGTACTGCGTGAATGTAAGCGCTAGTTGACATGTGCATGCGATTGACGCTTACAACTGGTATCGCCTGTCTGCTCCTTTTTCAACCTGATCTTCTCCTTTAACGTCTCTGCCTCTCGCCTCGCTGCTGCGATGCGCTCCTGTATGTCGATCTGCGCTTGTGACATGGTGCCTGACAACGTGCGATGCTAGGGTCTCTAGGTGCAAGGTCGGGGGTGGGTCGCGGGGTGGAGGCGACGGGTGAGATGGTATGAGTGCCTCTGGATTGTGAAAGATGTAAGACGGATAGTCAACGAACGACTACATGAGGAAACGCACTAGGGGAGGCTCAAGGTAACGGATATCCGCAACAAAGCTCGGGATACTGGGAAAACGGTCGGAGTCAAAAGAGGCTTTCTGATACTTTCTGCGGGGCGAATGGTCGCGCCTTTCGCGTCGGTATCTCTCCTCGCAAGTCTGAAAAAAGTTAAGCAAATATTCTCAATTGGGGGTTACAGCTGTTGTTCAGCAGTATTCCCGGAGATGAGAACAGATTGTCCGTGTCGAGGGGAGACGAGGGGAAGGGGAAAAGTGAGGGGGAACAGGGACAAAGATGGGACCGAATCGAACACTCGGCTTGGGGGACAGCTCATTAGCTTCCGTTGCCCTCTATTTCTCCTTTGCCTATTCTCTCATTGTCGGGTCCTCTTACGATAGAACAACCACCACCAAAGGGTCTTTCCCTCTTATTTTCCACCGTTGATTGATTTATCTCCCCAACTACCAACGACCTCTTGAACGAGAACTGTTACAAGACGTCCAACAAGTTACTCTCTGATATGAACCGGGACACGTTCTCAGAATCCGGGGTGCACCGAAACGGAGGCATGTAAGCCGGTCTTATGTGGCGTTCTGTAATCTGCCCGGCTCCGTCTATTTCATGCGTTCCTAGCTCTTTTTCCAACTTTTCGCCGTCCTGAAGGGTCTTCTTACATACTACCCCCTTGTGCTATTCAGTTCACTTGACATCGCTTTTCCTGACGCCGTTGCCTAGAAAATATTATAATCCGCTCCCCCTTGGCTGCGGATTAATCGCCTCGAGGCAGAGCATCCTGGTTGCAGCCACTTCTGGATGTGTTGCATTGTCCCGGTTGCTATGGCCAAACGGGGAATTCATAGCGCCATCGTCGCGTGGTGATAATGGACTGATACGCTGGGTATCATCTAAGCCAGCGACGGCAGAAACGGCCATACTAAAAGGTGAATGAGAAATATGGATATTCGTTGCAGAAAACCCCGGCCCGCCCGAATCAATGAAATGCATTTTCGGCCCTTACTCCCGACACAGTCGTGATCGAGACCGCACGGCAGCTTCCAGAAGCACATTGACACTGACCCCGAGCATTGATCATTGTATGAAGGATGATTCGTTTGTATCTTCCCCAATGGAATCAAGACGACACTGGTCGTCACCTGGCACCAAACATACTTTAACGTACTTATGTTTGTTCTCGTTCTGAGGGCGGTCATTGTATCCGGATCCTATAACCAACGGTATTCGACGGCACCTGTCCTCTGATGAGAAGACGACCACACAACAGATGAACATGCATAATTGGATCCAGCATAATCGCTCGACCAATCGACCCTCCCTTTGCCTAATTCTTCTCCGATGCATCAACCAACTGAAGCACTGTGAAGTAATACGTACGACGCGCAAGCATCTTCAAGGTCCGAACAGCGGAGTTCCTGATACTCCGCTTTTGCACCATAGCTCCGGGCTCTTGCCACGGTCCAGGGCTTGGAATGGGATGTCAGTAGAAGGTGAAGTTGTCGTCCTCACTATGAGCGATTGGCGATAACGGCCGGATCTTGGCTTGGGCTGACGGTTTCCGGACGTGGGTCGAAGGGCGTCAACATCCACCATCTTCAACATGCTTCAGGCCGGAGTTATGGTGGACGGGAATCAACCCGTTGGAAACAATAACCGGCACCATGGTAAAGCGCTTGCAATCGCCCGTGAGGGGAGAACGTGTTCCAAGACATCGCAGGAAGAACGGGTGGAGCTGAAAGAGGCAATCGAGGCTCATGCGAAGAAGGGAGGTCGTTCACGGTCATTCGGGCATCACCAATCTGCGCTTTCACAGACATGGCTCGCTGCGGAGAGAAGACTGCCGCTTTCGCAAACTTTCCTGACGGTTGGAGATAGAGTGGAAAGTGTAGGACCGGCAGTCTCCTTTTCTCGGGTGAGAATAGAGATATTCTAGGAAAACATCGAGGTGCCAATGCGTACGTCGTCTGATTTGAAGCGTGTGCACTTGTTCAATGGAAAAGGAAGTCATATATGTTACTGATTGGAGCGGATTTAACTTAAAGAGTCCGGCCATTTTCGGATTCAGCAGAGAAAACTTGTTGAAATATATATTTTGGTGCGACCATCGTTTGCACTGCAAACTGATGTCGGGCATGATTTGGAGACTGAACATCACACTCTCCGGTAAACCTGTAAAGATCAGAATATCATTGTGAAGTAAATGATGAGAGAACCTAAGCCCCGAGAAAATTGGGATCACTAGCGGCTAATGTTGGAGATAGGAAGTCATGTGACTTAAGCCGCTGTTCACAGTAGAAGTGTTAGAAGTCTTGATCTACAAATGCCTGACACATTGGGTCACTGCATAAGCACGGTGTGGGTACGGAGATTTCGGCGGTTCTAGAACATACCCATCGATTCCGATCCAGCGGCGCTCGCCATTGTTCGGGATGCGACTTGCTCTCATCCCTAATTCGCAACAAAACGACGTAGTGGCGGCTGGCGAACTACTCATACCCCAGGAATGCGACTTACCTGAATGTAACGGTCAGATACCGAATATATGACCATACCTGGCAGCAACCTATCATGAATTTCGATGGTCAGAGACGAGAAGGACGCACGGTGGTGGATGGACGGCAAGCCAAGGGTCCGAAATATTCCCACCGCATGATCCCAGGACGCCGTACTATCAGCTAGCTCTTAGCCTAAGCGATACGTCGGTCATTAAAAGGAGGTAGACGACTGCAGTTACAGCTAAAAGCTGACGTGTTTGTGTAGCGGCATTAGGGTGCGATGAGATCTGGGTTGCGGAGCAGTCCGGCTCTGCGTTTAGCCATCTCTTCCGTATTCTCCGATATCCTTCCTCAAGTCATGCATGTTCTGGGATACACTGGCGATCCGCAACCTCGAGGGAACGGCACGCAGATAGACAGTACAAGACATAGGGTGAGGCCGACCGAACGAGGTTGTAGTATGTCACAAGTGAAGTGGGAATTTGGTGTGGTCTGAATTGCGCGGCCCGTGGCGTTATTCATCCGCGCCAATCGCCAGTGAGTCTGTATACGGTCCAAATGCGCCTTCCAGATTAAGCACCCGTCCATGAGACGGATGATTACTATGCTGAAATACGCTTCCTTGAGCATCAATGCCGATGAAAGGTACACCCATTGAAGGAACAAAGGAAGGGAAAGGAGTTGAACGGTGCTTTCAGCTGGGGCGGACAGGAAGTTGAGACAACAACTCAGCGCTCATGGCAGTTACTTAATCTGTGGTATATTCCACACTAAGACCTATTCAGAGCGTGGACTCATGCCATACTCCACTTGTCAGGGCTGCCGGGGCAATAGAATCTTAATGCCCCTGTCTCCCGCTTCGATCGCATCTGATCTTCAGGGCTTCCGGCCACGTTAGTTGGTTCCAGTCGTATTTTTCCCACCGCATTGCCAACACATGCCTTAATGCGCACGGAACGTGATTGCTGCACTTCACGGCATAATCTTCGCTTCGCAAACCCCGCAGCCTTTCGTGCGTTGTCTCATCCTGAGTCGTATATAAGGCGCGTGCAGTTGCGGTTCACTTTCGACTGTCCTACCACCGATTGAAAGCAGTCAATCTTGCGCTAGCCCGTCTTTGAACTGTACATACCTTGTGCGCTCTATTTCCCGTTCTATACCCTGCACGACATTCCGCTCAATCACCGCAGTGATCCTCCCTACAGCCTCTCCTCCAATCATCCATAATGTCAACTGGAAACGGTCCTGGTACTCGCAGCGACTACTCGATGCAGCTTCATAACTTCTTCCAGAAAGAGGAGAATCGCGGCGACGGATCGCGTCTCGCCTTCTCTGAGGCGGGAATGGGTCCCGCCCATAAGCCATCCTGGACTATCAAAGTACATAGTACGTATGCTCCCTCAAGTTGCTTCACAGCTACTGACCGGGTTGTCCTAGTTGACGGCCAAGTATTGGGGTGTGCATCTGACGTGCGCAAGCAAGTCGCTAAGAATTGGGCAGCACGGGAAGCTATGGCCAAGGCTGGGATTCCGTTCTTGGTGCGTTGGCGACTTCTGTGATTGGGCATGTCAATGACACTCAGACAGGACGAATGACCCAGATACGCACGCTCAGTGTCGTGGATCATATCCACGACGTTGATCTCCCTCTCCTTTTTTTTTGACTATCAATGTTCCCAAATGGACGGAAGCCGGACCGAAACCGACCGAATGGGACACATTGATAGCTTTGTTGACTCTAGTTGTAAGTTTCTAGGTGCTTGTACCTTGAATGGATAAAGCAAATTTGTCCCGTTGTCTGCCTTGAGTATCTCCGTTATCTTCCCGATCAGTGTCCTTCTCCCTAAGGGCCTCGGAGGCAAACAAGCGCACCAAATTCTTCTTCAACGACCACCTCTATGGCGGGCAGTCGTGAGCGGCTCCTTGGGCTCGCATTTGCCATTTCAGTCGGTTCGTTCGCGAATCTCCATTCAAATGAATGCGGTGCTAATAAGGAAGATGCTCTAGGCATTGCATCAGGAATATACGCGTTCAAAGAACCCTTGGAGCATGAGACGAGACGCTTGTACGCCTGATCTTCTTCTGCTGGAGACAGCCGGTCGGTAATAATGCGTCATTTTTGCCAACAACTAGTTCAACCTCAGCCAAGGGAATAAGTGAAAACAAAGAGGGCGTGACAAATACGGACGTCCGAGAAGCCGGCGAGTTACTGGCACGTTCTGATGGAAAGAAGCCGGAGTCAAACACACCGACCAAGGACGTGGAATAACAATGGCACGTCCACAGATATTGATTCTCATGCGGCCTCTCGAGAAGATAAACATGAGGTAAAACAGTAGAGGTGATAGACCTGTGTATCGCTTTGTGATACGGTTTGCCCTTTGTTCTACTGTCTCGTATGATTTTGTATTCGTACGGTTGTCCCCGACTACCGAGGTAATACCTCGTCGGCACAGTTGAAACATCGATGGAGTATGGTACTTTTAGTTGATTAGTAGACATAACCCCTAGTCAGCGGCTGACGGGCCCCTTATCATTGCAGGGTCTCTTGTCAAAAGCAGCAATAAAGCCGGGCTGCCGGCTTAGTTGGCAGACATTGTTTCCATTGTCTTCCTGTGCTATACTACATATTGAAACTGTCTAATGACTATACATGTCAGGTACAGGCATACACATCGCCGTCGCGATCATGTACTGCGAAGACCGGCTATCAAACCACCCATTTACTATTCTGATGAGTGCTTACCTAGGTTCTTCTTTCCCAGATCTGTGCCAGTCACATGAGTATACCCTGTCACAACATGCCCAAACAGCATGGGAACCACATTCCTACTCACCTGTAGGACTGTCTCACTCAGGAAGATCATCTCCCTCCGCACCTCTTCCACAATAAGATCCTGCAGCTGAAACCACTTCTCGCCTTCTCCCTCGCGGGCGCCTGTCGCGCCCGGAACCGCCTTGCCGGCCCGCAACTGAACCTTCCAAACGGTGTTTTCTTTATCACGAGCCGTGCCCGCTGTCGATTCATGCGTGACGTTTGCAACGAGGTCGTATACCGTGGATTGTCCAGGTATTGGATTGTCAAGATCTGAGATAACAGGGTTTCGGTGAGGAGAAATCTTGGAGTTAAGCAGTACATCGCTTACATTCGCGGAAGTCGACACCGCGGAGGGGAAAATTTACGATGGTGGGATTCTTTTCTTCAACGAAGTTATTCTTTGTGAATCGTTTGAAGTGGAGGATGATGTAGGGCGGCAGCCGCTGACACTTGTATCTACGTAGTTGACCCGCAAATTCCTTCGTATCATGTCAGTATTTCAATCTGTACGGTGAAATAAAAAGGCGGCGCGGCATGTCCGAAGCCAAGAGGGGAGGGAGAGACATCATCCTGAGGGAGTGACGGTCGTTTAAAGGAGTGTGAAGATGAAGAAGTAAGAACATTGCTCTCACCTGAGTCGTGCTGCCGTTATATTTGGCCAGAACCGAAGCCAATGTCACTTGCGGAATAATATTCTTCTCAATTGAGTCCTGGAATATCGGTGGAGGGGGAAGATCCAGTGATAGGAAGAGAAAGGGGGAAGAAGTGGATTTGATTTCTGTATTCCTGAATGAATGAGAAGTTCCCGAGCGAGCGGAAGGAGGGCTTGCCTCGGTCCATCTGAAACACCGGTCGTTCGCTGCCCAAACGGTCGGATTTAACAATGATTTGTTGGGTATCTAATCGCACCTCGCCCTGGAATGTGTGGTAGATGACACCTGGATGATATGTCAATATCTTGTCACGGGTCTAATCATCACAAGTAGAGAAGAAGCTGAACGTAGTGACAGGCAGTGGAGACCAGAGCAACGGTAACCGCGCGGACAGGGCATCCGGGCGCCACGGACAGCAGGCGTCGCTATCCTGCTCCTCCAAAGATGGGATGGCAGAATCAAGGACAAGGGCAAGGACTCACTTGAATCGCGTTTCTTCGTGCCGCCCAACCCCTTATGGAGTATATTGAGTAGCCAGCTCATGAACTCGACCGGATCCCCCTGTTCGGTGATCTTGAACTTGCCAGCACTAGCTCTTGTGACCTCTTGGAGGAATTCATGTGGGGAGACCTGCGCCTTAAATAGCCGCGGGTTCCACAGCTTCTTCGCCAGGGTAGCAAAACGCTTCGCTAATTCGGAGTACTTCGGATTGAGTTCGGTAAGGAGCAGATAATCACGCAACGGAGAAACATGCAGCAGTGCGTGAATGATGACGTTGAGATAGTCGTTCCGCTTGATATTGTTCAGGCCGATGTACCCGGGTATGTAGGGGTGCGAAGCGAGATCGTATGAGGGTCTTGTCAAATGTTCCGCAGTGGACAAACCGGCCACCTGGTTGGCTGTGAATTTTGGCGACAGGACGGCCGCTATGTCCTGAAGTGACGGGTCCGATACGGAATAGCCGTCAGGAAGGACGTAAACCTGTTGCCCAAATACAGCTGGTAAGCGCCGGCAGGGTCTGCCGCGGAGGCTGGCTTACCTTGGTCGTCTCCAAATTAATAAAGACATGATGGTCCTCATGGATCGAATGTGAATATGCATATGAACTGCGGCCCCGACCCTGAAAGTACTTCCCACAGACTAGGCAACCATAGATGTTAATGTTGGAAAGCGAGACAGAGCATAGTTTTTCGAAATCAAAGTCGAGGGCTGACCGGTCAATCTGAGGTCGATCAGACCACGAAACCGAAAAAGGGAATTGACTATGCGCACCGTATCGAGATACAGATCCATTGCCTTTGTTGGTGCACTTTCCACCGGGACAGGCTCTTCTTCCTCTTCGATGTCCTTGTCCTCCACAGGCCCTGCACCACCATTCATAGTTTCTTCTATTACTTCAACACCACCAGAGATAGATACATCTTCTGGAGGTGGCGGTTGAAGGGGTGCGTCTTCTCCTGGAGGTGGGGGAGGTGCGGGTGTAGGTTCAGAAGGGAGTGGTGGACCAGAAGCAGACTCCGACTCGACCACTGGTATCTCCTTCTCTCCAGCTCTCGCTTTTTTTGCCGGTCGCTCTTTACCAGTTGGCTCAGAGGCTTTAGTTTTTTTAGTACGGCGAGGAGGCATATCTAGTTCAATGCTGGTATAGTCGTTGTCAGTTGAGCTTCCTGTGGGTTGAATTTCCGCGCCATGAACTCGACGCGACTCAATGCTCGTCAGGGCACGGAATAACTCTCGGATTAATTATCACGTGAGCGCATGAAAGTCGGATGCATCTCACAAGTTCTGCGATCGGTAAAGGGACTTTGAGCGCACAGGCAAACAACAGAGGGGCATTCGCCCTTCTCTTTTCTCTTTCCCATTCTTTGTTCAGAGATGTACTGCGTTCGATGGGTCAATTTGCTGAGAGTACCTCTCGTTCGAAGTGTGCAGAATGCACCAAACCCACCTCTCAACCTCGACCCGTCATACGAAGAGCTGCTCGCGACAGATTTGTCAACGCTGCGACGGCGAAAATTTCCAAAGCGCGTGATTCCGGAGTTAGAACATTCGCCGTTGCCACATCCGAATGACGAGGCGCACATGGATCTCGATGGCAAGGCATTGGAGGCAGAGGAGGACGAGGATATTGAGTACGAGGGAAGGGAGGAGCGCAGGAGTATCGCCGCTGTCTACGGAAGCAAGAGGATCGGTGCTGTGGAAATGCCATTTCAGCTAGTGAGCCAGATATCTATGATGATTTCGGGTGCGTGACTGTGGAGCGAAGCGTTTGTGGAGCGAAGCGTTTGAAAGTTCTGAGTCACTATTTCAGGCCTCGATAAACATGCCCTTCGTTCGGATGCGAAGCGACTCTACTTTCACCCCTCGAACAACCGGTGGCACGCAACGCCTCTGTCAGCGACAAAGACACGACAGGGTGATAGAGATGCAAGAAATGGGATCGCCCATATATCGGTTGGGCTGCCGGCACAGTACTCAGTGGTAGAGAACGTGCTGAAGGAAGTACGGCACCGCATCGGCCCAAGGGAGGAGCTTGGTCTGGAAGGATGGATGCCTACTCAAGTGGTAGACTTCAGCGCCGGCGTCGGTGCCGCTCTTTGGTATGCCGTTTAGTAAGACGCTGCATATCTGTGACTAACCACATTCTTGAAGGGCCTCCCTGAAAGTCTTTCAAGGAAAAGACGCACCGGACGACAGCGAAGCATCCCTCCCGCATAGCACACTGAAAAAATACATCGCGGTAAACCCAAATGAAGGTTGGAGAAAGTTAGCGGAAGAGCTGCAAAATGGCGAGTCTACTTTAGGTGATGGTTTCTGTGTGCTTATGTGAAATCACAGACATCCATGTTGGTGAAACAGAGGTTACATATTTGGAAAAGTTGCAACAAGTGAGAGTCCTTTGTTCCGTCCGACACGCACGCTGATCGCTTCCCAGGATACTGTGCATCCCGACACTTTACCCAACACCCTTGCCATTTCTGCATTCACCCTGTCCCAGATGACATCGGAAAACAACCGGCGCGCATTCATCAAGGCGTTTTGGGCTACGGGTGCCGAGGTTATGGTGCTTATCGACCGTGGCACCAAAGAAGGATTCACACATATTGCCAATGCTAGGCGGCGACTGTTGCGCTACGGAAAGCATGAAGCTTTGGTGGCCGAGTTTGGGGCAGATGTATATCCTTCTGAGCCTCTAGAGGCAATCACTATCGGCGGCTCTACGTTCGTTGAAGAAGTCCCTAATCGGCTGCCACCGGGCGTGAAGCTAGATGACATACCCGGTCTTGCCCACGTTGTCGCGCCTTGCCCGCATGATGGTCCTTGTCCGCTACACGAAGCCTTGTTGGAAGGTGGTAAAGACTTCTGCCACTTTTCACAGAGGCTACAGCGGCCCGAGTTTGTTCGTCTCACCAAGCACTCTAATTATGGAGAAGAAGACACGCCTTACAGCTATGTGGTTATTCGGCGCGGCCGGAGACCTACATTGGACGCTGATAGCGAGAGGCGAGGAACAGGCCGACTGGGAGGCGTAGGGAAAGAGATGGTACTTCACGAACGGGCGAAGCGGGCTGAAGAAGCCACTGTCTTCCACGAAGGGGACGAGCTCGTAATTGGCATGCCCCAAGAGGAGGAAGCGATGTCGAGAATCATGCATGCCGACCACGAAGCGATCCGGATCGAATCGTATGAGTGGCCCCGAATTGTCTACCCCCCGCTGAAGAGGAGCGGGCACATTGTCTTCGATATGTGCACCCAGAGTGGCAACATCGAGCGGCACACTATCCCGAAAAGTCAAGGGAAGCAGCCGTACTATGATGCGCGGAAGGCTATGTGGGGTGATGCCTTCCCGCATCATCCCAAAATTCCTCCCATCGTCCGGGAAAGGGGGATAAAGAGACTCATCAGAATGCGCAAAGAGGAGAGGGAGAACCGGCGTATTGAACGAGAGCAGCAGAAACAGTGGAAAAATGAGCAAAGAAAGGCAGCCTTATGAGAACCTGTATTAGATATTGCATTATGTGTACATTCTGCCTGCCCCACTCAGATTGAGTAATCCCGGAGCTCTATGCCGGGCCCTTGGGTCGAGCTTATGTACACCTGCTGGATAGCGTATACTACAGCCACGACTCAGTTTATGCGCTTTCCTGGATGTGGTGACGCACCTCTGCCCGTCTCATAGCTTGCTTTCTTTTCGTTGCCTCCCCTCTTGATATTGTCTAGAAGCACCGCAATGTTCTTCTCAATCTCTTCCGTCGTGAAATGTACCCTTGCGACCTTGGTACGCACCGCACCGGATCTGTCGACTTTCCACGATGACATGCCCTTGGCCTCTTGGATTCCCTGAACCACGTCTGTCACGAGCGTGCCACGCTTTGCGTTGGGCATGAGACCCCTGGGTCCGAGCGTACGTGCGAGTCGGGCGATAGTGGGCGCCATGCTTGGCGTGGCGAGCACAGCTGTCGGCTGGATTTTGCCATTCAACACCTGTAAGTGCGTGAGCGCATGCCAGTTCCACAAATTGCAATCCGTACACCTTCCACTAGATCTTCTCCTCCGGCCCACGTTGCGCCAGCTGCCAACGCCTGGTCCACCTGTGGTCCGTCACAGAATACGAGCATATTGACGTCCTCCGTGCGAGGATCGCGGGGAAACGAGAGCCGACCACGCATGGCTGCTTCACCACGCGTGAAGTCTGTGTTCACGGTCAACTCGATCGCATTATTGGGTCGAGCCACTTCCACAGACTAAGGATGTGTATAAGCATAGATCGATAATCAGAATGGTTGTACGTACCTTCAGAAGGAATACTGCGTCGGGAATGGACATCGCCTGTTCGTTGATCTCCTTTGCCTTTTTCTTCTTGCTCGCAAAGGCAGGGGTAGAAGCATGCAAACATCTTCTTGATGGTGTTGAACTCGCACAGAGTGATGTATAAGAGGTAGACGGTCGTAAAGACCGTACCAACAGCGAGGTCGACATCTCCGACGAGCAGGAGCAGAGGGACAGACGATGTCAAAGCAATTTCCTATTCGAGGTCTTCTGAAATTTAGCTTCCGTCGATCCCTTGCCTCCGCCGCCTTCTCTCTCCTCGACGGTGTCCACACGACTTGTGTTCTTCCCCTCTCCTGCCAGTATGTCGCGCTCACCATCTCCAAACGGCGACGTCCGCATGAAGGACGACCGGCCGTTGTCACCGGAGCTTTCGAGTTCTCCAAAGAAGGGGGATGTCGACGACCGGGACGCGCCTCACTTTGTGGTGGTGTCTAACTTGACGCGGAATGTCGAGGTTTACCATCTTAGAGCAATATTCGGTATCTATGGGGAGATCCTGAATGTTGACCTGCCACCTTCTGGTAATTGTGAGTCACTGTATGTATATTTTTGCTGATGTGTGTGCTTATATGCGCTATGTAGCGGGACAAAATCGAGGTCGTGCATCGCTGGAATTCTCGACCGCGTCTCAGGCTGAGGCCGCTCAAAAACACATGCAAAAAGGTCAGATCGACGGCAATGTCGTGACCACCGAACTTGATACTCGTCCTCTACCCCGACAAAGTCCTGTAGCATTCCAGAAACGCCCGACCTATACAGAGCGTGATCAGGATCGAGATCGTGGTGGCAGGTATGCCAGTGGTGGGAAGAAGTACGTTGACAGTAGGAGTCGGAGCCGGAGTCCTGTACGAGGAAATGGGTACCGCGAGCGAGACCGGCACAGGAGCTACAGCCCGGAGAGAAGCCCTGTGCAGAGGAGAGACGGGGCGGAAAGATCGTACGGTCGCGATCGAGACCGTGATCAGGGCGCTGCGTACGGACGCGCACCAGTGCGTGCACCACCGAGAAGGGTTACCCCACCACCCAAGTTTGGGAGGCCCCGCGACCGCTCTGACTCACGCGACCGTGATCGGAACCGCAACAGGGACTCTAACCGCCGCTCATCGCCACCTCGTCGACGCCGTTCCTACACGCCTTCTGGAAGTGGGTCGCGTTCACCCAGCCCACGCTCCGACAGAAGTTATTCGCGCTCACCCACGCGCTCCCGCAGCATATCTCGGACACCGGACAGCAGGGACCGCAGCTATACGAGAAGCCCAAGCTACGACTCAAGGGATCGCAGCAGGAGCAGGGAGAGGAGCTACAGTAGGACACCGAGTCCCAGGGGCAGGGAAAGGAGCAGGACCCCTCCCAGTGAGCGCGGTGCGAAACGATGAGTCGGTGTGTATGTGTGCTTTCAGACTGCGCGATTTACGGCAATGTATACTTCATGTTAATCAGACTGCATCAATGGTGCCATTCCAACACAGCAGCACCATGTGCAACCCTTTGGAATCCCTTTGCGACCACATGGCTGCGCAATTGTAATTCGGACTTCTTTGGCCATCAGACGACAATCAGTATTCTCTCTCTATCATATTGTTCTGTGTCTACTGCTCGATGACGTGTCCCTCTTGAGTACATATAAAGTGTGGACTTTCGTGCTTTGGATTGCAGTATCACAATAAACAAAAGGATGTCACTCGACAAAGTCATCGAAGGTGTCACAGGGTCGACGTTCATCACCCACGTCGCGCTCTCCCCGTCCGCTAGGCAGGTCATCTACTCCATAGCACCCAAGTACCACTCAGTCAAGCAAGAGAATGCGACCTCCGCGCTCTGGATCTCTGACCTCTCGCCAGGGTCGAAATCTCGCCAACTAACATCGGGCGACCATAACGACAGTCTCCCTACCTGGTCTGCGGACGAGAGCGGAGTGTTCTTCCTCAGCGACCGACACAAGCAAGATGACAAGCCCGGCCCTGCAGCCATCTACGCCATTCCTACCAAGGTTGGCGGGGAATCTTACGCGTTCACAAGCAAGGAGAACAAATCCGCTATCGGACAATTCTGGCTCAGCCCTGACGGGAGATACATCGCCTATGTGGCATCACGCGAGCCGACAGCAGAAGAGCAACGCAAGGAAAAGGAGAAAGACGATCCTATCATATTTGGGGATAAGAAAGCGAACGCTCAACTGTGGCTCTTAACTCTCACGACCCGCCAAGTGCGCAGGCTTCAACTTGGACCGAAGGACAACTGGCATGTCCAGTGGATCGCCTGGAGCCCCGATTCGAAAGATATTATGGTGCTCATGAAAGAGAACTCGAGTCTGGAGTTCAACGAAAGCACAGCCGCGTTGCTCCGCCTTTCTGTGCTCCCCCATGCAGCAGGTCTGGTGCAGCAGGTCTGCACTCTGCCGAGGTTATCGGCTGGAGTCGTTCTCTGGCCTTCTCAAGACGAGATCTCACTGTTGCAGAGCTTTATTCCCGATCAGCTTTCGTCCTCCATCACTCTGTATTTCCGATCTTCGCTACCTGAAGGAGACATCTGGAAGCAGTACTATGGCGATGTGGAGGATCTCGTCGGGATCCAAGATCTTCACGATGGGAAGACGTTGGCGCCTATGGTCGCGTATGGAGTGCAGACACGATTGGACCTCCTCACCTCTGCAGGACCAAAGAAGACGATCTGGTACGGAGACGGGAACGTACCCGACGAATATGACATCAAGTTGACTAAGAACGGCGACTATGTTCTTGTGGCAGTCGTTAGCTCTGGAACACGCAACGAACCCCCCGAGCTGTGGACCGGTACTCTTGCAAGTTCTAAGCTTGCCGAAGGGGAGACATTGAAGCTTACCGAGAAGCTCTCGTCCCACAATGCCTGGACTGCTGAGCTCCCCAAGATCAGCGTACAGGTCATCAAGTACAAAGCCAAGGACGGCACGGAGATCGAGGGGATCGTCACTTGGCCGAAGCACAAGGAGAGGAAGGCATTGCCGACTGTCCTGTTTCCTCATGGCGGACCATATCATAGAGACACCCCGGACTTCGACCTTAAATCCTATTGGGCCAAGGAACTGCCCGTCTTTGCTGGCTACTTGGTCTTGTGTCCTCAATATCGTGGCAGTAAGTGATTCAAATCGGCTCGTGATGCATGACAGTCCACTAACAGCACGCACTAGGCTCAGGAAGAGGGAACCGTTTCGCCCGAAGTGCCCATGCTCAAATGGGAACGCATGACTGGACAGATTGTTACGACATGTTACAGTATGCGATTGCACAAGGCTGGGCAGACAAAGACATGCTCGGACTGGCCGGATGGAGCCAGGGAGGCTTCCTAACAGCCTGGGGTGTGAGCCAGACTAAGGATCTGTTCAAGGCTGCTGTTATGGGTGCGGGCGTTTGTGACTGGGGCATGATGGCGGCGGAAAGCGACATGCCAGAGTTCGAGGTCAATTCAATTCTGTTTCCTCAGGCTGGATGTGGGCTGACACTCTGCAGGCTGATCTTGGCGGTTCTTGGCCGTGGACTGAGAACCGCGTTGACCAGAATGGATCGCCAATTCGCCATATCAAGGGTATCAAGACACCTGTGCTGATCCTTCATGGTGAGAAGGACGCCCGTGTGCCAACCACGCAGGGGATCACATTCCATCGCGGTTTGCGCCGGGTAAGCGGGCACCCCGACAATCATCAATTGATCATCTACCCCAGAGAGCTACATGCGTAAGTCGATCGCAGGGCAGGTGTAGGATGCTGTGAACTGAACAATGATTTATTGTAGCTTTACTGAAAAGAAGCATGCTGAAGACGTAATACGTAGGCTGATCGGACACATGGATGCGTACCTGATATAGGAATGAGCCGGAGCATCTCATGGGAATCAAATAGTTGAATGATTCGGTATTACTCTCATATGAGCTGTATTGTACCGTGAGAATAAGATGAATGAATCGTGATAATGCCGTACGTGTCGCATGGTCGTACGGCGATAACCATGCGGGTACAACAAGGCCCAACGTCGTGTGCCCAATTGTCAAATGTACGTCGACATGATGGTGACCATCTATGACTCTGTCACCGACACGCATCAAATCACCGTCTGTGATGACTGCGCGCTCGTTGTTAGAGGTCTCCACCTTCGATGCTAATCAACTTAAAGCGACTTAAGAGACTAATCCGTTGGCGGCGACGAAGACATTCCCCACCAAAGACGATGTCACTCGAGCAGGTAATCACTGGCATCACCAGCACATCCACCATCCGGCGTGTCGTACTTTCACCGTCAGCGACGCAGGTAATCTATGAGATCTCGCCGATTTATACGCCTGCAAGCCGGTCAAACGATATCTGCACTCTCTGGATCTCCGACGTTGCCCCTCGCTCTCGCGCTCGCCAACTGACCTCGGGCGAGCATAACGACTTCCGCCCCGTCTGGTCGACCGATGAGAGCGAGGTGTACTTCCTCAGCAATAGGCACAAGCAGTATGGCTATCCAGGTCCGGCAGCGATCTACGTTCTCCCCTTGAAGGCAGGGGGTGAGGCATATGCCCTCACAAGCACGGAGAGCAAGTCCGGTATATGGTGGTTCTGGCTCAGCCCTGACGGGAGATACATCGCCTACAAGGCTTCGCGCGAGACAACTGCAGAAGAGCAGCGGAAGGACGAGAATAAGGACGACGCGATCGTTTGGGGCGAGACGAAGGAGAACGCGCAGTTGTTCCTGCTTAATGTGGCTACTCGCCAGGTGCGACGGCTGCCTCTGGGCGCGAAAGACGACCGGCACGTTGTTGGTGTCGCTTGGAGTCCGGACTCCAAGGAACTCGTGGTCTTGATGAAAGTGAACGTGGACAGGGAGTTCAACGAGTCGCCATTGGCCGTGCTACGACTGTCGATCCTCCAGAGCGCGAAGGGCAAGGTGCATGATGTATGCACGTTACCGAGACTACAGTCATCGGACGTGCGCTGGCTCGCAGGTGACAGACTCGCCCTTCTGCAGAGTTACGTCCCGGAGCATCGCACATCAGCGTCGACGCTCTTCTTCCGCCCTGCCTCTGCCCAGAAGAACGAGAAGGACGCCTGGCAGAAACACTATGGTGAAGTGGAGGACGTCATGGGCCTCACAGACATCGGGGACGGAAGCACGCTCGCCCTTACTATCGCGTATGGCGTGCATACCCGGGTCGACCTCATCTCCACTTCTGGCCAGAAGCAGATACTCTGGCAACCGGAAGAACTCATGTCTGGAGCGTCGTTCGACGTCAAACAAACAAAGAACGGGGACTACGTGCTCGCCATAGTCGCAAGCTGTGGTTCGCGTGGAGAACCGAACGAACTCTGGACAGGCACAATCTCGGCTAGCGCGCTAGAGAAGGGCGAAACACTCAAGCTGACGGAGAAGCTGTCTTCGCATAATATCTGGACGGAGGAGGTGTCCAAGCTGACCACCGAGGTCGTCAACTATAAGGGCGAGGATGGGACGCCCCTTGAGGGGGTGGTGACTTGGCTTAAGGGGAAGGAGAGGAAGATGATGCCGACTATTATACTCCCTCATGGTGGGCCGTATTATCGTGATACGCCCGGCTTTAGCGTGGAGTGGTATTGGAGCAGGGAGATCCTAGCGTTTGCGGGGTATCTGGTGCTGTGTCCACAATATCGCGGCAGTACGCGTCATTTCTTGTTCCTCCTAAGGAGGCTAACATATCATACAGGCATGGGAAGAGGACACGACTTCGCACGCGCCTCGCATTCCGGTATGGGCACAGCAGATTGGACAGATAGCCTCTCCCTGCTCACGTACGCGCTCGGCCAAGGCTGGGCAGACAAGGACAGGCTGGGCCTGGCCGGGTGGAGTCAGGGCGGGTTCCTGGCTGCGTGGGGAGTGGCCCAGACAAAGGATATGTTCAAGGCTGCTGTGGTGGGGAGTGGGATCTGTGATTGGGGTGGGATGGCTGCGGAGGCTGAGGAACCGGATTTCCAGGTCTGTGTGGTAATTCCATCGTTTATAGCGGTACTTACTGAAGTGCTCTATGCTGTTCAGAGTGATTTGTCAGGCTCAGCACCCTGGTCACCACACAGGCCCGACCTGGCTTGTTCGCCCATCTCCCACGTGCAGGGCGTACAGACCCCGGTGCTCATCCTCCACGGACAACAAGACACGACCGTCCCCTCATCACAGGGTGTAGAGTTCTTCCGCGGTCTGAGGCGGATGAGTGCGTGTCGGGAGAAACACGCGTTGGTGATATACCCCCGGGAGGGGCATATGTGAGGTCTTGCTCACCTTTGTTGTAAAGAATGGCGGTTGACGTGGTGCCAGGATCGGGGAGAAGACACATGCGGAGGACGTGATGCGCAGGATTGTGGCACATCTGGATGAGTACTTGAAGTAGGCGTCGAGTCTGGAAGAGAGATGAGATGCTGTGCATCTCCGGATGGACTCTGCATGTACACTCATTCACTGCTGATGTGCATATGCAACTACGGACAGTGGGATGACTCGGACTCGCATGTTATTTATTTCGTGACTCTTGCGCGTTCTGTGGGCACGGTTGCATAGAAACGGCTTCCTCGATGGTCTTTGGTACCTGCTTCTCGCTCTTCTGTGCACAGTAAAGGAGTTTTCCGAGTCAGTCAAATTACTACGTATACATGAAGGACATCAGTCCGCCGACTCACCCTATCACGTGACCCCTAAGTGGCAGTGCAGACCCTATGTATGGCGTAATTTGGTGTAATTTATATTTCTGTGCGCGTGCTCGTTCGGTTATAGACTTTCCGGTCAACTTCCTCCTCGAACAAGAACGAACTGAGCGCTCATCTTCGCTCATCTTACACGTTACACCTTCAACGGACGAGTCAGGGTATTCTGGACAATATTTTTTATTCTGTATTCTGGGATATACTATTCTCTACCTTGCTTATCTGACGACACGGGACTACTTTAAGCCGTGGACGCCGCAGAAGATCGAGTCAGCATTCTCTGGTAGACTTAAACGCTTCTATCAGAAGGCCGATACAGGACAGGCCCCTTTACTTCCTCCTCATTCCCCAAATGGACCCACCAGCCGCACTCGCCACCCCCCCTCAGGCATCCTCCTCCTCCCCTTCCCCGCCGCCGTCCGCGTTCGTAAACCCATTCGAAGCACTCGTAGCGGGGCAGACGATCACCCATGTACCGTCGTTCGAGCTCGAATCGGGCCATGTGCTCCGGGACGTACCGGTGGCGTACAAGACTTGGGGACGACTCAACGAGCACAAGGACAATGTGATGGTGTTATGTCACGCCTTCACTGGGAGTGCGGATGTCGAGGATTGGTGAGCACGACCTTTTAATTATCGAATTGAGCTGACAGCAAGCAGGTGGGGCCCGCTCTTAGGCCCGGGGAAGGCATTTGACTACACCCGGTATCTCGTCATATGCTTCAATGTCATGGGCAGTCCGTATGGGAGTGCGAGTCCTGTGACGCGTAATCCTGACACTGGGAGGTCATATGGACCTGAGTTCCCGTTGACCACCATACGGGACGATGTTCGGTGCGTATCTCCTCCCGTGCGGTAAGGACGACAGCTGACAATACCGTTCCGCGCAGACTTCACAAACTCGTACTCGATTCCCTCGGCGTGCGCTCCATCGCTGTCGTCATCGGAGGCTCGATGGGCGGGATGGCCACGCTCGAATGGACGCTCTGCACGCCTCCCAGCTACGTCCGTCACATCATCCCCATTGCCACTTCAGCGCGACACAGCGCGTGGTGTATTTCCTGGGGGGAAGCACAGCGGCAGTCGATCTACTCCGACCCTTCCTACGCAGACGGGTATTACACGCCTGACGACCGGCCTGAGACGGGACTCGCGGCTGCGCGCATGGCTGCTCTGCTCACGTATAGGAGTCGGGATAGCTTCGAGAGCCGATTTGGGCGTCGAGCGCAGGGGGGTGGGAAGGCAGTTGTCGGTCTCGCTACCCCTCCTGAGAGCCCGAGGGAAACGGGCCCAGAAACGCACCTCGCAGTGCATAACGATGGGCATAAGGGCTCACGGCGTGCTCAAACTCCTGGGGCCGTAGCGGAGAGAGCGGTGGAGATGATCAGCGCTGCCGACGTAGAGCGGAGTATTGCGATCCGGCCTGCGCCGCAGATCTTTTCTGCCCAAGGATACCTGCGCTATCAAGGAGAGAAGTTCACGAGCCGGTTCGACGCCAACTGCTATATCCATATCACGCGCAAGATGGACACGCACGATATCGCTCGCGGGCGGACGGACCTGGCAGACGAGAGCGCTGCTCTTGCCCAAGTGCTGAAGACGCTCCCTCCTCGCACTCTGGTAATTGGCGTGGAGAGCGACGGGCTGTTCACACCCTACGAACAGCGGGAAATCGCGGCTCATATACGGGATTCGGAGCTGGTGATCATCCGCAGTCCGGATGGGCACGACGGGTTCCTGCTCGAGTTTGAGCAGCTTAATACGCACATCCTCAGATTCTTGAAGAGGGAGCTGAAGGAGGTGTACGAAGCTGAACCGACGTATTCAGGGGAGGAGAGAGCGGGGTTTGGGATTGAGAAGAGCAGCTTGTTTGGAGAGGCTGAGGCGGACGTTGCGAGGTGGTGACAGGTACGGCGGGTGAGAGATTGAGATGTAGGATGCGGGTTGAGTGTACTGGTAAAAGGCTTGACGCAGGATACCCGGGCTTGGAGGCCTAAAAGTGCTCGCCTGATACTAATGTATAATGATATCTATCCACAAACTCGTTGATGGAAAGAAGAAGCAACACGTGATTGACTGAGGATGTTGGTGTTCGATTCCCATACAACAGAATATCAATGTAATTCCTCCACCATGTAACACTTTACCATTTTGAAGTGCTTGACATGCGTCAACTATTTGATTTACAAGCTGTTGTTATATACGGATGGGGAGCGCTCGCAGCCCAGAGCTCTTCTGCCAACCACACAGAACTCGAAACCTGCCTTTCGTCTCTCTCCTTCCCTGTAGTCCTCCCCACTTCCCCCGACTATGCCCTAGCATCAAGAGCCTACAATCGGCGGCTCTCCTACCACCCCTCTGCCATCGTCTACCCGTCCACACCAGCCCAAGTCTCCCAGTCGATCCTCTGCGCCTCCCGCTCCCGCACACCGGTGGTCGCAAGGTCGGGGGGGCACAGCGCGGCTGCCTTCTCGCTTGGAGGGAAAGACGGGAGCTTGGTGGTCGATCTGGCTGGGCTGTATGGGGTGGTCTGGGAGGACGAAGAGGGGCTGAGGGTAAGGGTTGGGACGGGGCTGAGGCTGAAAGGGCTGGGTAAGGCGCTGAGGAAGAAGGGCAGAGCGCTCCCTCACGGCACTTGCCCTTCTGTCGGAGGTTAGCTCGTCGTTTTCTGTCGAGCGGAGCTGACTAGCGTCAGTTGGGGGACATGCGGCGTTTGGAGGATTTGGATTCACCTCGCGAGAATGGGGGTTGTTGCTGGACAGGATCGTCGAGGCTGAAGTTGTGCTCGCTGATGAAAGACTCGTCAACGCCAGCTTGGAGGAGAATGAAGATTTATTCTGGGTAAGAAGGTGCATGTTGGTGGACATTGTCACTCATAGCTTGTAGGCTGTCCGAGGATCTGCACCGTCCTTTGGCATCGTCACCTCCTACACGTTCTCCACTCTCCCAGTACTGTACACAACTATCAGTCCAATGAGCAAAGCACTAACATCTCCCAGAACCGCCCGTAACCACCGCCTACTCGTACGTCTTCGCCGGCAACGCCTCCTCCGCAGCACAGTGTTTCCTCGCCTTCCAGGACTTCGCATCCAACCATGCACCTCCGCCATTAGGCATGCAGTTTTCCCTCATCCCCGACCAAACATACGAGCTATTCGGCTCCTACACCGGCCCTCTCTCCTCATTCGAGGATATCTTCCTCCCCCTCGTAAGGGAATGCGAGTCTACCTCTGACCAGGACTCAGGCACGCACGCCTGGGCCCAGGAATTGGGCTGGGAAGCACACCTCGTCTCCCAAGCCGGTACACCCCCGCGCGTAGCAGACTGCTTCTACGCCAAGTCGCTCATGACCTCTGACCGTACCCTTCTCTCTAGCGAAACAGTAGAGCGGTTCATGCATCACTTGTGGGACGAGACTCCAAAGGTCCGGTTGGCGTGGTTCGTAGAGGTGGACGTGTATGGCGGGAAGGGGTCGGCGATCAACGGCCTTCCGGCTGGGGGGCGTGCATTCAGGTATAGGGATAGGCTGCTGGGTTTCCATGTCAAGGCCAGCTCGAGGGACCTGCGACCTCCCTACCCTGCCGAGGAGATACCGTTTGTTGAAGGCCTGGCGCGCGCACTGAGTGAAGGAGAGGAAGGCGCGAGCTTTAAGGCGTATGGGAGTTATGTGGATCCTAGGCTGGAGGAGTGGGAGGAGATGTATTACGGAGAAGAGATTTATGGGAGACTGAGAGTGTTGAAGGAACTTTGGGACCCGACAGGATTGTTTGGGTTCCCGCAGGCAATTGCAGGGGATGGGAAGGTAGGAAGAACGAGGGATGAGCTGTAGAGAATTGGATACGCAACGATGGAAGCCAACAATACGATTATCAGAACGCTCACTTGCTCCTAACAAATTTCCACTTAAACACCCTCGGCCTCCACGTCCTCTCTTCCTTCTTCCTCTCCTCCCCATCCTCATCCCCCTTCTCCACATCATCATCAAACTTGACCTCCTCCGCCTCTCTAAGCTTCTTCTTCCCTCCGGGGCCCATGAGCACCTTCTGCAGCTCCAGTTCAGAGAGGGCGAACCGGAGCTGATGGTCCCTCAGCTGGCGGGCAGCAAGCTCCGCGAGCAAGTGTGAACGGTGCTGTATGCGTTCGGCCTCTGTGGAGAGCTCATTGAGGTCGGGGTCACTTGCGGCCTGGGAGGGTGCAGTGCTTCGGCGTTTGCCTTTTGAAGAAGGGGGCAGCCAGCCAAGGGCGTCCAGGTCCATTGGGGTGGTGTCTATGTGGAACTCCTCGTCACCATCTTCGTCCTTACCCGCAGTCTCTAGCAAAGCAGTCGGAGGTTGATACGTCCTCACTGTCCACGAGTCAGAGCTGTGCATAAGAACGGACATAACAGGCATACCTTCTTCCTCCGTTTCCGCAAACACCACATGTCCAGTGCGTTTCACAGCTGACAGCTTGCCCTTGCTCAATGCAGAGCCAGCTACCAGCCCAGCAGTTTTCAGCGTCTTCAATTCGCTAGCCGTGAGTCCGCTCGTCGACGGTAGCAAGTCCGCCAACAGAACCAACTGGGCTTTGAGTGCCTCGATCCGCTGCAAGCCCAATCACATCAGACATTTGATCGAAAGGGACATTCAAGCGCTTACTCGGAGGTTGGCAGCCTTCTGCGTTCGGATATAGTTAGCGTCCTGACTCTTGAGGACCTTGACCACATCCACTGGGAGGGATACGTTCCCCCTCTCCTGAACATGCACGCCTCCCTACACATGATCAAACCCCGCTCACGTCTCTCACCCAAAAATCACTCACCTCCGTCCTCCCCTTCACCATCCCAAAGTAGAATTCATCCTTGTTCCGCTCACCAGCCTTGATCCGCAGCCGGTTCAGCCTGTCCTGCTTAGAGTGGTAATCCCGCGCTCGGAGGATGTAGTCTTTGTGCTTCTCGAGCAGGCCGAGCTTCTTACGGTTCGCAAGCTGACCGCGCTCTTTGTGGTTTCGCCGTGGGGCGGCATTGCGTATAGAAGAGGACATGTTGTTGAGATATGTGCAGGAGGAGAGGTTGCTCTTGGGTCACAAAAGAGTTGTTGGGCCCTGACGAAGAGCGCTTGACCAAAAAAAAAGGCACAGCCACAATAAGCCAACTCTCTTGACTGAACACGATTGATGACCAAGGTCATGATGATCACAATACTAGGTGACTGTCCACTAATGCAACGACAGACAAGAACGTCTAGCCTAACTCTTCTGTATCACGTAAACATGTCCCAACAAATGTAAGAATAGAGAACAGTCTGGGAGAAAGAGCTCGTGAGAAGGAAAAAAAAGGATGCATACAACAGCGTGTGTCGTCCACCGCCTCCTCCGGGGTGTCCTCCTGCGTGGGTTACTAGAAATACATTGCGAGAGAGGGAAAAGAGTGCAGGATCAATGCGCCTGTGGTATGTACCGAGCTGTTGCGAGTCCGAGGCGTCTAACATTGGTCTTTCAGGCGGTTCTTGGGGAACGTCTGCCCCGCTTGCTCCCAGGTTGTAATATTCGGGTTGTTGTAGACATCCGGATGCCTGCGAGCTGATTCAACGAATACATCATAACAGGTGAATGAAGACTCACTCGGCAATATAATTCGCCGTCGGGTGGTCCGGGGGATCACATCCGATATTCTTCGACCCAGGCTTCTGGTACACCCTCACATAATCCACCAGCATCCATGTAGGGAAGACCAAGTCCGCAAAATCGATGGCTCCAAAGCTAGGTGATATACCAAGATTCATGATGATGTACATCGGTTCCTCGGGGATGAGCCGCTGGTTGACCTGGGTGTAGGTGTTCGGCCCCAGCCCGGCGGCGTAGAGCGTCCACGCGGGTTGGCCATTGGACACCCAGGTGATGTACCCGTTGTCACCTGTCTCGTACTCGAATCCGTAGGTGGAGAAGCAGCCTGTGTTGCCCGTGTAGCAGTTTTGGTTCGTCTGCGTTAGCACGGAGGCGGCTTCTTGATACACTCCACCGTGGTAGGAGTTGACCTCGGATATACCGGTGTTGTACAACTTGAAATCCGCGTCGGACTGGTTGTGTATCTGCCCAATTACTTTCAGCACGCGCTCCCAGTCTAGAACAGACCAGGAAGGGAAGACTCACCATCCACCAAGCGTCAAACGGTGCCAACTGCGCACTCTGGCTCACATAGCCCACTCTGGTGCCCTCATCAACCTGCGCCTCGAATATATCGAGCTCTGGGGCGCTCCTTCCCGGGAACGTCCCATCAGAGTTCATCGGTCCGGGATGGTCTTCTCCCGGGCAAGTGCAAGCGCTGACCCTCTGGCCAGGAAGGAAACTGAGTTCTCCGCCCCAGTTCGGGTCGCCGGAGTTCAGCGCTGCTGGAGGCCCGTCGTTCAGCGTCTGGTTGGGCAACGTGCCCAGATCGCAGCTGTTGTATGTGTACGGCCACATGCCGTCCAAGCTCCCTCCGTAGCCAGCACGGCCGAGGTTGCCCATCGTCCACACCGCGGGCCATAGTCCATACACACTCGATTTGCCGGGAAGGGAGACACTGACTTCGACGTACCCTCCTGTGAAACAGAGCTTGTTCCAGGAAGAGACCATTCCGCCCGTATAGGCCTCGCCCCGGTCCTCAGTGTTGTTCAGCCAGATCTTGAGTGCTCCCCCAGCAGTGGTGACCGCGCGCGGGTCGTACCACTCCAAGTTCCCAGTCTGCCAATAATGCAGGTTCACCGCTTCCCAGTAAGGGTCATCACCGGGGTAGAAAGACCGACCATCAACCTCGAACTCGTCGCTGAAGACGAGGTCGTACTCCGACCCGTCCATAAGCCCGTTGTGCGTCATTGCCGTCTGAGGGGTGGCGACGTCGATAACGCCCACGTTGGAGATGAGCTGCGGGACCTGGCCCGTACTGTTTATCCCGCCGATATTGTATCCCCCGTTTGTGGCTTGCGTGTGCTGCTGGACGAAGGAGATGATCGGGAACCCGGCACTGTGATCGTAAGGATCAGCTCTCAGCTCTCTACCTGGAAAGCGCGACTCACAAAAGGACGATAAGCCCTACAATCAGGATGATCACACAACCGACATTCTCCAGCCCTCGGAGAGTGAAGATGTTCCCCCCTCGATCTTTGTTATAGTCCCGCTTCGGATCGGGCGTATGGAGGAAATCGTCCGCCTCCTCGCGTTCCGGGAACTGGCCCCAGCTGTTCGGGTCGGGGGCGAGGGAGAAACGGGAAGTGATCGACGTGGCGCGGGAATGGACGCCTTGCCCGGGCTATAAACGTCTATCAGTATGCTTCTCTTGTCACTGTAACACGAAGGACTGACAACCAAAGGCATATCCGTACTGCTCCTGCCCGACTCGCTCCCACTCCCACTTCCCGGTCTGTGTCCATAAGACCCATATTGCATACTCGGCCCCGCGCCGTACCCCACGCTCGACACAGCACTGTTAGTGGAGTAGGCGGAGCTCCTGTACCCTGAGTCACGGGCGTTCGTACTTGGAGGACTGAGGCCGCCTAGGGGCGGGCTGGGGCCAGTGTGGGAGGGGATGAGCTCAGCCGTTGAACTTTGGGCACTGGTGCCTAGGTTGGTACCGTACGCGGAGGCCATGATACTTGGTGCTCGGCTGGGAGCTGCGCTGGGTCCAGGGTTAGGCTGAAGTTGAGGCTGGTACTGGCCCTGAGCGGGCTGGAAGACTTCTGTCGAGGAGGAGTACGCGGGGGAGGTGGATGCCTGCCAGACTTGCTGGTCTGGACGGAGGAGCTGTTGCGGCTGGAGAGCGGGCTGAACGGGAGGTCGTGCGGGAAGGGTGGGGGGAACGACGGGGGGAGGGGGGACACGAGGTTGCGGGAAGGGGTAGACGGAGGAGCGGGGTGAGGGCCCACCGGGAGGAGCAGGAGGTCGGGGATAGGACATCCTTGTTATTGTTGATTGTAGGTGTAGCTGTAGATGTGGTGAGGAGGGAGGTGCTGGAGAGACTGCGTCTGTTACGTCTCGGTAAGGGAAGCAATGCAGTGGCGTTGGCCTAGTCGCTCCGCTTCTGACAAGCGCTCGTCCTAGTGGTCGTCGTCCGTACTCCTCAAACTAAGGAGTAAAACGACACCAGTCGTGGTCGTCCTCAAGGTAGTCCTAATCGTAGTCGTAGTTGGTTCAAGCACAATCCAGCTCAGGGGCCAGTAATGTCAATTGAAGCGTAATCGAGCGTTGGCTGTCTTCCAGCACCTACGGTGCATAATTAGCCCACTCCTCGGAAGGACGAATGGAGAAACGTTACTCACAGGGATAGGACGATGGATGGTCGTGAGCTGCGCAGTCCGCGGCCAGCAGTGCCGTGCTGTGGTGGTGTGCTGTTGTTGTAAGGAGATCAAGACGTCAATGCGCGTGATTCGAAGTGACCAATGGGCCGATAGTGGGGCCTGTACGGTGAGATACTTTTGTGCCAGCTGGACGTTCGCTGTAAAAGCTGTTGACCTTAGGTGACAATCAGTCGTAAGTGCTGTTCAGTACACTGTCAACCGTTGTCGGATGTTGATGTCGGGAAAGGAGCAACGTACCGCTCGCAGCTTACCGTTGAGCTAAAGTATCGGAAGGCCCTGACGTATGCGGAAGAAGGGTTGACCAGGGGAGGCAACCGCGCGTCTCCCTATTTCCGGAACTTTGTCTATTATTTAGGGAAGCAATGGTTTGCGGGGTGTCCAATCTGGGAAATAATTGGTACAAATTTGGTTCTTTTTCGGAATTGTTCTACTTGGTAGTACTCATCCTTGACTGTACATTATCATTCTCAGACAGCAAAATACCACAAAAACCCTCAGACGCGTCGCGGTCCACCGCCCCAATCAGGCACGTGAGCCACCGCACAGCGCACGGGCGTCGTCGTCGTCAAGGGCACAAAAAGAGGCGATGGACAGTTCCGTTTGTCGTTGGCCTTGGCTACTCCTGGGTCGATCGTACTTGGTCCATGCTGGATGATTTAGGTTGGATGAGGTGGGGAAGGAGCGACAACGGCAGTGTATTAGCACCAGCTAGGTAATTACAAACATTTCATATAACCTCCTCTATCCTTCCGTCCAATCCTCGAATCCAAATAACCGTCGAAACCAACAGGCGAAAAATAACAAGAATGCGAGCCAAAGAAATCGAATGCGGGTGCCAATGAGAAGATATCACTGTCTGTCTGTCTGTCGAGATGAGTATGGGTTGAGTTGTAGTTCATGGTAATAAAAGCGGCAGAACGCGTTGCTTCTGCCCTCGAGAGCCCTGGGGGTTGCGTCGTCCTTCGGTTCGAAAGAGTCCCAGAACCAGCTGAAGAACTGACGATCTTGTGTTTTGTGTTTTCGGGTAGGGTGGTAATAGACATCGGATTACTGATCGCACACTCTTCTCTCTCCTCTCTTGGGATGATGGTCAGGGGGGATCGATCAGGCAGTGTACCTGAACGCATGAGCATCGTCCGCCAGCTCGCTCGTGTCCACTGCCGCGTTCCTGTCGACAACACCGTACAGCCGATCACGGCGCATGTTCTCGTAGCGGAAATACATGGTAAGGAAAAGGGAGAGTACGGCGGCAAGGTAGGCGAAACCACAAGAGATACCGAAGCCCTTCAGGTAGCGCGGTGCATCCGACAACGGGTAAATGTTCGACCCAAGGATAGAGCCGCACTGTCCAATACCCTGGAAGATGGGAATACCGGCTGCCCTCTTAGATTCTGAGCCCATGTTGTACGGGAACCATGAGATCGCCATGCCGATTGTGGTGTACGTCGCGGTTGTGACGAGGAAAGTGGCAAAGTATTTGACGTGCACGGAGACGTCGACGATGAGCAGCAGGTACCCGGTGCCTCCTAACATGGAGGAGATGAACATAGGAATACCACGGGTTTGATACCGGTCGGAGACGAAGGCGGTAATGATGAGCACCGCCGCGGCGACGGCGTAAGGAGGGACGGCTGGAAAAGGGTTAGAGATGCTGGGAACCCAGGGTTGTGCACTCACTGAAGATCTGTGCATTCGCACCGTCGTAGCCCATGTCGGAGACGATAGTGGGCAAGAAACCGTTGAGGGAAGCCGCTTGGGCGTTCGCACCGAAGTAGATAATACCGTACATGTAGATCTTGATGTCCCTGGCGGCCCGCCAAACGTGGCGCATATTGAGGGTGTGTGCACGTTCCTTCTTGCCACCGCGGTTCATGCGCCTGACAGCAAGCCGCTTCTCCTCCGGGGACAACCATGTCATGGTGTCCGGCCGGTCGGGCAAAACCTTCATACACAACAGACCAACCACGACGGCCGGGAAACCCTCGATAATGAATAACAAACGCCAGTCTTCGATCCGAGAGTGAATGTTCTGCACACCGAAAGCGACGAGGCCACCGAAAGCACCTGCGAGGGAGGCACACGCGAACCATGTTCCTAACCTAGAGCCGATTTCCTGACGGGTGTAGAAGAAAGCTATGAGGGCATTCAGCTCGAGCATGCCGGGGATAAAATGGGAACGCACTGAAATAGAGCGAAATGTTCGGGGAGAACATGGACTCGAAGAAACCGACACCGAAACGGCAGATAAAAGCGTTGGCAAAGTTGTAGGACAATGCTTGCAGTGCACTATCATGCATCTGAGTGAACCAGCAGCTTTTCCAAGGTGGAGAACTTACGAGCAGAAACCCCATCCTGTTGCGGCCACACCTAGCCAAAAATTCTGTGCGAATTTCTTCCCTAAGATAGTGCCGGGGAACTGGAAAACGATGTAGGCGCTTCAAGACACTCAGCACGTTATTCAGCACTCTGCACAAGCAGGGAAACACGTACAAGAAGAAGGACGAGTTCAGCCATGCGAACAGCTGACCGGTGGGGTCACCTCCGAGAATATCATCGGGGAGACCCATCAGTCGCGAGTTACCGACATTGGCTCGGTCGAGGTATCCCAGCAAGTACACCACCATGAGCAAGGGCATGATGAGGCGATCGAACTTCTTGACCAGACTCTTCTCCTTTTCAACGTCGATTGGGGTGTCATCTTCTTCCTCGATTTCCTTCTCGCGAGGCCCAGCATCCGCGATGGCCTTCAACTCTAACCGGTCAACGTCGAGGAAAGATATCTCCTTGGGCTTGGACATGTTGGAGGAGGGGAGGAAAGGGAAGGGAGTAGAGGGAAAACGAGAGTCAGAACCTGAATCGTCTTCTGAAGACATATCGACCAGTATTATAGGTCGAAGATTAAGGTAGAGGAAAGAAACTTGCGAGGGTTCGCCCTGTCAAAGAACCGGGGCACGGTATCTTGAGAAAAGCTCGTTGGACTCGCTTCGATGCTCCCGCTCCAAGGTGCCGATTACAAGGCATGTTGTGAACAATTGAATAGTCCCTGGATTAGGAAAAAGCGGCAGCAAGAGACCCTGAGCCGGCAATGCTTCCTTTCGTCGCAAGGAACGGAGGTTTCTTTCTCCTCTCCGCAATCTCTCTTATAAGAAATGCTTCCTTCATTAAAAAGCCCCCTCTAAAATCTCGGGCATGCTGATGCAGCCCTTGAGACATTCGAGGTGGCGATTGGAACTCCACCTTCCTCGTAAATATTATTTTGTGGCAAGATTTCGGCTGAAAATCCTGGTCAGCAGAGTGATTTCCCACGATTTTCCCAAAGGGAATGATCTTCCCCATCTCACACCAGTTGCCGACTGGAGGAGGTGGCAAGTTCTCGGATCACCGGCATTCAAAGGGACCCTGGAACTGGAATGCCCCCTCCACATGGCGCGAATCGGACCGCATGTAGAATCCAGTCCCTTAGCGTGTGTTGAAATGCTTTGCCAACTCCTCCAGTGCGTCTGTATGTCGGAGGACTCAGGGGCCGTCTGAGCCCGCAGCGGAACCCGTAACAACTGTGGAAAACTCGCTAAGACCATTCCGAGGTCTCTTTTCCGGAGGGCCGATCGTCTAGCCTTGTCGGACCATTTCAGAATGTGTAAGCATATTATTCACACGAAGCATCGCATTGTTCCAAATACAGTCTCGCCCTCGAGCGGTGAGAAAGCCGGAGTCCAGTCGGTATCGACCAGCTGGAAAATACCCATATACTGCGTGGGTGTCTTGGGTGTGAGCCAATGCATTTGGTTACAGGGACTGTATCAGCGTAGAGAATGTCATGGAAAGACCCTTGTAATACAGTATCATCGAATTCCAGACCGAGTGATCAAGAGTAGCAAGACAGTACCCCAGATGTGGCAGTCAAGTGATACCCCATAAATGAGCCCTCGAAATTGTGGATTCGGTAGTTTGGTTCTCTTCGTTCCCTAGAAGCTGATGCTTAATCGTATTGTTGCAATCATGCATGGTGCCAAGATGCTATTGTTAGTATCCATGGATGCGGTAGTTCCACATCTGAACCAGCACCGGCGTCGGATAAACTAGATCGACCGTCGCCGTTGTTCATGGATACATGTAGGACCACCTGTAGCCAAAGGTCACAGACACCGGCTTGGATCGTGATCCCAAGGGAACAGTGTAATCGTATATGCAACTTGTAAACATTTCCAAAGCCTTGCCGGTAAGAAATGTGTATGCCGAGGAGTCGTCCACAAGGCACAGATCTCCGCCCGCATTGCCCTGGTGCCTTCGGGCCTTCGCGACCGGGCCCGCGACTTGATATTGCACGTCATGATTCAGTCCGGAATGGGGGGCACCGTTGGTGGTCGGCTGTCCTTGCAAACGTCATCTGTACCACAATTGCGCGCACGATCATTATTTTTATATGAATGAACTTGACTAAATCTGATGGGCAGGTTAGTAAAATGAAAGGGGGGATTTCAAGGGGCCGCAAATCGGTCTGAGACGTACCGTCCCTTTATTTCCTTGTGATGCTGACCGGGAACCGTCTGATCCCGTCATTCACGTTATTCCTGCTTTGCACTTACGGCACAACATAAACGATGGTCCAGTGCTCCTGTAACAACATTCCGCTCGTGCCGCTGGGACGCGGCGGCCGAAAGCTATAGGAGAGATCGTCCACTGGTCTCCGGGTCGATCGGCTCTACTCCACGTGAAGGAGCTGGAGCCCATAGTTGCTATAGTGCGCCACCTGTCAAATGGTGAATAAATAAAAAGGAGAGGAATACATGTGGTGCCATAGAAGCTGATCGCTACGGGCTTGACGGGAAGAGCCTCGAATGCTCTCCTCCCATTACTAAGACGGTATTCATGAAGGCATGTGCATGAGAACGTCGACAGGATAAGTTCGGAAATATCGCCGTGTCCGGAGCTTCTGTTACGAAGCCCAAGAGGCGAAGATCACGGGATGTATACGCGAAGAATTGCCGGTAGCGACGGAGGAGACGCCCCGGTTCCGATAAGGACACAAGTATACAGACAACGTAAGACGCATTGATGTTAGTATTGTTGTCATAATCCAGAACAATAAGAAGCCGGTGGCGGAGATGAACATATGCCTCGGCCGCGTTGTGTGCATGTGGGGGCGAAGCAGCTTCTCGAGACACAGCCGTTGTTTAAGAAGATGGGGTTATTGTTGTTGAATAAGGAAGGATCCGTTGCTATCGAGAGGTAGGAAGACACGTTCAATCGTTAGCAGAGAGTAGATTAGAAAGCATACACGTCCCAGTCCAGATGATAAGTTCGAGGAGAGTATTGTCGAAGGGCGTGTCAACATTGCGCAGCAAGATGTCGTGCGGATTGGCTGAGGATGAGTGGCGATATCGGAAGTAATTAGTAAGATGATGAGGTAAGCTCAGTGAGGGGGCGCACGACTCCTATCCGCATACACGCAATCCCCAACCGACACCACTTGGACTGCGTACTCGCTGTTGTGGACGACGACCTCGCTCGTCAAGTCGCTGTCCGACTTGGCGCAACACACTTTGTACAGCGATCATGCGTCTTTCCTTCGTACTTCCACTCTCGCTTCTCTCTATTGTATGCGCAACCCCTGTATTTACACACCAGGAACCGCTGCTGGATGTGGCGTTCAACGATGGATCCATGCAACAAGCGCCCATCACTATTATCGATATCCTCTCTCAGTCTCCCGATCATCAACTTCTTATGAGAATCCTTCAGCGTACGAAGCTCATCCCTCTGCTTAACATACTCAACAACACTGCCTTCTTTGCTCCCAACGACGAGGCCATCCAGAAGCAGATAAATGGCAGCTCACTTTCGTTATGGGATGAGACGCTGTGGGAAACAAACCAGGGAAGTGGTGGTAGACCGGACAACATTCAATATGAGCTCCGACAACACCTTCTCTATCACCTCATTCCTTTACCGGAATACAACATCTCTCAGCCACGGCCACCGCTCAAGTTTCCTTCTTCAAGACCCAAAGCGTACTTCACGATGCATTATCCAGGCAAGCCTATCCAAGGCCCTTCCCCTTCCCCTCCCCCCGGATCACCATGGATGCCCGCCCCGGGCGGGACGCTGGCGAAGATGGCGCAGAAACTACGCGTGATCCAGAAGGATGGGGTGAGCATGACGAGTGTGGACTGGAAAGGGGAAGGCGGGGTATCATTGTCATTAATTGCGGAAGGGACCAATGGCGAGGTGTGGAGCTCCAATCAGGTTTTACCTCTTCCACCGAATTTAGGTATGGCATTTTCGTTGGCGTTGACCCGATAAAGAACTTATTCGCATTAGGGGTTATCGCTGCTTCTCGCCCTTCTCTTCAATACCTCACCAGCAATTTACCCGATTCACTCATTCAATCGTTCAGTACCACCGTAAATTCCACTCTATTCCTTCCAACCTCTTCGGCATTCTCTGCACTCACTGAGCTCGAGCGAGGTTGGCTACAGTCAGGTGTTGCGGATGAGGATTGGGCCCTCATTCTCGACGCACACAGGGGCCAGAATGTCGGCCCAGGTGTTGGCTGGGTCGGCGGCTTGAAGGACGGGGAAAGCATTTCGGGCAAGGCTGCAGACAATAGCGACTTCATCATTACGCGAGAAGGGGATCAGGTGAACGTGAATGGCGTACCACTGGATGAACGCGACATATATGCATCTAATGGTAAGGCTGCAGCCCTTCACCTCAATACATATTGACAACATGTTCTCCAGGCGTTCTTCATACTGTGTCCACTTTCTTGTTCCCTGTCGAACGTCTCGCTCTTACCCCGGAGAAGACCCTCGTTGCGCTCAACGCCACGGCTTTCGTGCGGATGTTACACCGCGCCAACTTGACCCACTACATCAATGGGTCTGGTGCCTCTGCAGGGCAGAACTACACCATTCTGGCGATGCGGGACGATGATATCGCACGACCCGAAGACGACCCCGACGAGGATGATCCCGACGCGCCTGGCAATCAGAACCGAACCCTTGCGAAGCGCGCAGCCTATCATATCCTGAGTGGCAAGCTGCGTAGGGATGACCTGAAGGACGGCATGCTGGTCAGGACCGAGCTGAGAGAGGAAGGCCTGAGCGGTAACAGACAACGATTGAAAGTTAGTCTACCAGGTGTTGGATTGACCTGGGGCGATGCGAGGGTGATCGGGGAGCCCATTGAGACATCCAATGTGCTTATTTACTTCATCTCGCATCTGCTCGAACCGCCACCCTCTTCACTCCAGCTCGCAACTTCGCGACCTCATCTATCGACGTTCACAACGTCCCTCTATTCGACCAAGTCGGACGAAACCCTGGCACGCACTGCATCGACGACTCTCCTTGCACCAGTGAATGATGCATGGGAGAATACTGGCCTTGTCGGGGACTGGCTCCTCAGTGGCACAAAGCCTGCGCGTGATGACTTGCTCAAGACTGTTCACGGGCACATCTTGGCCGACGTCCTCTACACCACCGATATCAAGTCCGAGAAACCCCATCAGACGTTGGAGGGTGGCCTTGTCGGAGTGGGCAGGCTCGGAAAGGGGAACTCGATTGGAGTCCGGGTCCCAGATTCGAACGAAGAAGAGGGACGGATGATCTTACGAGAAGACAGCCAGAACGTGGGCCGGGACGGGTTGAGCAGGACCGGTGTCGTTCACGAAATCGACACGCTGCTAGTGCCGAAGAGTGTGGATGTGACGCTTGGGAAGATGGCGAAGGGTGCGAGGGCGGAGGTCATGATTCGACTCATGGCGAAAGCTGGGTTCAGTTGGGCATTGGATGGTGTCTCTCCGCCGCTTGAGAACACGTCTCTCCCCTTCCCATTCCCGTCGTGGACCGATGATGATGATGATGATGACGAGGAACCTGCCCAGCCCCCAGACGTGCCTTACACGCTCTTGCTGCCAACCGACTCTGCCTTCTCCTCGTACAACCTTAGCGTCCTGCAATCTTCACCGCGTGCGCTCCGAAGGCTTGTCCAGCAGCATCTCATCCCCACCATCAACCCTCCACCATCCGTTCTCGGTGGACCTCCGATCGCCTTGTCCGACAACGCGCAATACCGCACACTGCTATCCAATTCTTTCAAATATGGTTCCGTATGGTTTGAATCCTCTGGCAAGACACCCTCAAGCCGCCGCACTCAACCAACGAAAGAATCCGGCTGGGTCGTCCGCACCAGGGCGAACAAGCCTGCTCGTGTGCTGCGCTGGGGTCGGACTTCCGCCGCTGGGGGAGGGGTGATCCTAATCGACCGGGTGATGGACCCATACGAACTAACGTGGTGGGAACGATTTGGTCCGCCCGTGGTGCTGGGTAGTGTCGCCGGTGTCCTGATTCTGCTCTTTTGGGGCGGGATCACCTTCTGGTGGCGGAGGAGCGGCAAGTCGATCGGGTACGAAGTGCTGGAAGGAGAGGAAGACTGATGGGGCGTTGTATCCAGTAGACACGACTATGGTGATTATGACTAGAACGCGTATGTGGCATAGTGTAATTCCATCCATTTGTAACATACCACTCTTTCTGGTCCTTTGCGCACTGATATCCGGCCTCACATACATGCCGGTAGGTTCTCCATATTTCTTACGGCATCGACCGCAAATGATAAAAATGAAAGTGTCCTCTTGGTCAACAATCTACAACCCAGTCCAACACCATCTCCAACAACGCAATGATGCACATCGCGCTATTCATCGTGTCTGGCTAACAGTCCCGGCACACGCCAGCCCAACGCCCTTCCAGCCCCGACATGCAGCTGGGCCTGCCCTCCCACGGACAAAGGCGGGAACACGCTTGTCCGCCCACAATACACCGGGGGAGGCCTGGTGTGCCTCAACTCGGACGACAGCCAATGCATGTACGACTATACGGTACGCATAGTTCCTTCTGTTCCCTTTCGGGACCGGTCACCGGAGTCGAGTGGAATTTGGAGTTGGACGTCGCTCATGTCGCTTCTTTGTCTAGAGTAATGAGCTGAAAGACGGTGGGGTTGAATGTTTTCCTGCGCTGGAGTATACCTGCGCCCGGAGGCGCCGGGGATGGTTGAGTCGATAACCCTCGCAGTGAGCTGCTTCTCCTCGTCTATTCCTCTAACAGGCTCATCCAATACAGGCTCCATATCAGAACAAGATCGTATTCCCAACTTCTATAGTTACCAGATGACCAACCCATGTGACATAGTGTTCGAGTTCCAGTTACAGCTCATCCACCACCCTCCTCCCCTCCCCCTCCCTTTCCTCAGACGGCACGATCCCCTGCGGGAAACGGAAAACGTTCCCCTTATCCCACTTACTCTTCACCTTCCTCAGCCGGTCATATATCTCCCCTCCATAGTACATGTCCTCCCACTCCCCCTGTCCCAGTCTCGGGTCGACATAATTCGCATACGAAGCCAGTGTCCTTCCCTCCGGAGCGGCGCTCAGCACCTCCGCCATACCATCGACGAACGCGTACCCGTCTTCCGGAAACGGGGGGCGTAAGTTGCCCGAGCTGGCATAGAGCTGGAACCCGAGCAGCCTGTCCCTGTGCCGGAAGGCCGTGTCCAGCTTGGGGACAGCGTTAATCGCCGACCCCTCTCTTCCATACAGGTCGACTTCGACGAACCACGCAAGATGGGGATGTTTCGGCCCTTCGGTAAACAGGTAGTGCATGAACTTCTCTACTGTTTGCTGGGAGAGAGGGGTAGTGGAGGATGTCATGAGCGACTTGGCGTAGAAGCAGTCTGCTACGCGCGGGGGTGTACCAACTTGGGAGACGAGGTACGCTTCCCAGCCCATTTCTTGAGCGAAGGCGTGCGTCCCTGCGTGTGTGTCGCTCGTCTTCTCGCACTCAAGCACAAGGGGAAGGAAAACATCCTCGAAGGCCGCCTTGGGCCCGGTATAGGAGCCGAACAACTCATACGTCAGGTCGGGGATGAGGAAGAACTGCATCCCCAGCGGGGGAGGGGCGGAGGAGGCGGAGAAGGCTTGGAAGGCGAGGAAACACTGCGCTGCAGAGGAAGCATTGCCGGAGAAGACATACGAGTAGGCGGTAGTGACGGGCGGCTCTGAGCATTGTGAGTGTCCTGTTCTTGCAGGAGAGAACAGGGGACGTACCGGGCAGCGTGAGGAAGGTGTAGGATGTCGCTATCCCGAAAGAAGAGACCGATCCTCTAACAGCCTACATACCAACCATCAACGTATGAATAAGCCTGCCGCACGCCACACGTACCCAGAACAGGTCCTCGTTCTCCTCCAAACTCGCATTCACGATTCTCCCATCAGCGAGCACCAGCTCCGCGCCTATCATCCGGTCCAACAACAGCCCCCACTCCCTCGATGCGAATCCAAACCCTCCAAAAGCCGCATGCCCTCCCACTGTCCCCACGCACCAACCCATCAGATAAGGATGAACACACTCGGAGGAAAGCGGCTCACACCCGACAGAAGGACACACGTCCCATGGGGCAATGCCCTCCCCACGCTCTTCAGCGCGCTCGCAATTTCCCCAAGCCTATTCCCAGTCTGTGCATGCATCACCTCCCCGCCGTTATCGAATTCCACCCCTTTGAGTCCACTAAGGTCCACAACAAGGCTCCCATCCTGACCCCCTAGTGCGAAAGCGGCATACCCGTGCCCTCCTGATCGTGCGACGACAGGCACGCTAGCAGAGGAGGCGCACCGGACTGCGAGAGCGACTTCGGCTGGCGTGCGGGGGTAGACGACGCTTGAGGGAAGGAATGTGAGCCGGCGGTTGTACGCTTGGCATGCGGGGGCGTAGGACGGGGAGGAGGGGAGAAGGACGGGGAAGGAGAGGGATGTGAGGCAGGTTTGGAGTTGGGATGGGGATGCTAGTGTGTTGAGGGCGAGTAGGAGGAGGAGGAGCATCTTACGTGCAGGGAACAAGGGATAAGGGAGTAAGCAGCTTTATACATGGATTCCATATATCTTCTCTCCGTGTGACTCGTGATAAAGACATTCCGAGACAACCTACATGCCACAAAACGTGAATCACACTAAATTATACAGCAGCATCAGAACAAAACTCCAAGCGTACATGATCCACTGTCGAAACCTAGTCCAAGCACAGCACCTACAGCATCCACATTCCCAACACCAACGACGTAATCACAGCCATAGCTGCCCCCGCCGCCGTGCCTTTCCCCACCGCCGCCCCAGGGACAGGCGCGATCGGCCCCTGGGTATACGGGATCCCATTGAGCGCCGCCGCAACTTGGAACACGCTCCCACCTCCGTATTCATAAAAGTCCACCAGCATAAAGTTCGGCGCGCGCCCATTCGCGGTGATACACTCCTGCGCTTGCTCCCCGAGTGAGCCCGGCCCGGAGATGCCGTTCGTCTCCGTCAGACCGGCCTTGTTTGGGATTGTTATCAAGTCCCCGGCGATTGTGGTGCCTATGTCTAGGAAATGGTTTATAGTGTTGAGCTGGGTGGTCGGGTCCCCATGCGTGCGGTTGACGGCACAGTCAAAAGTGGTGGTGACGTCGAATGCTGTTTCCCACATGCTTGAGAATTCTACCGCAGGTTAGGTGAGCTTTTTTTTTGGGAGGAAGGACGCACCATCAATTATATAAGGCACGCTCGTGAAATCCGCCTTGGTGTCCATAAACGTTACGAGCCTCGTTCCATTATCCAGCATCTGCCCGAGAGTGGGCCATTGATCCAGTGTCAAACTCGCGGTGCCAGGGTTAAATGAGACACTGTCCAAGCCAACAGACTGGAAGACCTGTCCAAAAGCCGAGACGTCAAAATCGTCACTGTTCACCAAGAGGAGCGTGACGATTTCCCCGGGATTCTGATCCAGCCAAGTCTTGAGCTTCCCTAAGTAAGTGGCGAGGGAGCCCCCGTCCTCCAAGGCGCAAAACGAATGACACAGCTCGATCGTGCCGTTCTTGTTGTGAGTCTGGCCCTGCAGCATCCGGATCCCGTCCGTGAGTTGTTGGGTCAGGTCGTAGTCCTGGTTGTCGGCCAGGGAGGGGGGGAGAGCGTACGAGTCGTGCGCTCCGACGAAGGTGATGTTGCTGTATTGGCGGGAGCATAGCTGGGTTTGGGTTGATTAGTGCGTGTGGGAGGAGGGGGGGAGGGGACGAACGGCGGGGGAACCATTGCATGTTGTTGCTCTTGGCTGGGGAGCTGCGAGCGCTAGGCCGAAGAGGAATGGAAGGGCGAACTTGAACTGGTCGAGCCTCATACTGTAGCGTGTAGGTTGAGAGAGAAACACACCTGAGATAGATTCGACCCTGCATATACCAGTAAGAGAGTATAAATATTAATATGGAACGCCCAGCTCCTGAGTACCGTAGCTCCGACCAGTGAATAGCTATAGCTCCTAATAAATGACGACCATGTTTCATCGTTAGGCTTCCCAGGAATTCAACCAGAAATAGCCATAAGTATGAAGGACTGTGTGCTGGTACACCTGGCTGCCGGTCGCTGATCAGGGGGAGGGGAGGGGAGAGCTGAGCAAGCTCCTCCTTGTGCAGATAGATTACTGTAACACGGAGGAGGGCCTCGCCGATTATATATTCGCAGGCGAAGGAGGCGCAGGCAGTAGCCCATGCGGTGACATCGAGCCCTCAAGTCCAGCTATAGCAGTGGCAGGTCGATTGGACGAATACATCCACGAGAGGAAGAAATATATGTGAGTACGTGAGTGTGGCCGCGGGATATATATTTGCAAAGTGTGCGTTGCTCGTGGGCTAAAGAAAGCCTTGCGGTGATGGACCCTGAGATTGCTGATGAAAACGTCTCCGGTGATTATATAATATTAACCCTAACTTAATTCTGGGCCCTTGACCCTAACCTGGAGATACAAATAACACTAACACAAGCCTTTGAATAATAGCAATAGTAGAAAGAAGTAATCAACAGTGGGGTCTGTTGTACCACCTCCACCAGGGCCATGTGCCATGGAGGCAAATGGCAGGCAAAGTTTGCATGTTGTCTGCAGACCCAGGCTTGCTGCCTCTTGGTGCCTGCTAACCATCTGGCTTACCTGTTGCTGCTCATCCTGAGCCACACAGGCAAGCCTGGGCACTGTTAACACCCTCCCTGGACTGGATCAAGGCTTGATGGACTGACCTGCAATTGGAGAAGACCACTGCCCATGGAGCATGATATCTGGGCCCAGCAATAGCCCCTCCCCTTGAGTCATGTAGGGAAGCTTGACATGGTTGATTCTGCAGATGGGTGTAAGAACAAAGAAATTGCATCATGGCATCCTCTGATAACATCCAGTTCAGTGAGGGGCCAAAGAAGCACTCAATGTGATAGAGGAGCTGTCAGGGGAGTATGCCCAGCTAATAATATACCTGGAGAGTCACATAAGCAAAGATCTCAGGTGATAAGATGAGCAAAGAACATTCAAATACAGTGACTCTTTAGACTGGTCAGAGTAGCTGTTTGCATGTTGATGTGAACTGAAGACCTGAAGAGATGATAATGTATCCACATTGATGTGCATATACCATGCTCTAAGAACCCCATCAGAATAAAGTGGAGAGCCAGTCAGCCTCATACATAGTAAAGCACTGTCAGGGCACCAGCTCATTGCTTGGTCAAGAGACATGACTAAGCCTTTATGACATGGAAGTAGCTGGTATGCCTTGGCATGTGCTGGAACCTGCTGGAAGGATTGGATGGTCAGGTGACCTGCTGTGCATGGCTGTGCATGACCTCATATGACCTCATCCTTGGTCATATGACCTGATCACCTGACTAGGCTGAGTAAGCAAGATGTTCTAGCAGGTTCCACCACAGAGGTATAAATATAAGGCCTACTCTGCCTGGGGACTGTCTCTTCAGACTTGGTCTCTTAGGATCATCCACAGGTACCTATACTGTAGATAGGTCTTAGTCATCAGGTCTACTCCACTTCCTTGTTGCCTGCTTAGACTCTTGGCACTCTTAGGTGAGCAGACTTAGTCAGCCTGTGTTGCCCTAACACCTTGCCCTGTCCCTCAAGCAGAGCATTGAAATGCTGCTTGAGGGACCTCCACCTCTTCTTCCTCTGCAAATTGGTCATTGCATCCCACTTGCCATAGGGATCATGGTAGTAATGGGTTCAATGTTCTCCACAGAGAATGCAGTGGAGAGTTTTGGGTCAAGAGGTTGGTAGAGAATGCTAGGTTGCTTTTGATAGCACCTGCTAATGTCCTTGGAGAACTGGTTGTAGAGTGTGAAGTGCTCTAAACTGGCAAAATTTGGTTTTTGTTTGTCTGTGAATAGTTAGTTAGTACTCATTATATTAGAAGTTTAGAAAAACGCACCTAGAGTGCTATGCTCTCTCATGATACTGCTGGCCATCTGCAGGCCAGCAGCCTTGAACCAATTGTCTCAAATCTGGGA